TCCCCTCCCCGCCCCCCGCCCCGCGGGCGGCGCGGGTCGTGTGTGGGGGTGGGGGGGGGGGGGGGGGTGGGGGGGGGGGGGGGGGGGGGGGGGGGGGGGGGGGGGGGGGGGGGGGGGGGGGGGGGGATTGAGTATATGTATGCGTGATGTCCTCGGTCGGACAAACAAAATGAGATTTCTCTGCCTCCAACTATGCATCCTTGGAAGCAACTTTTGCTCGGTGCGATCCCATCGGGGCTACCAACAGCCCTGGGACAAAATGTGATTGATCTAAATGGTGATGGCTGGACTGTCAGTAGCAGTGCGCTGAACATCACCGTCCCTGGTCGGGTTCCGTCGCAGGCTCACTTGGACCTGTTTGCTGCCGGTGTTATTGGTGAGTTCCCCATTCCAAAGGGAAATTAAGGAGGTTGGTTGACAACAATAGATGACCCGTCCGTTGCCCTTTGTTGCTCGTTTGTCCGCGAAGTACACACCGACTTAACATAACTCATAGGTACCACGGTCTAAACGACTTCAATTTGCGGTGGATCGCAAATAACAACTGGACATATACAAGCAAACCAATCCAGGGCTTGTATGGACCCAATACCCTGTTCGATTGATCTTACTCACGCAATTCAGGTCCAATGATTCAAAGACTTCCTGGCTAGTGTTCAATGGCCTCGATACTTTCACAACAATCCAGTTCTGTGGGGAAGAAATAGCCACCACCGACAATCAATTTCGACAATACACATTCGACATCTCGGACGCATTGAAAAACTGCAAGGGTTCTCCAACCGTTTCCATCAATTTCGGAAGCTGCCCCAAAATTGCCAATGAAATTGCAGCCGATCCAAACTCGCAGAGTAAGTCGAACGATTCCTCGAGGCCTAGGAAGAAATCTAACAGCCCCCCAGAATGGCCAGCCGGTATCCAAGGAGTCTTCGAGTTACCCAATCGTGAGTATATTCGGAAAGAACAATCCGACTTCGGATGGGACTGGGGCCCGGCGTTCTCCCCCGTGGGTCCTTGGCAAAACGTCTACTTGGTACAATCCGAGACCGAGAGAAGTGCGTACGTTGTGAATACTGGCTTCGATATTTACCGAAAAGGCCAGATCAATCACATTGCTCCCGATCAAAGCCAGCCTTGGATAGTCAATGCGAGTATCGACTTCATCGGCTCTCTTCCTGAACAGCCATCCCTGAGCATTGAGATCAAGGACATTCAGTCGGGAGATATTCTCAAATCAGAATCTCTCGACAATGTCGCGGTGGTTGGCCAAGCTGTCAGTGGCCAAATGACCGTTGATGCGGATGCACCCCGTCTATGGTGGCCTACAGGAATGGGAAGCCAACCCTTGTACAATGTCACAGTCACAATTCGGAGCGATGGGCAGGATGTCGCGACCGTTACCAAGCGGACGGCGTTCCGAACTATCTTCCTCAATCAGTCCAATATCACGGAGGCACAAATAGCCCAGGGCATAGCACCGGGTGCCAACTGGCATTTCGAAGTGAACGGCCGGGAATTCTACGCAAAAGGCTCAAACATCATTCCGCCAGATGCGTTCTGGCCACGAGTCACCGAAGCCAAGATGAAGCGGCTTTTTGACGCCGTTGTGGCCGGAAATCAAAATATGCTCCGAGTTTGGTCCTCCAGTATTTACCTTCCGGACTTTATGTACGATCTTGCAGATGAACGAGGTGTCCTGCTTTGGAGTGAATTCCAATTCAGTGATGCGCTGTATCCAACCGATCAGCCCTTCCTCGACAATGTCGCTGCGGAAGTTGTCTATAACGTCAGACGGGTCAACCACCACCCATCCCTGGCCTTGTGGGCAGGTGGGAACGAGATCGAAAGTTTGGAATTGCCGACCGCGAAGAAGAAGGCACCAGAGCATTATGAGTTCCTGGTCGGTGACTATGAACACTTATTCATCAGTTTGATCTTGCCTCTCGTCTATGAAAACACGCGGTCGATCTCATACATGCCCAGCAGCACAAATAACGGGTACCTGAAGGTGGATCTTTCAGCCCCTGTCCCAATGGTAGAGCGCTACGATAACGGCACCGATCAGGAGGGATACTACTACGGTGATACTGACTATTACAATTACGATAGTAGTGTGGCTTTTGATTTTGAAGGCTATCCGGTTGGTCGCTTTGCCAACGAGTTTGGCTACCACAGCATGCCCAGTCTGCAAACCTGGCAGCAAGCGGTCGATGAGGAAGACCTTCATTTCAACAGCAGCACAATTGTGCTTCGCAACCATCATTACCCTGCCAGTGGTCCTGACACCCACAATTACAAGAATGCCTCAATGGGAATGGCAGAGATGACCCTGGCAGTTGAGCGATACTACCCGATTCCAAACAAGGACGACTCGGTAGCCAATTTCAGCGCATGGTGCCATGCCACCCAGCTTTTCCAGGCCGACATGTACAAGTCCGAGATTCAATTCTATCGTCGCGGCAGTGGAATGCCAGAGCGCCAGCTCGGATCTCTATATTGGCAACTGGAAGATATCTGGCAGGCACCAACGTGGGCTGGCATCGAGTACGACGGTCGCTGGAAGGTGCTCCACTACACCGCACGCGACATCTATCAACCCATCATCGTCTCGCCATTCTGGAACTCGTCAACGGGTGACCTCTCAGTCTACGTTACCTCGGATCTTTGGGAAACCGCGCACGGAAACGTCACCTTCAAGTGGACAGACCTGTCTGGAAAAGCGATTCCCGATAACGCCGGAACCCCGGAGACCAAATCGTTCTCGGTCGGTGCACTGAACACTACTTGTGTCTACAATACCAACATCTCGAAGATCACGCTCCCGAGCGTTGAAGATGCCGTGCTCATTGTTCAATTGACTGCTGAGGGCCACCTTCCAAACAAGGAGCACGAGGCTGCGACTACCTTCACACACCGCAACCAGTTTACTCCCGCTTACCCTAAGGACTTGGCGCTGAAAGACCCGCAACTCCAGCTATCTCGTGATGCTGAATCCAGCACATTCACAGTCGAGGCTAAGAGTGCGGTGTCGCTTTATACCTGGCTTGATTACCCTGCCGGAGTAGTGGGATACTTTGAGGACAACTCGTTCATGTTGGCCCCGGGTGAGAAGAGAAGCCTTACGTTCTTTGTGCAGAAAGATGAGACTGGTGGTAAATGGGTTGATGGTGTCACTGTACGAAGCTTGTGGGATCAAACTACTAGCTAGAGTATTGGTACAGTGTAAATTGCACCCTGTCCATGAAGTACTTATGGACGATCCTACTCACCGAGAACCATGGACTGACTGACAAAGTAGAATCATCATAACATTAGCATTATATTTATTCTCAATCTATTCTAACCCATCTTTTGCAGATCGCATCTATTAATTAGTCAAGTACCCCCAATCCCCGAAAATCCAACTCTTGGCTGAGGTTCTCATAGAAACCTCAAAGCCCCCAGCTTTTCCCAATATCTCAAAGCCTCTTCCCCAACATGAAACACCCTGTGTTTGCCTCGATCAGAGGAAGCTCACTCGTGACTAAGCTTCGCCCGCAGTTTTCCACCCCACAGCCAGAAGATGTACGGAATGAACACCATAGCAACACCAATGAAAGCCAGGAGCCAAGAAGCCCACTGTAGCCCGAGACGATCATACATCTGCGTAGTGAACAAGGGGAATGCAGCACCACCCCCAGACCGCAGGAAGACCTTCGCCGCCAGCGCAGAAGCGGCATACTTCTGGTAAGAGTCAATGATATAGTTGTTGACAGCGTAATAGCAAAGAACCATTCCGAAGCCGAAAGCAATACCGGACGAAGCAGGTCCAACCCAGATAATATGCTTGTAAGACGTAGCGCCCAGCAAGAAGAAAGCAATGGGAATGAAAGGCGCACCAATAAGCGCGGCCAGAAGTCGATCCTCGGGCGTTGGAGACCTCACGCTGCAAATCTTCCGGAACTTGTTCTCGATCGCTGGTGTGACCACCAGAGCGAACGCGGCACCAATCAAAATGGGGATGAACATCAATCCGATTTGGCCGTCATTGTAACCGTATAGATTTCCGAAGATGACGGGATACGCAAAGAAGAAGGCGTAGAGCATCGCGTAAATGAGAACGATGTACATGCACATCAAATCGAGGACAGGCTCTGTCATGATCATGGTGATAGGGCGGATAAGACTGGTGCGGGCAATTTCACGGAAAGATTGCTTCGTCTTTTCCATCTCAGTGATGATATTCGGGTTTCCAGATTCCTTGCGCAAACGGGCAGCGCGTCGCTTGAGAATCACTGGTGCGTATGTTTCCGGGACTAGACCGATGAGGACCATGATAGCGCCGGCGAAGGCGAGATTCACCCAGAAGAAGAGGTCCAGACGACCTGATCCGACGTTGATCCAGCCTGTGACAATGGGGCCTAGTACGGGTCCGCAGTAAGGTGCTGCGGCGAAATAGGCGATTGCCATACCGCGCTCCTCGATGCTCCAGATATCGGCGATTGTGCCACCGGCTAGAGAGAGACCAGAGCTTGAAAAGACGCCACAGAGGAAGCGACAGACGAGGAGACCGCCAATGTTTGGAGAAAGAGCGCAGGGGATGTTGAAGATAGTGTATAGGAAGAGTGAAATGATGTACACGGGCCTGCGGCCGATGATTTCGGAGAGCGGGGACCATAGTAGTGGGCCGACGGCGAAACCACAAACCATGATGGAACATGTTAGGATTGCGACTTCAAGAGAGACGTTGTACTGATCCTCTATCAAACCCAGTCCACCGGTGACGATGGATGAACCAAATGCGACGCAGACGACGAGAGCGGAAGCGACCATTGTGATGTACCACCGGTACGCGCGAGACCAGTTGTATGGATGCTCTGGGTCGTCTATCGTGAAAGTGACAAACTCCGTAGGTCCATTCCCTCCCTTTTCCAGGTCTGTAGCTTGCTCATCACTGGATGTGTCACGATGTGTGGATGAAGTCGAGGTATGGGATCGGACCTGCTCGAGGGTCTTTTGAGGAACCAGTCCGGTATTGGTTTCGATTGTGTACTCTTCCGGGAATACGGGTTCTGCATTGTGACCAATGGTTGGATAATTGTAGTCGAGTTTATGATTTTCTGTAATGCCCAGGTTGCGAAGGCTTTCTTCCGTTTCAACGTGTGGGTGTTGGTGGGATGGCTCGGGCTTTTCTGGGTATTGTGAGGGTATTGATGAAGACATGATGACTTTTGGGTAGTCTAATTAAAGCAATGAGACTTGATTGTGTAGATTAATTTGGTGATGAGTGCAGGTATGTGCCGGTATTTATACATCAAATGGAGGTGAGCTACTTCGAGTATAGAATTTGCACCGACCCATCTCCGAGATTGCCCAACCGATCGCCGGGCACTAAGAGCAAGAAATGACGCATTGTTTCACAAGTCGTGGCTTGCAGGCTTATTCCAACTGCAAGTTCTCATGCGCCCTCCGATTCCTTTGATATCAGCTCGGTGATCGCTCGGCCCGAACTAACCCCGACATATCTAGTACTGGACTTTTCTCGGCGACAGCAGAAACGGCATCCCTTTCCTCACATCGTGGAATACTTCTCCCTATTTGGACGACCCTTATATCTATAAATCCACTACTCCCTATCCAGCGAAGTTGAAGAGCTCCAGGCTGTTATGGCTACTTTGTGCCTGAGGCATTCTTTGGCTCTCGGATCGCGCCCACGGGGCGTTGAGACACAAACTTCTCACCCAATTTCCTATTCTGGCTGTCGGCTTTTCTTTTGTCTATCGCAGCATAGTCTGCTTTTTATGCGAATGTCATACCGCGACATCTGGATCGCATTCTGTCACCCGTATGGAGACACCGATTCGGCTCATCGGGTCCGGTCCCCGATAAGTGAGCTGACGTCCCTTGGACCATTCTCACAAAATCTTCATTGGATATCAGTTAATAGTGGATCAAGCCCCGGCCCTACGCCCTGCTTACTAAGAGCCAGATGCCGCCATTCCATCCTAAACCTGAGGGTCAAATGCACGTCCTATTCGTCACGGCTGTCGTAAGGGGCCTCGGTGTGATCTACAGGACATATATCAGTGTTTCCTGCAATCTGCCATGAGTTGTCGGAAATCTGGAGTTACACCATGATCTACGTTTTCCAACGTTGGGGCAGCACTGCACCCAGTTGGTGAAACACAGGAAATCACTTCCCGATGAGACGGTTTCCAAGGTTAACTCTGGCCATAGCGATGTGCACCGCGCCAATATGATATTTCAATGATAAACTTCGGTGTGCTCGTGCATAATCAGTGTAACGTCCATGGATTGAAGGTAGATGGATCCCATGGCTGTCGTCCACGGGGGTTTACCGGTCTGCCCAGGTATGTCAAATAGATGTTCGAACTATGTCCATGTCCAGAACGAAATGCTTTTTTAAGATGAGGGCTCTGTCGATATTATTTCAATGAATTTTGCTGAAACTTTGGGATATTGGAAGCAATTTGGTCAAGCACAGATTTGAGACCTCGGACTTAAAAACATATTTCAAGGTTCATGAGCCCTGATCTCTGCATCGACTCGGGAAGGTTTTATGACCAAACCACCAACCTTGAAATTTCCAAGGCTCCATCGCTCAATTGACCCTATGATGATGCAAGGTCATATCCCTCGATCGCATCGCAGATTTTGAACGGTCCGAGAGTCCGAGGTTGATCCTTACACCGTGGACGCACGGTACCTACTAGCACAACCTGAAGGTGTGGCCTTCGGTTTGTTGGAGAAAAATCCAGAAGAAAATGAGCGCCGTAGGAATACTACGTAGACATGTTGAATTAAAATTGACACCAGGGAGCACTATTGAACATCCATCTAAGCCGTTCGCTTCGCGAAAATCTGGCCAGCTGCTAGTTCAACGACTGCCGCAATTGTGGCCCCTCCCAACATGTCAAACACTGCGATGTCCACGTTCAGCTCCTTCGAGAACCAGTTTCGAAGCTCCACTGCAACAAGAGAATCAATCCCATAGCTGTGCATCGGTTGCTTGCTTGAAAGCTCATCCTTGTTAATTCCCAGCGCACTGGACAGCTTGCTTGACAGCAAGTCCAACACGACCACACCCGTTGCCTCCACCGAATCCGCCGATGCGAGACTGTTTCCAGCTCCGCTAGAACCGTTTTGAGACTCTGCTCCTGAAGTACCTGTATGTTCAGTGGCCAGAATCTGCTTGAAGGCAGGCTTTTGAAGCCAGTATGCTGCGTCAGGGTTGCGCTTGTACGATGCTTGAGAAGTCGTCAATCCAAGGATGACTTGGCAATCTCCCTGAGTTGGTCGCTCAGATGACGTATCACAGTATATGGAGAGTAGAGCATGTAGTTCTGACTCTGTGACGGGAACACAGGGGAGTTTAGATGTGAAATGCTCTCGCAAGGATGCTGACTCGGCCACTGCACCAGCAGAGAGGAAGAAGCCCATGTTGAGAGATGTTGCACGCTCGCCTCGGGCTGTTCGGTAATGGGCAAGTGAGTCCATGAAGCCGTTAGCAGCAGCATAGTTTGCTTGGCCTCGGTTGCCCATCACACTGGAGATGGAGGATATCATGATGAAGAAATCCAGACCAGAAGGGAGAAGCTCATGTAGATTCCAGGTACCTGCAATCTTAGGAGCAGTAGCCTTCTCCCATTGAGAGTGTGTCATCGACTCAAACATGGAATCCTAGTTGTGCTAAGTTAAACAGATGGTTTCGGTGACAGGGGGTTTTTGCATACCTGAAGAACCATTGTGGCCTGAATGCAGCCCTTGATTGGAGGCATCGTAGAAGAAGCCTCCCCAAGAACAGCTTCAAGCATTGAACGGGTTGTGATATCACATGAAGGCGCTAGGACATTTACTCGATGAGCAGATAGCTCGCGAACAAAGGACCTTGCACCTTGACTGTGTGCTCCAGATCGAGACAAGAGCAGCAAGTGTCTCGCTCCGCATGACACCATCCACCGGGCAACGTTTTGACCTAACCCGCCAAGCCCGCCAGCAATGACATATGTTACGTTAGGGTTGAAACTGTGATGTTGTTGTGGAGAAACAAGTGCCTAAAGTAACACGTCAGTAACAGGCCGAGCCAACAGGGGTTGGTGGGAAAGTACATCGACTATGTCATGATCGCGCATCTCAAAGACAACTTTCCCGGAGTTCTGTCCTCCTTGTAGTGTTCGGAGTCCGGTCTCCAGTTCACCAATACCGTAAACCCGATGGGGTGTCGAGACTCCGAGGACACCAGAAGCAATGAGTGGCATCACCGCTCGAAGTGCCTTTCCAATAAGATGTGGCTTTTCGGATGTAATCAGTGCCAGATCAATGGCGCTGAAAGTCACATTTCGCAGGAAATAATGCATGTCGAGAGAGCTGTGATTAAGAACGTCTCTTTTCCCCATCTCAACGAATCGACCATAGGAGCCAATGCACTCCCATGAAGCGTGAAGGCCTTCTCCAGACAAAGAATTGAGAACGACATCAACGCCGCGGCCTTGAGTTAATTGTTTGACCCCGTAGGCAAACTTTGTATCGCGACTCGAGAATATGTGAGATTCTGGAATCCCATAACGTTCCATCAAGAACGCCTTCTTGTCCGAGTTCCCGACAGTAGCGATGACATTGGCTCCAAGGTACTGAGCGACTTGGATCGCTGCCTGGCCTGTTCCGCCAGCACCGGAGTGAATGAGGACTGTCTCCCCATCTTGTAAGTTAGCGACATGAACGAATGCATGCCATGCAGTAACAAAGTTGGTTGGAACGGCCGCGGCTTCAGCAAAGGAAATACCCCCCGGCAACTTGACGACGGCATCGCGGTGGAAACGAACATAGCTGCTATATGTATCAAAGTCGCAGCCGGCAACGTGATCTCCGACCTGGAAGTTGGGGCAGTCCTTTCCGACCCGGGTAACAACACCCGCACATTCGAATCCAACATTTGTCGTATCCATTCTCTTCAGTAGGACCAGGATATCACGGAAGTTTGCGCCCACTGCTTTCACTTTGATCTCAATCTTGTCCGCGGGGAGAGGTGAGTTCCGAGTGGTATCTTCAACAAAATGAAGATTGTCAAGCATTCCAGATTGACTGAGGCCAAGCCTCAGTGGTGGACCAGAATTCCATTGCTGGCGCGTGTGGGACTTCGAGGCTTGAAGCCGTGCAACGGGAGCAGTAATATGAGGGGCTTCAACGAAACGTGGGATATGCAACACTCCATCTCGCTCAACATATTCTGTTTCTCGCCGTGAGGAGGACGTGATGGCGCGGACAACTCTGGAGACCAAATCCCCTTGGGTGCCCGCACCGTCGACGGAGAGTGTGGCAAATACCCCTCGACTATCTTCTGAGTTCAAGACACGGAAGAGCCCATCTGCGACTCGTAGGAACGGCGAAGAGTCGCGGCCTGCATCAGATGTCACCCAGATTATCTTGTGGCAGATAGAAGCCAGCTTTTGAAGTCTCTGGAAAATCGTTGAATCCATGTCGGCCAGGACCGGCCCATCCAGCTCCAAAAGAACAATACACACCAGATCGCTGGGAGGGGAATCTGGGATGTCTTGATTAATGTGCCATTCATCCACACTGCTGGATACATCTCCCAATAGTTGATGCAAATCCACAGAAAGTGCCCTTTGAGCATCTCCGGTTGGGTCCAAAAGTAGTGATATGGGAGAGTACTCAGTAGCCTCAACTGCGTCGATTTCATCGACAGCGCTGGACATGATGACACTTAATTCGTGTGAGGCCGTATCATCATGGTCGCAGAAGACGAACTCAGACCCAGAGAATCCAGATTGCCGTAGGGCCTCATCCCAATGGCTCTCATTGATGCAGTTTCCGTTCTGTCTGTACGACTCCGTGTCTTGAGGCCATAAGTCAGAGAAAGTTCTTACTCCAAATAGGGGAAATGCCTTACGTATCCACCATCGCTGGTTCAGACCATGAATAAAGCCACTGCGGACCGAGGTCGGATTAACCATGTCGATGATGGCAATCTTCCCCTGACTGTCGATCCAATGTATCAGCTTTGAAAAAATGAAATAGAGTTGATCGACATGTAGCATTTGACTTACGGCTTGAGCATTTTGCGGAGCACGTTCAAAGATTTCTCGATCGAAGTGAAGCCATGGAATGCCTATACTGTTAGTATACTCGGTCATATAACGAAAGGGTACACATTATGGTAATCATACCAAACAAACAACAATGAGATCGTAGTCAGCGGTCTCTGCGTCGTATGCGCCTGATAGGGTCTCAATGTCCAGCTCGTTGAATGAAACCCGCGGGCCCCAATTTTCTCTTCGTGCTTCAAGGGCAGCCAATCGGTTGCCATCACTATCTGTGATGTTGAACTGACCAAATCGCGGTGTCGCATTCCCATTTGCACCCTGGCCGGAAAGACTACCCAGAATGAGATCGGAAATAGATGCGATGCCACCATCAATCTCGAGTATCTTCATGGCGGGATTTTTGTGGCCAAAGGAATCGAGATAGGATTTCCAGCGCTGAATCCCCGGGGAGTTCTCGAACTGATGGAATATGAGTACCGAACTGGACAAGGTGGTGCCATCAACTTACCACTTCTTGATATGACGAGCGTAGGAGATCCTGGTTCACGACTCCAGACCAGGGTTTCTCCGGATTGTTCTGTATGTGACGCAGGAGAGCCTTTCCGACATTGACAAACAGCTTTCCCTGCTCACTGGCCCTCTCGATAGAGCCACAAAGCTTCTCAAACGTGGCATCATCCTGAATCTGGGATTGCCAGTAGGTGGAGCTGAATGGTGACTCTCCCGCCATTGTCTTCTGGATCTGTTGTTTCAGCCATTCCACGTATGCCTGACCCTCTGCTTGCGTAAATGGCCTTTCACCCTTCTTCTCAACTGCCTTGAGGGCACGTGAGATGAAACCTCCAATCATCAAGTCCACCTTCATATGATCAAAAGCCAGTCCAGTTGTACCGGGAATACTCTCTTTGAAAAACTTCACGATTTCATCCCCGCTCAACAGTGTCAAATCAGGCTTCCACTCAATTTGGAGACATTTCGACTTCTCAGACGCGCTGTTGGGGTCATCGCCGCCCTGCTGTGAGTCGATCACAGTAAAGGTGACACCCTCCATGGAGATGAGAACATCTTGGGCATTGTGATTGACTGCTGCCAGGCCAAATTTCGATTCTTGCCGTCCCTCATGGTGGAGCTGGGTTGAAACTTTGAAAGACGAGGTAGATGGGCTACAAAGTCCGGTGTTTGCCACCCACGCACGGTCAATTCGAGTAGGAATTGCAGGCGCGATCTTCTTTTGGCCGCCCTGTGAGCGCAGCACTTGGGTACTTTGCATGAGTCCGTCTAATGTTGTTGGGTGGATGGTGTATCTCTCACTCCAATTTTCGGGAGTTTCCGGCTTGTATGTTTGGATCTCAGTCACCAAGTCGGTCTTTTGATCAGTCGCCATGGCTGTGATACATTTGAAGGCAGGTCCAAATTGGAAGTTGGCGGATTTGAGACTTCCGTAGGAAACCTCAGGGTCGAGCAGAGTGGTTGATCGCTCACTCATTTCGTGAAATTGAGCTATGATCTGACTCTGTCCCATTGGGCCAGTATCTTCTCCATCCTTCTCAATCACCGCTTGAATGAGTCCCATGCTGTGTTTGTTCCATGTTCCCTTGTTTGAGAAGAGAGTGAACTCGTACCACCCTCCACTTTCTGGCCCGTCATCTCGCTGTGGTCGCATGGAGAACCGAGTATCCAGACTAGGAGCTCCTGATGGTATGACCAAAGCGGAGATGAATTGTACGTTCTTGAAGTTAAACCCACTGATGGTAAGACCGGGCTCCGTCAGTTGTTTGACCGCCTCAATGGCCATGCTGAGCATGCTGGCGCCTGGTAGAATAACAGTGTTGCTGATCTGTTCAATGTCAATAATTAGAGACAGAACCCGTAAAAGTGATGGAAATAGCATGTGGCACGTACCTGGTGGTCTCTGACCCAAATCGGATCGGAAGGCTGAAGAATATTTGTCCAGTTGGGCAACAAGGGATTCCAGTCGTCCTCAGGCCATCCCAGCATCTCGTGTCTTCCAAATCGACGGAAGCGAAATCCTTTACTTATGGGCCCCTCACGCCAATAGGACTTTGTGTGGTTGAAGCAGTATGGTGGAAGATCGGTAAGCGTCTTCGGTTGATACTTAGGGGTCCTTGAAGGTATGTAGTTGACTGCGTTAAGATCAACTGGATATCCCACACAGTGCAAACTCGCCATGGTTTCCAACATGGTCTGTACTCCAGAAGAGTTTCGCGCGAGGGTTGACAAGTATCGGACGTCGCTCTTGCGGCCTGCATCTCGGAGTATGTCGCGACATGGACCGCGCATCGCAGGATGGGGACCGATTTCGATGAAAGTATCCACGACCAAATTTTTTCGATGAGATCCGTCTAGCTTCTTCGTTGGGGGGCCAGACGAACCGCCGCAAAGCTTCTGGAAGGCATCCAGGAATTGGACAGTCGAAAGGAGATTGGTCACCCAGTAGTCAGCCTTTCTCAGCTGCTCCCTTTCCGCCCATCCGCCAGTGACAGAGGAGACCATCTGCGGAAGATCGGCTTCATGACAGCCAAGTGAGTGCTTGAGCTCGTCTCCCACACTTTCTTTGTAGGCGATGGCAACTTCCTCCATTTGGTATGAATGATAGGCCACTGGAATCGGCAACACGCGCACGAAAACACCGTCCTCTTTCAACTTTGCGTGAAGATCATTTATCTGACCACGATCACCGGACAGGGTGACTCCTTTTGGTCCATTGACACATGCCACAGAGATGCGAAGTGGCTGTCCCTTGGTTTCGAGTTTCTCCAGTGTGGATTTGACTTGGTCGGGTGACTGAGCTACAGCCATCATTGCTCCATCTGTAGATGAAGAGGCGGCTAGCTTTGCTGCCCATAGACCACGGAAATAGGCCAGTCGCCACGCGTACTCGCGGGATATGGCGCCAGCGCAATACCTAGTTGTCGATGATGTTAGATCTGGCAAAAGTGCCCTCACTCGGGATAAGGATACTTACGCTGCAGCTATCTCGCCTGAGGAGTGACCAACAACAGCGGCAGGCTTTATTCCAAATGCTGATAGAAGATCAACCAACGCAATCTGGATCGCCGTACACACTGGTTGCGCGAGCATGGGGTCATTGATCGACGACTTGGCTGCATCCTTCTGCAGTTCACCTGTATTTGAACACATTTAGACACATGGTCAACTCCCGGTCCTCACGTAACTCACTCAATAAGTCCCATTCACAGCCAAGATCCTTGAGGTAGATACCTGCCTCAAGCAGGCTATGGCGATACGAGGGATATCTGGCCAGAAGTTCGCGGCCCATTTGAGGCCACTGGGCACCTTGCTGTTTGGGGGTTTAGGTTAGCACATTTGATAATTTGTATTCTTGTGCATATTGCTTACCCCCGAGAACACGAAGGCCATAGTATGGGCTTCTTCGCGTCGAATGGATGGGGCCCAGGCCTTTGAAACACCCGCCAATTTGGTTGTCTCGTCGACAAGGGCATATGTCATCCACGGTAGACGACTACGTCGCTGGTTGAGTGTGTGAACCAGATCATCCAAATGCGTACCCGGGTCCGCTTTGAGGGTTTCCCTGCTCAGGTACCGTTCCCATGGCTCTGCAAAACGAGTGATGCCGTCCTCATCCGCGGACGACCAGGTCAAAATGCGAAGATTGGATGTGGCCGGACTCAGATCTGCCAAGTTATGAATCCTGCTTGTGTTTCCATTGTCACCATTCGTTAGCTCGTCGACATGGGCGCCGTTGGTGTGGGCTCCGTTGGTGTGGGCGCCGTTGGTGTGAGTCCCGTTGGTGTGAGTCCCGTTGGTGTGGGCTCCGTTGGTGTGGGCGCCGTTGACCAAAGGTCGGGTGGGAGTTGGGTCATTATGTTTCACAGTGAGTCCTGCTTGCTCAGCAAAGTGATGGGCATCATCTAAGATGGCATGGCAATTCGTCCCGCCAAACCCGAACGAGTTCACAGATGCTCGTCGCAGCCCGGGAGCCCAAGCAATCGGGTCTGTGACAACCTGTACCCCAACAATATATTAGGTTCTTAACTCCGAGCTGGTTGTGTGGGCTGCATACCTTGAGGTTCAAGTAGTCGAGGTCGATGGCGGGATTGGGTGAGTTGAAGTTCTCGCTGGCGGGGGGAATGATGCCGTTCTCAAGAGACAAAACGACCTTGATGACTCCAGCAATTCCACTGCCACCTTCGAGATGACCAATATTTGTCTTCACCGAGCCTCTGGGAAATTGTCAAATCCGAGTCACTCGTCGCATTTGCTGATGATCCAAGACACTTACAAGTATAGCGGGTCTTCCGACGACCGGTGAGGTCTGAAGAGAGCACCAATAGCCCTTGTTTCGATGGGGTCTCCTGTTTTGGTACCGGTTCCATGAGCCTCGAAATACCTGGTGACAGCGGTATCTAAGTTGGCTTCTCGGTAGGAATCCTCGATGAGGGTGAGTTGGGCATCTCGACTAGGGTGCGTGATACCCGGCGTCCATCCATCCTGGTTTGATCGAGTGGCGCGAATGACCGCACGAATGGTATCACCGTCGCGAATTGCATCTTCCACCGGTTTGATGATGAGAGCTCCCACACCCTCTCCACGCCCATATCCGTTCGCCCGCTCATCGAAGGTGAAGCATCGGTTGTCATCCGAGAGCACTCCGAGGTTGTCCATTGCGTTGGTGAACTCACGAGCGAACATGAGATTTGCTCCAACAACAAAACCCTGCATAATATTTGTCAATATGCTTTAGACCTGACTGGAGTAAGATTTGTCCACTTACTGCTGTTGACACCCCACTCCAGATCGACTGACATGCCATGTCCAATGCCACCAGACCACTTGAGCAAGCAGTGTCGACATTGACACTCGGTCCCTTGAGGTTATAGAACCAACTGACCCGGTTCGCAATCATGTTCATTGCTTGGCCATACGCAGAATATTTACCACCTCTTTGGGGGTCCTTGGAATATAATGTTGCGTAATCATTTGCCGAGCACCCCGTGAAGACGCATGTCTGACTGCCTGAGATTTTCTCCATGGGAATTCCTGCATTCTCGAGTGCTTGGTAGGCTGTTTCAAGAATGATGCGTTGTTGGGGATCCATTCCCTCTGCTTCCGCGGCAGGGAGAGAGAAGAAAGGTGCATCAAAAGCACCCAAGTCCCCGGAAATGAAGTGGCCTCCCTTCACACCAAGACTGTCCATGCGAGTGCTATCGGGGTGGTGGTGTCCCTCGAGGTTCAAACGATCAGGAGGGAACTGTGTCGAGGCGCATCGTCTCTCTATCAACATGTCCCAGAACTCGTCTGAAGAGGTGATATCACCTGGGTATCGCATACCCATCCCCACAATAGCCAAAGGCCGATTGTGTGATTCTCCGGTTGAGTCATTTGCGGGAGCCATTTTGATTTTTGAGTGGAAAAGTGGTCTCAAGTGAAAGTAAGAGATGGGAATGGTGTGAAGAGCCCATGGGGGTATCCAAGGACGTCTGCTTTATAGAGCTTCCTGCCCTACTCTCTCGGTCTAGATTGTCGATCCAGAATGATTTCCACACTATCGACTCACCTTCCTGTGGCGAAGAAAATCAGCGGTCAAGTCCTGCTCGCTATTATTTGTCGGCGATTCACGACGTGTGACCATGAACTTGATTTCACGAAACTTTGCACTGCAGCAGTGCTGCATTCCGGATCCCCAATACGAGATCTTCCGAGCGATAGAAATCCAAATTGAGCTGGGATTTGCAGAAGATAGGTCTGGATCAAGAACTATCATCGGTAGATCATCACGCTAATTTTCCCATTTGTTGTTGGCTTGACATGATCGATCACCACGCACCTAGATGTGGCGTATTGAGAAATCCACCTCAGCTTCCAAGGCTCCACCAAGGGCACTATGAAAACTCTCACAAGGTTCGAGTCTCTCTTCTCACGGAGACCCTCGTCATCGTACATCAAGCCTCATGGGTCCTAAATGAAGATGGCGGTCTAGATAGAGGTCTTAAAAGCCAGCTCAATCGAAGGGACAAACGAGAAGTCTTGTCACATAGACCTGCTTTTTTACCGCACCCACAACCTACGTAACCAGTTCCTCAATCTGCAAACGATGCGTTTCCTCTGGTAAGAGACTCTTCGCAAAAACAGTGTCCTACCATTGGCTAAGCCTCACAGTCTGCACGGAGTTGGAACCAGTTCCAAGGTAAGAAACTCCTTTCGGTGAACTGGTGAGTAATCTTCGAAATCGATTTCGCTGACCATTGTGAAGGTTCTCGAAATACAAACAGGTTTGCTATACAGTGTCTGGTCATATCATTATGTGCTAAATCATGTTCCCCAGCTCCTTTGCGTTATGAAGTTGGTGACGGCCACACCTACGACTTCGTGGAAGGCATATTCCCCTACGAGTTGGCACCGGGTAAGTTCAGTCTTGAGCAGCTATCATACTTTATTTCTGACCGTACTCCAGAGATACGAGACATTGTTCCGGCCGACGATCAGGGATTCTCGTACTTTGATCCGGATTCGGTCCCTGCTTCACTTCAAGCAGTGAAAGATCTGGAGCATTTTATTGAGAGGGAAGGACCTTACGATGGCGTTCTGGCATTTAGCCAGGGTATGATGCTTGCTTGCACGCTTCTGATGCGTAAAATGCAGGAAAACAAAGCCCTGCCATTCAAATGCGCCATCTTCTTCTCCCCTCGCATGGCCCCACTTGTTCACGAGGATCTCTGCAGAGGAATCTTTACCGAGATCGACCCACAAGATCTACGCGAAAAGATTGACATCCCGACCACGCTGGTCTGGGGATCGGCCGACCCATTTGCAACAAAAGCCGTGGAGCTACAGCAACTCTTCCTGCCTGGATGTCTCTCGACCGTTGTTCATGAGGGTGGCCATGAAGTACCGGGCTATGCTTTCAAAAGCGCATTGGCGCAAACAGTGAAAGTTATTCGGAGGACGACTGATCAGGCTGGCCGAGCCAGGTCCGCTTGAGGATGCAAGGATCCAACTATTTGCTGTATGTTTGACCTGGGCTAGGATATTTAAATCGAAAATATTATAGCGGAAATTTTACAGCCACGTCTCGATGGGGCATTGCCAACATGTTAGTTTTCTTGAGGACACAGATAGCGTGAATGATCTGATCGGTCTTACTCCGTAGACCCGCCCGGGTGGAAACTCCTCACTAGCGCACCTGCGCATGCACCGCAGATCAAGTTACGGAGTAGACATGCCGATCCTTGCAGGGCCCAAAGTACTATCACCCTAAGCAGAGTTCATAAAAAGCAATTTTGGTGGCTGACAAACTCTACATAGTGGAATTGCGTTCATCAATCTTGCGGTGTAGCTATGGGAAAGCTCTGGAGAGGTTTATTCCCGACCTTGGAGGGTCTCTGACTTGATGATTTAAAGCCCCAGATCCAGGGATACTGGGATTCAATGCGCTGTCCTATTCTTTCCAACAGTTCACTTTCACTTTCCAGATGGTTGGCAAAGTGTCCTCTCTGGACAAGCTCTTTGGTCCCAAGCCGCTGTCACCTCTCATCCTCGATCATGAATATGCCGGTTCTGGAACCATTGAAAGCCCATATCTGGTCAATTGGTTAGTTGACGATGAGGAAAATCCTATGAACCGTGGACAGGTCTCAAAATGGTCTCTCAACCTCCTTTGTGCACTCTCTGCCTTCATAATCGCACTAGCGTCATCTGCCTACTCCGGCGGGCTGGTGGAAGTTATATCAGCCTTTGCCATATCGAAAGAGGTTGCTCTGCTAGGAGTGTCCTTGTACGTGATCGGCTTCGCCATCGGCCCCCTTTTATGGGCACCGCTTAGTGAGAACTACGGACGTCGACCCGTCTTCGTTATAAGCGGTGCCCTGCTCAGCATCATTCTTGCCGGCACCGCTGGAGCACACAATATTGAGACTCTTCTTGTTCTCCGGTTCCTGGCTGGCACTCTGGGGTCAGCACCCTTGATCATAGCAGCAGGGGTGATTGCCGACGTCTTCCCTCCCCTTCAACGTGGCTTGGCACTTGGAATCTATGTTGTTGCTCCTTTCCTGGGGCCATCGGTTGGCCCCATTGTCGGCGGTTTCATAGTAGAAGCCGGAGGATGGCGCTGGGTGCAGGGATTCCTCGCCTTACTTGCAGCCGCACAGTGGCTGTTAACACTGGCACTTCTCCCTGAGACATACGGCCCTGTTCTATTGAGACGGCGCGCTGAAGCCCTTTCCAAGGTCAACGGCCATACATATCGCAGCGCGCTCGATATCAACAAAATTTCTATCAAACTGACGGTGGCTCTTGCTCGACCTTGGGTTCTCCTCTTCCGTGAGCCTATCGTCCTGCTGATCACAATGTACATGTCTATCATCTATGGGACCTTGTATATGCTTTTTGCCGCCTATCCTATTGTGTTCCAGCTGACGCGTGGCTGGGGCGAGGGCATTGGCGGGTTAAGTTTCCTCGGTGTCATGGTAGGAATCCTGGCTTCTGTACCTCACATGTTCTTTGGGCATGTTCGATACAGCAAGTTGGTTTCCAAAGCTACGAGCCGTCTGCCCCCCGAGGCACGTCTTCCTGATTGCTTCCTGGCTTGTATTGCCCTTCCCATTGGTCTATTTTGGTTTGCTTGGACCAATTCACCGAGTGTGCATTGGATTGTCCCTATCCTTTCAGGCGTGCCATTTGGGTATGGCTGCACCATGCTTTTCCTTCCTTGCTTGAACTACTTGGTCGACTCGTACACTATCTATGCTGCCTCGGTGCTTGCTGCAAATTCTGCCATGCGTTCAATCTTTGGTGCGGCATTTCCACTCTTCACTGGCAAAATGTACGAGAATTTGGGACTTCATTGGGCAGCATCTGTTCCCGCTTTCCTCGCGTTGGCTTGTGTTCCCATTCCATATTTGTTTTACGTTTACGGTGCTAGAATCCGCCGAAAGTGTCATTATGCTGCCGAGGCAGATGATTTCATGAACCGGATGTTGGGAATAACCTCAAGTCCGCCCTCTGGAGACACCGAAAATGTCTCTAGCGACGTGGAAAAATGAGTGCTTCGCTTCGCGGTGGAAGGCGCGTTTTCAACCTTGGGGGCGTTTCTCCAGTGCTTCTTAGGCTACTATGTAGCCTCACACATCTTGGCTTCGTCATACTTGGTACCTGGTGTATTTCACTTTCTAGGAAATTCCATTTTCGCATGGAAATCCTTTGGTGCGCATACAGCAGCACAGCCTACAGCTGTATCTCCTCTAGGCCTTAATCGACCTATTCAATTCGAATTATCCATCAACTTCCAAGGAGAATAAGACTAAGTGCAGTAGCAGAGTTGCGTCTGCTCGACTAGACATGAGACGCATCATGTGCCTGCACGATGTAGAGCGATCTCGGGACTATCTGCACTCACCTGGGCATCCACCTGCCTAGGTAGCATGCATGCCCAGGTGCAAAACAGGGAACTTGGAACTACCCACTCCTTGAGATTCCCCACCATGGCATTGTAAGAGTTACAGCCTTGGAAAGCAGCCCCATTATCACCCTCAGGGTTATACTACGTGTCATCCCCCCCAAGGTCCTCCCGAGTCAGTCTACACCAGACCGCTATCTCATTTCTCCACTGGCCTCTGCATATTGTATCGACCATGCGACAGGAAGAATTACGACCAAACTTCCAACTTTCGCGTGGTAAATGATTATAGATTTTGACATTGACATATGCTCAGGTGCACTTAGCACAAGCCCCTTAAGATTGTTCTGTCATGATCCGCATATGCTTAGGCATCAATTGTCGGGCTCAAAATTGATCAGACATCTTGTCGGGGCACGCGGATCCTGATGTCCAGTGATATATAATCCACCGATGGAGAATCCAGAACCAATTCACTCCTAAGTTTCTTGTTTTATTTATCGTAAGATAATTCGCAAAAGAAGACCTGTACGTGAAATTTTCTAAAAAAAATTCCAACCTTGGAACTTTACTACCTAGTACTGCCCAGAAAATAGTCCAAGTATCAAAATATGAGTGGTCTTTTCCCGCGCGTTTTGTTGATGTCTGCCCAGGTGCCAAACCTTGGAATAGATCTTCCAATTTTCCAAGATTAATTACAATTGCAATATGCCCAGATGCAATCTACCTAACCTTGGAAGTCCTTAGAATTCAGCCTCCAGGCTTCAACCTTCTGCTCGATCACGGGTGCTTGGTGATGGGCTGTGGGCCTGCGATCGGGGCAGACGTTCGTACGTTCGGAAGTAAAGCCACGGTTCCAAGTTTTTCAAGACTCAAGAATGTGTTCATCATTTCATATATGTAGAGATCATGTATATCTGGTTATAGGGAACGCCAAAGAAACACCAAAATATGCATCCCAAATCCGTAATGCAGGTGATACCAAAAAAATGAAAGGCTCTACCACTTGTTGTTGAAAACCTTGCCGTCAATGTAGTTGACCAATTCCTTAACCGGGGCAAGGTGATCACGACCAGCGCCGAAGTTCATACCCTGGCGCAGAACATTGCGATAGTTCTTGCCTGGCGACACCTTACCAAGAACGTATTCTTGGCGCGTCTCAACACGAGTGGGGACAGGGATGGATCGACCAACCACGGCCTCCATACCCTGCCAAGCAAATGTAATGGCCTCCTTAGCGCCACCAGGGATACCAGCCTCGTCCAGCATCATGATTCGGGTGTTGGGGTAGTTCTTTTGGATGAAGGCCGCGATGTTGGGGTTGTAGGCGCCGCCGCCGCACATGAAGATCTCGGCGATCTCGAGGCCCTTGGGCGCGTAGCGGCGGTAGTGGTCGACGATAGCCTGGGAAGTCACGCGGGTGATGGTCGCAACGACGTCGTCGGGGGTGAGACCCTTTGCTTCGGCTTTAACGATGAAGTCGTGGGCGATGGTGTCGCGGAAGACTTCACGGCCGGTGGTCTTGGGGGGCTCCAGGGCGAAGTAGGGGTGGGTCAGGAAGTCGTCGACGAGTTCCTGGTCGACGGTACCGCGGGCGCCCATCTCGCCATCTTGGTCGTATTCGCGTTCGCCGTTGGTGTAGTGGCGGACGACGGCATCGATGAAGACATTTCCGGGGCCGGTGTCGAAGTCGTAGCATTCGTCGACTCCGCCGTGGCTATCCGGCAGGACGAAGCAGACATTGGCGATTCCGCCGATGTTCTGGCATGCACGGAGCTTAGTGGGGTGGTGCAGGACCAGTGCGTCGAAGAAGGCAATGAGGGGTGCACCCTGGCGACCAGCGGCTTGGTCACTAACGCGGAAATCTGTAACCGAGGTGATGCCTGTGCGCGAGGCTAGGAATGTCCCCTCCGCCATCGTCAGAGCGCTGCGGGTCTCACCCGCCTCGGGCATCGAGAGCAGCCAGATGGTTTGGCCATGGGATCCGAGGACGTCGATCGTCTTGATGTCTACCTTGTAGTCCTCGCAGAACTTGTGCACGGCTGAGGCGAAGGTCTCACCCAGGATCACATTGACTTCGGACAGCTCAGACGGGGAGGTCTTATTATGCAGGATCATGTTCATCACCCGCTTCTTGATCACGGGCTCCAATGGGATTTCGCCATACTACATTGGTCAATATGCATTACATTTGGCGTTCAACGTGTCGGAAGCACTTACCTTGAGGAGTTCGAAGTGCATCGGCGATTCCGGGGTCTCCTGGCGGAAACGACAGAGGGCACAGTCAATGCCATCCTGGAAATGAGTTAGATTTGATGTTCCAATATGGTTGAGGGGGCCATGAACGGCCTTCGTCGCAGTTCAGACTTACCATCGACGTTCCACTGTTCAACCCTAACACCGTAATGTCCAAGGCATCGCCAGTAACATTGCCCGCGTAAGAACCCATATTGAAGATAGTCAGACTATACAGTAAAGATGAAACAGAGAAAGAAGAAGAAAAAACTTCGGGTCCCCGGTCTATATTTAACAGGGAATCGGTCCAGAGCACAGCCGATAGCCTTGATCTAGTGGATCCCAATAATTGCGCTTCGACATTCTGATCTCTGATATCTTTAGCCTGTATGGGACGCCAGAAGGGATGATCGGCTAAACGCCTATTATTCGCCTTTAGAAAATTCTGAATGCTAAATGGCTACACGGCTGACCCTTGTGGCTAATTCCCCCCCGCGTGAACTGCAGCTCCATCTCACCTGAGCCGTGGCCAATACAGATTCTTCACAACTGCCGGGGGCGGGACCCATAACCAGGATCTTGTCTGTGTCGCTTCATTTACTCCAAATCTGGGGATCTCAGCATGGGTTACACCACTCTATGGAAGCGGCTGTCGCCTCGTCAGCTCAATGTCGCCATTCAGATTTTTTCGCTGGTCTCCATCTTCTTCGAGGGGTATGATCAGGGTGTGATGGGAGGCGTGAACAGCGCGCCCACCTATGTGACGGAGGTCGGCATTGGCAAGGCAGATGGCACAGTGACAGACACCACCCATCAGGGTGGAATTGTCAGTGTTTATTACCTGGGTGCGATCTTCGGTTGCTTTGCCGGCGGATGGCTTGCAGATCGCGTTGGTCGGATCAACGGTTTGCTGGCAGGGTCTCTGTTCGCCCTGGTTGGTGGCGCGCTGCAAGCGGCAGCGCAAAATTCCAATTTCATGCTCTGTGCTCGTGTGCTCACCGGTATTGGTACCGGAGGTAATAACACCCCAACTAGCTCTGCCTTAGCTTGGTCAAAAGCACCTTTCTGACTCCTCTCATAGCTTTAACGGGAATCACCCCAGTGCTAGTGTCGGAGACCTCCTCTGCAAATCACCGCGGCGGGTTTTTGGGTTATGTGTTCATCGCAAATTGTGAGCAATCCATTCGTGTGTCCACTGTGGACTGTGCTGTGAGACTGTGGGGGCTAGTGCTGACAATCGTCATCGTGAAGATCTAGGAATCGCCGTCGCGTATTGGATCTCCTTCGGCCTCGCTTTCGTGAATAATGGATACTCGGACGTGCGATGGCGGTTTTTGTTAGCGTTCCAGTGCTTCCCGGCCCTCATCTTGGTGGCCTTCATCAAGATGTTGCCGGACAGCCCCCGCTATTTGGCGTCGGTGGGGCGCAATGAGGAAGCCCGCGACCTTTTGAATCGAATTCGGAAACATCGCGTTTCGCAGGATGAAATCGACCGGGAATACCTCGAGATCATCGCCACGGCCCAAGGTAGCAAGCCTAGCTCGCCCCTGGAATTTGTGAAGATTTTGGTTGGTAAGGGCGGCAAGCCAGGTTTAAATCTGGGCCGACGGGCATGGCTCTGCGTTTGGCTGCAGATTATGGCGTCGTGGACGGGTATCACGGTAGGTTGGGCATTCGCTGGGAGGTGTTCGTTACTGACTGAAGTGTAGGCCGTCACTGCCTACTCCCCCACCCTGCTCGCCCAAGCCGGATACAGCGACATCAAGCAAAACGGTCTGGCCGGAGGAATTAATACGATCGGAATCATCGGTACTATCATCAGCGCTCAGATCATCGATCGCCTGGGTCGACGTGTTTGTTTGATGGGCGGTGCGGCGGTGTTGTTTGCGGTCAACCTGATTGTAAGCAACGGCCCGCAGAACTTGCCAATTGACATGCTGACTCTTCTTAGGCTGGCGCCGTCTACGAGGGCTCTCGCAAAAACCCGGAGAAAGCGGCTCAGTATGCTCCTGGTGCCGTGCTGATGCTATTTTTGTTTAACTTGGGGTAGGTGGTCTGAGGTTGCTAGCTATTTCCCCACTGACCTTGACCAGATACGCTGCCACTTGGGGTACTGTCGCCTTCCTTGTCCCCACTGAGATCTTCCCCAGTGATCTGCGAGCCCAGGGCAATGGGTTTGGCATCACTGGGTGGGCCATTGGTGTGGGTATGACCACCTTGGTGAACCCTATCATGTTCAATGTCATGGAGGTAAGGATCGTCCCCCTGTGTGCTGTTCCTACCATACTAATCCACTCCATAGAGTCGCACCTACTTCCTCTTTGCCGGACTGAACCTCATCTGGGTTCCCATCGTCTATCTCTGTGAGCTCCCCCTCCACCTGGTCCTCTCTACGCATCCGCTAACCTTCATCTTCCTAGTCTACCCCGAAACCCGAAACCGCTCCCTCGAGTCCATCGACGCCCTGTTCTCCGTCTCCAGTCCGTTCTACTGGAAGATGGAGCAAGCCTACAGGGAACATGGCGACGTCCTCGCCGAGCACGGAATCGACCAGGAACAAGCTCTTCGCGAGGTCAAGACCTCCACTTCCACCGCCGTCACCGATGTTTAGAGCATCGAGTCACATACCTCGAGACCCGAGGACTCATATAATTTTGGTTGTAATATTTAGTATCGCAGATGTATAGGATCGTGTATAAGATCATGGAATAGGATATAGAGGAATATATTGTTCATCCGCTCTCAGTGGAGCACTGAGCCATCGTATTCCAAGCTGCTTGTCAGTTACATCTCCCTATTCGTGTTCTCCATCTCGTATTCATGATCGCCCGCTTCCCCACTGCATTCGAGGCGTAGCTGAGTCAGCACTTCCAAATGCAACCTTAATGTCGACTTTTTGCGACCTCCAAACTCGATCTGTTCAATGGATTGCGCATCGTCCAAGAGCTTCGCTGTCTGAGCTCGTTTTTTCCTATCTCTTGGCCTGCTTGTTCCCGGTCAATCCCTCGGCAGGATCTCCAGACGCGTGCCCCGTCTCCAGACCCCAACCCCGTTTTCCACCGGCCCGCTGAACCTCATCCCGCAGCGGGCTGTTCCTCCCCCTCGATCTTTCAGCCTGGTATGGTTTAATGAATTGAATGTCGCAAAAACCCCGAAAGCTCCAACGCGTCTCCAAAGCCTGTAAGTTCCCTACCCCACTCGCGCTTGGCGGCAATTGGCTCCATTGCGACACAGAGCCCGCGGCTCACGCGCATCAGGCGACTTCTGCAACAGGCGCAGCATCAAATGCGGCAGAAGTGAAGACACGCAAGGCAGGTGTCAGAATTGCGCGGATTTTGACGTCCCGTGCACCTTCGATCGCCCCGCAAAGCGTCGGGGCGTCAAGGCTGGCACCAGGGCGCCTCCCCGCGAGACCCCGTTGGTCCAAACCCCCGTCTCCGAGAATGTCCTTCCTGTGCCGCTTGCTGCGCCGGCCACAGGGAGGACTTCCAATTCCTCCGCCTCGAGGAGCTCGTACTACCCCGAGTCGGTCCATCGGCCATCCTTGACGGGAGATCCGTGGTCGTCCTTCCACGCTGGCGGGGTCTCGCCGGAGGCGTATGATGATGACGCCGCGCTGCGCACCTCATGGAACGCATTCGCGATATCGTGTGATCGCCAAATTCGCACTCTCGTCCATGTATATTTCGAGATCGTCTACCCCATGTAAGAACCGGATTTCTTTTCCGCGTCCCGCTCGGCTGATGCCTTTCCAGATTCCCTCTCTTCCACAAACAATCCTTTATCGAAAGGGTGCACAACCAGGAGCATCTCCGGAATCCTGGACTCTTTGCATCAACAATGGCCGTCTGTGCGCTAGTCTCGGGTCGTGCCCGGGATGGGGCTTTGTTCACAACTAGATGGCGTCGCGAGGAGCTTACGGAACCCCCCTCGGAGACATTCTACACGGCAGCGAAAGACTCTATTCCCCGAGACCTGGGGGCGGCAAAGGGTATAAACTACATGCGGGCTTGCGCCATCCTTGCCATCGCCAGTATCCAAAATGGCCAGCCCAAGAACATGCAGAAGTTTTCGGGTATGTATCATACGCTTACTACGATGGAGGGACTGCATGATGAAAAGCTGTGGCCGAAACATCTAAATCCAATTGAAATTGAAGAGCGACGGCGACTGGTATGCCCCTATACTCCCTTGAGTGATCCTTATCAGCTGGCTGATACGCGCCCAGTTTTGGTCGATTTATACATTAGACATATATTCCACCATTGTGTGGGGAGGTGTGATTCGATATCGCGAAGCACATTCTCTAGTACGATATCCCAGCGAGGTTGACGACGAGTACATCACACCCCACGGCTACGGACTTCCGCCTGTTTCCCCAGCGTCGAGTGTGCTCAGCCCCGGCGATGTGACTAAAGTTTCGAATGAACCTGTTGCATGGCTTCGAGGGTGGAATTTCACCACGGATCTCTATCGCATACTTGAGCACGTTGTCGATGGGAATAAACGTCGGTACTCATCGGCCAATGGCACCTCACAGGTGTGGTCTCTGTTCACTCCAGCTTCTATGTCAGAGCCGGCAGTGATGGAACGAGTACTCTCTATGTATGCTGCATTGCCCCTGCAGTTTAAGGAGACCCCGCCTACCACCGGTGACATGGCCAAGGATCTGTTCGGATTCCAATCCGCCAATATTCAGGCAACATTACAACTCCTCCGCATGATGCTGTTGTCAGCAGAAGAACTCGGAGTGGACCGCAAGTGCGACGTGGCTCGAGAATTGCTCAGTGTTTTTAGTAACGTGCCGGTGGAGTATTTGAAGGCCATTAGTTCCCCTCTGGTATGTGACTGATCGAGTACATTTACAGAGCCTGCACTAACCATTGCCAGCTTCATCACCTTGGCGGAATTGGTTATATCCTCGGCTCTGTCATGGAAGGAAGCTTATCAGAAGCATCTTACCAACGCGTTCGCACATTACTGTGAGCTTACCATCCCTCCCCCTCCTATCCACCCACTAACATCACCAGTCTCGAAATGGCCGACCTCCTGGGCCGCCTTGAAACAGGGCTCCAGCGAGCCTCGGGCGCCAGCGAACGTCTCCGTTCCCAAGTCGACCGAATAGACGGGTACATCCGAACATCCCGACTCTTGAATCTCGCCGCCGATCGATCCCATCCGTACCCCAATACCGCGCCCGTCGACGCTAAGCCCGAAATCCGCATGCCGCCCGCGACCACCTATATCCCTCCCAGTGGTCCTCCGAGCGGTCTGCACAGTGGGCCGAGTCCAGTTGTGGGGCCTCCAGTCGGTGAGCAGATCATGCAGTTCCAGTTACCGCCGGAGTTGCTGTCGGATTGGCCGTGGCCTTTGGACGGGGCTCATCCGGAGGGATTTTTGCCATTGGCGTATGAATAAATATGATATTGGTGTTGGAGGCGGCCTCCTTTTTGCAATAGAGTAGAAAAGCATTTTTGTCTATACTCATCTCAATAGTTAATTTGACATTACGGGCTTCCAGGGTGGCGGTTTGTGACTTTATTGGTTGGGTCGCATTTGCTTTGAAGTATAAATCGAAGGTCCAGTCATTTGCAAGGGAAATGTATATCCTGTCCGGGCCGGTTGAGCGACTTCCTGGGGTCCACGGGTATTGTACACCAAGTGTAGGCAAGTGTTCCCCGAGCATAGCCTCCAGAGCTTAAAACTCGAATCTCCCTCAACGATGCCCGTCATGACTCCAATGTTTCATTGCGGTCTAAGATCCGAGGCATCCAAAATGCGGGGTAGACCTTTCCACTTAGGGTTAACTTGACTACGATCGTTGAATTACGAGACAATGAGCAGAGTATCATTGACCAGCATAGTATTCAAGAGTAAACTGTCATGGAAACACATATGTAGTTATCAAGATCATTTGATATTCGGCCAACTTCCGCAGACTGAGCTCACCAATCACACGCCAGTCGAGCAGGAATCTCTTATCACTACAGCCCTAATTCTGACTTCCCCCGGCCGTTTGAGAGGCCAACTGCAATAAGCTTATCACTTGGCAACCTTAGCATCGCCATCTCTTCCCCCTTTCAGACCACCCCCTCGAGCCCCCTGTCTGTCTCTGCACTATCCATGGATGTACATTGAGTTATCCCATATGCATCACCGGCCCGTATCTCTGGCATGTCACTCGCATCGACTTTGAGGTCCATGCATGCCATCTCTCCGCACCGGGAAAGTCTATATCAATGCGTACTTAAGAGACGATCGCCCCCCGCTTGGGTCGAGGTGGTATCGGTCTAGTGTTTCGTCATGGAGAAGAAAGAATCAACAGTTTCTCACCCAAAGGAGGATACCAGTCAGGGAGATGTGTTGCCTTATCGAGAGACACAGCGTGGTCTGGCTTCCAGACATGTACAGTTGATGGCTATTGGAGGTTCGATCGGGACGGGGTTGTTCGTCGGCATTGGATCCTACCTGCGTGATGCAGGCCCGCTCTCTCTTTTCCTGGGGTATCTTGTCTGGGGATGTCTTTTCATCTTACCCGTTAATCTGTGCGTCGGAGAAATGGCCGCGTATCTTCCTATTCGTGGATCGATCTTCGAGCTTGCTGCCCGGTTTATCGATCCGGCTTTTGGTTTTGCTATGTGAGTTTGGGATTTTCTACACGGCTGCGGTTGGTCACTGACAGTTTTAGGGGCTGGGTATACTTCTACGGTGGTGTAATGCTTGTCTGTACAGAGTACTCTGCCGTTGCGACTGTCATGGGATACTGGGATATCGGGGTCAATCCCGCCGTTTGGGTAGCCATGGCGCTGATAGTGTGCACTGTGCTCAATCTCGTGGCTGTCAAGTGGTACGGCGAGAGTGAGTTCATCATGGCATCGACCAAAATTTTCCTCCTCATCGGACTCGTCCTCTTAACATTCATCACGATGGTTGGCGGAAACCCCCGACACGACGTCTACGGCTTTCGAAACTGGACTGACGGCGTCATGTTCGAGTACTATACCGATGGCGACACGGGTCGATTCTTGGGATTCTTCAGTGTGATGGTGTATGCTGCGTTTTCCGTGGCTGGACCAGATCTCCCAGCACTGGCAGCGGGAGAGATTCAAAACCCACGCGTTACCATTCCGCGCGTCGTGAAAATGACATTCTGGCGCATTGTGGGATTCTACGTCGTTGGTGTCCTCGCCGTCGGCATCATCTGCAACCCTCGTGATCCCCGCCTCATGTCCGCTATCACCGATGGCGCATCTGGATCGGCTGCGTCGCCTTGGGTAATTGGCATCCAAAACCTGGGTATTACCGGCCTTCCGGATCTCATTAACGTGCTCATCCTGCTTTCTGGATGGTCCTGTGGAAATGCATACCTCTACAGCTCTAGCAGAACACTTTACTCTCTTGCTCGTGATGGTCAAGCACCCAAGTTCCTCCTGAAGTGTACTGCTTCGGGCATTCCTATCAACTGTGTTCTTACGGTCTCGGTCCTGTCATGCATCACCTTCCTTGTGGCTAGCACTTCTTCCGTTGAAGTCTTCTACTGGTTCGTCGACTTGACCACCATTGCCTTTGTTCTCACATATACCGGCATGCTCTGTGTCTTCATTGCCTGGTACCGCGCCATGAAGGCGCAAGGAATCGACAGAAAGACATTCGTGCCCTGGGCTGCACCTTTCCAGCCATACGGTGCCATCCTCGCCGTTGGCATTGGCTGTCTGACAGCCTTGTTCAACGGGTTCTCTGTCTTCAAGCCCTTTACCGTACAAGGCTTTATCACATCCTATTTCGGTCTGGCATTCTGGTTCGTCATGTTCGTCTTCTGGAAGGTCTACCACCGGTCTTCATTCGTGTCTGTCATCAATGCGGATCTGCACTCTGGAAAGGCAGAGGTGGACGAAGAATGCAAGATATGGGAGGAAGGGGGTTATGAGGAGCGCCGGAAGGCGGAACTGGCCCAGATGAATTGGGTACATCGGGCATGGGAGAAGATGTGGTGACCATTGTACATAGTGAATATTTAGTCCACAAAGACGGCTCTATTACTAAATTCAAGCGACAATCATATAAATCCATACCTACCAAAAGTGCCAAGATGGCCTTATCAATGAAGTGCATGCATGCAACGCATGCTAATTCTTGGCTGCTAGGTAGACGCAGCTTGACCTCGGAGGTGCGACTCGTGAGCATTGGGACCTCACGCTCATCGATGAATGAGATATATCGAATTGGAATTCATTTTGGTCGTCTTCCAAGTTGCAGCTTATTCCAAGGTTTGTTTGGGGTTCTGCTTAAATCTCAATATGGTGAGACTTCGTTGGGTATACTTCGGCAACCTGCAGAAAATGTGAGTCTTCGCCTTTTTGTTCAACCGATACGCAAAACTTGCGACATCCAAACTTTTGTATCCTTTAATTCTCTGTCCCGTGCTCTCCTGTGGCTATTTGCTTACCTAGGTATGGCGGCCTGGTTAGTCTTATATTTCTTGATCTCTAATGCTGGCTGGTTTTAGAGTGTGGAGCTTACTTTCCGTTTCCAAAGATATATATACAATTGAGCCAAAAATCCGCGGAAGAGTTGAACGACAGGAGCCTCTGCATTTTGGAGAGGTGAACTAACAAAAGCTCACCCAGAGATACAGAGAAGAGCAGGGGCAGGAGGTATCCTTGCACTGGGCAAAGTAAAAAGGAGGACCCTACGGAGTAGAGGGAATGGCATTGAAAGCCACCGAATCTCAATCGACACCATTCCCGACCTTCAGAGACACCATGTTGGGAATGGAACCATAAAGGGTTATCTTGCGTACCCTTTATTCTATTCCTTGTCTTTAGATCCCCCAGTAACTCCCAAGGTTTGATATATCACTTGCAAAGTTATATGATGGTTGCTCAGGTGCTCGCACGAGAGTATGCCGACAGAAGTCAAACATTGAATCCATCTGGTCAAGACCTGGATGAAGAACTTCTATCCGAGGAATACAAGTTCATAAACGCCTATTTACAGTGCATTTGAGAAACTAACATCACCAACCTTGGAAAGATGGAAGTACAAGAATAACGCGCTGTGATTGGTCAGAGCGTGGTTAGGGGTGGGAACTTCGACTGCTGAAAAGTTGCCCGTTGCAGTTCCTCAACAACACAGCATCATGTCCATGTCCAACTCCGCCTGGCGAGCTTTGCACTACAGTGCAAAGCGTCGCGTGTTCCAGCCCACCGCATACCGCTGCTTCTCCTGCGCCACCCGCGTCCAGAACAAGCCCGAGAATGACCGCATGACACACTTCGGATTCACCAATGTCCCCGAGTCAGAGAAGGAGACGCGAGGTAAGCCGAATCCCATCTCAATGGCAATCAATTGGCCCTCTCAGACCCAAACTAATCCCACCCAGTCGGCGCCGTCTTCAGCTCCGTGGCAGCCTCCTACGACCGCATGAACGATCTCATGTCCCTCGGCATCCACCGCCTCTGGAAAGACCACTTCGTCCGATCCCTCAACCCAGGCTCATGTCTGCCCGCCCTGACAGCCGACAAGCCAGGCTGGAACATCCTGGACATCGCCGGCGGGACCGGCGACATTGCGTTCCGCATGCTCGACCACGCCACGCACATCAACCACGACATGGAGACCCGGGTGACAATCAGCGATATCAACGCCGACATGCTGGCCGAGGGCCGCAAGCGCTCCCTCGACACCCCCTACTACAACACCAAGCGATTGGACTTCGTCGAGGCCAACGCCGAACACATGCCGCATATTCCGGATGCGTCCATCGATCTCTACACTGTTGTCTTTGGTATTCGCAATTTCACCGATAAGCAGGCGGCGTTGAACGAGGCATTCCGCGTCCTCAAGCCCGGTGGTGTCTTCGCTTGCATGGAGTTCAGCAAGGTTGATAACCCTGTTTTGGACACGATCTACAAGAACTGGAACTTCAGTGCTATTCCCCTGATCGGACAGGTTGTTGCCGGTGATCGCGATAGCTACCAGTACCTCGTTGAGAGTATTGAGCGCTTTCCCAGCCAGGAGGAGTTTAGAGGTATGATCCAGAAGGCTGGATTTATGATTCCTGGCCAGGGCTATGAGAACCTGACTGGTGGAATTGCTGCCATCCACAAGGGCATCAAGCCCATCTCCAAGGCTTGAGTGGTTGTAGAAGAGAACTTGGAGTCTTGTACTATACTGGGTTGCATATGTACTGATTGTATTACCATAAGAAATATCATTGGCGTTGATTTGCATCGTGTATGGGAGCTGAGATCAAGGATCTAAGACTAAATGTGAAGTAGTTCAAAGGCATAAACAGACATCGCGTGTATGTGGGCATAACATCGTTATCGATTGTATAGTGATACAAAGGATGCGTAACAAAATATTTTCAAGAATGGGGGCAACTCGCTATTCAGTCCGGTTAGCCCCAAAGCTCCTCCGCATCTACCACTCCGATGCAACTGTCGGGATTGGCCAGGTCCTTCACGACGCCAATCACGGCGACTGGACTCTCCTTTCGTAATTCGGATAGGACATATCGGACCTCCGAAAGAGGCGTGGAGTCTGAGACCAGGAGCCAGTTGCTCCGAGGCACGGTGAGGGGATCATTATCATTGGCTGCGAGATCTGACACGCGCATGTCCATGTCTCCGCCTGGAGACAGGAGCGAGCGGACACGGTGAGGAGGAATGATCTCAGACGGGGACAGAAACACCCATGATTTCGCATTGGGGTTCTGAATGGCCGCTAGGAGGATGTCGAGGAGTCGAACCTCACTATTTGAGGCGGGCGACGCAGTGGCAGTTGGGATTGCCTGAAGAGGGACTATCATGTTCTCGGGTATGAGACGTGTCGGCAGAGACTGTGGAGTGAGTGGGGGTATCAACGGAGCATTGTTGATGTCCTCCCACATGAGGGAGACCGAAGATGCCGGCGAGTCATAGGCTCGCGCAGACATACCGCTGGACGGCGTCGCCAGCATAGCCGACGCGGCCCCAATCGCACCGCCAGGATGAAACCCCCGAAAGATCTCCGCCGGGCTTTTGCCCGTGGTCGTGTGAAGCTTCCGGGCTGAGGCGATAGCCAAGGCATCCCCCAGCGACAAGGCCACGGTCGTAGAAGACGTAGGCGCACCAACACCGAAAGAAGACTGTTCGTCTTCATGGATGGGGGCGGGCAACAGAATGCCCATCCCCAACGGCGTATGCAAAGCCAGCAGCGGACATGACGCAGGATCCGTATGAGAACTCAACGCAATGACAGGCACTGTCTGCGGCAAATGCGGCAGCAGAGCCAACAATTCCGGCGAGCGACCCGAAAAGGAAATCAAAAGCACCGTATCATTCTGGAGATGATTAGTCCAAACTCTCGCCTTCGCACCAAAGTACCAAATCCAAGCACGTTGCAGGGGCCGCTTACCGGCCGAACCAATCCCAGATCCCCATGCAAGGCCTCAGTTGGATGCAGGAACGCGCTGTACACGCCCAGACTATTCATCGTTGCCTCGATCTTGCGTCCTACCTTCCCGCTCTTCCCGACGCCGCAGACCACCAGCTTGCCGCCCTCGCGCACGCTCTGCGTGATGCGGTCCACGGCCCGGGCGAGGTCGGCTTGCGCTCGCGCATCGGTCTGGTAGATGTGTTCGAGGTGGGCTAGGGCGGCGCGCTCGGTGGCTATTACGTGGATTGCGGTGACGACGGAGGATACATCTTTGGTTTGGGGATCGGAGGAATCAGGAGGGGTGAGGGGCCATGGTGCTGACATTGTTAGATCGGCATAGTTGGGGATGCGAAGTTGGCCAGTTCTCGGTCTTTCGGTGTTTTCTCACTTGGGCGAGATGTGGGGATGGACTCGATCGATAACAGGACGCTTCCGGGTGTTAGCGGAATCCTGCGACTCATACTACCTAGGTAGTAGTAGACCAGTACGCAGAACGCAGTACGGAGTAGTTTAGAGATGGTGTGATTCAATGGCCCGATGATGAATGTAGATCTCTCCACAGTTTCTTCTGTCCTCTACTTACTGGTAGAGAGTCCAATACTGCCGTACTCTCGGAGATATACTTCCAGATCGGGATCGCGATCGAGGTCTATGACATCTCCATATTTACAAAAACCCATATTTACATCGTAGAGGTTGAGCCCGAGAATAGTTATCCAAACGCCAAAAAGACAAAAAAAACCAAAAACAAAGGTGAGCATCGGGGTATCGTATCGGGTCTTGCGTCGCTGGGGTCATTATGGAAGGTGTTCGGGATCACCCCCGCTCCTTGCCCTTTTCTGCCGTGCCATCATCCTCGTACAGATGGTGCTGCTCGATGTAATGGATGACCGGCACGGGGATGAGGTAGCGAACACTCATCTCACGACGCAAGAATAGCCGAATCTTGGTGCTGCTGACATCGTTTTGGATGAGCTGCTGGATGACATGGATATTGTCTTTCCAGGGCTGCAAGCTAGCCAGAGCCTCATCGATATCGGTACCACTGCGCTCGACAATGAAGGACTACAAGGGGGTCAGCCATTCGCTCAGATAGGAAATCGCATCTTCCACTTACCCCGTATTTGCCTAGAATGTGATCCAAATCCTTCTCGCTCCACACGCCCGGAGTGGACATAGTGTGAATCAGATCCGCACCAGCCAACAAGGCAATGCGCACTGGCTTCCGGGTGCCGTTTCCGGCCTCCACGCCCTGGCGAACGACATTGATCTCGTGGTCAAAATGATCCAACACCACCGCTGTCGGCTGGTAGGCCTTTTGTGTAGGCTCCCAAGTGTCCACCATCAACCAATCAGAAGTTTGGTCAACGGCCAGTTGGCACATCGCGACGCTAGATTCCCGTTAGCGGGGGTGTCTCCCGGGGCAAACCCGATCGTGATATCCCTTACCGATGCTCGGCACTGGCCAGACCGGCCTTGCGATAGGCGTCCGACACAGGCGACAGATATCCGCCGATGAGTTCGTAGTCGGTGCTGAATCTGACGTGATCGGCGGCCATTTCGAACATGCGCAGATGTAAATAGGTGATTGGGGAGAAAGAACCACAGGCGACCAGCAGGAGAGGGGTCTTTTCGGGGTCGTTCATCGTGCGCTTGAGGCGCAACTCCGGGAAGGTGTAGTCATCCATTGCAGCGGGAGTGACGTTCGCCGGGGTCTGGTGGACGTCGTCACTCTGCCCTCCGATCATTTCAGTGGCCATGGTGAGATGTCGAGATGTCGAGATATAGCCGGAGAAGCGGGGGATTCAAAAGACAAAACCGGAGGGGGCGAACCGAAGGCGGCGAGATCGGGAACACTCTACTCCGACACAATTGCGATATGAAGGGAGATGAAGAGAGGTTGAAGGGAGGAGATTCTATCTATTTTCAACCTTGGAAGGTTGTTCGAATGGATTATTAAGACTCGGTGAGTGAATTCAGGGTCGGCGCGATCTCCGGTGTAGCATCCCCATGGAGGCAAATTAGCCAACTGAACAACTTAACTTGGCATCTCAGCCCTTATAGCACAATAAATTAGCAGATATAATTAGTATGACTGTGCATGGGGATGTGAGTAATATACACAGCAAACAGCAAATGTGACCTGTGCAGTGCCCAGTACCTAACACCCTGGACAGAGTACTCCGTACTCCGTACAGACAGTGCAAATGACCGGCCATAACTACTTTATATACAAATAAGTCTAGAATAAAAAGATCGACAGACCAACAGGATTCAGCCCAATGTAAGTCATCGAATGCCCGGGCAAGGATGGGTGTCACAGTACTTCAGTACCTAACATCATCGAATGTTGCACTTCCGCCGCCTGACGCTCCCCGAATCTCCATCTCGACCAACCCCCTTTCCCCTCCTCCTTCGACTCTACCGGAGTATATATCGTTGACCTCTCTATGACAGATGGCGGGGATCGTGTGAACAATCGACTCTTCCCCTACATAACTTATGGCCAGACAGCCCTCTTCCAACCGTCAGGACCCTCTTGAGGAATCTCCTCTTTCCCCAGACACTTCGTCTTCCTTGAGGTACTTCCCCATTCCTTTGCTCTATCACTCTTGCTCTTGGCCGTGCTCTTGCTATACTGGTACTGGTGCTGGTGCTGGTGCCGGTGCTGTGTTGGTGGTGCCGTACTCGTGCTCACGGGGCTCTCGCTCTTGCTCTCCCCTCCCCCACCTGGACGCTGTCTCGATCGGGGCTACCTGACTGCTCAGAGCTGCATCGATTGATTCGGACAACCCTCACGGAAGGCCTCATCGGTGCTGCGTGGGTGGCCCGGCCCCGGGATTCATCGCTACATTGCTCGATTCGTCATCTTTCTACCCAACTATCTGCATATCGCTTTGACCATCTTTGGTCATCGTTTGCTTCCTTACTTTCTTTCTCTCTTCCTCTCACTCCTCCACCCACCCACCATACAAAGAAGAATCAATTCTCATGTCTTCCAGAATTACTCGCTCCTCCGCGAGACTCGCCACAGACCCTCCGCCCGCGGAGGCTGATACACCGCTTCTCCCCGGATCGACCTCCTCCCGGAAACGCAAAGCTTCCTCTCGTCACGACCGCCCGGCAGAAGCTCCTCCACAACCAGCAGCTTCGTCGCCCTCCCGCAAAACAAAGCGACCGCGGACCGCAGCACAGACAGCTCCATCCACCGGTCCCGGTGCAGCACACCGCCGAGGCGCCCGCAGCCGTCCAGCCATGTCACAACCCGGGTAAGTAGGAGCTAGGGAATGGAGGGGAAGTGAGCTGACCGTAGTTTCTAGACCTTCACGGCCTTCGGAGGAACAGCCAAAATCCACAGCGACCCCGCAGCCCACACGACGAAAGTCCAGCCGCAATGGTGAGTCATTGGAGCTGCCATCCTAACGGCGGTGACGGGTGTGCAGTGAATACGTGACTGACCTTGTTGATGGTGACAGAGCGCCCCGGGACCGCACAATCCCCCCCTGCCCGCCGGCAGAAGAAGCGATCTGCGAAACCGAACGCCGACGTCATAATGCGAGATGCGGAGGAGGAAATCGAGGACGACGAGGAAGAAGAGGAACACGAGTCTCCGACAGGGCAGAGTAACGATGAAACCAACCCATCAGCCTTCGACGAGGATGACGACATGGACCCATTCAGTAGCAGTCTATTCGGGGGCCGAACCCCAATGGCACTACAGAACACACTCCGTGCGCTCAGCGGGATGATGTCTGGGACCTCTACTCGGTTCCGGGATATCCTTTGCAATCTAAGGGCCAAAGACGACCCGTCTCTTCAACTATGTGCACTACAGGAACTGTCAGACACCCTGCTGATTTCGAACGAGGACAACCTGGCGGGCCAATTCTCGCCTGACCCGTACGTGAAAGAGCTAGTGACGCTGATGCAGCCAAATCAGTTTGGTGAGGAGAACCCAGAAATCATGCTTCTAGCGTGTCGTTCTCTAGCAAATTTGATGGAGGCCTTGCGGGGCTCCGTGGCAAATGTTGTATATGGTGGTGCTGTACCAATCCTTTGTCAGAAGCTCCTTGATATTCAGTTCATCGACCTCGCCGAGCAAGCTCTGAGTACCTTGGCCAAAATCTCCGTCGATTTCCCCGCCTCTATTGTGCGTGAAGGTGGGTTGACTGCTTGTCTCACGTATCTCGACTTCTTCCCCACTAGTACCCAGCGAACGGCCGTCACAACCGCTGCCAACTGCTGCCGCAATCTCCACAATGGCTCGTTCCCGGTGGTGCGGGATGTAATGCCCACTCTCCTCAACGTCCTTTCTAGCAATGACCCAAAGGTCGTCGAGCAGGGGTGTCTTTGTGTATCACGAATCGTGGAAAGTTTCAAAAACCGCCCGGAGAACCTCGAAGAGCTCATTGAGCCTGCGATGCTCAAGGCCGTCCTTCGATTGTTACTGCCGGGAACGACCAATCTGATTGGCCCCCACATCCACACACAATTCCTTAGGGTACTGGCCATCACCTCTAAAACAAGCCCACGGCTTTCAAACGAGCTTCTCAAAATGGACGTTGTGGATACGCTGTACCAGATCTTGACTGGTGTGTCTCCCCCGCAAGACGTGGATAACACCGCCGTCAAGATGGACAGTGTTCTGGTCATGCAGGCATTGATCCACCGTCCTCGCGAGCAAGTGTATGAGACATTGAATGTTATCTGCGAGCTCCTACCAGGTGTCCCTAGTCGCGATGCCTCGAAGACAGATAATCTTCTGAGCACATACTTTGACAGCCACATGTCCATCGGCCTGCGATCGTCCAAATCGAAAGAGGCCGTGGAGGACAGGCGATCATTGCTTGATAACTGCAAGAACGAACTGAAACGTTTCGCAATGATCCTGTTCCCGACTTTGACTGATGCTTACTCGAGCACGGTCAATTTGCATGTGCGTCAAAAGGTATTGATTGCGCAGTTGAAGATGTTGCACATCTTGGAGCCCTCGTTAATTGAGGATGCGCTCCGTACCGTTCCGTATGCTTCTTTCCTGGCTTCCATCCTCTCTCAGCAAGATCACCCCTCCCTTGTATCTTTGGCGCTGCGTTGTTCCGAGCTTTTGTTCCAGCGACTTGAAAATGTTTATCAACATCAATTCCATCGCGAAGGAGTTATTTCTGAGATCATCAAACTGTCCGAAGGCTCTCTCTCCGATGATAAGGAATATGGTGACTCTCCCGATCCTACACTCATGGACACCACCGCAGACCCGTCTCGCGCGTCCCACACGGAGCCTGGAGCTGAGCGAGATGAAGACGACAATGAGGATGAGGATGCCGATGACTTTGACGATGAGGACGACGGTGACGACATGTCGGATTCCGAGGATGACTCGGCGCCGACCCCTCGTAATCTACAAAAGTTGGAGACTGCCCTCAATGACGTGGTCATCCGAGATGCGCATGCCTTCCTCGAGGTCTACGAGGCCAGCCATGGCGAAACCGTTCGCGCAGAAGCCACTCGGATATTGACCGCGCTTACATCTTTGGCATCCGAAATCCGAGCACATTACAACAGTGGTGCCGATGACGGCCTCCGTCTATTCAAACAGCTTGCATCCTACTTTGATGGAGATGCCTTGGAAAGCATTACCAGCTCCGAGCTTCTGAACTCGGGCATCATCGAGGTTCTGCTGGATGTCCTTGGAAATTACCAAGCGCCCTCTATCCGTGATGCCCGAGCTGCATTCCTGCAAGCTTTCATGGGTGTTTCCATCTCAGACAAGGCCAAAAGCCAAAGTACAGCCACGACGCCATTCAGCGTCCTCATTTTGAAGCTGCAGGACTTGCTTAGCAGGACCGAGCATTTTGAAGTCCTTACCATCAGCCACAACTCACTTGAAAACACTCGCAGCAATGCAGCATACATGCTTTCTAAACAGCTGCGCCTCAAGTTGATTGCCGACGATGACTCGGACGTCCCTCGCCCCTATCGCAACATCATGGTGTCGATCCACGCCATCGCCCCTTTCCATGCTTTGGATGACTTCCTTCACCCCCGAATTTCCTTAGCCGAGAAGCCACGATCATCGCGCTCTAACCGAGAAAACATTCTCTCCCACCTGGCGACTGCTGCTCGGCTCCGTGATCAGTTGGCGGGCGCTGGTTCTGGGATGCTTACCAACCGTGCTGGCGGTCTGGGCACCACTGCCGGTGATTCGACAGACGATCACGAATCTTCTGGTGCACCTCAGCGTCATACAAGACAAGCACAGCCACAGGAGGACGAGGAGGAAGAGCACGATGATGAGCCCCTCGAATGTGCAGATGAAAGGCACCTGACAGACGAAGACGAGGACGCTGGCGAGGAGGACGAGGATGAAGAGCTCAATGCCATCGATGATCTCGACGAGGATCTTGAGTCTGAAAATGTCTCGGACCCCTCGGCAGTCAACATGGAAGTTGGGACCGGGGGCAAGGTGACTGCTCGGAAGGAAGACGGTACTCGGGTTGGAACCCCATCCCACACCACGGCTGGGTCGAAGGCTTCTTCCTCTACACCCAACCCTCATTCCCACACCCGCAGCAACAGCTCTCTCGCCACCGCCGGGCGTCCCTTCTCATCCTACGCTGCCGCAACGGCTTCAGTCCCCCAGGATTGGCATCTTGAGTTCTTCGTGGATGGCAAGAGTGTGGATCTTGAGACAACCATCTATAGGGGAGTTCACCACGACCGTGGAGAGTTGGACCAGGCAAGCGCCAAGAACGTCTGGTCGTCCATTCACACCATCACATACAAGCGTGTGCCGGGTCCTCCACCTCCCGAGCCCTCTACCCTGACCTCGACTTCTCAAGCCGCCGCTTCCCAGGTTGACACACTGGACATGCCAGCCTCCCTCAGCAAAGATGCCACCACTGCCTCCATCATTCGCACCCTCCGCGTACTGCACGAAATGAATGCCACCATTGATGATATTCTAACCGATGTCAAAGATGTGGCCGCGATCAAGTCGGAGCCTCTGGTGCAGTTCATCAATACTAAACTGACTGCCAAGATCAATCGACAGCTGGAAGAGCCCTTGATTGTGGCAAGTAGCTGTCTTCCAACCTGGAGTGAGGATCTAGCCAGGCTCTTCTCCTTCCTCTTCCCATTTGAAACAAGGCATTCGTTCTTGCAATCCACTGCATTTGGTTACTCGCGGGCAATGATGAGATGGCAATCCTCTCTCAGCGGCGAGGACAGCCGAAGGGACATGCGTCGTGACGACCGCCCATTCATGGGCAAGTTGCAGCGCCAAAAAGTTCGAATCTCCCGAACCCGCATACTAGATTCTGCATTGAAGGTCATGGAGCTCTACGGATCATCACCCAGCATTCTTGAAATTGAATATTTCGAAGAGGTCGGCACTGGACTTGGCCCAACTCTTGAATTCTATTCTACTGTCTCCAAGGAGTTCTCCAAAAAGAAGCTCAAGATCTGGCGCGACACCGACGGTAGCGCTGAGGCTGAATATGCCTTCGGCAAACGCGGCCTTTTCCCTGCGCCGATGAGTGACCAGCAAGCCAATGACGACAGCGGGAAGAAGCAGTTGAACATCTTCAAGGTCCTTGGAAAGTTTGTTGCTCGCTCTATGCTTGACTCTCGAATCATCGACATCTCATTCAACCCAGCTTTCTTCCGCATTGCCGACACCATGTCCTCTGTCGCCCCCTCCTTGGGTACCGTTAAAGCAGTTGATCATGATCTCGCTAAGTCTTTGGTCATGCTGAAGGAGTTCGTCAACGAGAAGAATGCCGTGGAGAACGATGACCGACTCTCGCCCAACCAGAAAGCCGAGGCTCTTCAACACATCACAGTCCACGGAGTCAAGGTCGATGATCTGAGCCTGGATTTCACATTGCCCGGATACCCCTCCATCGAGTTGATCCCAGGTGGCACTGACGTTCCCTTGTCGATCGAAAATGTGGATACCTACATTGATCGCGTGATCGACATGACCCTCGGCAGTGGTGTCCGTCGTCAAGTCGAGGCATTCCGCACAGGATTCTCCCAAGTGTTCCCATACTCTGCCCTGTCCGCATTCACCCCAGGCGAGCTCGTCATGCTTTTCGGCCAAGCCGAAGAAGATTGGTCCATTGAAACTCTGATGGACTCCATCAAGGCCGACCACGGTTTCAACATGGACAGTCGCAGCGTGCGCAACCTACTGCAGACCATGAGCGAACTGGACAACCAGCAACGCCGCGACTTCCTGCAGTTCGTCACCGGTAGTCCCAAACTTCCAATCGGAGGTACGTCGTGCATCTTTCCCTTCCCATCAAACGCAATAACTAACTCATATTTTAAAATAGGATTCAAGAGCCTTACTCCCATCTTCACCGTCGTGTGCCGCCCAAGCGAACACCCATACACACCCGACGACTACCTCCCCAGTGTGATGACATGTGTCAACTACCTCAAGCTACCAGACTACAGCGACCTAGAAACTCTCAAAAAGCGCCTCTTCGTCGCCATCAAGGAAGGCCAGGGCGCGTTCCACCTTTCCTAGTCTGGACTGTCGTCACATCTCTCTCCCAGTTATTCCCCGGCAAGGATGAGATCTTATTTACGATGCCACGATGTGCGATCCTTGTTTTTTTGATTTCGTCCCCCTCTCCATTCTCCCATTCCCCCAGGTTTTCGGACGGACTGTTACGCGCGTTTTCTGGGTCTGTTTTTTTTCTCTCTTCTCTTGCCTCGGTCCTTGTTCTATGTGCCTTGTTGGCCAAGGGCGTCATGGTGAGATTCCAATAGTGGTATTAGATAGCAATGGTCACTTTATTGAAAACGATTTCTTGCGGGTTACTCCAGCTTAAATGATTCTGGTCTAGGTTGGCTCGAGTTCATTACCTTATAGATTGGTATGATCTTCATTCGGAGAACCAGAACATGGCGTCCAAAACAACTTGTGCAACCATCGAAACGGCATCGACAGGCCTCAGAACCTGAACTTCAGGGCCCATCTATCATTTTCTACAATTTCTCGATCCACTGATCCTTTACTTTCCCATTGTCCGGTTGATCAGCCGAGGATCTAAATTGAGACTAAGATTAGATCCTGCCCAAGGAGCTAGAGACAAGGTGGCACTTACTGTTCTTGCTCCGTATCCGCGGATGGCTCGAGCGGTCGAGCCAGTAGAAATATTGAACGTTCGAAGACTCGGTTAATCTCTTCAAGGCTCATTCCGGCTGTCTCAGGAATCATGAAAAAGGTGTAGAGGAGAGCTAGAACACAAAAACCAATGAATAGCACAAAAGCGCCCCATTGATGAAGTCCACTGAGTAGAGCGGGAGTGGCCTTGGTAATAGCGAAGTAAAAAAGCCAATGAAAGCACTGCGAGAGTGCACCACCAAAAGAACGGATTTTGTTCGGCCAAAGCTCTGCACCGAACAGATAGGGCAGACTGTACAGGCCTATAGCCCACCCAAATGCATGGACATAGATGAAGGCCAGCGCTGCATCTGCGGAGCTCTTGTCGATGCTTCCATTTCGCTGTTGTAATATTTTCAAATAGCCGGCCAAGTACGAGTGGCAGACGATTTGAACGGAGATCCCAAGCATGAGAGATTTTCTTCGCCCAACGATGTCAATAAAAAAGAGAGATGCCAGCACGCAGCAGATTAGCTTTGCGACAGTGTACAGGCCAGTGGAGTAGACCTTGACATCCGAGCTAGTCACTCCAATCAGACCGAATATAGTTGGTAGATAATTTGTTATGGCGTTGGCTCCTGACATCTGCGCCAGGATGTAAACAATGATAGTCAACTGTACACGACGCAGGTTAGACTTGACCATAAATGTGTCTCGTACAATTTGTGTCGAACTGGCTTTCCCAAGCCCTGCTTCACGATCTTCCATCTGCAATGCCATAGATGAGAATTCAGTAGCCACAATCTCCGCGTCGGATGGTAGGCCCCGAAGCTGCACCAACGCGTTAAGAGACTGGTCATGTTTCTGGTCAATGAGGAGCCATCGAGGAGACTCGACCACGAATACCGAAAGCAGAATACTGATAGCAGGAGCAAATGTCTGAGCAAACCACGGAATTTGATATTGCAAATCCTTTGTGTCCGCGATGTGACGGGAGCAGCCGTAGACGATGAAGACGCCTAGGGCTTGACCTGCTAGCATGCATATATTGAACCATAATGCCATCAGACCTCGCACGGCTTTGGGGGCAATTTCCGAGATTGCCATCGGACAGACCACTGATAAAGCTCCGATGCCTAGCCCGGCAACAATGCGACCAACATACAGAGCCCCGGAATGGCCGTGCGAGAAACAGGATATGAGGGAGCCGATGATGTAGGCGACTTGATACACACGTAGAGAGTTCTTTCGACCGATTTGATCATTCAAGAGGAATGAGAGAAGAGCACCGGCTGCAGCTCCCAGATTGACGAGGGAGACGACATTTGATATGGAATTATCGTCGAGATGGTACGCGTTGTGAAATGACGACAGTTGAGTGATAGCGGCGGCGGATCCTTCGTCCCATCCTTGAAAAAAGATCAGCTCAGAAGACCCTCATGGAGGTGGCGAGGGAACAGTACCTTTAGCACATCCTCCAAGAGCAAATGCAAAAGCTGTGAGAAAAAGCCGCCGATTGAAGATTTCTCGCGGAGAATCTTTGATGCCACGAAAGTATTTCGACAAAGAAGACTGTTTTTTAGTCATATTTCGGAATGTCTTTTGAGTTTGACAGCGACGAGAGAGATGGTTCAGTATGTGTGGACACTGCTCTGGTTTTATGTCCTTCCACTGGGTGTCGGTTTACCCCAGACCCCAGACCCCAGAATCCCCAGATGCGGAGACCTGTCTGTATGTCGTCGGATCTTCATCCGATGACGGGTTAAACATGTCGACAACAGAATTGGCCCCATGGCTGGGAATTCAGATGCAAATCAAACTTTCATAGAGTTATCGGATGAGCCGAGCCGTCCAAGGGTTGAAATCATATCTCGAGGGGTGGCGTTTACGTGTTGAAAGGACAAATAAACATGCGCGAATCAGATTCGAGGGTTCGAGTGGCGGCACTTCGCTTATTATGTTCGCATTGGCCTTGATATCCACAAAGTCAATGACCTACGCACAAACATTGTGTATAGTATAGTAGTCAGGAAGTCGGTACTGGCTTTGAATACCACCGTAGTTAGGAAACGCTATTAAATTATCATTCACAATCAATACGCCAAATCAATCGGTGAACGGTCAACCCTGGAGCTAGAAAGGCGGACACCTTCTAAGAGGAAATTTCGTCTGAACCCCCCGTCTCATATCAAGCTTGCTAAAAACTGAGCACTCGGGCTCGCCACACCGAGACAGCATCTCATGTCTAATAGTCTTTTTTACCGACTCAGATCTTGTCCGTCGGTAATTTGTATATGTAAAACACGAGTTCACCTGCAGTGTTTATTTAGGGGTCACCATCTCTTTAACAGTGTCGCCAAATCCGACCATGCATATCGTGGCCCAAGCCGCAACTCCAATACGAGGGATGACACCACGGAACAAACCTTTGAACCCAGAAGTACCAACAATATGCTTGAATGTGGACAACATGGTTGGGGAGACTGGGCGGCCAGGATCATTCTTCATGGATTGCATTTCCACCCGGAGAACCTAAGGTAATGTGAGCAGCGACATTTATTCACCTGAATGATCACACTCACTTCGAATGGCTGATTCCAACAACTGAGTGCACCACCAATGGTAGATGCTAGAATCTTCTCGCTGAACTTCATCTTCTCATCCTTGCTCTTCCCACTCATGGATCTAATGGTCTCCTCGGCGAATCGAGATATCCCAATCCTGGATGACCAACCGGTCACTTGTCGCAATGCAACTGCATTGACGCCCTTGTTGACACCTCGAATCCCCTTCTCACGGAAGATCTGAAAGAAGGTCTCCATTGTCCCGGGGACTTTGGCACCTCCAGCGCCCAGTTTCGTCCGAGTCACTTCAACGGTTTTCATGCATGTCGTCATTCCCATCGTCAGATACGACTGGGCCACGCCACCAGCGATACCGCCCAGGACTCCACAGGTCGTTGGGGACGCATTCAACTTAGTCCTGGCATGAAACTCGGTCTCAGTTGACACAACTATCAGGATGGCGCCCTTGGTAGACGCCTCCAGCCACGCCTATGCCGGGTCTTAGCATGATGTTATAGCTGAACGACGGACACTGGGAACATACCCAAGGGATCAAGCCCTGATAAAAGGCGCCTACGCGTCCGCGGGCCCAAGTCTTCTTCACTGCCTCTAGCAATGTATCTTTTCTGTTGGCTGCTAGCTAGGATATGTTAATGAGGCAATGCTCCCATATGATTGATGATGAAGTCGCATTGAACGAACATACATGGGTCTTGAGCACTTCCATTGGTTGGCCAAGAGAGGAGACTGACTTTCTTAGCTTCATGTACCAATTTGAAATGTCGAAATGCTGAACAGTACCTTGGAATATGTTCATGAATGCCCCGACTGCTAGATTCATGTATGGAATAGGCCGTTTTTCTTCAGCGACATGCTGTGGGTGGACCATACTGTTGTCTGCTATTTGAGACATTTTGGAATATAGACGCGGTAAAATCTCAGTCCATCAATATTCTTGTCTTATCATAACTTATGTACCTGCAGACCCCCCGGGGCCTTCACCGGGGGTGAGGCAAGCGTTGTCGGATGTATCCGATACGCAAGCACGGTGGCCCGTCCCCATCGGTAGATCCGATGACGGAAAAGAGACTTGGTTTGTCGGAAGTTTCCGCTTGTGTTATGGGCATTAGTCCAGAAATGAGATCGTATAGACCGCTCTAAAAATGCTGAAAATCGCGTCAAGAAGTAGCACATATTGTCGAGATCATCGCTGGAAAATGTTGGCGCAGAGCACACAGCTTTATCACGAGGGTCACATGAACAGCCAGTGAGTGTTGTCTACTGTTTTCCTTCGATTCATCTCACATTTCTAGATCTTTGGTCCCTCGAGATGGATTTGATACTCATGTGCATGTTTTCGACCCCAAACTGGGGCCATACGCTGCCGACCGCGCCTATACGCCCGAAGACGCACCCTTGGAAAAGTTTATCGCATTTAATGATCTGGTATCAGAAAATTACTCGAGCAACACTTTCGTGCTGGTTCAGCCGTCACCTTACAAATGTGACTGCTCCGTGATGATCCAATGTCTGCAGAGACTCAGGGCTCAGAATATACGCGCTTTCGGCATTGCCGTGCTGGACCTTGATAGTGTTTCGGACGCAAAACTCAAAGAGATGCATGATCTCGGAATCCGTGGACTACGGCTAAACTTCCAAGCAGATGGGAAGGAAGTGAGCACCGACAGGCTGAGGGCTGCATTGACGCGAGCTGCAGACCGCATTCGCGATCTCCCTGATTGGATGATCCAATTGTTTATTCCCGGCTGGGCATGGGATAGTAAGTTTCGTGATTAATCCTTGCTACCGAGAAGAGATCACTAATTCTCATGGTTTCTAGGCCTCTACGAGACTATCCTCCAGCTCCCGGTCAGGATCATCGCAGATCACCTTGGCGGTATGCGTGGTCACAGCCTGCTACCTTCTGATTTACAATCAATACCAACGTCGCAACCCGGATTCGTATCGCTTATGTCACTTGCGAGACAATCTCGCGTCGTTATAAAGATGTCCGGTTTGTATCGCATGTCGAGTGATACCTGTTCCACCTACAGCGACCTGAAGCCTATCGTGGAGACATTGGCGCAAGAGGCACCAAAGCAAGTTATCTGGGGGAGTGATTGGCCACACACTGGGGATGGACATAATAGACTCGAAGGTCGATTGGACGTCAAGGAACCTTTTCGAGTCATTAAGAACGATGCTATACTTAATCACTTGCATGATTGGATGGGAAGCGATGCTTACAAGAAAATGATGGTGGACAACCCGAAGAGAATATATCATCAATGAGAAGATATTTTAGCTTGAGAAATTATTGATGCGTCCCATGGAGTATCATTGATGTCTATTGAGCAATGTTGTTCAGTTGAGCTGTCCAACAGTACTGTAGTCCGTGTGTCGCCAGTTGACGCATGCAGAAGTAACTCTGCAGGTGGCAGATGATTAACAAATTAATTGGCTCATGTAAGAAGCCAAGGACGAAGGACATCAATTCCACTATCAGAAAATTATCAACACAGCTCTAAGACAAGAAAGAGAGAGAGACAGTGTGGGTGTCCACGGGTGTGAGGTGCGATATCTGAGGCGTCACGTGCCCTGTCTTCTCCCGGGCTTAGTCATTGCGCCTGACGCCCGCACGTGGGCCCCGGGGCTGCATGCCTACGGGCGGGACTCGGACGCTCTGCTTCCCCATTGATGTACAGCCATGCAGAGATTCCTGCCAAGCGTCCAGCATCCCCACAACCAAGTCCGGTGTCTTCCAAAGGATGAGTGAGGAAACCCCAACTCCTCGCCGCCATCGTCGGGGCATGCCGCGAAGTGTGGCAGCATGCCAACGCTGTCGTCGACGGAAGCAAAAGGTTAGTCAATCACCAGAAGTAGCTGGCGTTGCCATTAACGAAGAACAGTGTGATGGCAAAGTTCCAATATGTGGCACCTGTGCAGCTGTTGGGGCCTCCTGTGTTATGTCGGACAGACTAGTGGTTCAACAAACAACCCTCCTTTCCGAATGTACTTCCCTGCGGTCTCAACTCGCCACCGCTGAGCAACGCGGTGATGAGCTAGCTCAAAAGTGCCACCAACTTGAACTCCAAATTATGGATCAGCTGAATGCATCGCATCCTATCATATCTGGTATACCAAGTCCGGGGCCTTCATCGACAGCCCAGAGGACAACTGAATCGTTTTTCCGGCCTGCCCGGCGAGAAGGCAGCCCAGAAAATGAACTTACGAGTCGCTTTCTGAGACCGACGTTCTCAATCAAGTCCAAGACCAAGTGTATGAACGGAAGTGCCATTAGCAGTGCCTGGGAGTTGTGGGGCGACGACACTGATATCGAGGTGCCACTCGAGCCAGCTAGGTCTGATCTTGATCGAGACACATACTTGTCTCTGGCCAATACTTTTTTTGAGAGACGCTGGCCTTATCTTCCAGTTCTTCATAAGCGAAGCTTTTTTGAAAAGCATCTAAATCCTTACCTGATGCAGTCGGATGTCAGAGACATATCGAGCTTCCTGGTCAACATGGTCTGTGCGATCGCTTCGACCGAGTACCCTTCGCACAACACAGCTCAAATATGCCACCGAGTCTTTTTTCGGGAGGCGACCAAAGACATTCACCTTGTCATGAGCTCCGAAAACCTTGAATGCATCCAGTGCCTTCTCCTCTTGTGCATGTACGGCCATAACGAGCCCCAATCGGTAAACATGTGGTACACCACTGGTCTTGCGTTGAACCTGGCAGTCGGCAATGATCTTCATCGTAAAGAGAGCATTGCTGAACAGGACAACATGAGTTCTGAACTGTTAAAACGCGTCTTTTGGGGGGCGTATGTGATGAACTGCAACGTGGCAATCAACTTGGGTCGACCATTAGGAATTCAAGAATCCGATATCGACATGCCCTTACCTCTACAAGTGACGGATGACCAGCTTGAGGAATCCGTTAATAGCCCTCACGTCGAGCAGACGTTGATACCATCTGTGAAAGATACATCAACATTCATTCACATTATCAAACTCCGCCGACTCAATGCTGCTATCTATAGGGCCTTCCACTCCGTTGGGTCTTCATTGGGAAATATCGAGGAATTAAATCGCCTTCGCGAGGGATATTTCGTGGAGCTGAATCAGTGGCTAATTACTGCACCACGCTATGTGCAAAGCTTGTCTACATTCCAGTCCACTGAATGGTTTCAAATTGCCTTCCACCACGCTGTGCTATCATTGTATCGCCCCTCGCGCGCCATTTCAATCCCATCCCTGGAAGATCTCCGAATCAGTCTCGATTCTTCAATTGGGTTGATCAGCTCATATAGTGCGTTGTACGCGCGCAATCGCATCAAGTACACCTTCGTCGCCATTCACTCGCTGTTTATGGCAGCGGTCACAATGCTGTACTCTCTGCGAGCGTATGCCCCTCTCCGGAGGGAGTTGAGCAAAGAGGTTATCAGGACGAACATCACAACGTTTCTGACAATATTCCGAGGTATATGCGACGGGCGACAAGTCGGTGAAAAATGCTGTGATATCATTGAGAGACTTGGTAATACAATCCTCTCCTTGTTTGAGAACGAGGATCCAGCAGACCTCACCATCGACACAGAATTCCAAACTTGGTTTGGTCTTCAAATAAACAACGATTTCCATACGGGTGATGCAGACCAACGGCCATATCCTCCAGCACCGCCACCACATTTCCCAGATGTCCAAGTGGATCTACCATGGACGGAGCTTTTTAGGGAAGGTATTGATATGGGCACGGTTGATGCTTGGAATGCTCTGTTCTGAAAGAATTCATGACTAGCCAACCATCATTTCTCTACCTTCCCCTGGTGGTGTGCTCAGCCCCCTTTTCTTGCCCTGTTAAATGAGCATTGCAACTTAAGAACATCATTTGGGATTTGAGCGCGCTCAAATGAGGAATCCCCAAACGCAACCAACCACACAAACTGTTTGCCCGATCCCCAGACCGGTGCGATGAGTCACAACTTCATCAAGCTCTTTGAAGCCATGACTTTGCTGTATGTACTTAAACGTACTCACATTATTCAGTTGAGCAGGCCGGTGTGGATCCGCTTTCATGCTCAGGATGCCGGCAATGCCGGAAAGCTCCGATTGGATTGTCTCGAGTCTTGCCCGACGTCGGCAGTAAATCGCCAGGGCATTGGGCTTTCTAGCTTCAGCACTCCCTTTGCTTCTCCAAACCTCGTTTCTCGATCAAACGAGAGTACAATCACTGAAATGGCATCCCAAGCCTTTCAAAACCTCAAGCGATTCACCACATGTGATGTATGACCCCATCTATCCCTCACTCACCGAGATTCAATTCCAACTAACGAGATAGATTGGTGATGCATTAGTTCGACTCAAGTATCCCAACGGGGGGTTTCTAGATGGCTTAAATATGTTCTCTCCCAAGCCTGGGACAACGATCCACGGCCCTGCTATCACCGTGAAAATGGTGAGGACCAACAGCCCCGGCGCATTCCCACCGGTGCACTTCGCAGACGCCAACAAGGAAGGCCACATCATGTACATCCAACAGCCCGAGGATCTTCCTTCCGCCTGTTGGGGTGGACTTATGTCTACGCGAGCACACAAGCTGGGCGCGCTCGGCGTGATCATTGACGGCCGGATGAGAGATATCCAGGAGCACCGAGACATCGGATTTCCAGTACGCAGATAGCGTGGTCTATGGCATACACTCGTGCTAACAGTTCCACAGGTCTTCGCGCGTGGTACCTCCGTCCTCGGATCCAATACCTTCACCCGTGCGTCTGAAATCAATGTCCCTTTGCAGTTCCGTGGCGATCTTTGGATCCATCCGAATGATATCATGGTCGGGGATGAGAATGGCGTTGTGGCAGTTCCTCCATCTTTGGTGGAGCAGGTTGTGCAGCTGTGCCAGGAGCGAATGGAGATTGATGAAAACACACTTGCCGCTTTGCGAGCGGGTGAGCCGATGGGTCCGACTATCAAGCGACTTCGCAAGTAGATCAGTTCGGAAACATTCGATGCAGATCTCGCTTCTCCCGGGCAAGGATCTCGCCTGGGGGCATAATCACGTAGTGAAGAGTGGGTTTGAAGTACTAAATACCAAAATGCTTAAATTTCGTGAAAAAGTCGACGACGGCCTGTGGTTTTAGCCTTGTACATCACATGCTTTCACATTCAAGATTGATGATTATACTAAAATCGCACTCAGAGCGATCATTGCAAGAATATTAACACAGGATACTTCCCACAGTATTTTCAAAAATACTTGTGCATGAAGAATTCGCCGAGGCAGCAATCGAAGTAGTACCCAGACATGATAGGGAATCCGTGACCGGCTTTCATGGATCTTGCCCCAGTGTGGAAATCCTGACCTATAAGCATTACGACTATTTCAAAATGTTTAAAGTCGCCACCGTTACCTCGCTCCGCCGCCTGACGAATCATTTATCAACTAATAAACATCTTCTCATCGGACACATCCGACGGGTTCCTACAAACACCCCCATACGGCCCCGCAAGCACGATCAGCTTTCCCCACGGAGACTCCATGTCTCGTAAACATGGAACCAGTAATGTGGAGGATAATTATCACTCTCGCGTGAGATATCCACAAAGCGAGCCCGGGCTGTGGGGAGAGAGGACCATGGGCAAGGTTCTACTTAACCCCCCTCAATGGTGCTGAATCAAAAGGAAAGCCTCTGGATAATGTCTCGTTTCCAGCTCCCTCTGACTGGCACTCGCCTCCAAGTTTCCTTCGTGATTTTGATTGTCGCGCCCTCTTTTGTTCTTTTTGGATACAACCAAGCAGTTTTAGGAAGTATTTTGAATTTGCAAAGCTGGGTACAGCAGTTCCCCGATATTGACACCATTAATACAACCGGATCGGAGAAGTCTCAGAACTCGACGTCACAAGGTACATGCAATGCATCTTTCCAAATGGGATGCCTCATCGGCGCCTTGTCCCTCTCTCTCTACGGTGAAAGGCTCGGGCGTCGAATGACCACCTTCATTGGCGCTTCTATCACCGTTATCGGCCAAGCACTACAAGTTTCGGCAATAAGTTTGGCTCAATTTGTCGTTGGCCGAGTGATTCTGGGTCTTGCGGTGGGCATGATCAGCGGAACTGTGCCGGTCTGGCTTTCGGAATGCGCCCCTGCCAGATACAGAGGGCAACTAGGGATTTGTACTGGTATCTTCATCAGTACAGGGTACGCGTTATGTAACTGGATTGATCTGGGATTCAGTTACATGCCCTCTTCCTCTGCCCAATGGAGAGCACCCCTGGCAATTCCGTTTCTCTTTACGGTCGTCATGCTGTTTTCGGTCTTCTGCTTTCCGGAATCGCCTCGATGGCTGGTATCTAAGGGCAAGGTCAGCGAAGCCACATCCAGCTTGAACCATTACCGAGGGTCAGAATCCTCGGAAGAGGCCATCAAGCGCGAAATTGTCAGCATTCAGCTGGCCTTCGAGAGCACAGAGTCATCATCCATTAAGGACATCTTCAGTCCTGAGGACAAGACACGGCTGCTATACCGATTCTGGCTCTGCATGGGACTCAACTTCTTTCAACAGGTGAGTCCACTTCGCAAATCTCGTTCCAATCTAGTTCCCACTGACGAATTAGGCTTGCGGTGGAAATCTCATCTCCGTGTACAGTTCCACAATTTTCGAGGGCTATCTCCACATGGCGCCACAGATAGCCAAAATTCTCGCCTCTTGTGTTCTAATGTGGAAAACGTTTTGTTGCCTCGTATCCTTCTGGGTGATTGACCGATGGGGCCGTCGTCTATGTTTCATGATAAGTGGAGCAGGAATGGCCATCTGCATGGCAGTGCTAGCCATCACAACGAGCTTCAGTACTATCACCCACTCTATGGCTATCGCATATGTGGCTTTCATGTTTCTTTTCAACCTTTTCTATCCGATCGGATTCATGGGAGGCAATTTCCTCTACACAGCTGAGGTTGCACCTGCACGTCTACGAGCAGCTATCTCCTCCCTTGCGACCGCGAACCACTGGTTGTGGAATCTGGTCGTTGTACTTGTCACGCCCGTTGCTATTGACACCATTGGCTTCTGGTACTATGTGATTTATGCACTCATCTCAGGGACTATCCCTATTTGCATATACCTGTTCTACCCCGAGACGATGCGTCGCAGTCTCGAGTCCGTGAACATGGTCTTTATTGAGGCTTCGACTGTTTGGAAAATAGTGCCTTTGGCGAGAAACTTGTCACAATGGCAGCGCGGTGAAGAGGAAGTTCTACCCGAGCCTGAGAAGGCGGATGCTGCTGACGATGTCGAGATGCGCGAGTACATTTAAATTTATTAAAGAGTTCTGAAAAAAAGCTTGGAAGCGATGTACATAGCGAGAAATTTCCCAGGGGAGACCTCGGGATAGGTACATAAGGCATACATCTGGGAAATAGATAGAGTCAAGACGCATGTGTACTCATGTTGACCAAAACATACAGATAGTAACCTTGAAGAATTTCATGCATTAAATTGTCACTAATCGCGCTCTTTGTATATCTAGCACATGTTTCGGCTTCTCAAGGTTTTAGTTATCATCTTTTTTTTGGGGGGGACTGATATGCAGGTCCAAAAAAATATATTGGGGGGGTTACGGGATCTGTACTATATACAATGGACAATTTGGAATCGATACAGCCCTGGAGTTAAGGAGGCGGAAGGCGGAACACACGAACTCGTCAATCATACCTAGAACTCAATCCTTCAGCCCCATGGATCTATTCAATATCTAATTGCCTTGCCAAGCGTAGGTAGTCGACATCATGCAGTCCGCCAACTCGGCGACTAGCGCCATTCCGTCGGCTTAGCCGACACCTGGACGGAACTATCCGATATTCCGTAGCAAACACAGCTGATCGAATCAGAACGATGGAATTACAGAAATAAGTTGCCAGGGACACTTGAAAATTCTCGAGAGTATGTTCCTTTTGCTACTCAATCCCTCATGATTCGAATGCGCCCCGGGTTGCCCAAGCTGGCGAGAGGCTTCGCCTCCCACGCCCAAGTCCCACTGAGTCGACTTGAAACGCAAACAATCAATTTGAGCAAGTTTCCAACACGTGTGAAGACACTTCGAGACCGGTAAGAAGTGAAATGAATTTGAAAATCACTCTTCTCATCCTCAACCAAGACATTTACTGATCACATTTCTAGATGTAGGCTCAGGCGTCCATTAACATACGCTGAAAAAGTGTTATACAGCCATCTCGATGCTACCTTCGACGAACGAATTGAGCGCGGAAGCTCGCAGCTGAAACTACGTCCATTACGAATCGCCTGCCAAGATGCTACCGCGCAAATGGCATTGATTCAATTTATGTCCGCGGGCATGAAATCCGCCGCAGTTCCCACAACCGTTCACTGCGACCATTTGATCGTCAGCCGGGATGGAGAGGCAGAAGACCTTTCCAGAGCACTCGATTCCCACCGAGAAGTATACGAGTTCATGGAAAGTGCCTGCCAAAAGTATGACATGGGATTTTGGAAGCCTGGCGCGGGCATCATTCACCAAATCGTGCTCGAGAACTATGCATTCCCCAGCGGAATGATGATCGGAACAGACTCACATACTCCCAACGCAGGTGGTCTGGGAATGATTGCCATCGGCGTCGGTGGTGCAGATGCCGTCGATGTCATGGCCGGCCTGCCTCTGGAGCTCAAGGCCCCGAAGATTCTAGGTGTGCGCCTCACAGGCGAGCTTTCACGCTGGGCTTCTCCAAAGGACATTATCAACGCCGTCGTTGGAGAATTATCTGTCAAGGGAGGAACCGGCTCAATCATTGAGTATTTCGGACCGGGCGTCAAGACACTTTCGGCGACTGGAATGGCTACCGTCTGTAACATGGGCGCTGAAACGGGAGCGACAACGTCGATCTTCCCCTACGCTGCCCAGATGGCTGACTACCTTCGCTCAAATCACCGCCATGAAATGGCTTCAGCTATTGACAGTATCTCACCAGAGCTACGAGCTGATGACGGCGCCGAGTATGATCGTGTCATTGATATTGATCTTTCGACCCTGGAACCACGCATCAATGGACCTTTTACCCCGGACTTGTCAACGCCACTGTCTCAATTTGGTGATGCGACAAGAGAAAACGGGTGGCCAGAGGAATTGACCGCTGGATTGATTGGATCATGTACCAATTCTTCCTTCGAAGATATGAGCCGCGCTGCCAGCCTGGCAAAACAGGCTTTGGAGGCGGGACTCAAGCCAAAGATGCCACTGCTGATATCACCAGGCAGTCTCCAAACTCGGGAGACGTTGGAAGAGGCTGGAATATTACCAATATTCGGCCAGCTCGGAGCTACGATGCTGCCAAATGCCTGCGGTCCATGCTGTGGGTCGTGGGACCGAGTTGATATGCCCAAGGTATGTACCAGTTACCCATTTCAATTCTCATTCTGTCAACTCACCTTAATAACGCCTAGGGTACTCCAAACTCAATCATCACATCATACAACCGAAACTTTTCGGGACGCCTAGACTCTAACCCCGCTACTCATGTCTTCCTCGCCTCCCCTGAAGTCGTTATGGGCAAGGTATTCTCCGGTGATCTAGCCTTTGACCCGAGTGTAGATACTCTGCCTACTCCCTCTGGCGGTGAATTCCGTTTTCAACCTCCTTCAGGGGAGACACTTCCATCCAACGGATACCTTGAATCAAATGATGCCTATAAAGCACCCCCAGCTGACAGGGGTGATGTTGAAGTGAAGATCAATCCTTCCTCCGAGCGATTACAGAGACTAGCTCCATTTGAGCCTTGGTCCGGCGAAGATTTCAAAGACTGCGTTATTCTGATCAAGACCAAAGGAAAATGTACAACAGACCACATCACTCCTGCAGGCCCTTGGTTCAGATACCGAGGACATCTGGAGAACATTTCCAACAACACCCTGATTGGAGCCGTGAACGCTGAGACCGACGCGGTCAACACTGTGTATAACCAGCTCACTCAGGAGAATGGCGATGTCCCCGGCACTGCACGGTACTATAAGGCCCACGATCAGCCTTGGGTTGTGATTGCTGATCACAACTACGGCGAGGGCTCATCGAGAGAACACGCTGCCTTGCAGCCCCGCTACCTCGGTGGCAAAGCCATTATCGCGAAATCGTTCGCGCGAATTCACGAGTCAAATCTGAAAAAGCAAGGCATGCTTGCGCTTACTTTTGCAAATGAGGCGGATTACGACCGAATCCGTGCCTCGAATCGGGTGAGTATTTTGGGCCTCTCGGGGCTGGCGCCAGGAAGTCCCCTGAAGTTGTCGGTGAATGGAGAGTGGGAAGCTGAATTGAAGCACACCTTCACCCCTGAACAAGTCGAATACTTCAAAGCAGGAAGTGCATTGAATATGATGGCGAAGCAGTAAACTGCGCGAAGCTATCTGGGCCGTTTTTGTGGACAAATTTCAAATACCACCAATCTTTCACTCGAAATAACACACCCGCGCTTGTACTTTTGCTTATGAGCAGCCTCTATACTCAAGTAAAGAGGAATGCTCCCACGCTGTTCCCATTTGGTCAAAAGACTGTCGCAATCTCATCATTTCATGTCGGATTCCGTTCTGGATAGATCACAGCACAACACAGATTTCCCAGTCGCACACCGGGCTGTTTATTAATTGATCGCACCGTGGCTCTGCGCATAGACAGGGCTGAGATTTCCACACGATGGCTATCATGTTCGATACATCCCTGCCCAGGTGGATTGTTTCATTATCACGTGGCCAGAGATCTGAGCCTTGGAATCGGCTATCTGCCATTTCACAGGTATTCGGAGGCTCACCAACCTTAAAGTTGGTTGAATATATTGAGGGACCATCCATGTATGGGTCCGACATGAGCTTAAGTGAAGGGGCTCAGGGCCGTTTCCTGACTAGGGCGCATTCTTGTCATCCCGGACGACCGTCAAACGGCCCCCGCCCCCGAGGGCGGGGGGGAGTTGCTGGCACCTAAGCCACACGGCGAGTTAGTTGACCAGCGTACCTTCGCTGCTGTGTGAGTTTGCTCTTTTTGCATTCTGATCGATAAAAGATGACCAGGTACGGAGTACATTTGGGCCGCTGAATCCAGCTATGATTAAGTGACAAGGCAAGTTCACCTGCTGGTATAGACAAGTAGCCGGGTGAAGTTCTGCGCCGCATTGACCTGCCCAGAGCCTCATTGGATATTGGTCGCGTTGGTTCTGAAACCCATTCTCTTGGCATAGGCACCTAGCCTCGCCCCCTCAGCCTGATCTTGGCGCATGGGGTTAATGTTGGACTACTTTCTCTTCTTTCACCCAGCCTTCCACACCACGAGATCACCGTTCCCATCGCTGAGGAGAAGAGTCCGGTTTGATCAAAAGGTCGGAGTGGTGTCTTGTTTCATTGGCTGCTTACTACATATTCTTTCGATGGGGACAACTTGATCTGCAGACATCAAGCCGGGGTTTCGATTGAGACCCACCGACAAGGCTGTACGCCCTGCATGCATTGGCCTCTCGCCTGGGAGTCTCAGGGGCCATGGTCGGGGCTATGCATGGTCGGGTTGATCTTCTCCTGCTCCCAGGGCTGTATTCCAATGGGAACATTTCCACAGCAGGGCCCTCAATCTTCCCCCAACTTCTGCCGAGTCAGTGCTTGGGGTCTTTGTGTCCGCTACGGTCTAACCGTGATCGAACTGATCCCGGTGGTTCTACCCAGATTCAGGATCGCCTGCGACAAACCCTCGGAGAGTATTTTCTGCTGACTCCATGGCCAAGTTATGGATTTGGCTGCTCTTGGCCTTGGTGGCATCTTTAGTCCAAAGTGATACAAGCCGACAGGATCACTGGACGATGCTCTCTGCCAACAACTCATTCGGACAACACAGTAAGCCGTATTACGCCGGGGACAGCTTGGCTATTGGATGGAAAGGATGGAACGCAGCCGAAACGGAAGGCTTCAAGAAGAACGGCGAAACGAGAGCCAAACTCTATGTGCACGCGAACCCATCGTACTCCAATTGGTCTGATTTTCGCACATGTAGGCAACCTTCACCATTGAGGAGCCATGAAACTAAGTACTTGAAACAGCCAACGTCAAAATAGCTGCCGGCGGCTCGTACGAATGGAAAGTCGACATTCCTGAAAATCTCTTGACTTCTACGTTTTATTTTACTTTCATACCGTATGAGCAAGCTGAATTCAGTCTCAACGGTCCGCATATATCATCACCGTGGTTTCTTTTCGATGTATTCTATCATTCAAAATCAACAATGACATACTACACATCAACAAATGCTTCAACGGGGTCTACATCTGACATGGAGACTGTGGCCTCACCCAATACAAGTGGGCTCTCCACAAGCGCGAAAGTGGGAATCGGTATTGGCGTGACCTCTGGAGGGTTGGCAGTGCTAGCGGCGTTAGCATTTTTAATGCCCACCAAGTTGACGCATGCCTTGGAGCTTCCTCGAGGATGGATCAAGGCTCTTACAATCAAATGAAAGAGAGTATCAACCAGCCCACCGAAGACGGAAATTCCCACGGATGTTGACGACAGTACCCTTGATGAAAGTACAGATGCACAAGAGACCGATGAAGCCCCAAGATCATCGCGGTCAACGAACTCCAGTTCCGACACTTGGCTCTGGGAAGGTACAGCGGTGGTCTTCAGCATCTTATGCTTCACTGCCATCTTCTGCGTGGTGCGTGTTTATGACCAGAAAGCATCTCCAAACCTCCCCTACGGGATCACACTCAACAGTGTGATATCAATACTTGGTACCGCATCTAAATCTTCTCTGATATTTGCCGTGGGGGAGTCTCTTGGTCAGTTGAAATGGATGTGGTTCTGGGGGACCAAAAGACGCCTACGAGACTTGCAGTCATTTGACAGCGCGAGTCGTGGTCCTTGGGGGTCTAGCATCATCCTCTTTGAACACAAAGGCAACTCAATTGCATCCATTGGAGCTTTGATTATTATCCTAACGCTTGCATTTGACCCGTTCCTACAGCAGGTCTTGACTTTCCCGTTAAGACAGACATCCGGTCCATCGAATCTCAATCCGCAAGATTCCTCGTTCAATCAAGTTCACAATATTCTGCCGCTCTGGGATCCCGATTCTAGACCAGGATACTCATATCCGACCTCAAAGGGACGAAGCGAGTACGTTACAAACTTTGAAGAGGCTATTTTATCTGGGATCTGGTCTCGTCAGCCCCAGATAAATGCCACCTGCGCATCCGCAAACTGTACCTGGGAGCCTTTTCAATCTGTCGGTTATTGCGCTCAATGTGCAGACATGACCAGCTCGGCCGAATTCATTGGCTGTGATGATATGTTTTCCCCTTATTCAATGCCTTTCAACGCCACTAAAGCCTACGCTCAATCTACAAATTGCTCCATATCCTTAGCACAAGGATTGCTGTACCCGCTTAAAATGACATTTGCACTATCGAACAACAGCGATGGATATTTGTATGAGCAACTTTTGCCAGCTTCTGTCATCTGGGAGGCTTACAACAACCACCAAACATATAACAGCTCGGAGAGCAAATCTGTGCCAAGTTTCCATTTTCTCGGTATAGAAAACCCGTTGCTAGTCCTCGGGCATGCTGAGATCAATTATGATACCAATGACAGAGGCCTCGTTCCTCGCCCCGAACAGCTGCAGCGGAAGTTTGGCCGAGTTACAGGATGTGCTTTGTCGCTTTGCTCGAGAACTTACAATATCTCCATCAGGAACGGCAACCCTAAGGTTCAGGTGTCCCCCGCGGACTTTGGTGAGATGTGGTCTCCTAATATTTGGACCTCAATCCACTACTCTCGCCCACCCAATATGACACATTCACCGGAATATCAAAAACCCGGACTTAGCAGTTGGGATATATGCTGGAAGCAATGGAAAGGCCATCCTTTCCCATACCAGCCTTTTCCCTACAGGCAAACTCGTCTTTCACAGTCCAGCCAATATCCTCCAGCTCAGATTATCGATCCCAAGGGGTCTGCCTTCTGCAATGCCAATTCTCTTACACCAGACATTCTACAACACGTTGGGGGAGTGATCTACAATCGATTTCAGGTGTCTGATCACCAAAACTACTGGAAGTCCTCTGGATACAAAAAGGATCTCAATAGTAGTGGGGTGTTCAAACGCACTATGAGACTTGGACTCGAAAGCATGATGCATAACATCGCGGATTCTTTGACCAACATGGCCCTACGAGAAAGTGCCAATCAGAGCCATGGAACTCCACACGTCTCAGAGGTCTATGTGCAAGTGAATTGGCCATGGGTGGCTCTACCGGCGACACTGATTGTCTCGGCCTGTGTTCTCCTAATCATCACTGCTCACATCGCCAGGTCCCAAGACCGCAGGCTGTGGAAGACCTCTACCTTGCCCATCTTGTACCATGGGCTTGACAAGGATCTTCTGAAGGACACGGAAGAATACTCTACTCTCAGCAAGATGGAAGCCACTGCTGACTCCACAACTGTTGGACTTGGGCTGTCGGACACTAACGGCAGAGTCTTACTGCAAAGATGATCGGTATATGTATATCCGTTGACTGGTTTCTGGGATCTGACCCTGATCGGGTCTGGACATTTCATTAATGTTGGGAATAGTGATGTTTGGTTTTTTTTAAAAAAAGGAACAAATCCACAAATACAACCTTGGAATGATGGCCGATCTTGAGAGATGAGTACATCCAGTCCCCAGAGCTCGCTATATAAGAACACCTGGAAAAGGAACCTTGGAAGAATCTGGGGGTAAGAAAAAGTTCCGAGGTTTTGAAAGTGATATGTCAGTTGACTAGTTACATAGTGCAGTAGGGAAACAGCGCCAGTATTGGGTGTATTCTGTGTCTCAGATCTACGGTCGGAGGCAGCTAAAAGGTTCACACACTCTTGCATGGGTCAGCTTCTATTTCCTATTATGGCGCTGTAGGTAGACCAGAGACGTCGCCCACCACGGTGCTGAGGGTCAAGTTCATCTCACCTGGCACCTGGGCATCGTCCTGTGCTTTGTCAGACCGCCGTCGCGCTCTTCCTATTTCACTAGTAGGCGATCGGCAAAGTAAGGTAGCACAAGACCTTTGGCTTACAATATATCGGTATAAAAGCAGCACATGTACCATTTCACGTCCTCCGAAAAGCCGACTCGCATTCCGAACCAACCTACTTACAAAATACCATGGCTGCACCTCTGGACATCAACATCCTAAATCTCAATGGCAACTGGGTCCTGGTAATTCACTATCCTAGTCCCCTGTCTGACAGCTCCTGGCCTCGCTCCTCTCGGTGCTAACTAAGTCCCGTAGAACAAGGAGCTTACCACTGAAGCGGAACCCATTCTGAAGCTAGTATATCATCCCTTCCCGAAGACTCAGAGTTCACATCTAATATATCGACACCAGCAAAAAATTCCCTGGCTCATTCGAAAGGCCTTCTCATTCGCAACGATCTATATCCGGATCCAACAGTACCCCGTCAAAGATAGCGAGTCCAGCGACCCGCCTATCCAGATCGATTTCGAGCAAACGGCTTCTGCGGGCCTGGCTGGCACGAAAGAAGAACGGATACTTGACTGGGCTAGCTATGAACATACGGATTACTTCTTTGGCTCGGTAAAGGGTCAAAGTCGATTTGTTCATGGGACACCTGGCAAGGACGGTAGCATACGCCCGGAGTTTGAGCTTCAGACGGATACGAAAAGCGAACAGATAAAGCAGTTCCTACGAGGAGAAGTCAATGTCGATTTGACTAAAGCCGAGGGATTCTTGGTTGAGGCACAACACGAGCCATGCAATATTTCCAATCCTCCGGGTTGCTGGGTGCATACATTTGAGAAGAATGAGAAGTTGGGATGGACGGTCGAGCAGGTGAGTAACAGAGACGCTTCGGTTGAATCCCAATTGACATCGACTAGATTTGGGGATTTGAAAACATAGGAGGCTCGCGCTACTTCTCTCGACGGGTGGTGACTATGACGACCAAGGGGCAGTACCTCTGTGGGAGAATCGTATTTGATTTTCTTGGCCTCTAATATGGCAGCTTCAAGATCCTTGTCCTATTCACCCGAGAATGGAAGTTTGTATAATACAAGGGGTTCACCCGCAATAGTCTATGAACTTCAGAACATGCAATAAATAACCAAAGTAACCCTCCCCATACTCCGATACAGTGAATGACTTCATAGTTTCGCATACCGGTTAGTCTGGCTGGTCTTTCCAAAAGTGAAATAGAACAGCATAACCAACAGCCATGCCAGCCAGCTCTTGCGAGCAAAATAATCCATCACATAACGGATATCTGAATCCCGAGCAGAGCAGTGGTTCTCTGTATCGATATTCTTGAATAATTGTAACCCCATCCGCTCCTTCTCAGACAGTTTCTCATACACGGCAACTGTTTTGTTCTCAAGGAAATTGAAAGACGATCCCATGATGGTATACAGTCGGCAGAGACGGTCCTGTTTCCGTGACTTCCAATTCTCTTTGATCCATTTGGGCTTAACATCCCAGGGGATCCTGCGAAGTTTCATCACAGATTGCAACCATGTACTAATACGTCTTCGGGCCCGGATTCCGCTCACGGCGTGCACGCAACCAGTCGTGCCCACGGCAAGATGGCATAGAAGACGATCCGCAACAACATCAACAGGGACTTCATCAGATGTCACATCCAAATCAGGCTGATCCATCCGCGTAGCGGCTCCCATGTAGCGCCAGGGATATAAGAGTAGTGCGGCAGTGAACATTGTCGGCGGCGAAGACATCGGCATATTATATCCTGGGAAGGGCAGGCTTTGCGCCGCCCCAATGATGGCGGGACGTAGAATCATTAGCTTCTCGCTGCATTCTCTGAACCGGTGCAGCAGGAGTCTCTCAGTGAGATGTTTTGCGTAAGCGTATGACCAGGGGAAGTCTTCTGCTTCGTATGCTGTGCTTGTGCCGAATTCTCGGACTTCGTGCAGCTCGTCGAGAGCGTCACATCCGCTTGGGAGCGTGTAGAATTCCTCGTCGATCTTCAGATCCACGTCCTCGCTGTGCGGGTAGAGGTAGGTGTTTGAGTATGCGGTGGAGACATAGACGAAGCGATCTAGCATTTTGCAGGTCAGGGCAATATTTGCCACTGTTTCAGTAGCTTCAATGACGGGACCGTGCAGACGCTTCAATGGTGCGGCTAGGTTGATCGAGGATGCGGCGTGGATGATGATATTGGTGGTGTTCCGAATTGCCTCGAGCTCGGGCTCTGAGAGTCCCAAGTTGGGAACAAGGATGTCGCCATCGAGGACGATCAATCGACTGGGGTCACACATTGCATCGGCTGTGCCTTGGGGTAGCCACTCTCTCCATCTTGCTCGAAGCTTCCTACAATCAGAATATCAGTATAGTTCACTGCGCTCCTTTCACGGTCTCAGGCGACTCACTCAGTACCTCCCCTGCAAATTAAATAGATTCGTGAAACCGAGGTGGTCGTCAGTAGGCGATGCACAATCGCAGTCCCCAGAAACCCCGACCCGCCGGTCACCAAGATCGATTTCCCTTCGTAGTAGTTCCACATTTTGTGCAGTGAGATTGTAAGGTTGAAGAAGGGGTTGCTCGATTGAAAGCGCAGAGTAGCGCCTGGCTGAGGAAATCGTTAAGTACTACTCCGTATGTCTGCAGGGAGCATTGATGCGATCTATCACATATTAAATTTCCTCCTTACAAGATGGTCGTCATCGGATGAATCAGATCACATACAACTATTCCGTGCTCCAGATAATACCATGAATAATTGGCCTAAAATAGTTTAGTTCAACATAGTTCATTTAATATCGTACTTTTGCAGATCCCCTTGCATTATGCAGCAAGATCTTCGATACGGAGTAGTTGGCACCAATCAGAAAATATCCCCTGATCTCTGATTCTATGTAAAGTATCTGAGTGATGCCCAGCGCCAGCTGTGCTGCAGGAAAAACGAAATATTAAGCAGCACCTTTCATTGGGAACTAGACTGTTCAGAGGAGAACCCTGGAAAAATTGGGGTGTCCATATTCATTAAAATATTCTATCGGTCATAAGCTCTATAAATCTATCAAACGCACAGCGGATCTAAAACCTGTCAAACAAATCTAGTTTCGGTAAACAGAGACCATAGACTGCAGGGAAGGTTAGTACAGCTCTAATGATGGAATATCAAATCCAGGAATTGTACTCACATCGGCAAACTTGGGCTCAATAAACAAAGCCTTCGCCTCAGCAACCATGACAGCACCCTCATGATCTTCCTGCAGTAGACTGAAGTCCGAAATAACATTCCCCTCGGCATGAGGCACCGCCAAGGGGAGATAAGTCATGCAACCCTCAACCCAAGCCTTTCTGCCTTCGACCTTCGTCGTCTCCGTCCGCAGCACATACAAGCGATCCGGGAGAGCGGGCTTCCGGAAATCCACATTCAGATTAGCCGTCATGCCCAGACCGCTGGGGAACGCAGCAGAGACGCAGCGAGCAAAGACCTCATCGAACATGACGGATAGTAAACCGCCATGAACAAAGCCAGGGTGACCGCATAGATCTTGGCCGATGTGGAAGACCGATACGACACTGCTCGCTCTGTCACTTCGGGTCTTGGATCCGCTCTTCCCAGTCGAAAGCCACATGTATGGCTGGAATGCGAGCTTGCCGGGGCCGGTCAGGCTCCCGCCGACGAAGTGGTGCTGTCGGATTGGGGACGGGATAGCTAGATGAGGTCGCGACTCCTTGTATGTGCTGTGAGTGTCACGGAGGGATTGGACGAGGGGGATGTGAGAGACGAGAGAGTCTAGACCAGCTCCACTTTCGGACGATTGTGATGCGGGCTGTCTTGATGGGAGAAATGGAGGTGCTTCGCTTGCAGGCACATGGCTCTGGCTGTGGGGAATTGCTTGGTCGTGAACCACTGCGGAGCGCGAGGGTCCTTGCTGGTGAAGGCGGGCAATTGATGGCGAGGATGCCTTGAATGCATAGGCACCCTGTGGCCTAAGCAGACGCGCCATCTTGGAGATATTGGACATCTTGAGTATATATTAAGCCCGATATCGGCCGAGTATAGTGTGCTGTACGGGGTAGTGGCTGGAGCTTTCGAGTCAGTGTGGGCTGCAGGTTGCATGCTAGCTAACGTACCTGGTGGGTTGGAGATCTTCGGATTGTCTCAAGGTTTGGAGTTAGGCACGTCGATCTGGTACGAGGCCGTAGCGCTTGGCCTATAAATGCTCCGTCAACTGCACGATGTACCCGCAGGGGAATTGCGAAGTATTTAAAGATCAAATCCAACGCTCACGAATATCCCCGTTTTATTAAGCCGCCGATTTTTCATCGGGGCCACCAGTGGGGCCCAAACAGCCGATCATCGGCGCATCGGTATGCCGAAGTCTATCTCGGCATGCCGAACACTGATGTCATCGGATATCTTTCTTTCGGAGAGTCTGAGATACTGGATCTACGCAAACCAGGTTATTCTTGTAGGCTTAGATTAGTTCCTAGGCCGGCTTCCTGGAAGTGTGCAGCCAAGGATCTACAAGACTATAACTTCGTCACGTAGCAGCGGCTGCATGGAGCATGGATCAATCAATTGCATTCCGGGATACATTCTCCGCATTCCAGGTACAGAGGAAGCATCCTAGAACAAAGTACCATCCCCAAAGTTCAAAATAGGGCTACATTTAGTATCCGGCCGCTTGGCCGCAGCAAGCTGGCGGCCTGCCTTCCACGAGCCAGCCTCGAGGATCTGTGGAAGAGACAACTCAATGCCACCAAGCCGCTCTGAGATCTTGGGGTGCATCACATCCAGAAGGGCGACGGTCATCGCTCGCCACTCGACGATTTCATCATCCCCCGCACCAAAAGAAGGCAAAGCCCCACCGGAGAGAGTGAGGCCCCGCTGCAGAGCCTCCGGCTTCAGCTCCAGAACCCCCAGATCTACCAGCATCCCTCCATTACGGTACTCTGGGAGACCGGTCCCAAGGTGAGTATTGGTCCAGGTGGCGGACAGGAGACGGGAGAATGGCACCTGCAACGAATACGCTAACCACTGGGTAAGCTTGTGGAAGGGCTGGATGTTGGAGTAAGGCTTGGAATCGGCACCAGGAGCTTGCTCGAGGACCCGCAGGGGCCAGGCATCTCCGATAGGGTATCCTTCCAGATGGGTCCGGTCAGATGGCCAGATTGGAAGGAGGAGACGTTGAAGCACGTTCCAAAGATCCTTATAATCAAGCTTGCCACTCTCACTGGATTGCGCGATGAGATAGTCTGTCACCTTCTTAGCTGGGTTCGAGGAAGATGTGGTAAGCTCTCGAAAGATCCTTTCTACATACCAACGAGGTTTCCCGGACGTCCAGTGGGACCAAAGACATCTGGCAGGTTAATCAAAGACTCGCCAAGTTTGCGAACAATATCCGCACGGGCACCAACTCCGACCATGGGGTTGCTATCCGTAACTTGAAGTCCTCGGGACAAAACATCAATATTAATATTGCGGAGTGCCTCGCCTACAGTCGTGAGCCCAGATGTCCACAACTTCAGACGAAATAGTTATACTCACCATTCACAGTATGCTTGGACTCCGAGCCTGGGCCCGCGAATTCACCATTCAGGAACATGTGCAAGGCCGCCACGGCAATGCCCTCACTCCGATTCAGAGCATGGCCAGTTCCGGGCTCTTTATAGCGCCAGAAATCACCAGCACCGGCATCGAGAAGAACCGACACAAAGAAAAGATCAACTAGGCGGCGTGTCTTTTCCACTGTGGCGAGTCCCTGCTGGTCCCATTCGGTCAGAAGGTTGTCTATGCGGGGAACCCCGCCAACTTCGAAATGCTGCCAACGGCCATGCGGGGGAATGAGGTGGTATCTGTCTGGACCGAAGTCATTCTATCGATGTTAGTTTCTGAATTGCAGGCGATCAACATCTCATCTACCTTGATCAGTGCCGAGACATAGTCGGTGGCATCTTCCAGGCGATCAGCATGGTAATTGAAGTGGTTCAAACGACCCTGCTCAGCTAGTTTGAGGACGGCATGGGCTCTGGAGCGAACGGCTTCCAGTCCTAGTAGTTCTTCGATCTGGGGGTTCATATTCGCAATGGGAGGGGAGTTGGAGAAGGTGAAAGGGCCTGGAGGCCTCAAAGGCGGGGAAGTGCCATTAGGTAAATAGCTGCAAGCTGCATGTAACTCGAGCTCAGGCAGGGATGCAGCTAATCTCCAGGGCTATCGTTTATCGATGTGGGTCTTATCATCGGCCAGGTCCGATGGGGAATTTGGTGTCGAAGGCTTCAGTATTTTGGTGTAAACTATATAGATACACATGCTTTTTACAACAGATGCAGATTCTCACAATTAGAATGTCAGAGGGTCGAGGTGCCCAAGGAAGGACTTGTTGCCCTCGCCACGAAGAAGGGCATCAATGTCAATGCGACCCGCAGTCAGGTACTTCTCACTGACACCAATATTGATCCGCTGAGAAAGCTGCTGCTTGAGCTCGGCGCGAAGACCAGCCATTTCGGACTTGGTCATCTCGCTAGCTTCCTTGTCGCGACGCTCACGGCCACCACCACGACCACGGCCCTTGCCCTTGGACTGATCGAATTCGTCGCTGTCATACTCGACACCGAGATCGTCAGCCGCGGCACGAAGCCAGTTATCTTCGGTGTTGACCTTCTCCTTGGCAATGGTGGAGTCGGTGATGCGCTTGGCAAGGGTCATGCGGGGGCGGAGACGAGCCACGACCCGACGATCAATGTCGAGAGACTCGAGGGGAATTTTCTTGCTGGGTGCGTCATCGTCTTCGCCCTTGGTTCGCTTGGCGTGGATCTTTGCAGCGAGGCGAGCGACTCCGACAACTTCTTCGGGGGCACAGATGAGAATACTCTTTCCGGACTCGCCGGCACGGGCAGTACGACCGGATCGGTGGACGTAGGCGTCCGCTGCACGGGGAACGTGGTAGTGAATGACGCAGTTGATACCCTTGATATCCAAACCACGAGCAGCAACGTCAGTGGCAACGAGAATAGAGCTGGGGTCGGCGGTGGGTGAGGAGAAGCGCTCCACGGAGCGGAGTCGGGCCTTTTGAGCCATGTTGGAGTGAAGACCGAATACAGGGAGTTGCAGAACCTGCAAGAGCTGTGTGATGCGGCGGACGGCAGAAATGGAGTTTGTGAACACAATTGTGCGGTGCTTGGGATAGTATAGAAGAACTGAGTAGAGGTAGAGATCCTGGTGGTTGGTTAGCATGAGTTGGGGTGGTTTTATGACAGCGGCGTACCTTTTCCATGGCAGGGCATTCCACGATTCCCTCCTTGAGGCCGGAGGCCATTTGAGACTCGGGGTTCACGTCAATGAACTTGGGCTTCTCTTCGCGGAAGTTCAACTTCTTCAGGAGATACTCCATAGATTCCTTGTTGTCCAGCATGTCACCGCCACTCCAGCGGCTCTTTCCTGCCAGCTTTTGCTGAAGGTCTTTGTGGAATGTAGCTGAGAACACAAGGGTTTGCCTTTGGCTGGGCTCTTCCTCTTTTTTCTCTTCCATCTCGTCAATGTCACCGGCTTGTTCTTTATCAAGCGCGCCAAGAATATCTTCCACCTCCTTGAAGTTTCCCTGGCTCAGAAGCCTATCGGCTTCATCCACAACCAAGAAACGAATCTTCTGCATCTTCCGGATCAATCCGGTTCCGGTGCTGAGGATCTCCCACACACGACCGGGTGTTCCAATGACGATGTCTGCGTGTGCGAGCTGCCTCTGCTGCTTCTGGATAGACAGACCTCCGGTCAACAGAGCGATGCGGGCGTTTGTATCGGGGGAGTTGGCAATAAGTTCCCCGAGATGTCTGGCTAGCTGGTGGGCCAATTCACGGGTGGGAGACAGTAGCAGTGCAATGGGAGCTTTGGTCTTTTCCTCCTTCTCTCCCTGCTTTCCTCTCTGGTCGAGGTAGTGCTCGATAATGGGAATGCCGAACGCCAGCGTTTTACCGGAACCCGTAGAGGCCTTTCCAACAACGTCGTGGCCATCAAGGACAGCCGGAATGGCAGCCTTCTGGATAGCTGATGGTTGGCTGAACTTCATCTTGGAAAGAGCAGTGTAGATTTCGGAGGAGAGGTTCAGTGCATCCCAGGCTGAAACATCGACTCCATCATCATCCTCGGCCTCCTCAAGAGCAGCAAATGAGATTCCGCTCTTGATGTTTCGATCCTGGGTTGATTTTGAATCTTTGGGCTTTTGGTCCTTGGGTTTTGTCTCGTCCTTCTTTGCCTTCTTCTTCTCCTTGGCCTTCTCCTTAGCAATTTCCTTCTTCGACTTCTTGTCTTCCGTGGCTTTGTTTACTTCAGGCGCGGCGGAGGTCTTCTCGGCGTCGGCCTTGTCAGCAACGGGTGCCTTCTCAGATGAATCCTCGTCGCTGAATCCACCCCACTCCTCACCATCATCGTCTTCTGAGGGGGGCTTGATAATCGACTTTCTTGGCTTTCCGGTCTTGGCCTAATTACCAGCAATAGGTTAGTCTTTGGTCCTGTGCATTGAGAAAGGTGACTTTTTACCTTGAATTGAACATCTCCGCCGCTCTTGATGATATCAACACCCTCGATTTCCTCAAGACCAAAGAAGCCCTCAGCATCCTCCATCCGGTCGGGCATGGCAACTTCTTTCCAGTTGAGGTCCTCGACTCCGACGGAGCGCTCATCGTCGCTTCCAGTGTCAGCCTTGACGGCCTTCTTGCGCTTGTTCGCCTGAGCCGCTGGGGCCTTGGGATCACGTCCTCTCTTCTGACCCATGATTGATTCGAATATCTCTGAGTATTACAGAGTGTACAAGTTGACAAGAGTGGACAGCAGCGGCGGATTCGCAGAGAAAAAAAGCGGCAGAAAATTCAGTCCGCCTTGGAATCTTATCTTTTCGTTCCCCACGTTCGATCGCAAATTTAACCCACTTCGACGGCCAATTGAGACCCTTCCACGACGTGCCTGTTTTCGAAATGGGTAAATCCTCAAAGGACAAGCGAGACGCTTACTACCGTCTCGCCAAGGAGCAAAATTGGCGCGCGCGTTCCGCCTTCAAGCTTATCCAAATCGACGAACGATTCGACCTCTTCGAGCACGAGAACCCGGACAATGTTACCAGAGTCGTGGATCTGTGCGCTGCACCTGGAAGTTGGAGTCAGGTGCTCAGCCGAGTACTGATCAAAGGCGAAAGCTTCGGTCGGCGAGCATGGCTCGAGAAAAAGCGACAAGAGCAACAAGGCCTAGAAGCCACCCAGGCGACCGAGGACAAAATGGACTGCGACGAGCCCACATCAAGCGCTGAATTGAAGCCTCGGAAAAACGTCAAGATCGTCTCCATCGATTTACAACCCATGGCTCCCCTCGAAGGCATCACAACCCTCAAAGCCGACATTACACACCCCTCTACAATCCCCCTTCTTCTGCGCGCCCTGGACCCAGAAGCTTACGAACAACCCGCCGTCTCTTCCGACTCTCCTGCAGCCCCAGAGGCTGTAAGGGAACCACACCCCGTCGACCTGGTCATCTCCGACGGTGCCCCCGATGTAACAGGTCTGCACGATCTAGATATCTATATCCAGTCACAACTTCTGTACGCTGCACTCAATCTGGCCATGGGCGTGTTGCGCCCCGGCGGCAAATTCGTCGCGAAGATCTTCCGTGGTCGCGACGTGGATCTCCTCTACGCCCAGCTGCGCACTGTCTTCGAGCGTGTCAGCGTCGCAAAGCCACGGAGTAGTCGTGCAAGCAGTCTGGAGGCCTTTGTTGTTTGCGAAGGCTTCATCCCACCCATCAGTGACAGCGGTGTTGTCGGCATGGCTGCATTGAAGAACCCGCTCTTCGGAGGCGCCGCGGCCCCAGTGCCAGTTTCGGCCGATGGCAATGTTGGCGTCGAGGTCCGTGAAGAGATTGATGAGCTTGCGGATGCTCGCAAGACTGCTTCTATCTCAACAGATACCCCTACATCCAATCACACAACTGAGGTTCGTCATCTCCAGACGACGACTTCGTCACCGGCTCAGCCGCAGAAATTGACGAACAAGTTTGCCGTTGAGAACCGGTGGATTCCTTCCTTCATTGCTTGTGGTGATCTTTCTGCTTGGGACTCTGATGCCACTTATACTTTGCCACCAGACTATGTGAACTTGGACCCTATTCAACCGCCTACTGCACCGCCGTATCGGCAGGCACTGGAATTGAGGAAGCTGAAAGGCGGTGCATATGGAAAGACCAAATTCGGGCCTGTATCTCAGGCTTGATGACGTTGCATGAATTTCTTTAATCAAAAGCTGTATGTATAGACGACCTAGATACGAGATTGCATTTGCGCAGACTGCAACGCGTGTTTAGAGCAGATACCCAAATACATTCCATTCAATTCTATCGAGCCATGAAGTTTTCATACGGAAGGTTCAAAGCCTGACACCTGAGACCTTCCATTCTAGCACTGACCTTTTGTCTTTGGGTCTCAGCGTCAATTCAAGCCCCTGGTCGCCCTGGCCCGCTGACTGACTACTACATACGTATGATGATCTGCTCGCTGAGTACCTTTGAATCTTGGAAGGCTGATCTACTAGGTATTGTAGCTGGCTAAATTCTGGGCCGATCAACCTCCCAAGCTTCTGATATACGTAACTTGCCAGGCAACAAAATTCGCATTCTGCAATATTTAAGCTCGGCTTTGACCTGTTCTAGGAAAAGTACTATATCTCCTATGCGAGTAAATCTACGAAATGGCTGACCCAAAGCACTCCATCTCTCGCGTCGCAAGCTCGGATCTCCCCTTCCTGGCGAAATTCATACACTCCGCCAAACTTTCTCTAAGCATCAATCGTCTTCTGTATCAGCCATGGCCCAATGATCCTGTCCAGGAAAAGCAGTACACAGGAGCTGTCGAAGGTGCATTTGCGGACTCCTCGATGGAATGTTTCAAGACGACTGATGATGACACCAATGCAATCATCGGCTACATTGTCCTGGCGAGAAAATCAGCCATCAAAGACTTGAAGGTCCCTGTCCAGTCCGAAAGTGATAATGGCCAAAATACACCAGAGGGAATGAACCCCGGTGTCTTCGCTGAAGTATCGGCCGCAAACATTGCCCTAAGCAAGGCAACCGAAAACATCGACCGTTATGGTAGGGCTTGAATACACCGAATTTGAATTACTCGACTAACAGCGTATCTAGAATTGGTCTACATGTGTGTCGATCCATCCTATCAGCGACAAGGTGTTGGCTCCAAATTGATCCAGCTTGGCTTTGACCGGGCTACAGCAGAGGGTCTTCCACTTGCTGTCGCTGCCGAGGCTCCTGCCTATGGATTTTTCGATACACTGGGTTTCAAAGAGACAAGCCATGTGGATATTGATTTGGCAAAATATTCTCCTGTCAATAGCGGGTTTGGAGTTTTTCGCCTTACTGGCATGGTTTGGACGCCCTAAAGGGGATACTATCGATCAATAGAGCACACAAGGTGTCACGGCAATGCGAATCCAAATGGAGAATGTCTTTGCGCCATATTGAGTGCCAGTAACTAGTACGGGGTTTCAACCCTATTGGAAAAGGAAAAAAGCCAAAGATAGAAAACATAGAAAAGACACCCGTTGTAAGGGCGGGCCGTATGTGACACTACAGTACGTACGCGCAAAAGCGAGGGAGGAGAGAGTTGATTTCTCACTGCCCGCAGGCTCCTAACTACCTACACAAGCCATTGGTAGATCCGCTTCGTATAACGTTCCGATCCGCGCGCGGCGTTGGATAACAACTGGAATCGGCGTCTCGTTCACGGCTTGGAAGTAGGTGAAGTTAACGTCGACTAGGTGGGTATAGAAACTGGCTTGGTGACGTCCCTCGTCCCTCGAAGACGTAGTCTCTGTTGACAGGCAGGCCCCGTTGACATCTAGCTGGAATATTCGCAATCGAGCGTGGAATGGTGTGTTTGTTAGCGTACACTGGGCGCTGCGCAGCTTGCGGCTTTGCATGAACGGAGATTGGAGCGATCAATCCGCCACAGGATGGTATTCTAACTTGCCCAGTCCCGGTTCCCAGTGGAGACGTCCGTTTGAAAACAGCGCGACCAGGCGAATTGGATTGTAAGTGAACTGCAGTGGATAGTCATCCAGGTCGAGAATTGGGTCTGGCGGAACTGCTTCTGTAGCCAGAACTTGTCCGATCGTAAATCCTCTGTGCTGCATTCGTTTTGTACCAGGTTTTTGCGCAATTTGTGCCGTGTACATAGCGCCGGCCTGTCCGCCGAGCAGCAAATATCCCTTGTAAAGCGGAACCCATAGGATCCTGAAGCCGTCCTTGGCGAACGTAGCTTCCAAGGTTAGTATTGTCCATGCAATTGTCCAAGTTGCCCGGGTGGGAGGTACCCTGGTGGCAGAACGTTCCATCGCTGACATCTGTTAACCGCGGCCAGGTCAACATGAGTGTTGTTATGGTGGATGAAGGAATCAGCCATTTGGGAAATGTCAGATGGATGGCAGAGGGCGGAGTATAGGTGAAGGTCCAGCTTTGGCGCTACCTAGGTAGGGTCCTCCTCGCAGGCCGGTGGGACCTGATAATCGCCGTATGCTAACCTTGGAAGAGGAACTCGATCGGATCTGGAGAAACGCTATTTTCACTATTTTCAGGTTCTTGTGTCATAAGTGGACTTTGGGGTGAGTTTTTTTTTCTTGGTTTTGGGCTGGTCGGATAGTGTGTCTGGTTTCTTCACTTTGGCTATGTTGTTCGTGAGGATCTCAAGTTCAGTGTGAGTGAAGTCGTTAGACTCAGTTTTAATAAGGTAATTAAAGAAAGTTGTGTAATAAGTCTTATATAGGGTAGAAGTTGTGTAAACAGATGTGGGTAACTTCAGTGAAGTTATATCGGTGGTATGAAGTACAAGTGAGGTGAGTATTTAACGAGCGGAAGCATGTCTAAGAGTGAAGATAAGAAGGTGAAGAGGTAGTGAGGAGAATTCAAAAGAGAAGAACCTTGGAAAGAACACGAGAAAGGTAGTAGAAGAAGATAACAGCAAGAAGTTATGACCTAGGCCACGAGGATTCGAAGCTCTCTTCATCCGCGAACTATACCAAGGTTGTTCAAATTCCGTGACAAGTTCTTCTTCATAGTGTGCTCAAGTGAATCCAGCATCTAGTAGCACAGGAAGCAAGCTGTCTCCGTTGTTTCAACCTAGGCCCAATATCACCAACCAATGCCGGAGAGAATAGTACTGTTTTCAAGATCAATAGAATCAATCATGTAACAAAATGCATTTTGTCTATAGAATGCGCTGAACCTAAAGATCCAAGGGGTAATAAACAAGAAACCAAGCTCGTGAATATCATCAAGATGCAAATCAAACCATCTAGTAAACCTCAAGAACGTAACGCTCCTCATCCTTAAGCTTCTCAATCTCCTTGCGAGTCTCAACCTTCTTGCCAGTGTTGCGAGCCTCAGTGGCAATAGCCTCCTCAAGAACAGCAGTAACATCAGGCACAGGCCAAGTAGGACCACACAGGTAGAAGGCACCCTCTTCCCGGATGTAAGCCTGGATGATCTCAGGCAGAGTCTGGCGCATACGGTCCTGGATGTAGATCTTCTCAGGCTGATCACGAGAGAAGGCAGCACCAAGAAGGGTAATGACACCTGCTTCCTGGTAGGCCTCCCACTCCTCACCGTAGCAGTACTCCTCGCGCTGGTGACGAGAGCCCATGTACAGCAGGACTGCACCGATTTCCTTGCCCTGGGCCTTCTCGAGAGCGCGGTGCTGCACGAAGGCGCGGAAGGGAGCAAGACCAGTACCCAGACCGGCCATGATGAGGGGCTGGGTGGACTTGGGGGGCAGCTTCATGACACTGGACTTGACACTGACAGTGATGGGGGAGCCGACGCGGAGGCGGCTCAGGTAGCGGGTGGCGAGACCGAAGCGGTCGGTGCCGTTGGGGGCGGTCCAGTTCACGGCGACGATCATCAGAGCGACGGTGGTGGGGGTCACCTTCTGGCAGGAGGCAATGGAGTACTCGCGGCGCTTGAGGGGACCGACGATGCGGACGATCTCGTGGAACTCGGGGTGGGCGGAGGGGTATTCGAGCAGGATGTCGGCGAAGGTGACGGTGTCGACTTCGGCGCGGCGCTTGAATTCGGTGGCGCCGTCGGGACCACCCAGGGTCTGGAGCTCCTTCTTCTCCTTCTCGTCGGTGGCGAACTCGGCAAGGGCCTCGTAGAAGCGCTTGGGGGGACGACCGTAGATGTCGACGTTCTGGATCAGGGCCTGGTACACAGTGCGGTTCTCCAGGACGGCGGGGTCCTCGCGGCTAGGGACCTCGACGATGGCATCAGGGTCCAGGCCGTAGAAGGCAATGAAGTTGTTGATGTCCTCGGGGTCGTTCTCGGCGTGGATACCGAGAGCCTCACCGATGTCGTACTTGAGGCCGGTGTTGCCGAGGTCGAACTCGATGTGGAAGATGTTACGGTCGTAAGTAGTGGGAGTGAGGCGGCGGTTCTCCTTGACGTGGACGGTAAAGGTCTTGTGGGCGAGGTCGGGACGAAGGGCATCCTTGGTACCGTAGGCTTCCTTGAAAGCCAGGCCACGGGCGGCAGTCTCCCAGTCCTTGAGGAGGGTGGGGGGCTCGGACTCGTTCTTGTCGAAGGGAACAAAGCTGTTGGCAGTGATATCCTTGGGGAGCTGCTCAATCTCAGTGACACCCTCGGGCTCCTTCCAGGACTCGGGAACCTCGATCTGGCGAAGAGCCTTCTCAAGGTCCTTGGTCACGGCGTCAAGAGCCTCGGCGTTGCCGGTGATGGCAGACAGCTTCTTGGTGGCCACACCCTCCTGTGCGGGGAGTGCGACGCGCACAAAGGCGGCCTGGAGGACGAGCTCATCCGCAGGGGAGGTTTCGATAGCTGAGGAGTCGACAATGAAGACGGGAATGCTACGCTGAGCAACGGCCTGCTTGAAGTTGGCGGGCAGCTTCTTCTCCAGATCCTCGTCCTTGACACCAGGGGCGTTGATAATGATCTTTCCGGTGTCCTTGACAGAGGCCAGGACATCGACATCCTTCAGGAGAGCAATGTCACCGACGTAAGAGACGTCAGCGGCAGTGACGGGGTAAGGAGCGTCAACAATCTTGGAGCTCTTGCGAATATCGATGCGAACAGCACCACCCTGAACAAGGTTGTCGTGGACCTTGCTGACGGTGACGTTGCTGGCGGAGTCAGCACCGAGGGCCTGGCCCAAGGTCTGCGCAGCCTCCACGGTGACGGAGCTATCGACATCCCAGAAGGTGTACTCCTGCACGGAAGCAGGGTCCAGGAGCTGCAGAGAGGCGTTGGTCTCGCCGTCGACAGTGAGGATAGGCTGGTCGTAAACACGCTGGAAAGCAGCAGCGGTGGAGATCAGATCCCAGCGCTGAGCACGGGGGTACTTGATCTCAACAGCAGCAGGGGTCTGCTCGCGATCGGTGGCAAAGGTCAGGGCAGCAAGGACATCCTCGTAAAGAGCGGAGTGGACACCCTCTTCCTGGACGGCTTGCGCGGTGGCAACCTGTCCAAGGACACCAACAGTCTGGGTAGACTTAGGGAGAACACGCAGGAACTCCTCCTCGATGAAGGGACGGTACACACGGACATTAACAACACCCACATGGACGCCATCCTTGGCGAGGGAGCGGGCAATCTGAGCAGTGAGGGCAGCCTCAACAGTGCCGAAAGCCACCAGCACGGAGGTAGGCTCCGAGTGACCGTGGTACTCGAAGGCACCGTACTCAGTACCAAGCTCACCGTTCAGAGACTTCAGAAGGTCCAGGACCTTGCCTTGGGCATCGAGGTGACGGTTGCGGGACTCGTCGAGAGTCTTGCGGACGTTCTCGTAGGTGCGGGTGAGACCCTCCTTGTCGAGGACGTCAATGACACGGGTGGTGTCGCGGCCAACGCGGACACCATCGTAGATGTGCAGGGAAGGAAGAACGGAAGACAGCAAAGTAGTGAAGAGGGCCATGTGCTGAGAGTCGTGTACGGATCCACTGGAGACGAGACCCAGGCCAAGGTCCTCAGCCAGAGACAGAGCAGAGGCATAGTCGGAGACCAGGCCGTCCTCGCCCGCGTAGTCAACAGCAGCCACGTGGGCCGCGACAGGGCTGGCGACGGAGTACAGCAGAGAGAGCTGCTCCAATGCGGCGCGCATGTAGGGAAGGGTTGCTGATGAAGCAACGATTCCCTGAGGGATGTGGCGCTTCTTCAGGTCAAAGTCCTGGGAGAAGAGGTATCCCAGCGCCAGGTTACCGGCACCTTGGCGGGTTTCGAGGGTCTTGACCACGGGAGACTCGCCGTTGGCGTTGGTCTCGTTCTTGGAAGTCCATTCCTTGAGCGCGGCGTCAAGATCAAAAGACTCCGGTGAGTAGGAGAAGATCTTGTCACTCAACAAGTACGCGACTTGCTGGATCAGTTCTTGCGCAGTGACATAAGTCGGGCCATTCAAGGCCGACAAAGCTGGGACGGATGAACCCATCTCTTGATATCAAACTGACACCGGAACGACTGGAAGCAGATATCAATTGGAAAAGGAAGAACACAGCTCTCCCTTGATACCAGACCGATATCTTTTTAAAAGAAAAAGAAGGTAAGATAATGGGGAAAGCGAACCTGAGCCGCGGGGATCAAATATTTAGATCGCCGCAACTGCGATTGGCCACCAGATCGATTGCGTGCTCATCCGTGCGTGGGTAAACAGGGTTTTAAGTCGTGGCAGTACGCACTCGGCCGATGGTAGGCGGGTATTGGTCATGTTTGCGTGGCAATAAGGCCCCGGAGTTCATCCGAACTGCAGCCGCTTTCGGAGGCCCAGTGCCTAGCACGTGACTCGGTCTTTGCTTTTGCCGAGATCGGTCTCTGATTGGCCGAAGTATAACGGCATCGTCCTCACACTGGTACCTGCAGTACCTAGTATGGAGTATCCGTACTGAGATGCAGTAGAATCTAGGATGGCAATGTGCTGTGAGGAGTAAGTACCCTTGCAAGATTTTCACTGAGGGCCAATATCGTGTGCAGTCCCGAGGTCGTGGTGCGACCATCCATGATGTTCTGTGCTGTGGCACTGAGTGCGGAGTATATGTTGCGGAGTCTGGGGGATTATCACGGTAACCTTGGAACCTGTGGTTGAAATAACACTTATGTAGTGGCCTTTAAGTTAATTTAGAGGGTAGCGTCTCTAACTGTTACCATTTACAGATGCTCGATGAGATTTTTGGGTTCGCTCTACATTTTGGAATCAAATATGGGCATCATTTGATTTCTTTCATCGTTCATGATTCAATATCTCAACTAGGTCCTGCCCAGGAGGCTCCAATATCTTGACCTTTCGATCAGATCTTCGAGCCCTGTGAGAGCTTCTTCTCCTCCGCCTTATAGATCTTCACCAACTGACGCACCGAGAGGTCGAGGAGGACATCTTCCGAGCCACCTGGAATCCGAGCACCAGGAACGTCACGAAGAATGGCTACAAAAAGTCAGTTTAACACCCACACATAGCTGAGAGTAAGAGCCTACCTTCAACCAATTCACCCTGTCCAGTCCTAGTGAATCCATTTCCACCAAAGAGCAAAACAGCCGTCTGGGCACACTCGTTGAGAACCATGGCAGACTTCGCTTTGGCCAAAGCCGTCAAGCCACCCAGTTGGCGATCGCCTTCCTCTTTACTGAGGTGAACCAACTGGTACAGGATCTGTTCAACCCACGCCCACATTGATTCCAGCTCCGCGCCCGCCTTGGCGAGACGGTGCCGGACGACCGGCTGGTCCATCAGTGTCTTCCCGAAGGCCTCGCGCTTCATACAGTAGGAGAATGCGGCGGAGAGAGCCACGCGGGCTTGGCGGGTGACTCCGACGGCGATGACCAGTCGCTCGTGGTTGAAGTTGGTCATGATGATGCGCATGCCGTCGCCCTCGCGGCCGACGATGTTGGACACGGGGACCTTCACATCGTCCAGCTCGATGTAAGTGGTTCCTCCGGCCATTTGTCCCGAGACCTTGAGTCGGCGCATGGTCACGCCGGGGTGGTTCTTCAAGGGGACGACGAGCACGGAGAGGCCTGCGGCCCCGGGACCCCCTGTTCGGACGGCCATGGTCGCATAGTCTGACCAGATTCCGTTGGTGATCCTAGGAAGCGTGAGCGTTGAAACCAGATCTCCCCGAGAGGACATTACCATTTCTTGGATCCATTGATGATATAATGCTGGCCATCGGCACTTTTCACTGCAGTCGTGGTGATGTTGGCGACATCACTACCCGCCTCGGGTTCTGTGATGGCGATACAACCACGCTTCTTGCCTGTCAGCAAGTCCGGCAGGAACCGTTCCTGTAGCTCGGGACTGCCGAACTTGACAATTGGGGGGATTCCAAATGCGAATCCGGCGTTCAGGGAGCCACCGGGGCCACTGAGACCTGATCGGCCCATCTATTCGTCACTCGGTTAATTTCAACACTTGACTACCGTCGTCTGGAACCTACCTCGTCGCAATAAATTCCCGTATAGATATAATCCCAATCTTCAACCTTGACTCCCAGGATATCATTGATCCCCAGACGCTTCAGCCAGTTCACTGGCAGGGGAGCCGGCATGTTAGGCAAGAGCATATTGTGCTTGCAGAATGTGTGGAAGACATGCTCAGGCACGGTTCCTTCGCGCTCCCACTCGAGGGCATTCTGGAGCAGGTTCTCTGTCGCGAATTTCCGGCATGCCTGTTGGAAGCGACGGTGTGCAGGGGTGATATAGGGGGAGGGGAGACCCCGGACATAGGGTGGCTCCGCAAATGGAATCAGATTTGGTGAAGTGTCGACCATATTGACAGATGTGAAGTGGTGTTCAGTGATCAGTGGCAGGGGTTAAATAGGTTCTCCGCATTCCGGGGTAGCTCCCGCGACCGAGCCTCGGCGTCTCCGATTTTCACACTTCACATTCACTTGGCTGCTTCTCCACTACAATTCGGCACTTGGTCAGATCTACATGTTATGCAGCTCAATGCATAAAGGACTGATTTTCAGCTGGAGTGAGTCTGACACGACCTTCTATTTTCCATCAAGCAAACAAGCATTAATCATAGCTCATACGAGGTGTCTATCTTGCCAAATTTAAAGAGACGGAGACACATGAAGATCATCCTTATGAAACCCCTGTTAGACTATCGCAATCCTCTCAAAGAGATGATCTCCACCCTCAGCCACCGCTTCCCCATGCATAACTCCTTCAACATACGCCTCGCCGATCAAAATCCAAGAGTCCGGCTGCTCGAGAGGAACTTGCAACTCGTCCAGTCGCTGTTTCGCATCAGCAATTCCTTTATGGAACGCCTTGGTAGAAAGTACTCTTTTCCATGCAGCATATTGCTTCAGTTTCTCCAACGCAGATTCTAGTTTTGTGATACGATCCCGCTGGGTTTTGACCAGGGCATCGCGATGCTTTTAAGCAGGTTGGACAATGTAAGGCACAGCGCTGCCTTTCACCAGCATCAGCTGATCGCCCCCGTTGGGCTACTTGGGTCCCATGCCCAAAGGGCCTTCCTTCATTTCAAAGAAAGCACTCCAGGGTGCTCTTTTATCAATCGCATCAAGATATCGTTGGGCTGGAGGTGATATTGTGTGGTAAAAGTCAAACAGGAATCACTTATAAACGCTGGAAACGGTGTAGGCTAGTACTTCGTACAGGAAGAGACGAGAATGGATTATAAGACTCCCCAACCGTCGGGGAAGAAGAAGATACATACGATATTCCGAACGAAGTACGGAGTATACCTGCCAGCTAGGGACTAATGAAGCCTAAGCCACTCAGGCACCCGGGCATGAGCCCCCTTCCGGGATAAGCGAAAACTGATATATCACTCCATACTAGCCTTTTGGCACATACATACTCCGTATGCTCTGCCAGAAGGAAAGAGAGGAAACCAAAGGCCGGCGCTATCATAATCTCTGGAGGACGTACTAGACTCCTTCCAAAGCCCCGAAGAGAGAATATGAGCCTTCAGCCCATCCGACAAGGTGAATAATTGCTCTCTCGGCATTGTCATTGTCTCCATAAGAATTGAGTCCATTGGCGCAGATATGCCAGGCTTTGCCCAGGTGCAAGGCTGTGCAAGAAAGGGAGATGGATGCATCCTATCCTGCTACCCATAGCGAGCGCGGGACTTAGTGTCGTCTCGAATGTTGGTCTTTACTATCAAGGCAGCGGGTTTGAATCTAGAACGTGCTCTAGACAGCCGAACGGTGACAATGAATCGCTGCGCCACAATATGATCGGCTGCAAGGGCATGGTCCGAGCTGTAGCTGTGCTGACCGCACACGAAGTACTGAGTAGATTTGTTTCGTCATCTTCATTATGCCGAAACATTCGAGCCATGCAAAGTACGGGGGAGATTGAATCCCAAGCGAAATGGCGTAGTCAAGTGGGTCCGCTACCCGTTGACCGTGGACCTAATGACGAAATGCAGACTTCAACTGCGCAACTCCCAACTCTCTATACTCACACAACATGGCAAACGTCGCATTGGTCGGTGCCACTGGCATGGTCGTACGTCTCCCTTACCATCCAAAAGATCCAAACTAATCCACACAGGGCTCCCACATCCTTAACAGCCTCATCGCCAATCCCTCCGTAACCCGCGTGGACACCATCTCCCGCCGCACACCTCCCGTCGCCAGCGGCACACCACCCGCCAAGCTGACCAACTTCGTCGCAACCGACACAACAACCTGGTCCAGCCAGCTGAGCTCCCTCACCCCCACGCCCAGCATCTTCATCTCCGCCTTCGGCACGACCAAAGCAGCCGCCGGCAGCTTCGAAAACCAATACAAGATCGAGCATGGGCTGAACGTCGAGCTGGCCAAGGCTGCGCGCGATGCCGGCTCGAAGGTCTACGTGCTTATTTCGTCGAGTGGCGCGAATAAGGATTCCAATATCGCGTATACGCGGATGAAGGGCGAGATCGAGGAGGATATTAAGGCGCTTGGGTTTGAGAGGATGGTTATTCTCAGGCCTGGGTTGATTGCTGGAACGAGGGAGGAGAGTAGGCCGCTCGAGGCGGGGATTCGGTTCATTGCTTCGTGGGCTGGGAAGGTGCACTCTGGGTTGAAGGATGGGTGGGCGCAGGAGGCTAGTGTTATTGGGAATGCGGCTGTTGTTGCTGGTTTGAAGGCCTTGGAGGGAGATGTTCCTGCTGGTGGTGAGAAGGTTTGGACTTTGTTTGGGAGTGATATTATGAAGTATGGCAAGGAGGGCTCTTCTTAGGGGTTTGTGGAGATTGGACCATGTCTTTTCGACCTGATGACTTTATGTTAGTTTGGGAGGTCCTTTGTGTATTCGTTGTTGGAATTGATAACTATATACTTTAACGTGCGAGTCAAATCTGGGAAGCTGGAGGCGCACATTCATACTAGGTATAGCAGAGCTAGTCGGTGCAAGAGTGCATATTAAACCAAATCAATTCCAAGGTTTATCACAATATACATTTCTCGCTCGGAATTGAAACATTGAACAGAAAGCACTTAATCCCGGTAAGATACATGAGTCCCATCCTCCTTGACATGAATGCCGCGACCCTTCTTCGTCTTCCCAGGAGTGCTCGAAGCCTCACGATCCTTATTCCGAACAGGTCCCCCTTCAGTCGGTCCCCTCCAAGCACTGACATCCTTGTTCGCGGGGCTCATATTCAAAGGGTCATCCTTGCCTTCCTGTCTGCTCTCCCTCGCAGTCGCTTCGTGCTCTGCTTCTGGTGAAGTGTTCGACGGATCAAAGGCAGAGGGGTGCTTGGCCACTTCGCCATCAGTACCAGATTTCGCAGTCTCTGATCGCTCGGGGTTGAGTGTCTCGCGGTCCAGCAGGCCATAGTCTCCTTCCTTCTTGGTGTTGGCAGTCGTGCTGAAGGGAGTCGCTGAGATGGCGGATGGGGTGGTTTTGGAGAGCTGCACGCGGGTGGCGCGGGTGGCTTGTTGACCAGTTGAGATAATTAATTTCCACATGTTGGTATGGTGGAATGATTATTCGCGATGGTTGTGAGATAGCTCAGATGTGGGTGAGGCTGTATATTCGGTATATTCGACAATTAAAGGTCTATTGAATCGTAGGCCGAGAATAAAGATTTTTCAGAGTGAATGAAGGTCTTCAAAGTGTCATTTGCAAGGAATCAATTACACCAGGACCTTTTAAATGCCCAGCAAGTCGTTCTGCCTTGTTCGGCTATAGATCAAATCATGTTGACGTCATTCGATGGAAAACGGTGCTTACTTAATCTCGTTCTGAGCCCTAACGAGATAGATGCCAAGGGAGTCTCAAAGCGGAGTGATGATTTATGTTGGCCTATTCTTTTACTTGTATTGTGCTAGGAAAATAATGCTATACCATACGGAGTGAGTTTTGCGGAAAATTGTAGGCGAGGTGGCTTGATACTGAACTCGGTGTCTGCTACCGACAGATAGTATGATCGAAGTCCATGCACTGGAAGACGCGGAGATTGCATAGGGATTTCGGTTTAAGTGAGATCTGCACACTATGAGAAGCTGTAGATACATACAGTTAGTAAGTGACAGGACTGAGTCACTCCAGAGGTACTCATTTCAAGGCAAAAATGATGGGGAATTTCCTGCGGACACGAGGAGCGTGAGTATGCCAGGTGAGCCGCCGGAAAAAGGGAAGAAAAGCCTGTCAATGCAGACGAGAAGCGGGTGCAAAAGACTGACACCTCGGAATATGCGGACGTAAAGGCCCAGGTCGCAAAAGCCACGATCTACCAATAAGCAACGAGACTCGGTCTTACTCACGCAAGTGCTAGTAAGATGCACAGGTCGCAGGATTGCAGGAGGGGTGGGGGGATGTCTCGCTAGGTGCATATGGCTGGCATCCCGGCCAACGCCTACGATTGGACACTCCGCCGGACTGCAGATGAGGATAAGTCCCCGGGCAGACCAATCCCCGTGCGTCGAAGCAAGATCCAGGCGGTGGCATTTTGGCTTTCCAGCGCCCAAGGGAGGATATCCAGCAACCATTTGTTGCAGGCTAAAGGCAGGCGTGTGGAGGGTGCGGGAGCCTCCGTTCACTTTAAGATCACGGGATCAAAAGAGCCCGACGCTGTGGGAGCCTGTATGCGGGTCCTGGAATTCAATTTCAACGTTGAGGTACGGGTTTCATCGGGTTCATTGCACAGAAAATTTGCCTGCGGCGCTCGTTGGCCACAGCAAAGTATGCTCTGCTAATTCACCCGGCAATTTCGCTTGTTGGGTATAAACCAGAACCATGCTTCTCCAGCGCCATCGGCCTGATCCTTGCCAGGGGAAACTCTGGTACACTAGGGACAAATGAGGGAATTTCGGTGGTAATACGGAACGAGAGGCGAAAAGGCAGGGGGGCTTCGAATGGTGATTTGAGAGTTTTGTGCGCTGGATGCAACGAGCTTGCCGCAGAAATGAACGATCCACTGGGTGTAACAGCCATTGAGGCTGTGGACTATCCCCTTCAGGGGTGTCGGTTGCCAACTCAACATCTTGCCATGGATCAATATCCCGGGAGGGACTGATGGCTCTAGGCGTGATTGAGACGCATTTCTCGACGATCTCGTGTCATATGGATCGATGCTCCCAAAGCAGACCACGCAGAGCAGCCTGCAGAAAAGCCTGCAGGAATATCCAATCCACTTCGGGGTTCATCCATCTTCCGTCATAATTGGCAACGTCAAGGCATCTGGAACCTCGATGGAGCATGCATGGAATCCGCAAACGGTGACCCACGGCCTTCGAGCCAGCCTTCGCTTCCAAGAATCCGCGCAGTGAGCCAGAAAAAACGTGCCACGTCAGAGTCTCTGAGCTTTGGTGCAGCTGCATGTGGTTCAGCAATATGTGGAAGGTATCACGGTTCGTGTCCGCGGCGAGGGCCGTACGGCAATCCGGTCCTATCGTTTCCGCCAAAAGGAGCAGGTGGATGATGATGAACACACACATGAGCGGGGGCGAATGCAGGATCCCTCTTGCAGGAGTGAAAGATCAGCTGAACGAAAATGGATCTATCTAGCCTGCATCCTTGATTTTCTCGGTCAATTGCACTGAAATTCAATTCCTTGGCCCGTGTCCTCAGGCCCAGGTGCCAATTATAGAGCCTCAGTGACCCGAATATTGCCACCTGAGTGGGAAATCATTGGCTGATAGCCATGGACCGGAAAGGTGCGGCAGGCGTAGAACGAGGACCAGGCCCGAATTTCGATATATCTGCGAATCAAGCTCGGCAAGAATCCCACCAAGTGACAGGGGCTAGTGGTTGTAACCACATGCTAAGACCGAAACCTGGTGTCGAGGATTGCCCGAATGCAGGAGGCGTAAGAGCCATGAGTAATGAAGGCAATAGCTCGGGAAGTGCATGCGCATGCAATCACACAGACAATAATATCGGATACACGCTTCTGTGGATGGTGCACGTAGTTGTGTCAGTTTTCTGTGTCAAAGTTAATTGAGGATGAGATATTGGGCCAATCAACAATTGCAGATGTCAGAAAATGGCTTCGATATAGAACATCCTGCTGCAGTGGATAACAAGGGGGTGCGTCCACAGTCCCGTCACATTCGCGAAGGCAGTAGCTTTTCTCTTGCATAGGGGCACGATATCCCTGGACAGGAAAGCCTGATTATTGAATCAATACGACAGCTGGCGAATGCCGAGACCGACTCGGCCGTGCAGGATCAACCATGCAAATGCAACAGCATCACAAGAGTACGAGTCCATGCGAACAGCATCCACATGAAAGCGGGGAGATACAGTCGGCGACGGCGTGATTGCAGTAGTCCAATCTGGAAATTGGAGGATTGGAGCCATTGATTGAGGGATTTTTCACCGATAGTGCATCATGATGGGGAGAAAGTCGCCACGGCTGAAGGTTGCATGCATCCATGAAGCAACCAGTTGCTCGTAGTGGCTCCATTCGAGATGCCATGGCCATCATACCGTCCCCACCATTCGGAGAACTGCTCGTAGCCAACCGGGTGAACCGTCAGGCAGGTGTGATGTGAAATTTGCGGACTGGAACCCACGGATGATAAGCCATCGGGCACTGACAAACGTCGATCAACAGTGGGACGACACAAACACAGGAGAACAGAGTCGTCGGATAGAAACTTCGTCCGAAACATAAATAAGCCTGTCAACGCCCTCAGAAGGTCAGAAAGCTTTCAATCATCCCCCGGTTTCATAATCCAAGCTTGCAACGTTGAAGCAAGACCAATCGATATTCTTCACAAACAACGATCCTATTCAGAATTCGTTTCAATTTGATCTTCGTCTGCCGAACCCTTTTGAAAGCTCGGGCAAAGGTCAACCTATCAATCCAGCAAAGTGTGGGTGTACTGTCCGGTACAACCAATAGCAAGCAGGCATTCAAGCTGAAACAAGAACGGAGAATCGACAGCAAGTAGGTTATGTCGTACTTGCATATTATGCAGCACTAATCAGTTTGATAGGCATGTGCTTTTACAACCAAAAGAGATTTGCCTGCGGGGACTGGAGCTGGACCAGCTTTGCTCACCGATGCAACTATGAATACCGCACCGGCGAAACATGCGGAATGAGACTCGTCAACATGACGGAAGACGAGAGGAGCAACTGCCGGCTCTGTGACAAAATCGAAACTAAATTCCGTCGGCGAAGCGCCGAAGTCGACCGGTTGGACCGGTGGAGACGAGAAGGGGCCACCCTGGTGGCATCAATGGATCGGTCTCACAAGCTCATTATGGATCTTGAGAAGGAGATCCGGTCTCTGCAACGGGAGCGGGATGACCGTAGGGGTACACTCCTGCGATAGGATTGGCTTCGATCTGCAAAACGGGTGTTCTCTTTGTTTCTTCTTCTTTGGCAGGCGAACAGCGATTGTATTGGCTTGTTTGGGGGGACTTCTTGTCCTGTCGTTTTCTCGCTGCCTATCATTTCCCCCGAGTGGGTTCTGCAGCGAGTTTCATGTTTCACCATTTGTTCGTGGCATTAAGTCTGAATCGAATTTCTGCGTGGTGAGAGAACCACATCTTGTTTGAAAAGATTGAGCAATTGATTGGTGTAGGCCCCGTAACGCTATTTTCATAGGCTCTCAGGCTCCCAAAAAATGTCAATGGGGACTAGCAATGTCATAAGCGCCGTGTTTTGCTGGGTGAGCGGTTCGCTGAGACGGATCGAGTCTCACAGGGCGAAAAGGGGCACCCATTGCGATTGGACACAGGAGCAATTGAGAGCTGAAGAAATTGAGAGACTGGCCTTCAAGCGGCCACGGAATTTGCACCGTAGAGAAGACAATGGATGCAGGATGAGGACACATACAGAATGCGAAACACCCCTCATTCCACACGTGATAGTGCTTATATAACGGTACAAATGGCCTGGTAGACCTGTCAGAAAAGATGCGTGAGAATTAGAAAGACCCTGAGGTGGGTTCTGGCCAGATAAAATGGAGGGGCAGAGCTCTGGAGGTTGGTGAGGACGAAATGTTCGGTGGCTGGTCAATGTGTTTGATTCCATTGGGTTGGTGTCCCGTGCGAGTATACATCCCCAACCCAGTCATTCCAACTTTTTCCCTGTAACCGACCTTTCAAGGTTTGATTAGACCTGGATAGATTGGGATTGAGTGGATGGTCTGTGTAGAGTCGGAGTATCTGCAGAAATATGAAAACTGAGGCTAGAGTTTGACATCCACGGCAGCCGGGGGCGATATATATCAACGCCTAGACACCAGAGGTCGGAGAATTAATATGGTGCAGAAGAGCATGCATGCTCTAAGGCACATCCACGTCTCTTCAGCCTACGTGTACACATCTACTGGAGCCCTCTGATGGCAAACATCGTCAAATTAGGGGGCAGAATCAGTGAACAACATTGGGACTGGGCCGATGTGCATGCCACGTCACGACCTTGGAAATGAACAACAGATGCAGACACAAGCAATTGCATGCTGGGAATGCAATCTCGACGTGGTGTTGGAGGAAATGTCAACAAATATGGACATTTGGAGCCGAAGTATTGGATTCAAGTATCTGGAAGGAGAAAAAGAACAGGGGAATTAATCTATTTTATGTCGCCAGCCTCGGGCTCATCATCGACCTTGGCCAATCCTTGTTCCCGCAGAAGATTGTCAATCTCATCCGCAGTCCATAGGTGGTGGTAGATCTTGCCATCCTTGGTCTTGCCCACTGTCGCGAACTCAACTAGGTACGAATGTCAGCATTGAATTGACGTGCAAAAATCATGACAAAACTTACTCTTCTCACTGCTCAGCTTCGTTGAGTCCATGGTCTTGCTCAGAACCTTGACAGCCATGGCACAAGCCTCCTTCAGATCACAATCCTCCTTGTAATCTTGCTTGAGGAGACTCTGTGCACTTGCGTTGTTGGCACCAACGCTGGTGGCCTTCCAGCCACCATAGTTTCCACTGGGGTTGCTCTGGTACAGCTGGAACTGACGCAGGTGATCGTATCCAGCGTAGATGAAGGAGACACCGAACGGACGGAGACCACCATGTTGGGTATATCCTTGCTTAAGATCACACAATCGGCGGACAAGCTGCTCACAGGGAATGTCTTCGTTGTACGTAAGGAGGTAGCGTTGGGCGTTTTGACGGGCATAGTTGATGAGAATGTTGGCATCGGCGTTCATACCCGCAACGGCACAGATCATGTTACTAACGGGGCATTAGCTATCTATATCGTCTCCAGCACAGCCGGGATTCTGTCCCAGACGGCGGGAAGCATTGCGGGGTCATACTCGTTGATTGTGTAGAGCTTCTCAGCGGAGGTGTCCTGCTCGAGCAGCTTGCTCGTCACCTTCCTCTCGGCAGCGAGGACAATTCCATCCTTGGCTAAGATTCCAAGGGCGGTACCGGCATGAGAAATAGCCTCAAGCGCATATTCCACCTGGTAGAGACGGCCTTCAGGCGAGAAGATGGTGGTCTGGGAACAGCGTCATAGGTCAGCTTGAGCTGCACGAATGAACTAGCGGTCGGCACTCACCCTCGAGTCGTATCTCCGAGACATCGTGTATAAATGACAGAAAAGAACACAAAATCAATAAAGAGCCAGAGATGGGTGGTAATAGAGGGTCGGGATGGTAAAGGTGATGAAGACGTAGAAGCTCCAGGCAACTCGCCCTCGCGCGTCCTCTGTCATCCGCAAAGCTCGGACCACCTCACCACACCAAAGCTTCAGTCGCAATTTGCCTCTCCCCATTGACTCCAGTGCCAATCTTGCTGGGAGATTGCCCGGATTCATCTGTCTGCAATGCTCAAGTCAACTTATGCTGCTCCTCCCCCGCTACCTGCAGGATGGACAGAGCATCGTGCCCCTACAGGTGAGTCTTGAAATCAAGATGGGTATGAAAAGTCCGTTGTGCTAACATGTTCAGGCCATCTTTACTACTATAACTCCTCTACTAAGCAATCAACATATACTCGCCCACAAGAACCTGCCCCAGCGCCTGTCCCAACTGCCCCGGCAATCTCACAAGAAACTTATACACCCGAAACACTACCTCCATTTTCTTCGACACCCTATGGACCGGCTGGTTATGCCCCTGGGTCAGCGCAATTTGACCCGTCGCAAAGCGGTCGTGGAAGAGGGGGATTCCGTGGTGGGAAAGGCTACCAGGACAAGGGACGGAGAGGACCTGAAGACCGACCGAAGGCAAAGCATGCCATCCCAAATTGCGCTCCTTGGCTATTGATTCGGACCAAGCTTGGAAGGAGATTTGTTCACAACCCAGAGACAAATGAAAGTTTCTGGAAGTTCCCAGAGGATGTTTTGAAGGGTGTCACTGAATTTGATCGCCTCGAACGTGAGAAGAAGGAAAGAAAAGAACGGGGCGAGCCCGAAGAACCACCAAGAGAGCAATCGCCCAAACCACAGACTGCTCCCGCGGACACAGGTGCGACAGCGGTCCAAGCCGAAGAGCCCAAGGAAAGAGGTTATGACGACGATGAATATGAAGAGGTCGAAGTCACCGACAGCGAAGGAGAAGAGGGCCAACCTTCCAAGCGCACGCGAACTGAAAGTGTTGGCGCCGAAGACAAGCCGCTTGAATTCACCGAGGAAGACATGGAGTACCAACTTGCGGCGATGGGTGAAGACTACGGACTGGACCCTGGTGAATATGGCGAGGTTGGAGAGGAAGATTGGGAAGAGGGCGCAGAAGGTCTCCCATTGACTGAGGCTGATGCCGAAGCTCTCTTCCGCGACCTGCTAGATGATTTCCAGATTAATCCATTTACGACATGGGAAAATATCATTGAGGAGGGTCGCATCATCGAGGATACGAGATATACTGCACCCGCGAACATGAAAGCCCGACGAGAGATTTTCGCCAATTGGACCAGAGACCGCATCCAGCTCGTGAGAGAACAAAAAGCGAAGCAACAAAAGGCTGATCCTCGCATTAAATACCTGGAATTCCTGCAAGAACACGCCACTCCAAAGCTCTACTGGCCGGAATTCAAACGGAAATACCGAAAAGAGCCTGAGATGAAGGACTCCCAGCTGGGAGATAAAGATCGGGAGAAGTTCTATCGTGACCACATTTCGCGGTTGAAGCAACCCGAGAGTACTCGCAAAGCAGACCTCTCCACCTTGCTCAAATCTGTTCCATTGGATTTGTTACACAGATCCTCGAACATTGAAGCCCTGCCGTCGGCGATCATTACCGACATCCGATACATTGGACTTGCGCCTAAAGCGCGCGACCCGTTAATCGAGGCATACTTGTCTACTTTACCCCCTGCACCGGAAGTGCAAAGATCAGCCGAGGAGATCGAGGAGCTGGATCGCAAGCGCGTTGAACGCGAGAAGCGCGAGAAGGCCTTGGCTGATCGGGAGAAGCGGGTAGAGGAAGAAAAGCGCCGACAGCGAGGGGATCTCTTGCGTGGCAAGCATCTCCTACGTGAAGGAGAGGCCGAAGTTGAAGAGGCCATGAGAGTCAACAAGGACGGACTCAAGAGCTACATGGAGATTGACGAGCCAAGAGAGGAACAGAAGCCGAGTTAATAGTTCACTTAAACTATAGTTCACTTAAACTAACACTGTAACTTTTCTGCCATGATAATGCCAGCCAAAATTATATCGTACAAAACGCGACAGTCCTTATGCCAATGCATGTCAATCGTTCGATTCCTGCGGGTATCATTGTAGACGAGGGAAACCTTGGCCCTCTGCGTACACGGGTCGTCAATCCAACACATCACTTAAATCTCCATTCATCCCAATCCTCATCGTCGTCCTCGCCATCTTCGCTCTCGCTCTCGCTCTCGGCATCTTCTTGTTCTAACCCAGACGCTGGCTCCGTAGGCGTTGGATTATCTGCCCGTGTTTTCCGTAGTGATTCGCGTTGCTGTTTGAGCTTTCGGACCCGCTCCTCCAACTGCTCCATCTCATCGAATTCCTCCTCCATCAACCGCGCCGCATCTTCCCGTTCACCCTCCAACTCGGCCTCCCGGCTGCGGGCTGCCGATTCCTTCGCTTTCTTTTGCTGTGCGGCGATTTCCTCGGCTGTGATGGGTGCAGCGGAGATAGTGGCTTCCGCCGCGACGGCGGCGGGTGCATGAGGTGCCCGAGAAGGCTCGGCGACTTCGCGCTCGAATGCAGCCCACTCATCCTCATCCACCGATGTAGGCTGCGGTGGTTGCTCTGGCGTGGTTTCTTGTTGCTCGGCGGGATTTGTGACTGATTGAGGGACTTCCTGTCCTTCATCCAGTGGAGGTTCTGGGCCCGTGGTATCGTCCTCAATTTGTTCTGAGCCTTCATCTGCTGTGGTCTGCTCGGTGCTCGGTGCGTCTGATGCAGACTGGAAGGCATCCAATTCTGTCGCACGCAGCTTCTTGCGAACCACCCCGTCTGAGCTGTCGACCTTGCGCTTTTTTGTCACTCGGTTTCCTGTCGTGTTCGGCTGCGAGGTACCCTTGCGCGAAGCTAACTCATTGCGGAGTAGTGATCTGACGTCGGCCATGATAGTGTGTGAAAGAAGTGGTAGAAGAGGATTACAAGGTGGAAGAAGACTATTCAGGAGAAAGTGTTGGCCTCGGCTTTAAGAACAGAGCCTGTGATGACGAGTGGGGAACCTGGAGAAGCTCAATAATTCATGCCTTGCGGCGCGAACCTGTGGCACGTGACCCGATGACAAATATGGGTGCGGGAACCGACTTGCCTCATCTCACGTCCAGCTCATCTTCCCTTTACCTTTCTTCTCGAGCGCCCCTCTTGACCAGATCTCTGAAAGTCCAGAGACACCGCAATTGATACCGACTGAAGTGTGTTAACTCGCAGCCAACACATCCTGAGTCGTGGTTGATACATTCACGCGACCCCGCTCATCGCCAAGTTCCCATTTGACGCGCAAGGGATTGCACAGTCCACAACACCCACCTTTTGCGCGCCCTTGCCACTCCGTGGTAATACAAGAAATATTGCGCAAAGTCTGGATCAATTATTCTCGATCAAGTAATACTGGGGGCCAGACACCATCGCTATTCAGCGTCTTCTTGTGTATTACTTTAGCGCCTCGTGCCTGTAGAGACCTGTCCACCCTGGGTACTTCCCAACTTCACAAGCTCGTGCAAGTCATATTATCCCACCACGCGCTGTAGTACGCGCCCACCATTATCATGGCCGGTAAGCTTTTGTACACTGAGATCTCTGTCCTTGCGACCCGATCCACGGCAGAGGGCCAGGCAGCCACTGTTGTGATCATATCGCAAGCCCCCGACCACAAGCTAATTGCGCTATCAGATGAACCCCGACGCTCCGGCCGAGCCACCAAAGGCCAACACAAGAACCTCGAACTACCAGAAGGCCCCGGCAAGAAGGGCAAAGGCAAAAGCCCCAAGGACAAGAATGCGAAATCCTCCGCCGAACCCACCCCCGGTCCAAGTGAAGGTGAAGGAGAAGATGAGGAGATAATCCGCTGCATCTGTGGAGAATATGAAGAGGAAGAGGATGTGGAGCGAGACATGATCTGTTGCGACCAGTGCTCAGCATGGCAACACAACGACTGCATGGGCCTGACCTTCCTGAAGGGCAAAGAACCGGACCAGTACTACTGTGAACAATGCCGACCCGAAAACCACAAAGTTCTCCTGGAGAAGATCAACGCCGGCGAACGACCATGGGAGGAAGTCGCCGAACGGCGCCGCCAAGAGGCCGAGGATAAGAAGTCCAAGCGCAAGAAGGGCAAGAAAGGAGCCCGCAAGGCGAGACCGAGTGAGAGCAGGACAGATGCTAGCGCCTCGATCCGAACAGCACCTTCCATCACTCCTGGTCCCATCGGCTCACCAGCCCACGCCGTGTCCGCCTCCGCGGAGCCAGAGAAGAATGACCACGCCCATGATTCCCGGCGCTCCAGCACAAACAAGCGCAAACTTGAAGAGTCAGTCGAAGGTGAAAATGTAAGTTCCGTCGTCCCATCAAAACGCTGGCACACCCATACTAACTGTCTTCGAAAGGGACCACAGATCAAACAGCAACGGATATCCCCACAGTCAATTCCGGCAGCTGTGCCCCAGGAAACTGGTGTGCAAATCAAGACCGACGATGCTGGCGAGACACCTGCTCTTCCAACCCTAGAGGAATTGAATCATTCCCGCAGGGCTCTGGCCACGCCTCTCATCAAATTCTTTGTAGACCAGGTTGGCTTGGCCTTGAAGGCAGGCTCCCTGACCCTGCGCCCGGACCAGTCATCTGAGGACTTGGGACGGCAGCTTGGCCTGTCTATTGAAGATGCAATGTATGAGACTCTCTGTCAACGAACGGGCGAGCCCAATGACGCGTATAAGTCACAAATCCGGTCGATTATGTTCAATTTAAAGAAGAACACTTCTTTACGGGACCGTTTACTCGTAGGCACGCTCTCCCCTAAGGCATTGTCTCAAATGTCATCCGGGGAGATGGCCAGTGAGGAACTACAGCAGAAAGACGCCGAGATCAAACGCGAGGCCGAACGACAACACATGATTATCCAAGAAAAAGGCCCCCGCATTCGTCGCACGCATAAGGGAGAGGAGCTGATCGAGGACGAGAACCATGGCGCAAATGAGTCGGTCTTTTCCAGTGGGCCTCGTCGTGCCCCCGGCGAAGGCGAAGGTAGCCCCGCAGAAGGACGCCCGACAAGTCCTCAGGGGGCTCAGCAGGGCAAAGAAGACGGTTTCGCTCGAGCTCCTTCGCCAGGTGGCAATCACCACGAAGACGTTTTCCCGGAACTTGCTCCCAACATCCGCGAGCCTGTGCCACAAGGAAAGGTCCAAGCCGATGCCGAGATCGACCAGCTCCTGCGAGACGACGAGCCTGAGTCTCCACCTTACTCGCCAAAGGATTTCCAGGACGATGGGCTCATTTGGCGTGGTAAGGTTACCATGCCGCCCATTGGAGAGTTCTCTTCCGCGGCTAAGCATGTGGGAGGCGCCGACCTCAGTGGCCGGATTCCATGGAGCCAACTCGCTCCGTCAACATTGTTTGTTGATGGTCGCATCGATATTAAACGAGCGACTGAGTACCTGTGTGGCCTCCAATTTAGCAAATCAACAGACGTCTCGGTGATTGCAGTCACCAGCCCCGACCAGGGCGAACAGAAAGTTGGCTTCGACAAGATGTTCGACTACTTCCACAGCCGAGGTCGTTACGGTGTGATTGGCAAACATCCCCTCTCTGCCGTAAAGGATACATACCTCGTCCCCATGGAGGTTGGTACAACCGCTATGCCTGAGTTCATCGAGCTTTTGGAAAACATCTCTCTGGAGGGACCCATCACCGAACGCATGTTTCTCACAATATTTGTCGTCAAGACCGGGGAATCCACACCCCCATCTGTGCAGCCACCCTCCCACCAGGCTAGCCAGGAACCACAGGTCTCCGCGAGCCCTCTGACAACCGTCGCCTCCACACCCCAACAGCCTCAATTCAACTCCACAACGGCGCCCACGCCACCTCCCCAATTCGCCGGATACAATTCCAACCCCGCCCAAGCCCAGCCTCCTAGCTCTTTGACCGGGCTTCCCGCTGCCATACAGGTGCTCGGCGCCCAGAGTGAAGCACCGGCCATTCAGCACTTGTTGCAGACCGCACCAAACGTGGACATGAATCAGCTCAATCTGGTTCGTGACATCCTGATTCGCCAGCCCAGTGCTGCTATCAACTACGACACATTGATGAATGCCCTCTTCCAGACCCAGGCAAATGGTGGCCAGGTCCCCCAGTAGACCTCGGCAGCTAGTAGGACCATGTCCGAGATAGCCAAATCATGTCCCTGTACAGTTTATGTCATGTTTGTATTCTCTTTTACAAGGCTGCTTACTGCTAGTCTGGTGTTTGGGACTGAAGTTCAGGCGGAAAATGGGTTGTTTTATGCGGGATATCCCCCGAGTCTTTTCGAATGTTAGGTCTGCCGAGTTTCATCCACGAACCCGATTCTCGTGTTATTTCCTGTATCTGCTTGCATTTCGTATGTTTGAGTCTTTTTCAAGTAGTCTATTTTAGTGATCGCCCTAGGGTCAAATCAAATTAAGCCATTGGATTCAACCTTGAAATTTCCCTACATGTACAACGTAGAGCTACGGCGACTCAACTCGACTTGTATGCGTAACTACAGAACCCTACAAAATAGCCATAGTTGGAATCAGACGTAAAGGAAATGGATATTGAGCGCAATGTTCTTATGACCTTCCTGACCGTCAAGCACCACATATGAAAAAACACAAACGCCTGCGCTATGCAGCACCCGAGCCGACCCCGAGAACGTATTAACAAGAGAATCAATCACCATCTTCCACCCCGGCGCCTGTATCCGCCGCCGCCGCCGCCACCACCACCACCATAGCGAGGACCCCGACCACCGCCAGCTCGACCATTGGAGGTGTATGGGTTATCGTCCTCTTCGTGGTGACGCACAGGCGGAGCGCGGCCCTTCAGCTCAGCGCCAAGCTTCTTGCAGTTCTTGCGCATGTCCGAGTATCCCATGTGCATCTTGCCGAAGAAGTGATCGGCGAGTCGACGGTCGTTGTCCAGACGAGACAAGTATGCACCGCATACATCGCAGACCTGCAGCTTCTGGTGACCTGATGGGCCGGAAGTATCTTGCAGATTCTTGAGATCGCGCTCAACGGCTTCCTTCTGATGCTTGGCTGTGCGCACTTTGTGCATTTCACTGATGGCCAGCGAGACGGCTGATGTCTCTCCTAGGACTGACACCTCGAGGAGACCGGAGTTGATCGTGTTTGAAAGATCGGCGATTTGTTTTAGCTATAGAGCATGTTAGTTCTTGTTCGTAAACCTAGACCAGCGCATGGAGTATGTGGGCAAAGGGACCTACCAGATCGTTGGTCTGTCGAATCTCATCGGGGGTCTTTTCCAATCGGCGCTGGGCATTATCGATACGGCGGTCACAGTCATCGATCTGCTTTTGCATGTCGCGCATGTAATCGAACTCGAATCCCCATTTCGCCTTGTCCGCAGAACTTGCAGTATCGTACTCCGTCTTCAGCCCCTCGCTGTGAACCTTAGAGCAGGGTCCGAGATCTTGCTTGGTATTGGTGAACAGATCATGCGGGCATGTTCCCGCAATGTAGGAGCGGCAAACTTTGGGGTCTGTGATCGACAGCTGGGAATTGCGACCCTGTGCGCCAGTTCCAATGAGCTGATCAGCTAGAAAGAGACCAATGTTAGCTTGTTTTGGAGACTTGCGGTGCTGGAGGTTGGAGATGTTGAGGGGCTCCAAGACAGCTACATACCTCCCATGAGCTGCTCAAGGAGCTTTCTCTGTTCTGCCGCCATGCTGATAGCTTTTGCGCCAGTATGGGTAGCTAAGGAGAGGGCAAGATGGTGTCGTCGGACTGATTGAAGACGAGGGGACGAAGTCTTTCGTTTTTGATGCTTTTGGCGCTAAGCCAAGCTCACCGCCTCCGCGTCAATCAACGGAACTGCAGTAGGAGGTTCGACGACTCGCCATTCGATGTGAAGTGATTCATTGTTTTGATGACTGATACGGTCTGATCTTGGGGTTGGAACTTGTATCTGAATCCCCTCGTTTCCCATTTTCCCGTGGGATCAATTGCGCTTCATCCCAGCCCAAACCCCCCGGCAAGCATGAAGTCATGACGGTCCTGTCACTCTTATCGCTACCTTTGGTCGCGCTACTTCTCTCATTTTGCAGTTCTACAGTCGTCGCATCCTCAGACTACCATGAAAACCTCCTATTACACCCTCTCCCGCAGTCCGCCCTGCTAGCTTCATTCAACTTCCGAAGTAACACGTCGCAAGAATCATTCGACCAGCAGCACTTCAGATACCTACCCCGTGCACTGGGTCAGATCCTCCAGCATGCACAAACGAAGGAGCTGCATCTCCGCTTCACAACGGGAAGGTGGGATGCCGAAAGCTGGGGCCCACGGCCCTGGAATGGCAGCAAAGAAGGAGGTACAGGCGTGGAACTCTGGGCATGGATTGATGCGCCAAATGATGATGAGTACGCTTTATTTGAAGGGAACGATTGTTGAACGTATACTGACCTATCCAGGGCATTTGCCAAGTGGATTACTCTGACACAGTCCCTCTCTGGCCTGTTCTGCGCTTCCTTAAACTTCGTGGATTCAACCCGGACCACTCGACCAGTTGTTTCCTTTGAACCCTTTGGAGACCACCCGGAGGTTGATCAACTACATCTCTTGCACGGAACTCTTCCCGGAGAGGTGGTCTGCACAGAGAACCTCACACCATTCTTGAAGCTTCTCCCGTGCAAGGGAAAGGCAGGAATATCGAGTCTTTTAGATGGGCACAAATTGTTTGATGCCGCATGGCAAAGTATGTCGGTCGACATTCAGCCGGTGTGCTCTCCCGAAGGGGATTGTGTAGTCCAGATCGAGCAAACTGTAGACATGGTTCTGGACATTGACCGCTCCAAGCGCTCTCGATGTAAGTCTCGACTGTTCATGTGCCGGCCCATTTTGCTAACCGTCTCGATAGCCAATCCCATTCCGCGACCTGTGCCTAATGATGAATTGGTCTGTGACACATCCAAGCCTTACCACTCCGGTGATACTTGCTATCCACTGGGGAAAACAAACGACAAAGCATGGAGCCTGGGTCAGGTCTTTGGGCGGAATATTGACGGAATCTGCCCATTAGCAGACACTGAAGGGTCCCACGAAGAGAGTGTTTGCCTTCAAGTTCCCCACGAACGAGGCGTTTACATCTCTCAAGGGGCCCAGGAGATCAAAAAAGAGGATGGATTCACCCGCTGCTTCAAGCTTGCGCCATCAACTCCTTTTGATCTTTCAATCCCACAGCAGACAGTGAACGTAGAAGTCCCACTGGATGAGCCTGTTCTCCACGCCGAGCGCACCATCGTCGGAAATGGCCAGGAGCGCGGTGGAATGCGCATTATATTCAGCAATCCCTCCAATGCCAGCGCAGTGGACTTCATCTACTTTGAGACTCTCCCGTGGTTCCTACGTCCGTACATCCACACCCTGCGTGCGACAATCACTGGACGCGATGGAGTCTCGCGCGAGCTTCCGGCATCCGAAATCGTCAAAGAGACCTACTACCGCCCTGCGATTGACCGTGAGCGCGGAACACAACTGGAGCTATCACTCTCCGTCCCCGCTGCGTCAACCGTTACATTGACATATGATTTCGAGAAAGCCATTCTCCGATACACCGAATACCCACCCGATGCCAATCGGGGCTTCAACGTTGCCCCTGCGGTCATTCGCATTGTGGACAATGTCCACCACGCACCCATTTACATCCGTTCCACGAGTCTCCTTCTGCAACTCCCCGTTCCGGATTTCAGCATGCCTTACAACGTGATCATTCTCACTAGTACGGTTATTGCCCTTGCATTTGGCACGATTTTCAACATCCTCATTCGGCGGGTGGTTTCTCTAGATCAGGCATCCGCTTTGGGGGCTACCACCTTGAAGGGCCGGATAGTGAGTAAAGTGGTGGCCATTCAAGACCGGTTCCGTGGTAAGGCAACGAAGGTCGAGTAGTATTATAGCAGCACATAATTATATCAAGCATACATTTTGTTTTCATCTCGTGTTTCATCACTTAAACCTTGGACGGTTCCCAACTATTTTCACAAGCTAACATTCCCAATGCTTGTTCCCTAAGTTCCAGTGCTTATGACCGCCACTCCCGCCCCGGCGACGCAGTGTGGGGGCACTTATGCGGGGGCCAAAAGGGGATTGCCATAGTTAATGTGATACCCACCGCCCCACTGAGATCTTTATACTAGTCCAGTGCTATTCAGATCAGCACTAGTGAGTGTACCCGTACGCCTTGCTAGAGAACGAGTATACAAGCGAATGAATATGGAATGTTCTATTCACTGCCTCGCCGTAGAAGCAGAGTGGACCGCACATGGGGCGCTCACTTCATGTATGGGGCTGAAAATGTTTGAGATCTTACCTATCCCTTACGTCGATATCTATTCAATTGCACAGAGGCATCTTATGTGAAACAAGTCAGTACGTGTGCTTGCGAGTGCTTCCTGTGATACTATTCAGGAAGAGTGTCTCTCCTGAAATTCAAATGATACTTTGAGGCCGAGTAGAGCCCGCATTGATCAAGATTTTGCTGGAACTGGATACCCACGTCAAAAGGTATCAAGCTCGGAGCCGAGCATATTCATAAATTATGCACAGATTGACAGTTATACCCATAGCACCGGGTGATGATCAGTTAGCGGGGCTTCGAGAGGAGCTCGAGGCTTTTCTCACATGGGGAATGTACGAGTACGGCAACCCACACGATTATAATCCCTCTTACTGGCTGATATGATTCCACATATAGGTCGGAGAATCCCGTAGCCTTACCAAATCGAGAACAGTGTGAATGGGAGACAATGTCAGTCAGCCTTGTGGAACCGAGGCCTTGCGTTGGCTTCGTAGATCTTTTGCTTTCCAGGAACCCGGGCCCGGGGACTGAAGAGCTAAGACTATCATTCATTTCTACTCCAGGTCAGACAGTCTGCTAGACTGTCGAGTTCTAGCGGTCTATCCAGAAGCGAGCTCAATCAGGGTTGCAATCATCGTCATCGGCGTCCAGCGTCGTAAGGGGCCTGGATAGTGCTCCGTATTATCAATTGGCTAGATCATCTGTTTCAAAAGCATGGGAAACAGGAGAACTCAGACTGATATCTTGAAATGCACCCCGCAATCCTGCATATCATCAAATCAACAATAGCGGCCCCCAACTAGGGCATTCCAGCATGCTCAAGCAATGCTACGACAGGATCAAGAGCTGGGCATGGAATCGCCCGGAAAGGTCCCACTGATGATGACGGTGTAGGGGCCGACGAGACTACTTAAAGCAGCTTTCGTCCTGCCTCTTCACTTCTACAATTCATTCATCAAAGCAATTCAAGACAACTTCACACCACCAGACCCTCAAAATTCCAGCTTCTTCCTTCGAAAGCTCATCCACCATCACCAAAATGCAATTCTCAATCGCCTCTCTTGGTCTCTTCCTCGCCGTCATCGGCTCTGCCATCGCTGCGCCAGCCACCGAGGCGCCAGTCGTCGAGCAGGTTGCCCGTCGTAACACGTGAGTGCCCTGCTACCCCAATAGATACATTGTTTGACGAGAGATAATCTCAAACATGACAACTTGGGAGATGCTAACATGCAACACCAGCGAATGTGGCCAGGACTTCAATGGCGCCAAAACATGTAGCGCCAACTGCGCCGACGGATCCTGCCATGTTATCGCCCTCGGTCCCCTTCATCAGTGCAAGTGCTAAGCATACCGAGGTGATAGATTCCACGGCTCCTGGATGAGACGTGGGATGGCTTAGGCATCAAGACAACCGACAAGACGACCCGGAAAAAGTTGAGCAGCGCGGGCTGGGCAGGATTCGCCCAAGCTGCTCAATCCAAAGGTTGCCAGGATGTTTCATAGGTATGAGCTTGATTAGAATATAGATTGGAGCCTCGATAGGCTTGGAACATTGGAATATAACAATCACACTCTTTTTCAATGATTTGGAGCACCCGAAGACCGGGAGCTCGCTCTTACTCTAGTATCTTCGCCGTTGCTGGCTCCCAAGGTGTTCATCACCCCTGAGTCGTTTTCGTGAGGCGGAAAACGAACAAAAAGCAGCGTACCTAGAATCTCGGAAGCTCATTCATTGGAAATTATTTCATTATTCAGAAATACCTGGCTAGCAAGATTCCCTGGCCGCTATCGTAGGGACCTGTCTCCGAGTATGGCTGCATGCCAACACTACCTTCGAGGAAAGCAAAATGTTCGTGTATCGAGCCTCTCGAGGTCAATTCCCAGGTGGCTCATTGAGCACACGATGACAGTAGAATGATGATATGTGGTTCATGTGCGGCAGCAGGAGCTGCTTGTACTATATCCGACTGACTGGCGGATCAACGCATCCATCAACCAAACTCGCTGCTTCCGAGAAGCTATGCGCTTCTGGTGTAATTTAAAAGGCGGAGATGGCAAAAAGAAAAAAAGAAAATCGGACATATTTGATCTGACTACTCCTGGGAATCGGGCGGTGGAGAAGCCAGAGTTGGATGATATCCCTGTAGAGCCAGTATTACCTGACTGGGTGTTCGCGACCTTGGGAAACTGATCAAACCCCTCTCCTCGCCTTAAGAAGGGTAGTGGGGTGCTTGTTAGAGATCACATGATTCTTGATCTCTTCTTCTTCCCCTTTGCTCTCAGTTCTCTTGCTCTCTCTCTAGCTCCGTAGCTCTATCTCAATCAACTGATCGATCTCTCTCTCTTCTCCCATCTACATATTAGTGCTCATAGGTCGCCCGAACATGCGGGTCACCCGCGCTAAACCCCCGATCATGCAACTGATTGGATGGCTGGGCAATATGTTTTATTAGGGGCGCCGACTTTAGGTAGGAATTCATGGATCTTTTACCCGTGGCCGCTATTTGTGGTTGGTCATTTCCCCTTGAAGAATGGTTATTTCATGGTATTTGAAACGCACGACTGGCTGACTTTGGAGATCATCTGCGCTAATTGCTCTATTATTACCTGTATTGAATTACCCATATTGAAATGGCTCCAGAGAATCGTGGATGCCAAATAGTGGCCAAGGGTAAACAGCCACTAGCGCAGGTGGCCATATATTTGGGCATGGAGCCAGACGGCTGTGAGGCTTGGCTTTTCAGCCCTGGAGCCATACAGACGTTTGATGGTCAACATTTTTTGAATATTCTGGTACCTAGTATATTTTAGCCTCCTTCCCCTTCCCTTCGCTGAGAATGACCATCAATCAAGAAATCTCGGATATACTCGAGCAGTCTCTCCACCTTAGTTACTGCTTTGCCTTTCCATCTCGACAACAGTCCCCACGATGACAAGATCCACGGCCAACCACATAGACGATATGAGCGCAATTCATCAATATGGCGCTTCTGATAATAGCTTGAGCTACTGTCGAGTTGGCTCTGCCATCCAACCACCCGCCTATGCAATCGGGGAGCTGTCTCTTTTACTTCCAGACTACCTCTACGACCCATCTATACAGTACCATCCAGCTCCACTTCAACCTAACTTGGCCTTATCATACGCTCAACGTTCTCTTGAGCTAGGACATTTCAGCCAGAATACTCTTCAGTATGACCTGGCCCCACAGGATGATACCGTCATCGTTCCGACTTTGAACAATTCCAGTTCGAGTCAAGACCCGATCTGGATTCTACCTATGGAATCCAGTCTAACTGCACAAGCTGCATCTCCGCCAAGTGGTGACATCGTCAATGATCGTCAACGGAAAGCGAGCAGTGGTCACCGACGAGAACATACACAACAGTAAGCCACGCATCATGCCGAAACCAAGTTTGGGGCGATATTCCAAGGTTGTTGTAATATTGCTGACGATGTCTCCTTCCCTCAGTGAGTACTATGGCTCTTCTCAAGGCTCTCTCCAATGCTGCTGGAAAGACTGCAAATACCGCGGCACGTTCTCCCGTAAGGGAGTGTTGATGCGCCATATTGAAACGCAGCATGTTGCTCCCCGCTCCTTCTATTGCCCGATTTGTGAGAAGTCCTTCGGTCGAAAGGATAACATGAGAGAGCATGTTGGAAGGGTTCATGGGGAACGACGTTGAGGTTGGTGTCAGTGAGAGTGCCTGCCCAGGTGCTATTGCCTACTGTAGTGGGAAAACAGCGCCAACATATAGCCTGGGGCATCACCTGGGCAGCCTCCAGGGCCGGGTCATACCTAAGTAGGGATATATCAGGTCTTAGATCTCCAGGGCTACTAGATACGATCGGAGGCAACTAAGCAATACACACGCTCGTTCAGGTACAGCTTCCCTTTGCTCTTTGGCTCTGTAGGTCATGGAGGCCGCCACCTACTAGGTACTCACTGGTATAACGGACCACGGATGTGCAGCTTAAACTGCTAAGCCCCGACCTCGGGAGGGGTCCGTGACCCAAGGTGCCTCAGGCCTCAATCCCAAAAAAGAAAAGGAAAAACACGTGATAAGCGCCGGAACCAAGGTTGGAAGTGGATCCGAGGTCCACCAGGCTCGAGAGTCAAGATGCCCCGGTATGATATGGATAGCGTTACGCTATGCCCAGCCAATGTGAATGTCAAACGGACCATTTGGGTTTAATTTGGTGGAGCTGGGCTTGACTGCGGACTCTCATTGGTCCGGCTATGCTGATTGGTTGACAACCAATATTTGTGGAGATGATGTAGAACGGGGATATGCACATCGCCCAGTAAACAGATCTGGTCGAACAGGAACAGTTTACCTGTTGAGCCCGAAAGACATTAATTTCGTCATGCCTTTGGACCATCTTCAATACTTAAGCTCCCCCTGTCCTCGCTGAGATTGAATTCGAAAACAATCTCTCAGCCTTACTGTTGTATCTTCCCATTTCGTTGGTACCCTCCAGAGCTGCCGTGATGACATGCTCTATGTGCAACAATCAAATGGAACACCTGAGCCCACTCCAGCAATATGCGGCTGTCGATAATAGCTCTGGTTATTGCTCAGTCTGCTCTGCAGTCGGCGGTCCGTCTGCTCTCTCCACAGACTACATCTACGACCCATGTATACAATACAATCCAGCTCTACTTGAGTCCAACCCGACGTTCTTCTGGACCAAGGGTCCACTCCAGTCGGAATACACAGGCCAACAAGTCTTACAATACGATTGGGCCGCACGAAATGATACCGTGAAGGTTCCGACTGTGAACAATTCCAGTCCGGGTCAAGATCCTACCTGCATCTCGTCTTTGACACCTGTCATGCCCAGACAAGCCATGTCTCCGGCAAGTGGTAATGGGATTGAGAGTGCTCATGGGGAAGAGACCGGTGGTTGTCAACCAGCGCAGAAGCAACAGTAAGTCAATCTCCTGGGGGTACCTATGGACACGGGTCAATTGTTTGATCCCTTCAGCTCGCGGGCTTGGTGTTCCTAGCTAACGGTAACTCTTTTACTATAGTGAAAATCGCGGCTCTTTTCAAAGCCCTTTTCAATGTCATTGGAAGGACTGCAAATATCGCGGCACATTCTCCCGTAAAGGAATGTTGATGCGCCATATTGAAACGCAGCATGTCACTCCTCGCAGTTTCCATTGCGCGGTTTGTGGCAACTTCTTCAGTCGGAAAGATAACTTGACGGAACATGCAGGAAGGGTTCATGGGGAACGGATTGGAAATCGATGCTAGTCGGTAAACCGGCTATTAGATTGATGAAAGGCAGCAAGAACAATCGTTCCAAGTTTCAATATGAGTCTCCTAAGTCGCCCTCAAGGCAATGTTCGCTTAGTATATGCCAACATGAGAGAGACATTTCCGTTCAGACTTGTGTTGAGAAGAAGAGTTCACAACAGAGCATATCTCAGCCAAATCAACCAGTTACTTACCCAGCGCTTGAACAACCTCCTTGGTGCTGAATGCATCAGCAAATTCCCCATCCAGACTAGCCACGGATACCCGATGAATAGTCTCTGAATCAATCCCAGCCTTGCCAAAAGTAGCAGTAGCATCATCAACAAGAACAATACGACCCTTGTCGACATTCAACTCATTCTCATGAGTTCCGTCCGATCTCAGCCGCACAGGCCCATCGGGGTACCGATCCACAACCCCCAGATTAGCGGCCATCCGCGTAGTCGTCGAGACGCAATGATCAGTCGTCAACCCCGCGATAATGAGCTGGCGGAATCCCTTTTCTCGCAAATAAGCTTCAAGTCCGGTGCCGATAAAGGCGGAATTAACGCTCTTCCAGAAGACGGGCTCCGACCCATCTGGTGCCGGGGTGGCGAATTCCAGTGGGGTGATTCCCTTTGACGGGTGGGAGGGGTGGAAAGGGGACTCTGGGGAAAGGGAGGAATGAAAGACGTGGATTACTTCCATTAGAGTCGAGTTTGATGATTTTGCAGCGCGGAAGGCGCCCAGGAGAGATTGGATGTTGTCTTCATACTGTGGGTTGGAGCGTGTTGTGCCCCAGTAAGAGACCGTAGAGGGGTTGGTGAAGCCGAGTTGATTGTCGATCAGAATCAAAGCCGTGGGGAGAGATAAGTTCAGTGCCATATTGTAGTTATGTCTGTTTGGTTTGAGTGTTGAGGTTGAAGAGTTGAAGTGCTGTGACTCACTCTATTAAGCTCTCGGCTCCCGGGGTTACAGCGGCTCTGTGCCCCGTAGGTACCCGCTTTAAAGACCTGCACGCCCAAATCATATAGAATTGGTATAAAAATCATTGTGGTAATTTTGATTCAAATAAACCATACATTTTCAAAGCCCCTTGAGAATCTTAGGAATCAGACCCTCGTCAAACTTCCACAGTTGCGTCTGGAAGTTTGCCGAGAAGGCGCCGCCCGTCCACCATGTCGAGCGAGCGCCTTGAAGCTTATACAAATCCTGGAAGAAGCCCTCCTTCACGTGCTCTACCGTAACACGAGCATGCATGGGCCCGTGGGTGGCGAACGAGGCCCAGCTGAGCTCCTGATCCTGTTCGGATGAGAATTGACCGGCCTGCAACAAGGTATTGAAGCTTTCTTGGCTCAGTGCCTTGGCTTCCTCGGCAGTGGTGGTCGTGTTGCCGATGACCATCACACGGAACAAGTTGCTGAGCCCGGTGTATTGGAAACTGGCTACCATCGGATCTTCCTGGTAGACGAGGGTATTGTCTGGTGCTGCCGATGATGGCAGGTTGTAGTAGTAGGAGCTCGTGTTAAAGACGGGGTTATCGACCAGGCCGGCGAACTCGTTCGAGTAAATGAATTTGGACAATGTCTTGGACTCGAAGGCGCTCAGGTCTAGGGGCTTCACATTATCGTTGGTAGGCTCAATAGCAACCAGAAGACGACGAGCGTGGATAGTGGTCTGCTTTTTCGTCTTGTGGTTGCGAACGGTAAGAGTGACACCGTTATTAGTGCGATGGCTTTTCACGACAGTGCTGGAGTACAGGACATCGTTGCCCAGGTCTTTCGCAACGGCATTGTAGAGAGCCTGGCTACCACCGGAGGCAGGCGTGAAAAGCCCCATTTGACCAGTCAAAGCACGCGCCATATCCCAACCAAAGCTTTGCAGTGCGAACATGGTAGTAGTTTCACTCATGTTGCCGACTCCGAGGCCGGTGGATGAGTAGATGATCGGGGCACCATCCTCAAGACCGTACTTCAGCAAGAATTCACCGAACGGAATCAAAAAGTCTTCGGGGATATCACTAGGCGCAGGGAAATCCCAGTAGCCGGGGAACAGCATTGATTCCCATGGCTCGATTACTTTCAGGAATTTGGCGATCGCTGCGATTTGCTTTGCGGACGAAGGGGGCTGGAACTCAACCTTGTCGCCCGTCCTGAAGTCAATGTACTTGGTAGTCGAAGCAGGACTTGTTGCGCCACTGCCGATTGAAATATTGAAGCGCGCAAAGAAGTCAGTCGCGCCGCTCACATTGAGGAACCCTTGAACTCCGTAGTCGAAGGTCTTTCCGGTCTTATCAACGTATGTGTCCACCATACCACCCTGCACAGTGGCATTAGCATCTTGATCTGAGATGGGAAGAATAATGAAATTTGCAGAAGTGATTTGTGCTAAGAAATGATCGAGGTGACTTACCAGGATCTCCTGCTTCTCAATCAAGGCAATACTTTTGTGAAAATCATCGCGTATGCGGACAGCCGCATATGCGCCAGAAGCACCACCCCCGATGACCGCGACATCACGGTAGATAACATCTGACTTGCCATTAGCAGTACAAAATGGGACGATGGTCCCAAATGCAAAGGCAATGGACGCTAAAGACCGCATTGTGAGATACTTTAGCCAAAGAAGCGATGGGAGCTACAATGAAGAAACAAAACGAAATTGCATGTAAGGGACGGGAAGATGCAGATTTATCTTGAATAGCTTGCAATCCCCGGTAGCCTTTTTTTGGTTCCCTTCGATTCTTCGGCACGCACATCGTCCTAGGAGAAAGAGGCCGGGGGTCGAGGCCCAATCACCACCCGCATATGGCGGGACTGGGAAGTATATATTAACCCGAATTGTGCTGCTGGCAGGGGCGATGAAACAGCGATGTCGGCCCAACGGCAATGCCTAATATCTCTGCCGATGCGGATTGGTGCATTCTGGATTGAATTTGGCCGAATATGGAGATATCGGGGGCCAGATCGAAACTTTGGAACGAGGACCCGGGGCTGTTCGTATTTCGTCTATCATGCCATGAACGCGATAATAGTCAACTCTGAATTCGCAGTCGCCAAACGAAAACTCGAAATAAAAAGCTAACTTGGAAAGTCTAGATATATGAAGGGAAAATCATAGTGCGGGACATTGGGAGAAAACTGCAAAGAAAGTAAAAAGGCAATTGCCATCGATTGCAGCATGGCTGTAAGTACAAAGTGGAATGAATATGAAATGTGTGTTCTTGAGCTCCTATCGGATTTTCTTCTGGAGGCCACTTTTTGTCCATCGAAATTGGCGCTGTCCAGCACACCCACGCCATGATAGCGTGAAGTCTGAAATGGGAACAGCTTTGAAGCCAGGGCCGAAGAGACCCTCCAGTGTTGATGATGATGATAATGGTTCTGCAAGCCAGGTTGGGCTGGCTTTAAATATGTGTCCTGGAAGATCGACGATCTAATCTTCGAGTTTTTGAATTCCATCCTCCAGGGATGGAAGTTTCTGCTTCCCGATTCCAAGCCGTCTGCGCCACTTGCTTTCCTCCTTGAGTTTCGCTCTTCTGCGTCGTCGAGGGGCATAGTTGATTGGCGATTCACCGCCAATGAAGATGAAGGTATCGTATAGAGTGGCTCCAAAGAAGCATCCGCTGATGGTAGCCACCCAGCCACCCCAGAACCACCAGGCGTCTCGGGCAGTGAATGTTTCACTTCCATACCCAGCCATGAGGGCGACAAGCCTGGGGCCAAAGTCACGGACTGGATTCAAGATTCTGTATTCGTGTTAGTACCATCGTTTCAAAAAAAATAGAAGAATTGACATACCCTCCTGTGTTGAATCCCAAACAGATACACAGCACGTAAATGACCAATCCAATGACAAAAGAATGCATACCCGCACCAGGCGGGGCGTTACTATCATCACCCATAGCGAAAATGACACAGACCAAAATGGCATCCGCGATGAATTCCGTGAAAAACGCCGTCACAGAACTGACATGGCTCAAAGGCTCTGTATAAAACCCAAGACCAGAGGTCCCAGCTGACGCAGTCGGGGCAAAGGCAATGATAGAGTCTCGATATATACAGTAAGCGATTCCGGCGGCCGTCAAGCCCCCGAGGACCTGTGCAATGATATAAAAGCAGCATCTTCGTCCAGGAAAGCCACGGAAGATCCAAAGTGCAATGGAGATCCCGGGATTCAAATGAGCACCGGAGACACCACCAGCGAGGTAGATTCCAATCATGGATCCGAGACCCCAGGACCAATGCTCTGAGAGCTTGGTTCCGGCGTTCGTGCCGCCTGTTGAGATAGCGAGGGTTCCTGTAAGCCCGACGAAAATGGCAATGGTTGTCTGAATCATGTTAGAAAATGTCTTGCTTGGAGTGTGTTTATGCTTACTGCAAGCCATTCGGCAAATGGTTCTTTCAAATAATTCCGAATCTTGACCCAGTTATTCAAGAACTCTTCCTGCTCCGGTTGTCCCATTTGATCTTCATGCTTGGCACCCATGCCACCGACTTCACTCTCCATCGGGCGGAGAAGACCATCTGGCTGAGTCCCGTACACAGCATTTTCCTGAGGTAGGTTCTGTTGGGCCGCCGAGGAATACGTCGGTGGATGCTGCGGCACCGAGGTGGCCGTGTCATTGGTAGCATTTGATCGAGACCTCGATAGGCCAGGCGTTGTTCCCAGCTCCGGGGCTGGCTCTGCCTCGCCACGCGGTTTTGTGTCGTATGCCTTTTGCTGGGTGTCGCGGTCGCGACGCATGCCTGGCCTCACGACGCGCGGAAGAGGCTTCGCTAGTCCCCATACTGGGTTGTCGTTGTGTTTGCCGTATCGAGGGTTCATCGACTGATATTCTGGGTCTTGGTAGACGGGTCCCTGGGTTGGTTGGGGGTCCATTGCTCCTGGGCCCGCTAGTGAATGGGATGGTGTTTGTTGAACGCGGTTCTGACTCCCGAGTCGTTTGTCATTGGGTGGGTTTGGTGAGGTCTGAGTTCCGTAGTAGAAGCTCCCTGATGCTGTTGGTTGTCTGTTCATGGCGCTTCTTGGTGTGAGCGGCGTGGAAGGTTGTGGCTGGGCTAAGGGCTGACCACGTTGGAGTGTCCCAAGTTGGGGACGGTCTCCGTGACTCTGTGAGGTACTAGATTGAGGCGATTGACGAAGAGTTTCGGTTGAAGATTCTGAATTGGGGCTCCCATCTCGTTCTTTGATCGGGTGGAGCGCAGAATCTGGAGGTTTCTGAGATTGTTCCCCCATTGTGAAGGGCGAAAGACTTCACGAGTGGAGTGGATTGCTGGTATGGGTTGGATGTGTAGAGAGAAATTTTCGGACACGAAGACGCAGTCTTATAGTCCAGCACACTGCGCAGTCATTCCTGGGAAACCGCAGCAGCCCAATCAGTTAACCTACTAAGCCGGGAACACGCCCGGCCAATTGGTGTCACTCCTGTCATGATACCGCCGATCGACAGCATCCATTACCCGCATCACTGCGATCGAGAATATTCCGAAGGGAAGTGTACCCACCGGTTCGACAAGTCGGGCGAAACAAGATTAGCCTTCGGCCCCGTCTTCCCGTCCCAAGAGCCAGTTTCCCTGGTCCCACGGTTGCCACTGGCTCCACCCATGGATGTCTTTTGCTTTCCGCCAATCAATGGCTCGGGTTTATCGTTCTCCAACCCGCCAATCAGAGCCTTGATGCGAATGCTTCGAAGGGCTTCTCGCGATGAAATCACATTGAAGGATCTTACACTTTTCTTAGCATTTCGATTTCTTGATTCCTTCACAGACTGGCTCATACAATCGTTGATCTTATTTCCTTTATCACTAAATCGCTAACCTAATGCCAAGCTGAATCTAGTTCGCGTACCTCAAGCTTGACATGCCGAGTCTCTCCATCCACCGAAACAAGCCGCGCCTCAGTCGCATCTTCATCAGGGAATATCAGTGTCGTCAGCGCTACCTCTCCCGAGCCAGCCAGGACTTCAACACTGGACCAGTCCACAAAGACCTGCAAGTTGATACGTTCGTCTGAAGTATCAAGCGGCGCATGGTACAAGCTTGCGAAAGTATCGTCGAACGAAACGTCTCCTGATCTCTGCCGATCGACAAATACTTCCTTGCTAGTAAAGTTATAACCAACAAGGGTTTCCTCCTCGAAGTCCGAACTGGCACGGATGGAAATCGCAAATGCAGAAGCGTGGGTATCGTCGGAATCATGATTCTCGAAGCTGAGATCGATTTTAAATGCTTTTCCTGGTGATTCCAGGTCGGTGGATCCTTCGGAAACAGTATCCCAACCTTGCTTTGAGCTTTGGCTATCGGTCACGCTCCGCCAGTTCTTTTGTGGTTGTTGGACGAGTGTGATCTTCTCATCGATCTTCTTCAGGGAGAGTTGACGAGGAATGGTCATGGCGCTTCGCCATGGCTGGACCGGGACCTTAGCGGCATACTGCCAGTTGTTCATCCATGCGATTTGAACAACGTCTCCTTCGGGAAGTCCGTTGTAACTGGTGGCAGCGTAGAAGTCTGGGCCCCAGTCCAACCAGTTCGAGGTCTGGTTTCCGGGGTAGACGCTGTTCTCATCCGCTTTGAATGTCGTTCCGTCGAAATCACCAATGAAATATTGCGTGCCGGAGCCAACTGTGCCAGGTGGTCCGCCGGGGTTAAGACCCAAGACCATGACCCATTTCTTGGTCGCGGAGTCATCTTCAACGGGGAGCTGGAACATATTGGGACATTCCCAGACGCCACCGACGGCATTATAAGGTCCGAATTCACTGAGGAACGACCACTCTTTCAAGTTGTCGGAGCTCCAGATCGCGAGTTTGTGTACAGACGCCAATGCCGTGACTGCAATCCATCGCTGGGTATCTTGGTGCCAGAATACAAATGGATCTCGGAAGTTCTTGTACTCTGCTTCATATCCAGCGGGTGGGTTGTGGATGACTGGGTTTTCGGCGTCGTATGTTGTCCAGGTCTCGCCCTCATCGAGACTATAGGCGATTGATTGAGATTGTTGCTCTTCGCGAACATGCTTGCCGCTTGGTAGGTCCTGAGCCATGGGATACTTGAATTGTGTCAATGGCTGTGTTTATTGAGTAAGTTTGGGCAACATACCATGGAAGTATACATAGCGACTAATGGGACTTTCCCATCGACGCCAAGGCCACTGGTGTTGTTGACGTCTGCGACTGCACTTCCGGTGAAGTACATCTCAGTGACATTTTCGGGATACCCGCGAGCAAGCAGAGCTACCGGACGCTCATCCCAGTGCGTCAAGTCTTTACTTGTCGCATGGCCCCAGGACATATTTCCCCATTCGGCACTGGCGGGATTATATTGAAAGAAGAGATGATAGATGCCATCATGGTAAAGAAGTCCACTGGGATCATTGATCCAATTCTTACTCGGGGTGAAATGGTATTGTGGACGGAATGGCTCGGTATAATCCAAGGCGGACGCCGTTCCAGCCAGGAGCCCAAGAGCCGTGAGGAGGATGCTCATCTTGTAATTCGCTTTTGCTTTTGCTTACTCTTCAGATACTAACGAGAACATTGTCAGTATTTATATCTGAAGAAATCCCGCAATTCACATCTCATACTTTCTCTCCCCCATACCCCACGGGGAATCCTGCGTAAACTTCGGGGAAACTATCGCCAGCTGCCCCACATTCTCGCGAGCGCAGCAAAACAATCGGCACGCCCGGCGCCAAGTCGCTGAAACTCGGCGATAATCTCGGTGTCCAAGACATTCCATGTGTGATTCGGGCCGTGGGATGCCTCCACCCCGCACAAATCTAGGAATCGCGGGGCATAACTTATGATGCTATCCTCCGATATAGGGCCTCGCGACAGCGGAATGACGAAATGAGAGATTTATGAATATGACGGTCCAAATTTGAGTGGCAAGAAGTGATCTCTGATTCGTTTCTGGATTATAGCGGCTCCAAGATTATACACCGTAACAACATATATGGAAATCCACATAGCCGGCTCGGCTACTCTTTGATATTAGAGGTCACGACTTGACCGTAATTATTCGGCGCAACACGATTGCAAGGCACACCGGTAGAATCCTGATCCACAATGTTCTTGCACTGGTATACCTCGTCCTGTAGGGTGGTTCCATACATCGGCAAGCCAAGCGTGCTATTGACGGACTCGAGCTGCACGTTTTCGAACTTGATTCCCGGGCACGGATGCACATCGGAGCAGTAGATTGATGCACCGACGTTGTACCTCGTTGTCGCTTTGATGTTTGACCAGGTGATGTCCTGGATAGCCATCTTGGATGTGTTGCAGTATTTTCCATCCGCCTCGGTATAGATGCATTGTGAGATTTGGATCGGGAGGGCGACATTTGTCATGTCAAAGTTGCGATATGTCACGTTCTTGATCACGCCGCTGCCGCCGCCACCGGCGTTGTTGTTCAGGTTGTCGTCGTTTGTGATGCCTTGCCAGGTTTTGATGAACGCGCCTTCCATGCAGTTGATACAGGTGACGTCTTCAAATGTGACGTTTTCCACGTAGTCTGGCATATCGGGGTATTGACCGACCGAGCCGATGGTCATGCCGAAGTTGTCGTAGCAGGTGACGTTTTTCACGTGGAGGTTCGTGGTATTTCCTTTAGCTGCGATGCAGTCATCGCCATTTTGGACAATGGCGTTCTCAACAAGAAGCGTGTCACTGTTCCACGAATCATAACCGTCTGTGTTGACGGTCCCCCATTGATCATTACTTGTCGCATTGACGTAGAGGTTCGTGAGGGAGACATTCTGGCTGTATGTCACGAACGTAGCCCAGAACTGGGGCTGAATGATGCGCAGACCATCCACAAGTAGATTCTTAGATTCAGTGAACGTGATGCTGATCGGTCGGCCGGGCTGATTACTGTGGTTCTGGTTCTGGGTGTACCAAGCCTGTCCCTGGCCGTTGTACCAACCGCCATCCGCGCGGAAGGTAACGTTTTCACCGCCGAAGAGCCACGCGGTCGATTGGTTCTGGAAAACCACGTCGTATGAATGAGACAGCCAGTAGGCGATGTCGGTTGAGAAGCGAAGCTCTCCTTGCAGGAGCACGTCGCAGTTAGCGAGGTTTGTCGTATTCATCACCGACTGGATATTGAAAACACCGTCGGTGAAGACGACATCGCCATTCTGGCCGCACGTTGCAAAGGCCTGGTGGATTGAGGGGACATCGTCAACCTCCTGGCCATCGTTTCTCAACGATTCCGGATAGAGATAGCAAGTGGCCTTTTGGCTCACCATGGTGGTGACCACATATCCAGCCGCCGTGGTGGCAAGCGCCACCATACGTAGTAATAACATCGCGGCGTTGTATCGAGAAAGCACTCAGGACCCAATATATTCTCGAGTTGTGGAAGACCGAAGGGGTAAATAGAAAATGAGAGATCGAGCCCTCTGTGCCGTAAACTCAAACTCGACGCAGGGCCACGCTGTCAGTGCCTGATTTCCCCTGAAGTTCTTTGTCTGCAAGGGCCCTGGCCCAACCGCTTAAATAGTCATGTCGGATGAGACCGGACTCGTGGTTGGATTTCAAACTCGCAGTAAACAAAGGCATGTTGCATCGTCTTCCCCGCATCGGGAAACCCCTTGATCTTGGTTCACGTGATGTCGGCGGTATTGACGCAGAGAAGCATACAAGAGGTCTGAGAGTGTAGCAGATGATCGCCGTTGGAGCGATCAGACGCGTTGTGATGAGTATGGAATTAGGGACCACCCGACCCACTCAGGCCGCATGAGAGGACCTATGCATCAGTCAGGGGATATGCAGCATGACATTTGACAGGAGTACTACTACGTAAATATGAGTGCAGTGCTGATGTTGCAGACCCTGCAAAGTCCCAGGGATTCAGGGTTCCGATGGGCGACCAAGCCAACCTCGGAAATTGTGTTGATCGAAATCAGGTGGAAACATATCCCGTCTAGGGTAGTATACACGAGCACTGTCCCCGTCAAGAAGCGTAACGAGATTGCTGCCGATCTCGGCTATCGGAAAAAATATATTGAACTAAACACATTTTATAAACTCTATAGGGTGAAAGTGGTTTTGCAGCATCGGGAAAAGAGCCCAAAGAACCCTTGGAAGCTAACGTTCTCCGCAGCGAAACGGCACGTAGCATCAAACCTGGCAGACACCATTCAATCGGTCTTCTTTGAGGGCTTGGGGAACTTTCGAGTCCGACGACGGAGCATCTCCACTCGCTCCTCCATGGTCCAGTTGACTTGCTCGCCAATGGGAATCAAGCATTTGGCCAAATACTCGTAGTTCTTCCGAAGCAAGTTCACGGTGATGAAGATATAGTCGACGTTGCGGAACACGAGCGCATCCTCCTTCGCATAGCGATCCTTCTGCTTAAGGAAGGCAACAGGGTGGTCCCTCCAATGACGGCGAGGGTTAAGGTGGTGAGAGGTGTGATACCCGTCATTGAAGGAGAATCGGTTACTCTGTAAACTGTCAACGGGAATCCGATCACTGGGAATGTAACCAACTCACCGGAACATCAATTAGGGTGATACTGGACAGGTAGTCCGAGTCAGGATCGGTCGGGTCCACAAACGCGTGCTGGCCCCAGTTGCCGACCATCAAGCCCAAGCGCATGACAGTGAGGGGGAGGAGGAAGACGAATGTGGTCGCGCGGGCATTCACATAGTTGTACATCATGTACAGGGCGACATAATTACCGATCTCCCAGAAGGCACACTTGGCGCCGTACTTGTACTGACCCTTTCGGAAGAAGTAGAGAGGAAGCTCGAGCCAGATGAAGAACACGAAGCGACCGACGTAGCACAGGAAGTCTGGGACGCTGTCGCGGTCATAGTACATGGTCGTGCTCAGGTCGTCTCCACCATTGCCCTCCACATGGTGGTGCTTGATATGGTGGTAGTAGTAAGAGTTCCAGGTGTGGCCGTGCATCGGGTCCAGCAGATACGGGAATAGCGTATCGAGCAGATACAGTTTCGGCGTGAGCACTCCGTTCATGTGGATATGCTGGTGCTTCATGAGGGTGAAGGCACCACAGTAGAACAATTGCATCAGCCAGTGGATGATACCGTGGAGGTACGAGAAGCGATAATACAACAATGCGCCGCTGGGGACGATAGTCGTGAAATACAGGATCAAATGCGTGACCATCACCACATCCGTCTGGAACCGCACCACCCCCTTGGCCCAGTTGATGTACGGCGTCAGCACATATTTTTGGAAGGAGGCAGGCAGCTTCGCCCGCAGCACTGGGGTATCCCAGAACTGGGAGATGGTGGGATCGAATTTCGCATGAGCAGGATCATTCAGATCATGCAGTAACTGGACTGTCTCTTCTGCGCTCAGCTTATCGGGCTTGGCGGCCGTGCCTGCATTCTTGTCAACCTGCTGCATCCACCTGCAGGGAAATATAAATACCGTTTGGCTGGTCGATGATGGCTTCGATCACCAGCTTGTCCTGATAGGTGAGCTCGGGATCTGTATATGTGGATGGGTCCATGTTGAAAGGGGCCTAAAATTGTGGTCAATCCTGTGTCGTCCGATGCCGGGCGGGGACGTACCCGCGTCTACCGCGTCGATCAGACAGTCTTCCAGCGAATCTCTACTCGTATATCGGACTGATGGACTTGGATGTAACAAAGAAGTGTCCAGAGAGCAACGCGTCAGGGGTCTACGCGAAGAGATTTCGGGGTTCAACTGTGGGTCCGGGAAGGTGAGTTATGCTCCCCAAACAATTGGAAAGTACTGAGATGCCTAGTTTCAAGTACTTTCATGGAGTACGGAGTAATTGACGGAGAATTTGATAAGAAATTAAAAATAGCAATCCGATTTAAGACTTACGGAGGCGTGGCATAACTCACATTCCGATCTAGATGTACCGGATTAGGGGACGTGCTGGCCCCCTGAATGAGGGAGATCATAAAGACACGATTGGAATGCAATTGAGTGGAACATCAAGGTAGCTCAAGGAGCAATTGTGAGTCAACCACGAGCATTGAAATAACAAATATACCTGTAGACATTTTTGCATCTTGTCAAGCATGGGCAATGTGAACAGATCACCCCAATAGTGGAGCAAAACGACATCATACGAGTGTGGAGAACTAAGCCTGGCTGATCAACCCAGGTCGAACAGTCGACTGCCACTGCACAACACGCGATGACCCAAGGATATTCCCATCGCGATCCAAAGCGCTCACAAATAGCGAGCCTCCAGCATAGGTGTCCGGAATAGGAATATCCGTCTCAAAGTGCAGTTTCGGATATTGACCCAACACGTATGCATCAGCTGGGTTCTGGATCTCACCCCCAACACCCTTCAAAACCCACTCCGATACTTCCGTGGCACCATTCCAACTAACATACGCCCGGTCGTGTACCAGGGCGATATCAGGCCGAGTCAGGGGATCCGCAACCCAAGCGCTTTTGGAAATCCGGTAACTGCGAATTTCACCACTGTTGAACCATGTCTCTGGGCCCATGTGGGTGTTGCAGAGTAGTGTTCCATTCGACGAGTATTCCGCCCAGTTGGCGTTCGGGCCAAATCCGAGGACGACGTTACCGTTGTTCAAAATTTGCATGGATCCGCTGTTATCGGTCAAGACCTTGTTTGGACTGATGTATTCCTGCTCGAGATTGACGGTCATGTTCTCTGTGTCGACGAGGAGTGTAATACCGCGCGTTGGTCCTGTCACTGGACGACCGGGGCAGTTCCCATTGTCGAAAATGGAAATCTTTCGCTGATGGTCGTGGAACCGAGCATGGTGTTGGCCGTTGAAGCTAGCTGCGCCATTGGACAGGTCTTTGAAACTGTTGCCCTTGCCGCCGAGTTTCCAAATCACATCGCCGGTCTTTCCGTCTACGTAGACGACCGAGCTCATCATTCGACACGAGATGAGGAAGTTGCCGAGTGCGTCTTTCTCGATGCTGTTGATGTGAAACAGGTCCGGCGCTGTCGTCTCCGTCCGCCCATCGCTTGACTGGAAATGGTAGTACTCTTCGAACTTGAAGTGTTCTGACGCCCGCCACTCAAAGACCACTTCTCTCGTCAGCACGTCGATCTCCTGGATGCCAGATTCCAGCAGGAAATCCACTCCTGGGGGCGCGTCGAAGGAGGTTTCATTGGTGGGGATGACACCATTGAAGACCAAGAGAGCCGTTCCGTCCGGCGTCAAGGTTAATTCATGCGCGTCGAGATTCCACTCGCCTCCTACGCGAATCTGATAAGCTTCTTCGTAGCGATTGTTGATCTGGGAATGTGTTAGCAACCTTGGAAGGCCTGGACACGGAATCAATCCAACTCACCAGTGCGTAGTAGGTTGAGTCCATCGCCAGAGCCACAATGTAATCTTCCCCTTGGAAGGCTTGTACGTCCCCCGTCACATATCTGGTGCTATGCCAGGTAAGATATCCTTCTGCGTCCACAAGCATCAACCCGGGTATGTTCACCTGCTTCCCCCAGTATGGCAGCACAGTGTATAGGTCATCATTAAGACATCCTTCGCTTTTGCTGTGATAGTTCAAAATGGGGCCAATTGCATTGGAGGAGTGATATAGCTGGTGAGGCCATCTGTCGAAGGCGCCTATGTCGTACGGATGCGATTGATAGAACGGGGGAATATCCGCCACTGACGATGCCGCCAGGGCCAGCAGAAGCCAGAGGTCGCGAGGCATGGTGGACGAGGGAAATATCTGTGCGAACTGCGTGTCAGCCGACGCTTGGCCGCCTTGATCTGTGGCGCCAAGGGTTCGTTATCTGATCCATCTGCTCCACAAAGATCGTCGCTTCTCCTGCCGATCTGGGTGTTAGGACGGGGTGAGGGTCGAGGGTTGACGGAGTAGATCATGCAAATATCATTCAGTAACTATACAGTACACAAATTGCCAGCAATCAGTGCAGTGTCCACTTCCCATGCAAATACCAAGCTCCCACACCCACAAGCAAAAACACTGCTACCCACCGCACAATGGTACGGATAGCATCCTCCATCGCCAGATCCATGTGATGCTGGAACTCCACGGTGGGATACGCCTTCGGCCAGGGTTCATCAGGAACAGGCTCGTCCAGGAACTCGCACAACTCTTTCCACCCACTCTTCCCCGTCTCAAACTCCAACAACCGGTCCTGCGGAATCGCCGCCCGAATCCGATCATAGTGGTCCAGGTACGCCTGTTTCACCACCGACTCCTCATAGTCATTTCCGCAAAAGATCTTCCACACCAGCTCGGACTGCCGGAACAGCGGGCCCAGCACCGTCGAGTCCATCCGGTGCCAGAAACGGAAGAACGGGATCCGCATAAATTTGAACACCGTCGCATTGGCAGAAGTGTACCAACTATTTACGTCGCGAGTTGTCAATATGATTTTGGCATCGGGGTATGCGCGGGATAGATCTTCCCAGAATAGACATGCGGGGATATCCATGACAGCATCGTACGCTCCTATCAAACGGTCGAAGTCTTCGGTGTTGTATCGTGGTTTGGGGTGGTTGAGGAAATTACATTCCATGGCTTCAATCCAGAGGTTGAAGTCGTGGGGAGGGTTCTTAAAGCATTCCGAGCCGTGATAGGGGTTGTACCCCAGTTTCCGGAGGGCAATGGTCATTGCTGCGGGTGGTCAATGTCGTGCTTTCCAGCTTGTGCCTTCGTCGTTGCTTACAGTTGGTCCCTGTTCTGGCCATGCCCATGCATAGCACTCGCATGGGCTTCACGCGGTGATTGGGTTCGTGGTCGATTAATCGTGACATGATGAATGCTGTGTTGAGAGGGAGGAAAGATACTCTGTTCCTTATATACCACACTGGTCCCGTGCCATGGGCATCATACGGCCTGTCAGTTGACCCTGAAACTCCAAGGGCTCGACGATCAGCTTGCGTAGTCGTTTCGGATGGTATACGGAGGGTATGATATATCGGTTCAACTCATTGAACTTGCTTTCTCATTATAACTGCGATATCCTATGAGATTCCCTTCGAGCCCTGCTATTGCGCCGTGCTGACGCGGGGGGCGTGCATGATGTCATCTATATCGAACCAGTGCCGCGGCCATCGAGGCAACTTCACTTTGACTGTACACATCTCATGTTTCATGAAGTATCGCGGTAGACCAGAGAACATGAAACGGATCTGCGCAGCTGCGGGTGCGCGGGATTCCGCACCCTTCAACAAAGTACTTTCTCAGTCACATCCCTGAGTGATTCTGGACTCGACTTTCAACCCTTTCCAAAACTCACCAAAACATGAGATCAATCCAGGTCATCCAAAACCACGAAGCAGTATGACAGGTTCGAGACTTTGAATCCTGAAATCAAATCCTACGAATCAAACCCCTCGGTCGCTTGAGCATCGCGATCCCCGGAAAGTGAGAACTCGAAGTGAGCATGTTTCAGCAAGCAGTCGTGATATCCTTATGACATATTTGATCTGCGCCCGGGGGCACGCAGGGTGATCAACCCGACGTTACTCCGTCCATCCCACGCGTGGGAACACTTTTCTGGGGGCTGGAGAGACTACAATGGAGGGGGCTGACAAGGGCACCCTTGCGGCCTTGCCGAAGCCCGAAGAATCTTCCAAGGGCAGGAGAGCTTCATCCCGTGTCGCCGTACGGGGCATCCGTCCTAGCATGGCCCTGCCATGCATGAAGCCATGGAGATCGGAGTGCATTACATATTTCCGATGACAGCCAAGCACCAAGCGGAGCCTCGTACTCGGCGATATACGAGGGAATGGTGCTAAACCGTGGATCAGCACGGTGGCCAATTCCTCACAGTGAATGACTCTCGCTAATTATAGAGAGTTCAAGGATTTTCCTATTCCGGCGTGAAAACTCTTACTCTTGAAGCAGGATAGCAGGATAGCACACAACGATGGAAGCAATGGCCTACCAGCACAGTAGCAAAGAAGCATGATAGCCCAAAATTGAAGAGAAATGTCTCAGTTCCCCTCCAAGAATCACTAGTTTGGCGTAGTTCCTCGCAACCCCGTGCCACTAAGGCTGCTTGTAGTATGATCTTCGCCACCTCCGCACGCCAGACAGTGTTGGGAGTGGATCGCTGTTCACCGCATGAAAAGCGAGAAAAGCGAGAAAAGCGAGAAAAGCAAGGAAATAATTGAAGAACCGACCAAAAATAACGTATGTTGATTCCACTTCCAGGGTTAGAATTGATATTAAATATTCACCAGCCTTCCTCTTTATCACACTCAAATACCTACTTCTACCCGCTCACTTCCGACTTAACTCCCAATCTCAACTACTACTACCACTACAACTCACTACAACTCTCAATCATATACAAAATGAAGTTCTTCGCCCCTCTCCTCCTCGCGGCCTCAGCCATTGCCGCCCCCGTCGCCAGCACCGCCAAAAACTTCCACCTCAAATCCACCGGCGCCACCAACCCCGATCACAACAACCTCTACGTCTACGCATACCACACCGGCGCCGGTCTGAACGACGCCGTCCTCACCAAGGATGTCGAAACCGCCAGCCCCGTCTACCTCAACGGCACAAAGGCGCTCTTCGACCTGAAGTCCGACTTCCCATGGGGGGTTGTAGCCGTCGGCGACACCAACTACGCCTGTGAGTACCGAAGCTCCCTAGACTCCATTGGAACCCGAACTAACAGTCGCGCAGCCTGGGAGCCCATTCAGATCAACGCCGGACAAGGCACCGAAGGATTCTCCGTCAAAGGCAACAACTTCCAGTGGTCTGAGGCCAGCGGGTTCGGTGGATGGCTCGGTACGATCCCCACACGCTCCACAAGACGATCGCTAACCAATTTTCACAGTGTGTGACTGGTACCACAATGCGCCCCAGCTGTTCTACCTGAACCGCTTCTATAACGCCACCATCCCATCCAGCTGCAGCAAGGTGCAGCTAAAGGCCGAATACATCAAATAGAACGGTCGGATTTACATGCCCTTTCACGCCACTTATGAAACCGACCCCCAACTTAATGTCTAGTTAATAGCACTTTTGAGCGATATTGAATGCGAAATGCTTTTGAATTGAAATGCTGGCTCCCACGCTGGAAACGGGAAACTTCGCTGGAATATACTCGGGGATATCAAAAAAATAAATACAGGAGACACCTCGTCACATCATTCAACGTAATGCGTTTCTGCAGGTCATGAAGCCAGGATCTCCGGACTGGGTCCGAAATCATCGTAGTAACGTCGATCCATCCCAGCCTGCAGACGCGCCTCCTCATTAAAGGGTCCGCGGATCGGACCGCTAAAGTGCTTCTTCACGTTCGATCGGAACACCTGCACAGGATCCGTTCCCTCCTGGTCGCAGATCCACGTCAACCAGCGGTGTCCAGTGGTGACATGAGTAATCTCATCATTGTGAATGACCTCTAAAGCCTCCACGCTCTCGTCATCGCCAGCCTTCCGGAACTTGGCAATCGTCATGGGGTTAACGTCCAGACCGCGCGCCTCGTGCACCAAAGCGACAATGCTGATTCTCGCGCGCAGATCGTACGCTGTCTCTGTTGCTGAGAGCCACAGGCTGTGGTGGACAGGGAGGGAGCCGAAGGCAGCGCCCATTTCCTCGAGTCGAGTCCGAAGAAGGGAGAAATGCTTAGCTTCGTCGTTCGCAACCTTCAACCAGTCGTGGAAGAAAGTGCGCGGCAGTTCCTGTCCCGTGCCGTCTGTCTGGAAAGTGGCGAATCGAATACAAATATCGATTGCGAGATCGATGGCCCAGAGCTCGATATTGGCTAGCGCATGGAGCATGGCGATCCGGCTCTTCAAGGTCCCGCCTCGTCCAGCCTTGGGCATCTGCCCCGGGTTCACAATCTCCATCTTCTCGCGTGGCGGCTGATCCGGCGCCGCGACAGTGCCCCGCCCAAGAGGCATGGGCGAATCGGTGCCTTCCCTCTCGACAAAGATCGCAAACAGATGCGTCGTCAGCTCGATCTTGTGCTCCGGATTCGCGGTATTGAGAACATGCGCAGCCCAATCGCACAGCGTGGCGCTCTCGTCTAGGTATCGCGCCATGCCGGGATCTTCGCGCGCGGGTTCAGGCTTCGAGGGTCTCGGGTGCTTTAGTTTGACTTTCTCGCTTACCGGGTCCACGCTGGCGAGTGAGACTGAGGCGCCGTCTTCTGTGGGGAAATCAAGTGCGACGAATTCACCCTGCACATCGACAGGGAATGTGCATGCCTTCAGACCAACGCTGGACTCGCCGGTCTCGACATTGAAGTCGTAGGCGTGCCACGGGCAGGACGCGACGTATGCGGAGTCTTCGATGTCGACTGAGGAGTCGGCCATGGGTCCACCGGCATGCGGGCATTCCGCTTCCATGGCGTAGTAGGACCAGCCATCGGATGTTTCGTTGACTTTTAAACTGGACGGGTCGATCGTCGGGAGGCGGAATAGGACCAGCTTCTTGCCGGTGTTGAGTCGAACCACATATCGGGCCTGGGTGAAGTCCGACAACTTGCCGCAGTTGATCCACATTGCGAGGGTGGAGGGGTGAGCAGCGATGTGATGCTTTTCGCAGATTCAATTGGAGAGTCACGTGCCTCCTTATCTGTCTTGGCATTGTTATAAGCCTTGGCGCTGCTAATGACGGCTATTTAGACAGTAATTTATCGAATCGTATTATTCGATTTGGATGCTTCGTAGGCTATTCGCTATTTCTATTGAGGGTATCAATGAGTGAGAGGAACGTGATATTAACAATGGAATAATATTGAATGCACTATTGTCCTATTGTCCTTAATTCATCCCCTATTTGCAAGGTAGCGCCTCCAATTGAGGTGTAACGAAAGCCGTAAGTATTCGTATTGTGTACCTAATTAAAGTCTGAGGCAGTCAATAGTGGACCTCGCTTCTCCTAATTACTACTTAACAAATTTTTCAATCTATTTAACGGCTCAATTAATGAAGACGCCCATTGATTGCGACAGAAGTATTAAATTGAGATCTCACAACTTCAACTTTTCAACTTCTCGACTGCTCACCTTTCGACTGTTTCCGCGACTGTTCGATCTTTCAATCTTTCAATCTTTCCAAAAACCACATGATCATAAGCCCCGTTCCAACTTTATCTTCCTGTCGACTGTCTTTATTGCAAACCTCGAATCCCCACACTGACCTCAACGTGCTATTGACTTGCTGAATTTACGCAAGCGCGATGTCGTATGCATGCCCTATCTTATTGGTTGCTGTGCGCTAACGATATACACAGCTCCACCATGGAGCCCCGTGGCCGCTTCATCAACTGGGGAGCTTGCCGGGAAGGTGCTATGTCCACACTGCCACGCTTCGCTTCACTGGGTGAAAGAGCTACTGGTTTGATCCTGGCTTATCAGACTGTCCTAGACAGGGATGAGACTTTTACTCAGTATTATTCTGAGGAGCGACTTGAGAGCTACAACATCGAAGCAAGTCTGCGCGAAGAGTTCGGTGTTGGTCCTGCTTGTCTCAATGATCCTGGAAACCCCAGTCCTCAGCGCGATTTCATTATCAGCTGGGCCACTATTTTCCGGGATGGTGTTTTCGAAAAGAAGGCCGAGGATCGCTATCTTTGCCGCGTGCAGGGAAGGATCGTTGAGATCGACGAGTCCATTCACAGAACGATCATGATCAGCCGTCGTGCTTTTCCCCCAGCTGCCCAGGCGTGGCCGATTCCTGCTGATGTCGAGCGAGAGTATCAGCTGAATCTTTCGATCGAGAATGATGTGTCGGATGAGCTCAACAATCAGATCAAATGTAAGTGCCTGCACTTGCGATATGTAGGCTAACTCTCCCCTTGTTTATTTGCTAACCAATTCATCAGATGTGGAGAGAATGCGACGACTCCAGCTTGCACTGAGGCGACGTCGCAAGAACCTCCAAGAACTTCGTGATTCTGTTCGTGTGAAAACAGAGCCGAAGTCGCCAGAGCCATCTCACGCAGGGTACCGTACTCCTTCTGTGTCACAGCTCCTACAATCCATCGAGTCTCGACCTGTTCGCGAACGAGACCCATCATACCCATCAGAGAGCTCGGCAGTATCAACCGGTGATGACATCCCCTATGGAAACCCTCGCAATGAGCCGACCCCGGGCATGCAGGAAAGGTCTCTTCGTTCAGCGGATCAAGGTGTCCAGTCTGAACCCAAGGACCCAAAGCAGATTGATACAGCTCAGCAGGCCCCCGCAGCTTTGAGACACAAAGCTCGCGGAACCATCAACACCAATGACGAGACCCGCAGTGCCCCATCAACTCCTCCTACTACATCCAATCTCCCTACTGGCCCAGCTGATGCTACTGCCTCATCCTCTCATCCCGTCCAATCCTCTGCTTTTATGCCCATCAACCGCCGACAGGCCAAGACAGCTGCTAACTTCGCAACACCAACTGAGAGCCCGCATCCCAAGCGTTTGCGTGAGACTCGACAAGCCGAGCAAACCGTCGAACCATCTCCCAAACGACGCAAGAGCTCATACCCCAATGCATCAGCAGAGCTCGACTCCATGACTTACGGTCAACACCTAGCAATGTGGAATGACCAATCCCAACAATCTCCATCCACCCAAAAACCCCCCAAGGACACGAAACCCGAGAAGACCGGGAAGAAAAAGCGCGAGCGCAACAACTTCACCGAATACGAAAAGGAGCACGCCCCATCCTGGATCCGAGCCCAACTCAACGCAGGAGTTTCCGGAGTCGACCTCGAGCGCGCATATATGGCCCAATTCGGAACAAAGCACCACTCCACAACCCTCAAAGCCTTCCTGGACCGAAACGAAGCCAAAGCCAAAGCCCTCGCAAAGGCCACCGGAACTACGGTCTCAACCCCATCTACACAGGAGGATCGCCAGCCCTCCAAGATCGTAGTTCTGAAGGTACGACTCCCAGTACCTGCCCATGGAGACACACCCAATGACAATACTTCTCACAGGAACCCGAGGCCGAGAGCACACCCAACAATGATGCTCCGGTCAATGCGGAGAAAGTAACTTCCCCTCCGCCACCCTCCCAAGGCCACCCTGCCCCTGCTGGTCAATCCGCGGGGCAGGGTGGGGAGGCTTTTGCCCTCCCTTTCGTCGGTCAGTCTGGGACCCGGGCTTCGGAGCCGCTGCGTTCCCCGTCGGTGGGATACAGGGAGGTCATCCGGGCGCAGTCGGTTGCCCTCACGGGCCATGAGATGGAGAATGGGCTGCCGGGGGCCTGATGCCCCGGCTGTTTCTTTTCTTTTCTTTTTTTCTTTTTTCTTATTTTTACTTTGTATTTTTATTTTTGTTTTATTTTTATGTTGATATCCATACCCGGTGGGGCGCAATGAGTTTATTTGAATTGAATTATTTTTCCGTCTCAATCATGAATCTTTCTGTAGTAGTGGCCTCATATTGATTAGTCCAGTAAAGCTCACAGTTAGGATCTGAACCTTGGAAGTGAGATATATGTAAGATTGATACTGAAGGTCATTAGCTACCTTGGTAACTATTATGAATGCACTACTCTACTAGGTAGTTAGAGCAGCGTAGTGGTGTCAATCACAGAACCTTAGAAGTATTCCTTGACTCTCATTTACGTAGTAGTGGCCATGGGATGCAATGCGTAACTGAACTATAGAGCTATCATGCTTCTGATCTCAATCCAAATGATACCTAGGTATAGAGGATGACTTCCAAGGTTCATTCTCAACTCTAGAATTGGTCTGATCCAGCACTTTTGAAACGATTCAGCTTCTCTTCATTCTTACTTAGGTATATCATACCTACCTAGGTAGTAATCACTTCCAATGTTCAAGGTCCAGACCCTGTTCCAATGCCTCTGTATCCATGGATTACCCAGTGCAAGGTTTGAATTCAAACCTTGGAAAGTTCCAAGTATCCATGACGTTACTATGCTTCTGCCGTGGTTTGTGTTTCAGGTAGGCCAACAGGCTCCCAGTTCAAGTTTGTCAGGTATGTTTGGGTCACACTATGCCGCAGGTTTATATATTTGCGCGTGTTCCCGAGTTTGGCCCTTTCCAAGTTGCTTCCAAGATCGAGACCAGAGATATACCAGGCATTATCGTGAACACTACGAAGCGCGATTGGAATGGCGTTGGTCCAGTCCAATGATTTGTTGAACATCGAGAATCGCGGTAGTCACGGGTTGGAAATGCCCTAAGTGCCATTGACCTTCCAGTATGGGAACCCCGATCACCATGTCACTGGCACAATCGCCCAAAGTCAGACTTTGGAATTGCCGAGACATTAGGTACTTCAAGGTTACAGAGACGATTGCATCTGCCTGGCATCCTTGTCGATTTTCTCTGATTTCTCCCCGCTGATCAACCACTCCTCCGACCGCCGTGAGACCGACTACGAGAAATTCGCCAAAACCCAACGAACGTCCAAAACGGACTGGAACAGGCTCACCGGCGCAAAGTCCCCACCAACGCCACGTTCCTCCGACCCGCCGGCTGACTGCTGGGACTCGGCGCCTTTCCCACACCGAGTCGCGGGTTCCGCCTGAGTCACCAGCGCCTCACGTTTGACAACGGGTTCGTTGTGATCGAAAAATTCACATTTCATCAGATGAGATCGCCGTTTCAGGTTCCAAGGCTGTGATGGTCATCTGGAAGTCTCCCTGACAGGAGAAAAATCCCCAGTATTTCCTCTTCAGTTCTTGCTCCCTGTCACATTAACTCCTTCTAACTTCTCAACCAAACTCCCTATCCCAGAGCCTGGAAAAGCAAAAGTCACAAGCTCGTCACTTTGCTCGGAAATTGAGGGCACTTTCAGAGCAGTATCATGCTTTGAATCAAGAATGAAAAGCAACTGATCAGTGGCAAGTCTTGGAAGCAACCGGCCAAAGCACCAAGGATGCTCCCACTACTTGCCTAGTACACATATCGTGAATGAAAAGACCTGTTTGAAGTTTGCAATCATCCCGAGGTCCCACTCGCACTGATGATCTTCCTGGAATCCGTCAAGGATTCAAAATCCCAGTAGGTAAGTATCAGAGTCAAAAAAGCGACCTTGGGAACTTCATGGGCCTGAAGAAGCAGCATATTCTGATGCAACCTTGCAGCCGTGACTCAGATCCGACTGCCACCTGGGCAGAATTCGACCAGAGCTGGGCGTCCATGACGGCAAAACTAAATCCGACGCTAGCCCTATGCCCATACTACAACTGTTCGTTTCCACAAATCGCCGACGCGACTGGTATATTCACGCGGGATGACGTCCGACTGACTGGAATCAAAGCATGACCATAAGACGCGAAGGTAGCTGATATCCTCAAGCCCACTTCCTTGCTACGGCTAGTCTGGACACGGATCGAACTAAAGTTAGGTTGAGGGGACGCAATTCGATCTAGCCTCCTAGCAAACCCTGTCTACGGCCATCGCAAGCTACATCTGGGCACTTGAAAATCGTGTTGACTCTAGCTCAATACGATACTACTGGTCGCCGGCCCCTCCGGTTCGAACGACGAACGGCGGGCTGCGGGCTACGGTTGTGTTTCGCGCCTGGCAAATGGCAATCGAAGCCTCCTGTCCCTTGCAACATCCGATAGGGACATCCAGTCCACCGCCGGAATTTGGAAGAGAATCATCCGACCACCCAAAGGCACACCGTTGTGCTTGACAGCGTACCAATCCCATACTGACGGAAAGTCTGAGCGGACGAACCAAGCCTCCAGGGGCTTGGAACTGTTGAAGCAGTCATGTGATGCTTCCTTTCCATAGTCTCAGATCTAGCTCTCTTTTTCCCTCTCTCTTCCCTACAACTCTCAATACATTGCTTTTTGCATGTCTTGCCTTTCAAGTATGAGGAGTCCCTCTTTCTATGACAAACGCTGGAAATCATGACCAGATTCTGAGGCCCAGTGAACCCAGCCGGACACTGGGGGGAACAGCTGCCATCTTTCAAGCGCTCTTGGATGCACCTATGGACCTCGGATGGAACCACTCGTTTGACATTTCAGGGACTATTGTACGAAGTCCAAGCAACGCCAACCCTGGGGCTGTACATCAAATGAGCCGCTATCACCAGACTTGACAATACGAAATGATAACCACTAGGCTTAAAGCAATGCAGCTTTTTAAGACAAGCGTGTCACAGTCAACAATGACGCTGAAGTGTAAAGTCGGTTTGCCCAGGACTCCGGTGGACTTTGGAGGACTGTGACCGGATATTCAAAACAAAGGGAAGGGAATTGATCTGAATCTCTCCAACCTTGAATGCGTTATCATAGATCTCGAGTGTTGCTTCAAGTCTTCAGAGGCCCTGCGGTGTCTTCATATCTTGATAGCAATGGTTTCAAGCTGCCCGAGAAGCAGGTATCCTCCAAATTCCAATGGATGAGACACTCCAGTCCCACAAGTCAACATAGGAATTAACTATCCGGCTACATCATTACAGAGGCCTCCCCTAGTCCAAGTGATGAGACTTATTCAAAGTCTACCCTCCTGTTTACCTGCGTGACCATCTAGGCATTGGATCTACCAATTATATCCTGTAGCAGTTCTACATGCGGTTGCCCCAGGGTGCCCCAGGGTGCCCCAGAGTGCGAAGTGTTGTCAGCATACACCTGGGCATGCATCTGTGGTAGCTTCAGATGATCTTCATCCTAGGTGACAGTGAACTACCAGGATTGCAACTTGTAGTGGTTGGAGCCCTGGAGGTGGCACTCCCACGCTCGGTCAGAAAACCATTGTGGCAAAGCGCATGCTCAACTATACCCAAGACCGCTAAGTACAGTATCTATGGATCGTACTACAGCCCAGAGCGTGGTCACTGTCACTGATGTGGTACTAGGTAATCCCTGACAGCATCCCACTTCCATTACTCTGCCTATGTTGCTAGCTTGGTGCATACTGAAACCCAGCCTCGTGGCATGAAAACGCACCCAGGGCTTCCGGTGAAGGGTAATGACTCGGGCCATCACTCCTGTCCCCCCAAAGACCAATCAAATATCAGTGTGAGATTACCCCAACTTCCGCATTACATACCACACCACACCACACCACACATCCACGGCCACATCCGCGCCTTGGGTGCACACCAATTTTCTACAGTCGTAACACACCGGGCTTCGCACCAGCTTCTGGATACAGGATAACCCCTGTGATTAGTTGTGCGCAGCCCAATGTGGCGTGTAGCCTAGTGCGTCGGTGCGCGAGAGTAACCGTCTATGGGTGGAGGAGTGTTGATATACAATGTGGAGTTTGGGATGATCTCACGACCGTGAGATTAAAGTGGTCTTTCGGCCTGCGTGGAGAGAGCGCCCCAAACCCTTAACTGTTACAGTCTGTAAGGACCTGGCGATCATCCATCCGTTACACCTAACGCACCGATTTAACCTAAAACCTAAAAACGCACCTCATGTACCACTATCCTCTCTCGAGTAGCGATTTTACCACTTCACTGACTTTGCGGACTCCTACCTAGTAATATGTGGGCTGCAATCCCCCCGGTCGCTCTGAGCTTTATACCCCTCACAACAATATTCCTAGATTTCCGGTAGAAAGACGTCTGGCGGGTGTGGTTAGGTGGTGGTACCGGGTAGGAACGACCAGAGTGAGGTGGGTTTAAAAGATACTGGTTCGGGGCAGCACTTTTCCACTGAGCCAAAGGTCTATAAACCTCACAGTCAGATTTTCCCGAACTCTGCATTATATAGTAACAACACTCGGTCGTGCCACAACGGGCCGCGCAGCATTCTCACCCATTCTGGGCTACGCACCACAATTCCATGTAAAGGATCTGGTTATCCTTTACAGTGAGTGCCCAGGTGGGGTGAGTGAGGTCGGTGATTCAGTGATTTTAGCAATGTCAACGAGGTCAGGGAGATCAGCAGTCCTGGAGTGTCAGTGATGTTGGTGATATGATCCATGGATATGTGGTTAGGGGCTGTGATGTCATATGTCATATGTCAGTCAAGTCAGTCAAGTCAGTGAGAATCAGTCAGGTCGGTCAGGTCGGTCAGGTTGGTTAGGTTGGTTAGGTCGGTCAGGTTGGTCAGGTTGGTCAGGTCGGTCAATTCAGCCAACCCCTAGGTGTTTAGGGGTTTGGCGCTCAGAGATCGAGGAACTTCCTTACATCCATGGATGAGCTTAGGGCTTATGTAAACCCTAAAGTCTGCGATGATTCGTTGGAAGTTTTACGCGGACACACCCCCAAGTTGGACTTAGCTCGCGGGCCAAATGCGGTATAGACTCTCCTTTACACCAGTCTACGCGCGACAGGCATGGGCCCCAGTGAAACAAGTCCTCTAAAAGCTGAAAATTGAGCGAACGGCCCACATCAACCTGAGCGAATAATCTTTCTTGACACTTTTGACCCGTGGCGTGTGGGTTGACTGAGGCGGATCGGGGCTCTCACCTCTTCGTCCCTTGTTTTCCAAACAAAAATTGTAAGAGTTAACAGTTTGGGGCGCTCTCTTCGCGTATGCCAAAAGACCACTACAGTACAGTATAATCTCTCATTCAATAGGTTTTGCCAAACTCCGCATCATATACTAACACCGCTCGGTCGCACTTCGTGCACCGGGGCTCTGGGGCTCTGGGCTGCGTACCCATGATTGCGGGATCGCTATCCTTTACAAAATTGACTAGGTTAGTGCGTAACCACTTGCATATAGTGCCAAGACACCTGGGATGCGATTCCTTTGTTTGCAAGGATTCCACCGTGGACCTCGAGAACAACCCCTCCCCACAGGACAGGGGTGAGATGTGATAGATCAATAGATCAAAGACACAGGTACGTGAGATTAATGGCACTGTTACATTGATCTCAGTCGAGGTTTTGCCAAGTCAAAATTGAAAGTGCTGGTATTTTGACGTTCTATAGGATAGCTTCTCCAGACTTCTCTCTCTGTCCTCGGGTATTTGGCGGGATACTGCACAATTTAACTAGGAGTCTAGACTTGCTGCCATTGAGGGAGTCACTTTGGGCTTGGGCTTGCGTTTTCGTGTACTGTACTGTAGAAAGGGAGAGCAAGTAGAACAAATGGTGGGCCAAGTACTGCCCGTTAGGTCTTGAAAACATGTCAGCATGGATACAAGGAACAGTGGTCACCCAGACCGAGATCTACGCATGGCCCCTTCCGATATGTTGCAGCGATCATCCTAGCTGAGATATCAAGCGAACAGCGCCACCAAAGGCCCATCACCTAAACCGATGTATTTATCACCGTACTGGATGGCAGCGTCCTAGATTTGGTTGTCTGTACACGCCGAAGACTGTCGAGAATGGGATATGAAGATGAAGGTCACAATCTGTTGTGTACTCCGTATGTAATAATGGGGGGGGGAGGATCAAGACCTTTAGCTTGCACCAATTGAGCGTAAGAGAAGCAGGCTAGTGAAAACAAACAAGCCCTGTAATTTTGATTGGTAAAATTGTTGTGTACTTGAGGATACGGAGCAGAGCGGCGGGCTGTTCATCAAACGAGAGCCCAACTTTGCTCTTTGTGAATCTTCTCTCCATCTCTGGGTTAATCTTGTCCATTTTCCATCAATCCGTTTTCCTCAATATCTCCATACGACCGGCCAATCGCCCAGAAGAAACAATGGAGTCCAAGAAGTACCCGTTCTTCCCATCGGTGGAAAGGCTTGGATCCTACCGCCTATTCCTCGAACTCGGACTTAAATTGATGGAGAGAAACGAGCCTCTGGCGCCGACCATGGAAGCTATGCTCCGTCGAACAATCCGATATGAGAAAATGCTCGCCGAATTCGGCTGCACAGGACCACGCATTGTGCCGCCCGCACCCGACAAGCCTGTGACTTGGGTTGATGTCATGAAAGAAGACCTTACGAAAGACCAATTTCAGCCTAAAGGGAACGGGATCCATCACTGTGACCTTGAAGGAGTCACAATCGAAGTCACCACATCCCAGCGGGACAAGGTATTGGCTAGATCCTGGGAGCCTGCTCTGTTCCGGGTGGACTCGGCTATACAGCGCGAGGAGCGCGCCCGGGCCGCGTTCATCGACTTCACCGAAAGTATCATGGCAACGGCAGGTGAGGGCAAGTATTCCTGGGCCTAATCAGATCCACACAGAACGTTCACACTAACTACCAAATAGTGTATGAGATTTGCGGAAAGATATTGCCAAAATGTCAATACAATTGAAAGGACGTTGCGGAGGACTTCGAATATGATGGGTACTCCGACGTTGAAGAGCACGATGATGACGATGATGAGGCGAAGAAAATCACGAGACAGACGGGTCATTCTACGAGCGCGAAGACTCCCAGCGATGGTAACATGCCCTTACACCATGTGGCTTTTACCACCCGGCGCTCTGTTTACTCCTTGACTTCTACCTCTTCTCGCTCTTCTAGCTCCTCTAGCATCTTGTCGACCCCATCCGTTGCTGAGCCAGTCGTGATGGGTGAACCTGGCTCGAAATATACTGCATTCGAGCTCGAGGACGCGGAGTCATACGTGGCTACGTTAGCCAGGAACGGCAAAACCGAAAAGGAGATTGAGTTTCATTATGTCGAGCGCTTTCAGGTAAAGCGAAGCTTAAGATCGATCGTTCAGAAGTTCAACCTGTAATCTCGACCTAGTATCCGGGAAACCGTGAAAAAGAACGAGGAGAGGAAGCGTGTGGCAAAACTTGAACGATATAGGCAATATGAAGAAGAGGTGCAGCGAAGAAGACGATCGAAGGAATGACTGGCTGGGGATTTCTGAACGGGACGACCTGGTCCGACGTCAGTTTCAAGCAACAGTCCGAAAGATGGCCGACTAACTGGACTCGCTGTCCAGTTTTGGTGCTTTTAGCGAGGAGAGTTCCAGTACACACTGCAGTTTGAGGAGATTCCAGTGTTTTAGATCGTTTATGTTTATTCATGAGTCCACGTCGCCCCTCGGTCGATGTGCAAACTCCACGCCAGCGATTGTATTTTTGTTGACCAGGAGGTCATTGCATTGTTCGCCGACGCTGTCATTACACATCGCATATCTTGCTTTCTCTATTAGTCTTGCGCTTTTTTGATTTTTGATTTTGTCATTTCATTCTTCTCGTGGGTCAATTCAATATGATTCTTTTTAAGGTTACTATTAGAACGCGAATATCTTAGGAAATACAAGCCATGTTATCCATGGATGGGTTGAGGCCCCTAGATGGGCACCTAAAGCCTTCGCTATCGCAACACCTGAGCAGCGTTAGGGAGAACCGCTAGGTACTTGGGAGGCTTCTCTCCCACAAGACCAAATGATCACTGTACTTTCTCACGATAGTGAGATTACCGGGTACCTAAACCCCTGGATTACGTACCACAATATGCCAACCTTGGAAAACTTGCAATCAATCACATCGCGGCGGACATCTCGTCACACCGGGTGCCTAACGGCGGACGTTCGCAACCCCAACGGAGCTACCCCGTACGGAGTACACACCGAAGAATCCTGCCTGGCCTGGTACGTTGCTGGTTTATCATCTCTTTTCAATTCTTGGTTGCACAGATTAGACAGAGGAGCAATATTAAATAGAACTGAGTACCAGCTTAGTGTTCGCGAATGGCTCAGTTAGTACATGTAATGTTGTTGTGGACGGGTTCGAGAGTCACTTCCGAGGCCCTGAGTCTGCCCCTGCCAGGTGGGGTACATGGACCTCTCTCTTTTTCTTCTCTCTTTCTTTCTCTTTCATGTCCGAATTTTCTGAACTTTCACCCGTGGGGACATGAGCTCTAATGCCAGGTCTCCTCTCAACTTATGTCCTGACATGCCTGGTTTACCATAACCTTACAGAATCTTGCCCCTCGGGCCAGTAAACCGCACCCCGGACGGGCCTAGCAGTTGACGCTGCCGCCCCTATAGCTACAGTTAGCCACCACCCACGAGAGGAATCTGTGGAAATATGCCTATATCTGCCACTCTTTAGTATCACATCGGGTCTGTTGAGAACCTATCTAAACAAACCCATGCGTGACAATGATGTGATTGTTGATGATAACTGACATTTTCTAAGCCTGCCCAAGATTGAAAGATTGATATAATTACATCCTAAGACGCCATCCGCTCCACACGAAGCTGCAACTCCTTGACAAGATCGATCGCGACCTGGGTAGACTCATCCAGGCTCTCATCCGGCAACCCAAGCAGCTCATTTTGCGCCTTGGCCGACAAATCACTAGGGTCATCTGGGTAGAAGCCGCGCGCAAAGAGCAGCTTGCTGAACCCAGCCATATTCCCCGTCTTGACCTGCGCCAGGCCCTCCGCGTACCGCTTCTTGGTATCCTCGTGAGTGATCGTCCAGTCGGCATCAGTGGTGTCGGTGACGCGCTTGACACTCTCAAACATGTCGTTCTGGCTGATCACAAAGCTTTTGATATACACGCCCTTATTTAAATAGGAAGCAAGAGTCAGAGTCTTGTCGTTCTCGTCTTCGGGAAGCTCTTTGAGACTCAGGACCTTGGCCACGGCGCGCCCAACCTGGGATAATGTCGATGTCGAGTTCTTGGTATTGCCATCGTCGAAGACTGTGAGAGTGCGCTTGTCAAAGTCGAAGCCAAAGCGGGACTCTCCTCCTGCCAAGCTATAATCGAACCAGAAGCCACAGCACACTGTGATCCATTGCATGCCGAGACTCTCGATCTCGTCTCTTTGGGCCTGGGCAATGGGTCCTAACATCATGTCTTCGCCGATCTTGACGTTTTCAATGTCGCCGGCATACCCATTCGGCATCACGTAGGGAATTCCAGCCTTGGCGGCGGCCTGGACGAGCTTGCTGTGTGTGTCGCGGGGCGCGGTGGGGGCCATAGTTATAATTAGGAATTGCTGGCCTTTGAGGGCGGCAACGATGGTGGCTGCATCATCGTAGTTGACTGGTGCGATTTGCACACCCTCGGGCAGTTTGTTGTCGCTGCCTTTGCGGGAGATGGCTGTCACCGTGTGTCTTCCGGTTTCGAGTAGAGCTTTCACAATATGGGATCCAATGGTACCGCCGGCCTGGGACGTTGGTCAGTCTTCCTGGAGAGATGACTCTGGAGTATTTATACTTACGCCGACGATGGCCACTCGCTCAATGGTATTTGCGAACCCAGCAGGTTGGTCCTTCGCGTGCTGGGGCATTGTGATTGGGTAGTTGAAGGTGAGGTGGTTGGTGGTTGACGGTTTGTTTAATTGCGTGCAGAGACTTGGTTGAGAGAATGTAGGGTATGTTCTTTCATGCTCCGGATGCAGATGCCCATCAATTTATACCCTTGATAACTGGCCCCGAGGGCTGCGGTCCTTTCATTTCGGCCATTCACCTCTAGCCGCGCCCGAGAGGATCGGTCCGACGCGATTATGTCCGATAGTCGAACATGATTCGCTCGTGCAAGATGGACCCTGGGATCTAAAGTGAGCAGCTTGATGTTCCTCCACAAGGCTCCAGGTGGATGGCAGATCGACAAGTCCACGCTGCTCCGCAGCAGCCGTAGGGGTTCGGCCTCAGGCATCAACCCTAAGGCCACGCGCCCCATCTGTGCGCGTCTCTCTCCTTCCTCTCTTTTTCCTCTCTGGTTGTACTTCTATTTCCGCTTCTCTCGCGACTCCTATTCGACCCTCAAGACCTAAAATCTATCCTCTAGAGCCTCATCACAGATGAATTCACTGCGGCCTGGGACGCCAGTGCGGAGATATGGAGCGAAGTCCGCAGCAGCCGCACCGGGGGCCGCACAGGGCGGGTGGACTTACAGCCACGCAGGACCTGACCCAAGCCTCCACTCGACCCTCCCATCAGTGCTCGGAGTGTACGGAGTATATCGGATATAATGGTAAGTCCATGGATATTCTTCTCATGGTAGGCCCACTGCCACTGTGTCCAAGCGTGGACCTGGTATGTGACGTTCTTGGTGCATGTCCTGGGGGAATTGAACAAGCCGACGTCCACAAAGTTCATCGATCATACATTGACATCTCACTGTCTAGAATACACCTGTGCATCACAGAGTGTGTTTGTTTCAAGTACCCGTGGACACAGCAGGCCCTGGCCCCTGGGTTACCCGGGTCCTGGAGGGGAAGGGAAGCACCATATTTACAATCGAGTTTTCCTCTATCATCCTGGGGATTTGCGGAGTCAGGAGGTTACGGCATGCAGGCGAAGAGCCCCACTGATTCAAATACCTTATTGTGCCCAGGCAGGTCGGCAACATCACTAATACAATGTGGCATGGTAAGAGCGGCCCCTTACGTGTCCGCGATTCTAACGGAGGAATACTCCATGTCACGCTTTTCGGCCCCCCTCGGACTGCCATAGCCACACGGAGCACTCCCGTCTGAACAGAGGATCCACGGCGACCCACTTCAGAGCCCGGGCTGAGATCTTCCCAAAGCTTTCCCGTTCCTCCACTGTCTACCGTTATCCGTGACCGCTGCCAAGGAACGGAACTTGCCAGCGGAAGATCAACTATACAGTACTCCGTGCCCTGGAATAAAAAGTTTCCAAGGCGACTTTACGCGCCACATTATGAACTCTCGCACTACTGTACTGCTCCGTCCTCGGGAGGTCCATGGGGAGTTCGTCGACTCGTCAGGGCCAAGTGGCTTGTTTGCCGCACTATACCCCTATTGCCCTAGTATGTACCTATGCACCCTTGCAAACGGTGCGAACAGGGTGAAATAGATAAGGTTGAAATATTGATTCTCGTCATCCCTGAATTTCCTCCTTTTCAGCCCCAGAAATGATCGAAATATCGAGGACATTAAAAGAAAGGAAATCATGGATGGAGTTCGTGCTTGCAATATTACAACCTCGGAAAACTTGTTCCGGCATTTCTCCTTTCATGACCCCTCGAATGCCAACAAATATTGATGAGACAGCTCCTGATTACTAATGGAAGGAAGAAGCCAGAGAGAAGTGATGGAGATCCACCCTGATAGATGGTGAGGGGAAAAGGATAGCGATGGAGAGAGTGGGCTATCCCGAGGTCTGGGGAAACATGGTCACCTGACCAGCTGCTCACAACCTTGGAACATTCAAATATGCTCGAGTATGCTTCTTGCGAGGGCTGGGCTGTCAACAATGACAGACTTTGGGACCTAGCTGCTCTCGACAGATTATGTACTGTGGCGGCCGTCCACTATTGCAGACAGTTCATCCCATCCTGGTCTGAACTCGGAATTACTACTGGCTTCTCATTTCACTTGCACATCGAGCTAAAGCTCATGCAGAAGGACCCGAGTGGATCTGGGCACGAAATGAAATTGACCGCCAATCGTACGCGGAGCACACGAACCCATGTGACGTCTTGGCATGATTCTGCATGTGCTGTAAAATCTATGGATGAGACTCCGAATTAACCGCCAGAAATCTCCCTTGTGGAGGTCCGTACATGGGCGCCTCACTACGGAGTACTCCGTATGCATCGTACGCAAAGCTAATACGGAGCGAGACCCATCCGTCAACAGACCAGGCTCCCTCGAGGTTTTCAATCCATCCATAGTGGGTATTTGGACTTCTCCCTTCCTCAGATAGACCTCTGCGAAGAATCTCAAGTCAGTTGGCCCCCCAGACACTTTGACTTCCTACGCAGGAGAAACAAGCCCCGTGAACATCAGCAGATATGACTTCACCAGGTGCACACAGCGAAGCTGACCCGACGACCGGCGAGGCAAAGCTCATCGAGGGAACTGGGCAAGAAGGTGTGGTTTCTTCGTCCGAGGCTCTTACCTTGCTCGATGCTACTAAAATTGGCGACCATGCGACCGTCAAACTACTGCTTGAGCAGCAGGAAGTATATGTCGACCCCCTTGATGAAGATCTTTCAAGTCCACTTATCATTGCATCAAGACAAGGGTTCGCGGAGATTGCCTTCACCCTTTTACTCCACGGTGCGAATGCCAACATCTCGAATAAAGCAGAAGAATCACCCCTACTAGAAGCGTCATGGAAAGGGCACAGCCAAATCGCCGCAAAGCTTCTGGATTATGGCGCAGCACTTGAAGACCGTGATAAGCGTGGGGATACCTCACTCTTGCTGGCAGCCTTTAACGGGCATGACAAGATAGTCTCCGAGCTGTTGAATCGCGGCGCAAATGTGGAAGCCTACAATTGTCAAGGGAATACCTCACTCCTGCTGGCAGCCTATAACGGGTACGACAAGATAGTCTCCGAGCTACTAAGTCATGGTGCGAAGATTGAAGCCTGCAATGAAAGTGGGAACACTTCACTCCAGCTGGCAGCCTCTAGCGGGAAAGATCAGGTCATTGTTACACTGCTTAGCAGGGGTGCTGTGGTAGATACTTTCAGCAAGCGAGGAGATACCGCTTTGATGTTGGCGTGTTGGGAATCCCACGAGAGCAGCGTGCGGATTCTCCTCAGCTACAAGGCTTCAGTTGCTGCTTGCTTTCTTACAGGTTGCAGCCCGTTGCATCTTGCGGCCAAAAAGGATGATATGAACATCATCCGGTTACTTCTTTCTCGCCAAAAGGCCGACGAATGCATAGATGGGGTCGGCAGAACGCCCCTTCACGCAGCTTGTATGGCGACTCGTTACAGCAATGCGGAAATCCTCTTGGACAACGGTGCAGATGTGAACAGAAGAGACTTCCAAGGATTCAGCCCGCTACATCTCACAGCTTGGGAGGTTCCAGAATCAGAAAAAACCCAAGAAGAGGGGGATTTGATTGAGCTCCTCTTATCACGAGGGGCCAGAATCAACGACGACACCTGTGGTTGGTCGCCACTTCGTCTTGCCTGCGAAAGCAAAAATTTAACCGCCATCGAATGCCTCGTTTCACGTGGAGCAAACGTTCACCAAAGTGACACTTCCGGAGACAGTCCTTTTCAAATTGCCCTGCAAGGAGAGCTTGACATTCAGGAGTTCCACAGCTTGCTATTTGAAGAGCCAGGTGTTCTGCGAACTGATGAGCAGGGCTGGTCGGTTCTTCACCAAGCTTCTCAGAGCTGGAGCCTCCCAGCCGTTGAGGCAATATTGAGTGAAGCCATCTCAATCAGAGGCTTCAAGGGCCCGAGCCCGCTGGTTTTAGCGCTCCGCCGAGAAAGTCGAGATGTTGCACTTTGTCTCTTGAGGTCAGAGATATACTACTCTCGGAGCTGTGTGGGGATATTTGTGAATCTCACACCAGAGAACGAGTTGTCGGAAATTGAGCAGCACTTGAACAAATTTGCTTTAAGTGGCATGTTGTCCAATGATGACTTGACATCGATCATACACTGGATGATCGTGAACAAGATGGATACCCATTTGCGGGATGATCATTTGACCCCTGAGCCCTCGAAACAATACAAAAATGGCATGACGGCTGCTCATATTGCCGCCCGACATGGAAATAGCAATCTTCTTCGGAGCCTTTCATCAACCTTTAATCCCGGGCTGATTGATGATGACCGAAACACTGTTCTCCATGCTGCTGCTGTATCTGGGAATTTGGAAACTAATAAGTTTTTGCTGGGAGCACATGATCCTGGGAGAAGGTCCGCGAAACACACCCCTTCCAGGACCGTCGATCTCATCATGCAGCTAAATGGGGCCGGAGAATCACCATTTTCCTTGGCAGTTAGAGGCCACCATACCGCCGTCTGGGACTACTTCAGAGACGAGCTTGTGAAGTGCACTTTGCAATTAGATGGTTTGAATGGTGATCCCTTGCAAGTGAGCACCGCTTTGGAGTTAGCGTTTCGCTTTGAGAAGCCAGGGAGATCAGAACGCCTGATACAATTGATGAAGACCCATTTCAGGAGACCAGTTCTTATGACACCAAATAATAGCCCAGCTCTAGCCTCAAAGGACGAAGAATGGGGGATACTCCACTATGTGGTGTTTTATGGTCAAGCAATCGCGCTATGGTGGCTCCTCGCCAACGGGTGGGGTTTTGGTACGAAAGAAACAGAGATTGCCCAACGTATCCTGGAAGCCGACAGAAGAATCCCAAACTCGGCCATAATGCTCGAGCTTCTTCAAAACCCCCCGCAGAGGGTTGAACAGACCGGCGTGAGCGATAGCCATCACCTGCCAGATCTCCCCTCAAAACCACCGAACCTCTCACTTGGCGACTTCCAAACTACCATCCTTGATCTTTATGTGAAGAACGAAAACGTTGAACTCCATCTGGTAAGCGGGTCGCCTGAGAATATCATCTACAACCACTCTTTGGGCCCTCATAAACTCATGAAAGATTCCTTGGCTATGAGCCATCGTCAGATGGCTTCACTGCGACGGGACATCGAAAAGCCCCGCGATGGAGCTGTTGGGGTGGGTGTAAAGTGCTTATCACGGTCCCCATGTCAGGGCCCAGTGGAAGTGGATACAAAGCTCGACTTAGGTATCTTTCATTTGAGGTGGATTCACCTTCCGTTTAATCATGTAAGTGTCCGTCCTTGGCAATCAGGTTATCAAATGTGTTGAAGGGTAAATAACACTCTCTCAACAGGCTGGCACAATGAGCGTAAGTAGCCCAAGATTGACGAAAACCCATATCCAAAGCGAAGTTAATAAATCCAAAGGATCTGTGTCAGGTTTTGTCCCGGGAGGCAGGGAGGAGGCAAAAATGCCACAACTCCCTGGCAGCCTTTTTCAGAGGGAGCAGCACCCGTGTCAGCGCTGGGGCTGGGCGGTTCTTTTTCAAACCAAATTCCACGGTCAGTCGGTAAATTTGAAGCAAGTCAGACCTACACTAAACAGGATCTCTCTATAGCGAATGTTGCTCGGTTCGAGTGATGCGTCTCTAGCAGCGGAAGATTCGTTCAAGCAGGAGTCAGTTTCGATCCACGTAAGTTCTTACACTGGGATTTCGATACTTTACTAAAAATCAGTCAGATGCCTTATTTGACCAAAGGTATCATTTGCAATGTTTCAAAAGAAGGAAAAGACCAAGATGAGAAAACCGAAGAGGTGAAGATCCTTCAGCCCAACTTTCCCGAAGTCCTTTCCCCTGGGATTCATTACCCAATGAGTCTCGATCAGTTCTACTATCCATCTCTCAGAGACAGCCAACAAAGAGACTATGACCGGGCCGTTGGACGTTGGGTTGAATGGCGCAACAGTGGAGCGCGATCACGCCTGAAGCAAAATTCATTCCCCCAAGCAAAGCAGCAAAAGAAGCCACCGAAAGATTCTGAGTTTGGCCAAAAAGAGATATTGGCAGTTGATCAACTTTGGATTCGGGTTCTTGATGATGGTATGTTACGGAAACCCAATTTTTCGACAATCCTAGCATGTGCCTATTAGCATACAGAGACAATTGTCAGTAGCTCTACGGTTCTGCCAGATCAATTCGAGGCAAGGGTTCCAGAGCTTGTGCGAAATTTCATACTTTCACATGAAGAGAATGTCGACTTTCAGCGACCAAAGACAACAACTGCAATGATCGAGATTATTCTCGGCGTTACCACGGGCATTTTCCTGGAACAATCATTCGCGCGCAAGCCTGGCAACGATGGCGAGCCCGCTGATAGGAAGAAGAATGTGCTTGAAGTCTTTCAGGACTCGGTTCGGAGTATGGTGTGTCGTCATCCAATGGCCCCTGGAGAACCTCATAATTGACATTGGAATTTCCAGGGAGACAAAAAGGCCATTCTTTACCAAAGGTTTTTGATAACACTCGAGGGGGAGTCACAATCGTCTATGAACCTGGGCCCTTTCAGAGATTCCTCCAAAAATCCTTGCCATGTCATTAACGAGGAGTCCCACATGCTCAGGGAGATTGAAGATATACGTGATGAGCTCAACATGCTCAAGGCTTTATTTGAAGGCCAGGAGCGAGTCTGGAAACAGACTTTCAAGACTGACGACCTGGATACGTTCGCTGGATTCCAGTATACTCATCGGACGAACCCTACTCGAGTGTTGTGGATATCAGCCGGATTACAGAGGAGGCAATCAATGTTCAAAACTCAGTATGTTGATTTTTTGGCAGTCTGGGAGGGAAGATCGACTAACCATTCATGATAAGATCAACGTTCTGCTTGATCTCAGATTGCGACAAGCTGTCGTTAACGGTGCAGAATTTAGAAGAAAGCAAGCCAAGATCTTCTTGGTCTTCACAATTGTGGCCACTCTCTTCGTAATTCGCCCCTCGTATTTCAACGGAAACAGCTAACAGCAATCTTCTTCAAGCTCACCCTTTCATTCCTGACCTCGTTCTTCGCTCTGAGTGTATCGGAATTCCCCTATCTGAACGGTGATCCCGGGTTTCAAGGAAGTTGGATCTTCCCAATCACCCGTTAGTCCGACTTCCAAGGTTTGATCCCGAGTTCCACGTTCTCACTTACTAACGAACGGCGAGTCTGCACCTCGGTCTGTCTTTCCATCCCATTTCTCCTCTTCGCCTTCAATATCAATCGAGCCGTTGATATATGAGACAAACTGAGTTTCGGATCGGGAAAACCAGATCAGAACGCAAGTGGCGCGAGGATTCCGCCTGAGAAAGCAGATTCACGCTCAGCAAGGCAACAAAACAGAATTGATGACTCTTCGCGTCGCGATTTGTCTCAACTTTTGAGTTCACATCCAAGACAGCGATTACGATGAATGGGACTTGCAGGTCGGCGTCAGTCTAGTATGGATACTGAGAAGGGGCCAGGAAGTGCCCAGGTGGAGGGGAAAGGGCTTCATTCGCGGAAGTAGCGATAATTTGCTTCTTTGCGAGAGAGCTATATTAGTCCAATATGATAAGATGGATCAGGATTCTCTGTCTTTGCCCGTAGCTCGCGACAACTAAAAGTCAATGCTGAACATGGCGGAATATGGCTCCATAAAGAACTGATCCCAGTCGATCCCCAACTCCACATCCGGAAGCGCCGTGCTTTCCTCGGAAACCGATAATGTTTCGAATGCTTCACATTCCGCCTCAACGGCTTCCAGTCGCGCAATTTCCTTCCGCTTCTTCGCCATATTGAGACCGAGGAGGTGTCGCGCCATAGACAGTGCTTCGCGCGTGAGTCTTGTATCAGCGGTCTTGACCAAGCTCTCTAGACCGTTAAACGCGGAGCTGATGTGCACGGAGGTCGCGGCTGTATCAATCGCTAACAAGATGCAGGTATACTGGAAGACGCTGCCGATGGCGTTCCAAAGGAGGGTACCTCCGCTGGCTTGTTTGACAGCAGCTTTTACGGCTTCGTTGCCGCAATGAATGATGATCTTAACCATATCATCCGGCATGAGGACCTTGAGTTGGTACAGACGTCTGTAGAAGCAGAACGCAATATCTGCTTTGGTTACCACCAGGAACGGATCTGTGAATCGACATTCGTCGAGTGCTTTGAAACGCCCAAAGAGCTCTTCGCTAGGGGTTCGAGGGGGCCCGTCGAGCTGGTATGGGGAGTTCGGTGACGGGATGATTTGAACCAATTGTACAAACTGGTCTGTAACACTGTCCTGTACCGCAGTAATGGGCCGGACTGTCACAGAGCGGAACACTACCGGAGACCGGTCATATTCATAAGACAGCATTACGTGGCCGGCCCACGAGAACCAGAAAATCCTTCTGAGTCGGTCCGCATTATATCCAGAAGAAGGGTCAGCAAGAGATGCTATTTTCTGTATTGTTTCTTCTTCGTGGAGCCCTGCCGCTTCACACAAGTGCATCTGCGTGCAGGATGCAATCCAGGCGTTACTCGGTCTTGACGTGAGCCGCAGGTAGAGGACACGGAGACCCCATGCGAGAATGTAGTCGATTTCATGTGATCGCATAGAAGCCGGGTCATTAAGAATGGACTTGGCGTATTTCACTAGCTCGGATTCGAGCTTATGGTTGATGGACGATAGAAATGACGCGAGAGCAGCGGTACCAGCAGCGACAGCCGCAAAGGCCGCATTGCCACCAGGGTGACGGTAGTAGTCCAGGCATCGCTGGCTGAAGATTGAGAGATCTATCAAGTCACGAAGGGGGGCTAGGACAGCATTGGACAATTGGGACCAAAGAATCAGGTCCACCTCGTCGATGATATTCCCTAGGAAACCGTGCTCGTTCGAGGGCTCCTCGGGACGAACACCAAAATTATAAGCGTATGACCGCACCTCTGGAGGAGTGTCGGAGCCGAGAGCTGCGCCTAGAACTCGCGGGAATGCCATCGCGGCTGATGCCCCAGAGTATTTGAGCTTTTGTTCGTCAAAGATGCCGGGGGACGCGCCGGCCACCGTAGCGGGACTGTCTTTCGGGCTCGCCCCGTCCTGGCGGAGCTGCTCTGTGCCATTTGCAATGCCCCGATTGTGGCCTTGGGCGGTCCAAGTCATCGGTCGATTGTCACCGTCCGCGTTGACGCGTTTCGCTGGGGGCGGGACAGATTCACCAGCTCCCCTAGTACCAGTGTTTTGGTCGACGTACTCGCAGATATATCCGTACGCGGTGCACATAGTACATGGATACACAGCGTCGCATTTTCGTTTGCGCTGATGGCAGGGAATGCATGCTTTCATTACGCGCTTGCGCTTGGCGTTTGTGGCCGACATGACGGGCGAAACTCCGCGACCTTCAACTTGCGGCTGCGATGGATCGGACTTGGTTGATCCTGTGGCCTCGATCTGCTTGACTCCTATGGTAAATCTGATCGCATCATCGCTAATGTTCACTCTGTGGACACCAGTTGATGGTTTGTTGTCAAATCTCGTGTGCGGGCGAGGCCCACTCTAGTCGGTCTGCGAGCCCCTTCGCGGTGCCTCGCAGCCTTCACCGAATGTTTTTTTCGGGACAGCGACACGTTCGGCATCAGTGCAAATAAATGGCCATACAAAAGCTACACAGGAAAATATATCTGACAAGTGTCGCGAAATTTGGAGGCACCTACTAGATGGACGGATTTGTGACACGCGAGCACATCGGTAGTGGTTATATAGTAAGGTCAAGCACCCAGTTAGGGGTCATTAATTCGTTGAAACGTGAGGACAGAAGGTCCTGGGTAATTAATGCGAACATGTGAGATCAAATCCAATCTACTAAAAACCTTGGAAAGTTCAAGTATTCCCAAATATATACCAAGCATCACTCTACAGAGCAAGAGCAAGTCCAAGAATACCAGCAGCACCAGCGAAGCTCATGGCAACACCAGTAGGAGCAGCGGCATCGTCGGCAGTGCTAGAGGCAGCAGAGCCGGAGGGCGAGCTGGAAGCAGACCCAGAGGCGGAGGATGCAGCGTCGGAGTCGGTAGGGGAGGCAGAGCCAGAGGAAGAGGAAGTAGTAGTCACGACTGTGGTGGTACCGGTGGTGGTAGGGGAAGAGCTCGAGCCAGTCAGGCTAGACAATGAAGAGCTCAGACTGCCAGCCGAGCTGGTGGCCTCTGCAGAGATCGAAGATGCGAATGAAGGGTAGGCACCGCCGACGGCTGTGGTGACGAACTCCTTCACGCTGTCGGGCAAAGTGCTGTACCACGTAGGCCAAGAGTTGGAGGCGAGACCTTGCTCGACCTGGGAGAGGAAGTTGGCAGTGTTGGTAGCTTCAGCCCAGAATGAAGTAGGGACGGCAGTGGCCAGAACGACAGCGATGGAGGGGGGAACTGAGATGTCCTCGATGCCATCGTTGGAGTCGTTGTCAGCGGGGGCGGCCAGGGCCATGCCGGCGAAGAGCACGGCAGCAAGGGACTTGAACTGCATGTTGTAGTGGGGTATATTTCAGGTCAAGGTGAAAGATGAAGAACAAGAACCTCCACTGCGGGGGATGGACGTGCCTTTAAATACGCCCCCAAACGCGAGCTCCGAGACAACCGACCATCGCTCATCGCAGGGCTGAGGCTCTCTCCCTGCTCGGGGCCAATCCGTCCTCGCGACATTACTTGTTCGTGGGTTCCACCGCCGCCAATCATCATGCCGTCGCCCCCAACTGCGAGTGTCGATCAGTGACGCCCGCAATCCTGGCAGTGTCGGGGTCTGAGGACTTTACCGACATGCGCAAGTCGCATAGCCCCTTTAGTCTGTGCCGATGCTGCCGTTCAGTCCCAGTGTCGATGAATAATGAAGTACGCCAAGAGGTCACTCCAAGCATATTGCGCCTGGGCGATGCTAGGCACGGTTCCTTGACCGCATATGACATCAGTCGACGGAAAACTTCCTGGATTTTTCGCTGCTGCCTTTTTTTCTCTGCGTTCTCTGCCTTGAAAAGACGTGCTTGGGGACTTTCCCTCATGGTGACTGGTTTGATTCCAGGATGCGTCCACATCCAAGTTGATCAGTGTTGTCGACACGGCCCGACGCCCCACATTACCTGATGGAGAACAGTTGTCCAGGTGCTGTTCAACACGGCCACATACGTATGTCGGGTCTCGGCTTGCGTATGTTCTACGATTCTACTACAATGCCATTTCATAGCACTGCGGGGTTTCGAGAGCATGCAACAGGGTCTTTCGATGTCGTTGCATGCCTATCAAGCCACACGATCGGTGAACGGTGTGGCGTGCTTATGCTTATGCTTATGATACTACCGTACTTATCCCCATTGGGAGTGGCCAGATTCCTTTGGCACAAGCTCCCAGGGCCCTCTGTGTTATGATTCAATATGGCCCCCACTTTCGCGCAGATGGCTCACATTTCTTCTTTGCGTCGCAGGAATCAGCTGGACTCTGAACCGTCTGGATGACTCCTACCTAGGTATGGACTATTACTCACATACGGGTATCGCTTGACTATCAGATATTGAGATCCAACCCAAGTCTGTATTTAAATATGCAAACTGACAAGGGAAAACGAAATCAACATTTAAAGCGTCTGCTATTTCACTCATCAGACTTTGAATCCTGTAACAATCCTGGCCAACATCCATGGATCCCATATTAACTGACTTCAGTGACAGACCCAGCATACGGACTGCCTAATTTGGCCGAGAGCCCAACTGCTTCTGACTATAATGATGATAAACCCCTGCTAACCTCGACCGAAGACTCTTCCCATAATAGATGAAGATCAAATTGCCCAACAGAACAACAGTCGAGATCAGGCCAAACGTGACATAAAACCAACTTAATCCCACACGATCGTACCACGGCTTCAGGGCGAAGATGAAAATCGTCGAAATCAAATTCCGAATGAACGTAACCCCCACGACCGAGTCGGCAATAATCTAATTCAAAGAAATCAGCGATCGAATAGCCCATCTCCAAAAGTCCAACTCACCTCCGTATAAGCATCCGTCAAATAAGTCAACGCAGCACTACTAGCCGGAACCACGCCGACAGAACTAACCCCGAGTCCAAAAGCAGGTAAAAGCCAATGCGACCCATTATTCAACCCAATCCCAAACATGAACAAGCCAGCCGGAACAAGCGGCGTAAACGCAACCGCCAGCCAGAGTCTCATCTCCGGCTCGAAGATGCCATTATTTCGCTTCGCGAGAGCCAGAGCGATCGAGTCGCTGAGCGGTCCGCAGACCATGGCCCCTAGGGTTGTGCCGACAAATGGTGGGACTCCCATTAGTCCGATTTGGGATGCGTTGAAGTTGTATGGTGGGAGGGTCATTACGGAGGAGAGGGTTGTTACTGGGACAGTTGTGCAGGCTGTCATGACGCCGTAGACGAGGGCCATGAAGAAGACGCCTGGAATGCGGAAGAGGATTAGGAATGGTTGGTAGGTGTGTTTTGCGACTTCTGAGAAGGGGACGGGGGAGTTCGACCAGAGCGCGAGTTTCTGATAGTATTTTTTTGAGGGGATTGTGGTATCAAGCGGGAGCTCGGGTGATTGTTGGACCTCCGGTGCTGGTAGAGCGGGTTTATCGAGTGCGGATAGCTCGATGTCTTCTTTGGTGATTCGGTCCTGATCTTTCTCGGTCACAGGGACGCCGTTGATAGGCGAGGCGTTGAACATGGTTTCCTCGTAGAGGAGCGTGAAGGCGACTAGGCCTGCGCCGAATAGTATCGCCATCCACCACCAGACCCAGCGCCAACCTTGCGACTGGGTAATGAAGCCACCGGCTAGAGGCGCCAGCGTGACACCGATAGTCATGAACCAGAAATAGATCGTGTTCGTGAGACCGCGCTGGTGGACGAAGTAAATATCCGCCACGGTCATCTGCACCAGCACTTCTGCCAGTGCTCCGACGATGCAGCTCAATACATTCACCAACATGAGCTCAGTGACCGTTTGCATTTTTGCAGACCACACGCTGATGCCGCATTGGATGGCCGTGCTGAACACGTATATGGGTCTTCGGCCGTATTTCAGAGCGAAGGGGACTAGGAAGAGTCCTCCGATGCAGAGTGAGCCGCACCCCGCGGCGTAGCTATCGGTCAATAAATCGTAGCTGAATCCTAGCTCGAGGTTGAGGGGGCCCCAGGTCACGGTTGCAACGTCGATTCTTCTCGCGTGAGTACTCAGCGGTAATGGGATTGCGGGTGTACTCACAGTGCGAGGACCATCACGACATAGTATGATACTAGTGCAAAGTTGAGGTTCTTGCGCCATAGTGGCCAGTTCTGGGAGAGCAATTCAGCTCGGTTGGTTGGCATATGATGTTGTATGTGCTCACCAGTGGATCATTGGGGTCCTGCGTAGGCTTTGGATGAAGAACGACCTCTGACTCGCCCGGCTGCGAGAGGTCTGTTGCTAAGTTAGCTTTCGTTTTCCCGGCACGGTTTTCAACTATGGAGAGGTTTCCTGCCTTCAATTCGTATGGTCCCTGGCGGCCAGGCCGGGTCAGTGGTCAGATAGCTGGACATTGAATCAAAATATTGTTGGATAATATGGATGGCTGAATCAATTTTGAAATGAAGATCGGAGGCACTATAAACGAAAATCTGCAAATAAGTCTTCACCTGCACCTTCCAATGCTGGAATTGGTGCCATTATATGGCCCGGACTGGAGATAGAGATACATCCCTATCTTTGACTTCACCATTACCCTTATCATCTTCCGACACAAGTGCCGAGTGGCGTCCCCCGGCCATTCATATCTGTGGGTTGCGAAATGGAGGTGAATAGGCGTTTCTTGAAAGGGAAGTTTGAGGCAACAGCCAATCAATTCGAGAGAAACAAGCTTATCAAGAGTTGATCTACTTTGCGGGGTGAGTTTTAGTGAAGAGGATCTCGGGGTAATGGGGATGCCTAAGCCCCCTGCATGTCCACTGCAGACTGAGACCTAGTTCGCATGCTAGCTAGTGTCTATCACTCAATTTGCACCGCTGGGCTACTCGTTTACAATGAGTACAGCATGGCGAGCTTTAGTAATACTGTAGTAAGCTCACTAAGGTACCCGTGGACGCTTTCCTTGAAGTGGTATTCCAAGACTGCTGTCGCTATAAGGTGTTCAATGGAAGCCACGTTCCCGAGGTCTAGTCCACGGGTAGCGAGCTCGCTTATACCGCTGATAGTCAGATCCATGGGTCACGCAAGCCTTAATTCCGAAATCCGGCCAATGGCGTCAAATTGCGCCACCCCACTCAGCTCGGATCCATTTTTCCCATCCAATCATCGTCACGTTTAATGGCCGGTTGCATTCATCTTCCTCGACCTCGGGATGCGCTGGAAAGGAAACTTCTGGAGACTCAGGTGAGTTCCGATGTCCCAGCATATATAACTCTGATTTCCTTCCAAGGTCCCAGCCGCTCAGGTCAAATTACATCCAAAATCATGACATCAGTCTTCAAAAACGGACGCTTCTTCGTGCCACACGCAGGCGATGGCCAAGACTTTACCGATGGGATGATTATCGAAAATGGCAAGATCTCCCATGTTGGCTCTCTAGATGGGATCAACACTCCAGCAGATGCAACGATTATTGATTTGGAAGGCCGCACGGTCATCCCGGGCTTCATCGATGCCCATGTGCATATCCTGCACTACGGTCAGTCCCTGCGAAAGGCCGATCTCATCAGTTGTACTTCGCTGGAACAAATCCGCGAGACCATCAAGGCCTACGCCGAGGCACATCCATCTATCCCTCGGATTCTGTGCCGAGGCTGGATTCAATCCTCCACGGATGGAATCGCCCTAGCAACTATGCTGGATGGGATCGACCCACGTCCCATCTTCGTGGACGCCTTCGATCTCCACTCCATGTGGTGTAGCTCCGCTGCCCTCGACGAGATGAACATCCACACCGCGCCAGACCAGCCCGGCGGCACGATCCAACGCGATGAAAACGGAAGAGCAACAGGCCTTCTGGACGAGTCTGCCCTGGTGAACCTCGCATGGCCATATATCGAAATCGTAACATCAACAGAAGACAAACTCAGTGCTCTGCACACTGCAATAACCACATACACCAAAGCCGGGTACACCGGAGTCGTCGACATGGCCATGGACGAAAGCACCTGGGAGATTCTAAACCTCTACCGACGCGACCACGCCATCCCCTTCCACATAGGCGCACACTGGCTCGTCCCATTCTCTACAGACCAAAAGGCCAACCTGAAACACGTCGACCGCGCAATTCACCTCCACAAAGAATACTCCTCACCAGACTTCACCATCCTCGGCATCAAACTCATCTGCGACGGCGTCGTAGACGGCTGCACCGCCGCCCTCCTCCAACCCTACACTGGCAAGTCCTCCCGGGTGGACCCCATCTGGCCCGAAGCCCTCCTTCAAGAAGTCGTCCACCACGCCGACGCAGCAGGCATTCAATGCGCCATCCACGCAATCGGCGACAAAGCCGTAAACCAAGCAATCACCGTCCTCTCCCGCGTCGGCACGCCCGGCCATCGCCACAGAATCGAACATCTAGAAATGACCACCTCGGAAGACGCGAAACGTCTAGGTGAACTGGGCATCACGGCCTCCATTCAACCCGTTCACTCAGACCCTGCTCTCTTCAAGGCCTGGCCTGGTCTTGTGGGCCATGAGCGCTGTAAGCGCGCTTTTGCGTATAAGGAGTTTCTGGATGGCGGGGCGCCGATTGCGATTGGGACGGACGCACCGACGGCGCCACATATGCCGTTCCCGAATTTGTATAATGCTACAACGAGGAGGTCAGCTGTTGAGGTTGAGAGTGAGGATACGCTGAATCCGGAGTTTGCATTGGGTTTGGCTCAGGCGACGGCTGGTGCTACGGCTGGGGCTGCGTATGCGAGGTTTGCGGATGGTTGGACGGGGAGTTTGAGGCAGGGGCTTGATGCGGATTTCTTGGTTGTTGATGTACAGTGGACGCCGGAGAAGTTGCTTGATGCCCGGGTGTGTCAGACTTGGTATCGGGGCAAGAAGGTGTTTGAATGAAGTCGCTTTCGCTATAGATCTACTTCGGTGTATACATGTGTCAGAATGACATCAGATTCTTTCTTCATTTGCGTTTCTTCATATTGATCTTCATTGTACGTCTACTCTCACTCCCCCAACTCCTCGGGATGTGCCTGAAGGCCACGATCAGCACTCAAGTCGGACAGGAACCCTGCGATTCGTCAATACATGCACAACCCCGGACCCGCAGCACATACTCTGATCCACATCCTGACTCGACCAGTGCTCTGTGTTCCGGTGGAGATCATCAAGGGCATGCTGGTGAGCAAGCTCAGAACACATGGCGTGGGGGGACCTGGAGTGAATTAGCGCGATGATTACCTGGTTCAACGACGGCACATACGGAGCGACCTTTCGGTCTGTGAGCTCTTTGACGTCGTGGGTTTTTTGTGGCTCGTCCATGTGTCCGAGGGAGCTGCGACGCTTCGCGAAGTTGGGGTCTAGAGGGTTGTGATCGATAGTTGTAGTGACCATTTTGGATATGTGTAGAAAATGTGAATTGACAATAGGAGGGTAGAAGTGAATTTATGTGACGGATGCGGGGACCGTTGGAGGCTTCGTCATAAGTTGGTGGCAAACGTATGATATAAACACTCTCAATGGGCCTATCACAGGTACTAAGATCCCAGCTCTGAACCAGATTCGGAGGGTTGGTTCTCGTTTTAAGTGTCTCTAAATGTGTCGGTTGTACAACTGTCGATCAATGCTACATTGGCAGTCGCAACTGCTAGTCATGAGTGGCAACATGAGAACTTGCTGTCTTGAGATTTGATGCATTTGCTGGAACTACGATAGGCATGGTATTGTGAGTCGAAGACATCATGTGGCAAGAAAGCATTGGTTTATTATAGTATGCCTTTGCATAGGTCTAACATATAGCGAACAAGAATCAAATTAACGCGCAAACCAACCTGAAGCACGAGCCATCGTTACTAATTAAATCGCATGTTCCAATATCACATCCCCGCTGGCAATGATCAATGAGCTCGCTGGAAGACAGATCCAGTCAGCGGATACTCAACACTGACCAGCCGACCATCAACCAAATTAAGAATCAACTCATCATCCGCACCCGCAAAGTCGATGGTCATCCATGTGAATGAGTGATCGAACAAGCCACCCTGGCCACCATCAGCAGCAGCGCGAGGCTTAACCGGGACCTCCGGCGCCGCCATACGATGCGCAATGCTCATCGCCCCCTTGGTCCTATACAACGAAGACAGGGAAGAAGAAACAGAGCTCAACCCCGCTGGGTAAAGACGCTCATGCTGACTGGTGATGCCACTGGTGCCGTTAATCCAGAATGACTTCACGCCGAGTCCCGGACGACCTCTGTCAACAGTCAAAGTGAGGTTTGTACCGGGCGAACTCTTATCCACGAAGACACCGGCGAGGTTGCGCTTGGCGTTTTCCACACCCGCGAATTCCGCAGCAGGGATAAATGTCTCGCCGACGACGTCGCGGAGCGGCCAGCGAGCTGGTGTGGCAGTTGAGCCACCGAGGAGAATGGAGAATCCGATGCCGTGGTCGGGGGAGAGACCGAAGATAGCCGTGTAGTCAACGTTACCGCCACTCTTGATGTAGACATCCGAGATACGAGTCCGATTGGAGCCTGGGGTTACGGGGATCGTCAGGCGGGAGATCTCCCATGGTGCACCGACGAGCTCAACTAGGGTCCCCGTTCCGCTGCGAGGCTTCATCCATTCGGATGTTGTGGCCGCAGAGAGGATCTCAGAGTTGAGGATTGCAAGGCCGGCAGTGCGTAGGTCGGCTCCGTTAGCGTACATACTGCCCGTTCTGTGTCTGGTTAGCTTTTTTCCTTTGCGGTGTGGATTGAGATCGGGACATACGCGGCGAGGATCTCGTAGTCTCCACCCCATGATGATTTCGGGTCAATAACGGAGCGATTCAGAGCGTTGAGATCTGAGCCCGTCGGGACTTTCGTGGATGTGTTTTCCATTCCTAGGGGATCGAACAAAATCTCTTGAATTGCTTCTGTGAAGGTCTTGCCGGAAATGCGCGCCAGCACCTGGCCCAGAATGGCAAAGCCGCCATCTGAGTAGACTGCGTTCCGCCATGGAGCAATGACGGGGGATTTCTTATCACGAAAGTAGGTGAGAAGGTCTGTGCAGAACTGTTAGTCACATTCAAACTGGATGTCGTTTCAATCACCTTCGGCCTGGTAGTTGTTTGGGTCTTTGGGATCATAGTACGCGGCCAAGAAGTCTGGAGAAAATTAGTGTTGCTCCGTTGCCTTTTGTGTAGGTACGAACCTAGGGCGCCTCCGGTGCCAGCCTGTTGAAATGCCAGCGCACCGACGGTAATGTCATCCCAGCGAATCCTTCTCAATGAATCGCCGGATGAGTTCCTTGCTAGCTCAGGGAGATACTTCGTCACTGGATCACTGAATATTTCGATCCCCGACTTGGCGATGATTGCATAGACTGCGAAAAGCTTGGTGACACTTCCGATTCGGCCGATCGTCTGGTCATCAAATTTCCCCTGCGTCAAAGTCTTCTTGGAGTTCTCTCCGATGTGTGAGTAGTGATAGATTGAGGCATTGGTCGCAGCCGAGAAAACATCAATGGAGAAGGCCAGATCTGTTTTGTTGAGCTCCCCAGATTCGAACAAGTTGTCGATGAGGCCGGGGAACTTCGACTTGGCATTGCGAATGGAGGTGGAATTGGAGGGATCAAAGTTGGTCAAGAAGGCTGGCCCGATGAGCGGAACTTCCTCCATTCCAACGATTTTCGCGGCAGAAGTAGCTGCGAAGCCCAAGATGGACCCGATGACGGCTTTTTCCCAAAGCATTGCGATTGTATGCAGACGCTGTGTGGACTTGAATTGATTTTCTCTTTCCGCAGAGGATTGGGGTCTTTATATTTCCCTGCATCGAGGCTGTGAGCTGTAGCTCTTGGAGCTCGACACTGCACAGCAAATATACGTAGGCCAAGGCGTCGACCTTGCCCTGTCTGGTTCTTTGTGGCGCTGTGGGGAGACGCAGTAAGATGCTATAATAAGAGGTAAATGTCGATCCAGCCCTACCTCGGTAGAGCCGAGCCTTGATCAGCCATGGAGGAAGATACTTCGCATGGCGGATCGTGATTTGACTCGGTGCGCTTGCGCTTGGCGTAACTTTGATTCGGCCCCCAAGTTGGGAGCGCAACATGCATCCCGAAGCGGAAGTGGCTGTGACACGTCTTTGCTGCTCGCAGCTCTTGGTTCCTCGTATTCATGTGCATATTGGCATGGTTCGATCATGTCATTGCTCCCGGTCTGTCCTGGGTGAGAATCTTGTCGCCTGTTAAGTTGGGTTTTGCCTTCCGATCATGATTCATGTCTGCCTTCCAAGGCTGTTTTGAATGAGTTCTCGCCTTTCGCAATGGAATTCCCCGATCGGGTTGATTGAATCCTGTTGGTACATCCACGGATTCCAAAGTTGATTGTCTTGTCTGCTCCGAACAATTGCTGTGGTCGGGGTTATATGATCATGCCCAGGCTCCGATGCGGCCCGTCGCGGATACATGACAACACATCGCAACCTTATGGTCTTGGACTCTTTGAGGCCTGCCAGATGGGATTCTTGGAAGTTACAAGTTTCCAAGTTGAATCATAAACAGTTTTCCAAGGTTACCGTGCAAGTACCCGGATCCAACGAGATGTGAACGAAGAATATGGTCAGTGGTGAAGATATATATCCCCACCCGGACAGGTGGGCTGCAATATCCACACTGGGCACTAGTCGAGCTGTTGCTTGGCTACAGTAAAGTCGAGGTATGTCTTGGCTTCAGAGGCCAACAGCTCACATTGAAGCCATGAAGAGTCAAGAGCAATGGAAGTGAAAAGCTGAGAATCGAGATCGACGTCGACCCACGTTTTGCGATATCCAGACTAGTCCCAACACGGTCATTGTCTGGAGAACTTCGCGGGGGCTTTTCTCGACTTGGCTTCGGTGCTAAAACTCTTGTTCTCTTCTGAGATGTGAGAAGCCCTTTCCCTCCCTCTCTTTTGAGGTCCTTTCAGTTCAGCTTCAACTCCAAGACGACTGAGACGAGACCTCGGCTATCAGTGCGGGGATGGTGTTCGCCCGGGGTGATGTCTCCGGACACGATGACCAGGCAATAAGTAAGAGCTACAGCATCCGGGGAATGCAGTGGGATATTGACAGAGATACAGATCATTTAGACCACAGCGAGAATGTCACAATCGTCACCTGGGATGGCGCCGAAGACCCTGGAAATCCATACAATTGGTCGCTGAAACAGAAATGGATCCTCACAGCGCTGGCAGTCTTCACGACCTTTATCACTATGATGAATGGCACGATCATCACCGTAGCCCACGAAGCGATCAATGAACAATTTAATATCTCGGATGCTAACTTCCCGCATTCCTACTGGCCCGTTACCTCCTGGGCTGTGGGCGGCGCATGCTTCTCATTGCTCGTGCTGCCGTTGATGGAAGACTTCGGCGTAAGATGGGTATTCCTGGGCACATATCTAGTATTCCTCTGTTTCGTGGTGCCCCAGGCAGTTGCCCAGAACTTTGCCACCTTGGTCGTGACCAGATTCTTTGCCGGAGGGTGTGTTTCGATCCTCGCCAATACTTCGGCCACGGTCATTGGGAATCTCTGGGATACCGAGAAATCTCGAAATGTGCCCGTGAGTCTGTACATCGTGACCTATCTGGCGGGCAGCAGTATCGGACCGGTGATCGGGGCGGCGATTTACCAGGCCCTCTCGTGGCGTTGGATCGGTTATATCCAACTAATATGGTACGGGGCCTTCTTTCCGATGTACTTCTTCCTGTTCAAAGAGTGTCGTGGAATCGCAATCCTGGGACAGCGAGCGAAGGCTCTGCGCAAAGAGGGTAAAAATGCCTTCACGCAACACGAAATAGACACACGAGACCAGTCAATGCTCAAAATCGTGGGTCGCAGTGCGAGCAGGCCCCTCGTCCTATTCTTCACCGAGTCTGTGGTATTCGTATCGACGCTGTGGTCCGCGTTCACAGTGGGGACGCTCTATCTCTTCACGCAATCCGTGGAGCAAGTTTTCGCCGACCTATATGGCTGGAATCCATCGCAGGCCGGATACGTCCAATCAGCAATCGTCATCGGAGAATGTCTAGGCTGGGTAGCCACCTTGTTCTCGGGAAAGCTATACTTCGATTCGGCTTCTCGAAACACCGAAATCCCTGGTACCCCTATCCCGGAGGCTCGACTGTACCTTGCCATCGTCGGTGGAGTCACTGGAATATCGGGTGGGATGTTCACATACGCCTGGACCTCGTATTCCTACTTTCCGTGGATCGCCCCGGCCGTCGGTCTTGCCATGGTGGGCGCCGGGAGTGTGATCGTGGTCACGGGAATCTCGGACTATGTGGTGGATGCGTATGCCAAATACGCCGGCAGTGCCATCGGTATCATTGCCACCGGTGAGAATACGCTGGCGGCCTTTTTGCCTCTAGCTACAATGAGCATGTACTCCCATCTGGGTCCCCAGTGGGCCAGTACCCTATTAGCGTTGATTGCGTTAGTTCTATCTTTTGCGCCAATCTTGGTGCTTATCTGGGGCAAAGATATCCGAGCACGAAGCCCATTCATGAAGGAAGCGATGGTGGAAAAGAGAAGAAAGAGTATCGACTCCGTCTGAGGGGCCGCACAATGTGCGCGAGTCCGATCCAAGTCCGAATCGATCTTCATTCAACGCTTTGTTCAGGTCGACATCGACATCTTACTTCGTTTCAGAGATCTCCCAGCGTAACCCTTCTCCACGGAGGATCGCGGGTTCCTTGCGATGAAACTTGGAACCCTACGTTTCGGATATTCTAAGCATAGAACGAAATCGAAGATTTGGACGTCATGCTCACCCAAACCCCTGTACTATACTCCGTATGAACGGAGGATCATCAGAAGCGAGTGGATTCGAAACACACAAAGACCGAATGTGGACAATAGTACATCGGCATTGTTCGCCCGACAACAAATATGAGGGGCCCTAAAACTAGTCAAACTCAATTGACAAGAATCAACAGCTACAGTGCTGTATATAGTTCGGATCCAGGGGTAACTGGAGGTTAGCTCCAAAAAATCCACAAAAAATAAAAAAAATAAACAGTAATCAAAACAAAAGCCAGATAAATCAGCATCGGAGATATTCCAAATTGCGGTTTAGAACGGACAGGGCGCTACTAGCTCGAACCAAAGTTCACCCCCTTTTTCAACTGCTCCACGAAGGTCGGGTTAAATGGCTATAGCTTTGGATCTCCCGGGAGATCAAACCCCTTTTACCATTCGGCATGGCCCCCAAAAAATGGAACAAAGTGGGCCAAACGGCCTTTTGTGCGGCTCACATGGCAGGAGAAATAATTGCCGAAGTACACCCGGTTCCGAGCAGAAGGACCTTTTTCTGACCCTCTTGCTCGATCCAGTATGTCCCGTATGGCGCTGCGCAAAAGCGAAAAGCTGGTCGTCGACGGTGACACTAAAGAGGTATGTCCCCACGTTCCTCAAAAGGGCTAACTCGGCGAACTTCTAGATCGTTTCAGGAGGGACGATCAAACGTGCTTCTTTCGCAGGATGCCCTGTGCAATGGATGGGCAGAGTGGTCTGCTGGATCTGGACTAGTTGCTCGTAGGTGAGAATTTGCGCTGGTTTTCGGGCGGGCAATCCTGGTCACAGTTGAAACATTCAGCGAGAGTCTATAATGAAGGTATTCCATGTCACTGGGTCTCGCAAGCAATCCTCAAGGCTGGATCGGGCAAGGTCTCCGCGATCCTAGGTCATCGCTCCCCATCTGCCCTAATATATTACCCTCTCGGGCATTGTTGAATCTGAAGCTTGACCGGAGGCGTTCTGGGGCAAGCTAGATGAACTTTATCGCGATCAGTTTGGAGCTTTCGTTAGAGAATGAGACATCCTGATACAAGGGATCTGCTGGATGCTCAGAATAGCATCATGCCCCTGTATACTGTCAAGCATGAGGGATGCAAAGTTAGTACTTGCCCATCTCGGAGTGATTCGGGCCATAATTCATGATCTCATCCCCCGAGAAAATTCTGAGTAGATGAGATCCATACGAGAATGGATACGATGATAATCGCCCCCCACTTAACACATGATGCCAGCTTAAGCCAATGCCAAGCCTCGGATTTTGCCCTGTCGTCCCCAGCCTCTCGTGGGAACGTTGTCGGCACACGGGTCTGGACTTTCAGTCAGCGAAGCTGTAAAAGTGGACCAAATTCTCTGCACAAATATCGGGTGGGCTGGTTTTTGCGCCCGTTAGCGGATTCCGTCACTGGGATGTATCCCTGGATGTATCGCCTCGCATGTGGCATCCGATGTGTTCCATTTGATCTGTCTATTGTACTGGTACAGAGTCGGATATGCCGGAAGCGAGACGATCGCAAAGCCACAGCCGTTTATACACCGGGTCGGAGAAAATATCAGGGGGCAGAATCGCAAAGTGGGACACGGTTTCAGTGGCTGCATGTAAGCGCCCACTGAGACTCTGAAACGAGAAGGCGGGTGCTTCAGGTCCCAGCGCCAGTTTGATGAGCCTTGGCTTGATCTCCACTCCCCGTTGGACTTCAAGTCGAATCCCTGTCCAGAAGCATTGGGGCTTCTGAAAGGGGTAGGTGATATGATTATCACTTGAGCGTTATGCAGTCTGGTCACCAGCGGGACGCATCGAGGACATCGCCGGATGAGAGACAATGTGATTCTCTCTTTGTGCGTCGCCGATGTTAAAGCCAGCGATGTACTCCGTACAGAGATGCGAGGTTCACGTCCACATCCTTCAGATGTTGGAACCTCAGGGAAGTACAGTCGAACTGCCGTACCTGACCGTAAACATACCGGTCATAAATTACCACTAATTACCTCCGCTCCGAAGGAAACCTCCACTGTGACTAACAGGATTTCCAAAATAACCAAAATGACCAAAATAACCAAAATGACATACTAGCCCATGACCGATGGGCGCTTCATCGATTATATTATTAGACTGACGTTCTTCCCCCTTCTTCTGCACACATCTGACACTTCTTCTTCACCTTCGTTTCCGCTGCGCGCGAATATCCTTAGAGGTCTTTAACCGGCTGGTCCAGTTCAATCTCTGACAATCTCTCTTTCTTTCTTAGAGGCTGGTTCCTCTTGTCCAAATCGTACTCGGATTTCCTGTTCCTGTCGCTCCGATCTTGTGTTTCCGATTCGTCTAACAGGTGAGTGGTGAATCCGAGGTCTTGCAGTGTCTCAGAGCGTCCCTTCTTTGAGAGGGCCCAGCTCGTCTCTTTGTTTGCGCCTGCGTTATCATGCCGGTCCCTTCCCGCTGACCCTGGACCCATTGATCTACAGTGCGCCTCATACAATGTACCCTCAACATGGTGCCCCGATGGCACCGCCCCAAAAACCGGAAACCTTTATGCTTTCGACCGAGGCCCAACAAAGCCTGCCACACGACGCACAAGTCGCGCTTCAACAAGTGGATAATCGTACGTCCCTCGACTCCTGGATGCACTGCTGCATCAGGGCAAACAGAACGATTTATTGACTTGGGCCAGTGAAATATTTCCTGCTGTCAGCTCCCGTTGATTGGCAACCGGACCAGCTGATTCGCCGGTTCTTGCTTCCCACCGGCGATTACGTCTCTTGCGTTCTTTGGTGAGTCTCGTCGGCGACATCAACAGGAGCAGCTACTGATGACCGCATTAGGAGCAACCTTTTCCACATTTCCGGTACCGATATTGTCCGATGTCTTGCATTCCGATTCCAGGCCTTTGGACGGCCTGTGAAGAACTCCAAGAAGTTCGAGGAGGGCATTTTCTCCGACCTGCGAAACCTCAAGGCCGGCACTGACGCGACCCTGGAGGAGCCCAAGAGCGCGTTCTTGGACTTCCTGTACAAGAACAACTGCATTCGTACGCAGAAGAAGCAGAAGGTGTTCTTCTGGTACAGTGTGCCGCACGACCGGCTGTTCCTGGATGCATTGGAACGCGACCTGAAGCGCGAGAAGATGAACCAGGAGGCCACCACGGTCGCAGTCAGTGAACCGGCCATGTCCTTTGAATTTGACTCCTCTCAGTCTCTGTATGAGCAGCTGACCAAGTCACAACAAGCGAACTCCTCATCGTTTGCTGCCCACGCAAGTACGACATATGGCCAGCCCAACTCCCCCGTGGTTCGGACCGTTGACGCAATGCCTCCCCCGCAGATGGCTCCGCCGGCGATTCCCCTGCTTCAGGACGACTCTACACACCCCATGTACAGTCACCCGCAAGCAGCGCCCTTGTCGAACAATCTAGTCCAGAGCATCATTAAGCGTGAGCAGGAATATGGCCCCATTCAGTACGATCGCAACGGAATGCCCATGCCTCGCGCACACCAGCGCCACTCTTCCATGCCGACCTTCTACGAATACTCTCCCGCGCCATCGTTCGTGTCCTCCCACTATGAAGACTACAGCAACCGCGGCCTGTCGTTCGAACCGGTGACCCCTCCACAGCACTCGGTTGGGATCGGAGCGGAGCCCGCCTACATCGCCAACGAGGACACTGGACTTTACACCGCGATTCCGGAAATCTCCAACGGCCCTTCGTATCATCCCATGATGCAGCTGCCGCCTTCAAACCTGGCCAGCGTTCAATATCAGCCCGCGCCTCGCTCCTATTCTTCTCACCCGTATCCTGTCATTGAAGGATCGCCGACCTACAAACAGCGCAGACGCAGATCGTCGATCCCGCCTCACAGTGGCAGCGTCACCCCTGCCCCCGCGCACATTCAATCCACGCCTCCGGTGCCTCAGTCGGTCTCGTACGCTGCTCACCGCCCAAGTGACCTGCGACGCTCGGTCTCCAGCTCGGTTGCTCCAGTCGCAGAGGGAGACGAGTCTAACCAGGATCTTGCGCGCACTTACCCAAGTGCGATGCTGCCTCGGAAGGATTTGCTCCAAGATATGTCACGCCACAGCACCCCTCTGCAGGGCATGGAACAGAGCACAAGCCAACACCCTGGCTCATTGGTGAGCCAGGCCGATGACTTGTCTGCTCTTCCCACCAGCGCCGCCCTTGAGAACGCCGTCCAAAACACCACTGGTCGGTCTGAGCGTTCAGCGCCCGGTCCCACCCGCCGAGCTAGGAGTGCAACACTGATGGAGCTGGGGCCTTATCCCCACAAGTCTCACTCGTGCCCAATCCCCTCTTGCGGTCGACTCTTCAAGAGATTAGAGCACCTGAAAAGGTAAGCTTACTTCTATTTTCGCGCCCTTGTGGGGCCCGATCCGCAACGTGGGCTGCAAGATCGTTTCAACAGCCGCTGACTGACCCCTCACTAGACACGTGCGAACCCACACCCAGGAGCGCCCCTATCCTTGCCCCTACTGCAGCAAAGCCTTCTCCCGGTCTGACAACCTTGCACAGTAAGCATCGTCACTCCCGCTTCCAGTGCAACCCATACTGACCTTCTCCAGACACCGTCGGATCCACGAAGCGCAGCAGGATGGCCAGCCCATTGTCCCGCTTGACGAAGATCTCGAAAACGATGAAAATGAATATGACTCCCCCAGAGAAGACATGTCCCCACCTGAGCCTGCTCACACCATGATCAACATGTCCAACATGACGTCGATGCCGGCTCCTATGAGCATGCCATCTGCCATGTCCGGCATGGTTGCTCCGCACATGATTGCCCCCCAGCTCCTCCAGCAGCACATGTGAACGACCCTAGCCCACACGATGTGTCGACCACATCCCGGCTGCTCGAGCTCTTGTCCTCCGGGACTTCAGTGAATATCTTTACTCTCTTTTCTAATCGGGGCTTTCGAGGCGCAACAGGCGTCTTCTTTGGGGCTTATATCGCCTCTTGTTTAATGCATACTCTTCATTGAGGGGCTAGCACATACCGCGACCTATATCCGTGGATAGCCCCGCTTTGCTTCGTGTTGGCATGTTTCTTTGTTTATTTTGGGTTTTTGGGCTGTGATTAAGCACAGTGTATTATTGTCGGCTGCCCTTGCGACAAGTTGGGTTGCTCTGGCAGTCAATCACTTCATGATGCCTGGCGGGAACGGGCACGAGAAACGCATCTGTGTTTTTTTGGGTTATGGAATGGCTATGGAAAAGATCCGGTCTTTTTCAAGGATCATCAGATATTCTTGGAAAGCGGCTGGAATTGGGAGGATTATTTGTATGTCTTTTTTTCATCATATATAGACAGGGAGATATGTAACGAACTTTGGAATTTGAACATGAAAATGAAACCATCACGTCAATTTGTAGACCTATCACGTGCCCCTGACGTCGACCTGGGACCTGCAGGGGTACGGTGTACATTCGAGATGTACGGCGATCAATTATGGACATTTGGCCTATATCACGTCCAATATAGAACACCACGGTGGCTAATATTATCTCATCTGCAGATACGAGGGTCACCCGTAATCCCATCTGACACCCAATTTCCCCGCCAAACCAGCCTAATCCCCAGATCCACTGTCCAAGAACAAGAACAGCAATAGTTCAACAGAAGCTGACAGTCTTCCTGAACTCAAATCTTCCATTCTATAAGCCCAACCTAAACGGTTCCCAGCCTCCCCCTTGTTCCCGGCTCAACCGACTCCGATGAGAGACACGGCTGACAAGCCTGTCCCTGTTGTTTTCCACGACAGATCGCCTCTCATGCCTACCACTCGTGAGGGTGGGCATGGAATCCGGCCTCGTACGGATGAGTCGTCCAAAAGTGCTTTGTACCTGGGTTTATTGACTCTTTCCATCGGCGGGTAAGTGGATATTACTCCGCACTTGATCTAAGTATCGCTTTTACATCCATGGCGATATAACTTATCAAGGCGGTTTGGCTAACACTGTCTTTTCAGACTTCAAGTAGTATGGTCTGTCGAACTATCTAATGGATCGGTAAGTCGGTTCCCAAGGTCTGTATTATGCATTTAAGGATACCATGCTAACTCAACCCACAGCCTTTCCTGTTATCCCTTGGCATGAGCAAGTCGCTTCTTGCCTTTGTGTGGATTGCCGGTCCTTTGACCGGTAGTTTGGTTCAGCCGTACATTGGCATCCGGAGCGACAATTGTCGAATGTCATGGGGAAAGAGGAAGCCGTTCATGGTCGTGGGTGCAGTAGCGACCATTGTCTTTCTGCTCGCGCTGGCATGGGTAAAAGAGATCGTGGGTGGGATCTTGTCGATATTCGGGGCCGATCCTGCTTCGACGGGCGTCAAGGTCTGCATCATTATCATGGCTACGGTTTTCATGTATTGTCTAGACTTTGCTATCAATACGGGTATGTATTCGGCTGCTTGTCTTGAAAGGTGGTCTATCTGGCTGACAGCTTATAGTACAAGCGGCTATCAGAGCATTCATAGTCGACAATTGCCCTGCGCATCAGCAAGAATTGGCTAATGCCTGGGCTAGTCGGATGACAGGCGTGGGTAATATCTTGGGCTATATCTTCGGTTATATGGACCTGCGATCGAGAATTCCCTTCCTAGGAAATACACAGTTCAAAGTCCTCTGTGCTATTGCTTCGGTTTCACTCAGTGTCACCCTTGGAATCAGTTGCTCATACATCAAAGAACGAGACCCGCAGTTCGATCCGCCTGTGATGGACAAGCTGGGCGTTGTCTCATTTTTCAAGCAGATTCTCAAATCCATACAGAGCCTGCCAATCCAGATTTCCCGAGTCTGTCAGGTTCAGATCGCAGCATGGGTGGGCTGGTTCCCATTCTTATTCTACTCCACGACCTATATCGGACAGCTCTACGTGAATCCGATCTTTGCGAAGAATCCCCATCTATCTGAAGATGAGATCGACCACGCCTGGGAAGACGCCACTCGTGTCGGAACCTTCGCACTTCTCATTTATGCGATTATCTCCTTTCTCGCAAATATACTGTTACCTTTCTTCGTGGTCCCCACCTACGATCCTGCGCCACCTGCTCCTCAGTCCAGCATGGATGCCTCTGATGATGAAGGGCCAGCTGTGAGGAGAATGTCATTCTCCAGCATGCCCATGGGTAATGCATCCGAGCCACTCCTCGACGGACCCCAAGTCCCGCAGCAAACGGCCGAAACGCCCACTTGGCTCGCTCGTCTCCGGATCCCGGGCTTGACGCTTCGTCGGGTTTGGTTATTCTCTCATATCCTTTTTGCAGTTTGCATGTTCAGTACGATTTTCATCTCGTCGCACCGGGCTGGCTCTGCTTTCGTGGGACTGATCGGCATTTCCTGGGCTGTTGCCTTGTGGGCGCCTTTCGCTCTCATATCGGCCGAGGTGGCGAGAGTTGATCCGTCTCGACAACGTCACCAGACGAACCAGGCTGAAGCTGAGCATATGGTCCCTGAGGATCAGGACCATGTCGATTTCAGCAATGGAGATGTGGAAATTGGCCCCAAGGATGCTCACGAGGGGAATGTGGCACAGGCGGGCATCATTCTCGGTCTGCACAACATGGCTATTTCTTTGCCGCAGATCCTGTCTAGTCTGGTTTGCAGCGCTATTTTCAAAGCTTCCCAGAAGCCTCGGGGAGAGCCCTGGGACGATAGTGTTGGATGGGTGCTGCGGTTCGGTGGATGCGCTGCCTTAGTTGCGGCATGGCTGACTCGAAGGGTTTCTGATGGGCCTAGATAGACACAGATTTCAAGTTAGATATCCTCGGCATTGATCAAGATTGACAAAAACCACAATCCTCCGTGCTGTAGTATATGTATAGTCCGTCGTAGCCCCTAGGCCAAGTATCCCGCAACGTTTCTTGGCATGCCACAGGGCTTAAGGTGTAAATGGTGCCTGATACGCCGTATCTTACGGCGCAATCGCATTGTCGGGGCCCGGGCCTGCGGGCGGGTCCAAAAGGGGGTGTCTGCCGCCGGTCCTCGACTGGCCCTGCCGTATCGTATCGTCGCCGCGTATTGTCGTATCAACGGCTTATCTGGCCAGCTTCTCTTCTCCAATTCCCCTTCTGTCGTCACTTGTCCACGTCGCCTACCTTTTCCCTCGGATTATGTGTGCCTTGTCTTGGCACTTCAACTTCACGCAAGTGAGCTGCCAGTTCTCCGCGCTGGCTCTTGATACCTCCTAAGGCGCGACAGCCATAATGGCGACTCAAATGATGAACGATGCCTTGCACGGCTTGTTGCGTACGTGACTCTGGCTTGTTGTGGCGCAATGGCGCTGCTTGATCTTCGGTGCATGGGTAGCTAACGAGCTTTTTCTTATAGGACGGGCCACGGAAGACTTCGATCCTGATGGTATGCGTGTCCTGAAATACCCCTCTCCGTGTTGGCGTTGGCGTTGGCGCTGGCGTTGGCGATGCGCACTCCTATACAGATGTTAACGATCGTGGGTTGCAGATACTCCAGAGGCAGGGACGAAGGAGATGTCGAGCTCCTGGGCACTGTTCATTATGATCATGCTGCTCATGTTCGCTCTATTCACCAGTTACATCTTGCAGCAAAAGAAGATTCAGGCTGTGCACGAGACTGTGTTGTCGATTTTCGCAGGTAAGGCGCCCTCCCAAGTGACATGGCCTCTTTGGAAATAGAGACGAAGCTTGGTTGTGTCAGCGCGCATGTGCGCAGATGGGATGTTGGTTGCTGACAATTGCTAGGCATGTTCGTGGGTCTGATCATTCGTTTGACACCTAAGTCCACCCTCCAGGACAGTGTTGCCTTTGACTACCAGTTCTTTTTCAATCTTCTCCTCCCTCCCATTATCCTCGCTTCCGGATATGAGCTTCACCAAGCCAACTTCTTCCGCCACATCGGCACTATCCTCACCTTCGCATTCGCCGGCACCTTTATCTCCGCGATCGTTCTCGGGACGGTCTTGTACCTATGGACCCGCATCCCGCTGAATGGCTTGAACATCTCCTTCGTTGAGGCTATCTCCGTTGGAGCTACACTCTCCGCCACAGACCCTGTCACCATTCTCGCGATCTTCAACCTCTACAAGGTGGAGCCCAAGCTGTACACCATCATCTTCGGAGAATCCATTCTGAACGATGCGATTGCCATTGTGCTCTTCGAGACGGCGCAAAAGTACGCCGAGAGCGCAGCTGGCTCCCTGACCATCCTCAATCTGTTCGAGGCTATTGGTCTATTCTTGCTTGTGTTCTTTGGTAGCATGGTGATCGGTATGCTGGTGGGAATTGCCACGGCGCTAGGCCTCAAGTACACTCTGGTGCGACGCATGCCTAAGATTGAAAGCTGTCTGATCATTTTGATCGCATATGCCAGCTACTTCTTCTCCAATGGCGTCCACTTGTCCGGCATTGTGTCTCTCCTCTTCTGCGGCATCACTCTCAAGCATTATGCTTACTACAACATGTCCCGCCGCACGCAGTTGACCACCAAATACCTATTCCAGGTCATGGCTCAATTGTCGGAGAACTTTATCTTCATTTACCTCGGTTTGGATCTCTTTGTGGAGGCCAATCTGCAGTTCAACCCTTTGTTTATCATGGTTGCCGTCGTTGGTATCTGTCTGGCGCGCTATCTCGCGGTTTTTCCGCTGTCCAAGGCCATCAATTGGTTCATTCGATACCGCGCCCACCGCCGTGGCTATGAGGTTGCTGATGAATTGCCTTTCGCTTATCAAGCTATGCTCTTCTGGGCTGGACTCCGCGGTGCTGTCGGCGTCGCTCTGGCCGCGGGTCTTACTGGAGTGAATGCCCCTGCACTTCGTGCCACAGTCCTTGTCGTCGTCGTGTTGACTGTTATCATCTTCGGTGGAACCACGGCCCGCATGCTCGAGATTCTTGGCATCCGAACTGGCGTGGTCGAAGAGCTCGACTCCGATGATGAGTTCGATATCGAAGTCATCCATGGCGGCACTTATTACAAACGCTCCGGTAATAGCCTAGGCTACACACCCCGCCGGAATGACACAACCATTCCTCTGGAAGGACTCACAACTGACCCTCATCCTCCACGCACCGGACTTGGAGAACGAGCCGGGAGCTACTCGAGCGGAAGCAACCGTCGCCCAAGCCCACCCACCCACACCCGCATGTACTCCGCCGCCTACAGTAACAAGGATCAACCCTGGCGCGACCGCCAAGCCGCCGCGACCCTCCTCAACGCTGGTGCAGGCCCGAGCAATGCCGAAGGCAGTGACGACGAATTTGGTCTTCCCCCCACCGGCGCCCACCCTAAAAACCCCAACAATCCTACCCACCCTGATAAGTTTGACCTCGATATCGAAGGGTTCTCCGACGACGACGACGACGACGACCTGCCCCCCGCGGCCAGTGGTGCTTCACGTCTCCGTCGCTCCGCCTCCCAGCCTCCTCGCCCTGCTACCGTTTCTCCCAACGCCGCTGCCGCCTCCACCAGCGTTTCCCCATCCCGCCAGGTTTCCGGCCTTACTGCTCGCGAGGCACTGCGCGATCTCTTCTCCGGTGGTGCTTCAGGTGACCACGCCGCTTGGTTCCGCCAACTGGACGAGGATTACATCAAGCCCACTCTGCTGCTGGACCAGTCCACCCACAAGGGACCTGGACCTGGTAACGTTTGATCCTTTGATTTGAGATCTTCGAGCTGTACTGTAAAGATTAGCCATTTGTACGGATTAGCATCATGATGTGTATTCTCCCCCCAGCTTTGCTTTTCATTGCCCCGCATGTACCAAACGAATCGAAACGAAATCAAATTCCACTCCAAATTCGAATCCAAGTTCCACTCATAGATCCCCGTGTAACTGTAGTCAGATAGCAGAGGCGCACCTACGCAGAGCTAAGCCCACCGGGGCAAGAGATACGCGGAAATAATTATCGCCCAGTCAGAACAACCCTCGCTATCTGGATCTACAGAATACTCCGTACCCCGGGACATACCCCTCGTTACATGCATGTATCTACAAAGCTTCAATGGATGATCCGGTCGTATCTTCCTTGTCATCCCTTTCGGCTTCCCAATTCCACACCGCACTACCATCTTCCCACGCAATATGGAAGTACAGAAAGTGCCATCCCACAAGAGCAAAAGACGAGCTTCAGAGGCATTAAGCCATGTCTCGGTCCAGGCAGCCGATAGCGATCTATTAGGTGTGTATTCTGTGCGCGATGGCTTCCACGTTTAGGCCCGGGCTGACTGGGATGTATAGCAACGCTGGGATACAAGCAGGAGTTGAGACGGCACTACTCGACCGTGCAGATCTTTGCGGTTGCGTTTAGTATTATGGGTCTTTTGCCGTCGATTGCTTCTACGTTGTCTTTTTCCATGCCTGCTGGTCCGGTGGGGATGGTTTGGGTATGGTTCTCCCGGTGCTCTGTTCGGGCGGTTTGAAGCTGACGATTTCTTAGGGTAAGCATCGTCCATTTCCAAGGGTTCTATTATGTTGAACACGGTATTGACATCAATCAGGTTGGCTAGCTGCAAGCTGTTTCATCTTTATCGTCAGTTTGGCAATGGTAAGATATCCCCACGTCAAATGCAACGGGGCACTAAACCGTGCCAAAAGGCAGATATAGCATCTGCAATGCCCACAGCCGGCGGCCTCTACTTCTGGACTCACCATTTCGCCTCCGAGAAATGGAAGAACCCACTCAGCTTCCTAGTTGGCTACAGCAACACCATCGGCCTCATAGGTGGAATCTGCTCAATCGACTGTACGCCATACTCCAACCCCTACATCACAGCATGCTAACGAACCAGACGGATTCGCCAACATGCTCCTCTCAATGATCTCCCTAGCCCGGGACGGAAACTGGTCCGCTACACGCCCAGTAATCTACGGCACGTACGTCGCGACAGTCTTCGCCCACGCCTTCATAGCCATCTTCTTTGCCCGCGTTATGCCCAGAATCCAATCCATCTGCATCTTCTTGAACATCGCCCTGGTCCTAGCCACCGTTATTGCCTTGCCAATCGGTAAGAAGCAGAACAGTCCACCTGTTAATTCGGGGTCGTACGTTTTCGGCGACTTGGAGAACTTCACCTCCTGGCCGGCTGGGTGGACATTCATGTTATCGTGGCTTTCGCCTATTTGGACGATTGGGGCGTTCGATTCGTGCGTGCATATGAGTGAGGAGGCTATGCATGCGGCTCGGGCTGTTCCGCTGGGGATTATTTCTTCGGCTGGTCTTTGTGGGATATTGGGGTTTGTTTCGTTGGCTGTTATTGCTGCTTCAATGGACACGGATATTGAGGGAATTATGAACTCGAAGTTCGGTCAGCCGATGACACAGGTTGGTTTTTCGTTTTGTGTCTTGATTGCGTGGCTGACGAGGTATAGATTTATTATGATGCTCTAGGTAAGAATGGCGCACTGGGATTCATGGCTGTTGTTATGATCGTGCAGTTCTTCATGGGACTTAGCATTGTGAGTGTTGATTCATTCTTCGACGCATGTCACTAACGAGTATTTGAATTCAAGGTCTTAGCAGCATCTCGTCAAAGCTGGGCTTTCTCTCGTGACGGCGCTCTCCCATTCTCTTCTTTCTTCCGCAAGGTTAGCCAGCATGTCTTGATGCGCTATCAACCTGTTCGGATGGTTTGTGGTGTTGCCATCGTGGCAGTCGTCATTGGTCTCCTCTCGCTTATCGACAATACCGCCGCCAATGCTCTTTTCTCCCTCGCTGTTGCTGCAAACGATCTCTCTTGGCTGACTCCAATACTGGCACGCTTGGTTTGGGGAGGTGAGCGGTTTGTTCCGGGTGAGTTCTACACGGGAAAATATCTCAGTAAACCTATTGGTTGGATTGCAGTTATCTACATGTCCTTCGTTATTGTTTTGAGTATGATTCCTACGGAGGGACCAAATCCGTCGCGTAAGTTGTCTCTTCTCTTCCTGGTTACCTTTCGATGGCACATTGCTGACAGGGAATAAGCCGATACTATGAATTACACCGTTGTGATCAATGGTAGTTTGTGGGTTGGGTCGTTGCTTTACTATTACGCATATGCTAGAAAAACATTCAAGGGGCCGCAGACAACTGTTACTCTGGAGGATGAGGGTATGACCATGGAGAAGGCTCATTAGAAGGTTTTCCCCACCGATGATGTGTCCTGCATGGGCTTGACAACTACTGCAAACCAGTATAGGGCTGAAACTTGGTCCCGGGAGACACAAGATCGGCATATGCTAGGGCATTGGGAATTACCTGCACATTTTACTGGACAACAGCATTATTAGGCTTAAAACTGATGTTTGGTTCCTCTCAAGAGGCTGAAGTATTCGTGAGAAACACATTAGAACATTATTCGTCGATAGTAGATATCCGAAAGAAATTGCCAGAACCCCCATGCAAATTCGAAGAAACATAGCGATGCATCTATTCTGGAATCTCCAGAACGTAGCGGCCAGCAATCTTGCCTTGTGCTATTAGTTCAGGTTAGCGTGATGTTTTCAAATCATCCAGAGGAAATCAACATACCCATGAGATCGAACACCTCTGGCAAATCCTTCAGAGGAACCGTCTTGAAAGGAGCCTTGATCAAGCCGCGAGCGTAGAAGTCGACAGCTTCGACGCCATCCTGGCGGTTACCAACATAGCTACCCTTGATGTTGACCATCTTGACAACAGTGTCGAAAACAGGAGCCTTAAGGAATGCACCGGCGGGCAAGCCGATGGCAACAATGGTACCGCGAGAGCGAGCGTACTCAACAGCCTGCTGGAACGGCTTCTCAGCGACGGCAAGTAGGAGAACAGCGTGCGCACCCAGGCCTCCAGGCGTAGCAGCCTTCACATCTGCGACCAAGTCCTTGCTCTGGGTGAAATCGACGTATGTCTAAAGACGGTCAGATCATCATCTCGCAGTATATCAGCATCAAACATACCTCAGCGCCAAGCTGCTCACACATCGCCCTCTTCTCCTCCCCACCATCAATAGCAACAACCCGCAGTCCCATAGCCTTAGCATACTGCTGCGCCAGCGAACCCAAACCACCACCAGCACCCACAATCGCCACCGTCTGTCCAGGTCGGGCTCCAGACTCCTTCAAGCCCTTATAAACAGTAACACCCGCACACAGAATTGGCGCAACGCCATCGAGCGGCACCTCCTTTGGCAGCTTCGACACATGAGCCGCCTTGCCAACCGCGTACTGCTGGAACGTGCCGTCAACCGTATACCCCGACAGCTCTGCTTCAGGACACAGAGGCTCATCAGAGGTCTTGCAGAATTCACAGGCGAGACAGGATCCATTCAGCCATTTGATGCCGGCGTGGTCGCCTATCTCAATTCCGTGGGCGAGTTCGCCTTTGGCGACGACGATGCCGGCGCCCTCGTGTCCGCCGATGAGAGGGTAGGGCTTCAGTGGGAGGGGCCAGTCGCCGTTCAAGGCGTGGAGGTCTGTGTGGCAGACTCCGGTGTACTTGACTTTGATGAGGACTTCATCGGGGCCGGGCTTGGGGACTGGGATTTGTTTGTAGACGGGGGGTCCGCCTTTTTGCTCGATGACCTGTGCCCACTGGGTATCTGGGATGGTCATTTTGTAGTTGGTACGATGGATAAGTGTTTCAGATGTAGATAGAGTAGAGTACAACTCGGAAGATGTAAAGTAGAAGTAAAGTAGAAGTAGAAGTGGGGGAAGTGACAATGAGAGGTTTGGTGACACGGTTTTTATACTTCGCCATCGCCTGATAGCCTCCCACTCAACATCCCACCAGCCGGTTTTCCGACTGGTTCCTCTCTCGCTTTTCGCGCTTTCGCTCTTTCGCTCTCGATTAGGTATTTGGTCATTGCCTGGGCCTTGGAAACTTCCTATCTGACGGTACTTTATTTGCCCAACGAGCTCCATCTCTCCGCACCGGGAAGATGCAACAGACGTGGAATCTGATAGGAACGGTGAAACCCACTCCGCTGCATGTTCCCCTCGCTTGATCGCTTAGAGCCAGATGCATTATTGACGTTTGGACGATCCGAACAAAAGTCCGATTGCAGAGTGGACGACGTCACTATTTGGTCGAGAATCAGGCCATACCTGCGCTTGGCGCCCTGCTGGTGACGGGGGCCGATTGGGCATTGAATCCTGGAATATTTCCCGCGAACCGTGATATGCATATACAATATGGAGGAAATGTCTGGGGAGATGTCCAGTCTACCTTGGGGGAATCTTGTCGCCAAGCTTCCTGCACATGACCTCATTGCGGACTCCAGGGCTATCTTGAAGCGACTCCGTACATGAGGCGACATCTGCTGCGATCACCTACTTTCCCGAGCATGGGCTCCGTGTCTTATTTGGTTCAATTGGCCTCTTTGAACGCGGTGATGATCCAGCACTGACTAAGATCGACCATAGGTCCGGCGATTAACGGACAGTGAGGTGTCTACGAGTGGACCTCGAGAGCACTACGACCAAGTCGATCATCTCATGTCAACCCATCACTGCTCGCTGGGCCTTTCATTTGCCTGCTGTGGCTGACGTAGGGAGATTTCTGCGTGCCAACGTAAGGACCAGGCCAAGCGGATGCTCAATTGAGTGGAAGTCCAGACCAGGTGATTTGCATTGTTTGGGTAGTTTGCACTGTTTTCACTGTTTGTCTCGGTTTACGCCAGTCCGAAGACACCCAATTCGGATTGGAGATGCTTCCTTCTGCAGAACAGTATCTGCTCTCAATTTTGATGCTCTTCTGTATTTAGAATCAGAAGGCACGGAATCAGCCTGGAATTCTGCTCAGGTGGAACTTGGAAAGCCTCCGACACCTATACTCAACTGTACGCCTCGTAGCCTATGCCCTGCGTAGTGCTCTGTTATGTCTACTCCATAGCAATACCTACATACATACATAGGAACATTCAAGGTTCCAAAGTTGCAAAAGATCTAAAAATGCCTATTTGTACACCTTGAAATGACAAAGCCTGCCTTGATGCCTGGGCTTATTCTGTTGGGCTGCGAGTGACAATCCCGTGCTCCGATCAATACCTAGGTATCGAACAAGAATTCCCTTCATCCATGAGTGGGCTGGCCAGTTCGGTAAAGAGGTGTATACATGAATGTGCCAAAGCAAATTCACAATACCGACTCGATTGATCAGGTCGAAGTCCAGAGCGTGAGGAAGAGAGCTATGGGACAAGGATCATGGATGAACAGGAATAGTATGCTTCACCGAGGCAATCGTTGGCATCGCCAATATATATTAATGAGATAAATAAATATTTATATAGAATTAAATATCCAAAGATACCTACGTACATATGAAATCCTTGCAATCAATATATATGCTTCAAGGAACAAGATGCAGAGCGCGGATCCAGCGCAGTTGAACGAAGACAATCGGATCGCAGGGCCGGAGTAGAGGCGAAAGCGAGATCGAAGAGACTCAAGAACAAGTGACCTCCCCTTTCGGCTCATCACTTCCCGGCCACCAACCTTTGCCCTCTGTCTCATCTTCCCATTTCTAAGAATTCTGTTCCTCTTACTCTCTCCCCTGCATCAGCTCCCGCCTACACCCGCGCATTCTCTTTGGGTCTTGGGTCTTGGGGTTCGGGAACTTCTCCTCTGCATCCTCCCACCACAAACGAATCCATCCATCAGGTATTTAGCCATCACCTTCTTCTTCATCCCCTTCCATCTCCGCTAGCCCCCAAACCCACCTGGACAAACCCAACGCTGACGTCGCGTCAGGCCTTTGAGCCCCCTTGGTGTCTAGGTCTGGGAGTGTCGACCCTCTCGTCTTCGACCTCAATTCACCCCAGCCGAGCTCGACGGGAATTCTTGACGCGCCCAAACCCAACCCGGGGTCCGCGGCCACCATGACGGGCGCTCCGCCGTACAACGCTCAGTCTCCGACGCAGCAGCAGCCGCAGCAGCAGCCGCAGCGTTACCCGTACACCTCGCCCAGCAAGAACTCGTATTACCCCAATGAGCAACCCCAGCAGTATCATCAACATCCACCCCAGACTCCCCCAGCGTTTCCTCCCGTTGCGCGAAGCCCGCACTTCTCACACGCGTCTCCGATGCCGGGGGGTCTGCCGCCGCCCTTGAATGGCGCGCCACACCAATCCCACCCAGACCAGTCGCAATACCCAGGACACGCGGCCGGCTCGCAGTTGCCACCCCTGACGCGACCTTACTCCGGCTCAGTGATGTCGAGCAATGGGGCTCCGCCTTATGCAACTCCGCACGGTCACCCACCCAGTCACCCGGAGGGCCATGCGCAATCTCCCACTCGGGAATCCCAATCCCCATACCGTATTCGGAGCAACGGGCCTGGATATGGACCGGCGATGATGCGTGATCAGAGGCCCGCTTCGCCCCAGGAAACGGTAGGCACATTCCGAACCCCGCCCATTGATGATGGATTTACTAACGCTTACGCTGTGTAGAAGCCTGCCCGAGCAGCTGACCCCATGTCTTTCGCAAGCATTCTCTCGGGCCCATCGGACGATCAGCCTACGAGGAAGCCCTCTCCCGCGCCTATCGCATACTCCGCCCACACACCGCACGCTGCTCCTTCGTTTGAACACCGACATGTGAATCACGGACCTGTACCAGGTGCGCTTTACCCTAAGGTCGAGCACCGATTCGGACCCGAACGACGCATGGAGAGCCCTCGAGGCCCGCTTGCCACCAACGGGTTCGCCAAACCGGAGATGGGACACCATGCACCTATCCCTCGTCCGCCCATGCGAAAGCCTTTGCCGCCTGGCGTTGACATCGATCAGGTCAATCGTGCTGCAGCTGAGATTGATGCGGCTGACAAGAGTGATGTCGAGGACCCTGCATTCGACGCCGAGCTCGAAAGGTACAAACAAAAGAGTCACAAACGATCAATGGAAAGCAACAGAGCCGAAAGACTTCGACGCAAGGTATGTCTTGGATCGAGGTCGGACTTTTTTCAACGGTTATCACTAACACATCCCTAGCGCCGCCGCAACGAGTTCCTAGTTGACCTAGGCCGAGCCTTCGAGAAACAAGTTATCATGGGCACCGATCGATTCCGAGCACTCAACGAAGGGGCCGTTGTCGCCGAAGTACAGCAGAAGGAGGTGCAGGACGAAAAGGAGCGCAAGAAGGATATGCAACGCAAGCGCCGTCGCGAGAACACCGTGCGCCAGGAAATGCAGAAGAAGGCGGAGGCCGAACGCAAGGCCAGCAAGGCACAGGAGCCCGGCGAGAGACTCAAATTCTTGCGTGAAGCCGAGCGAGCCCAGAAGAAGATCCGGACCACCAAGCGCGCCCTGGAAGGCGGCGATGGCCACGATGAGCTTGGTGAGGTCACGCCACTCGCTCCCAACCTGGAAGGCGGCACAACGAGCTCGTTCGCCATCGGCAGCGATGCTGCACGACGCAGGTCCGGCCGCGCCGCCGGCCCTGTCACCCGCCCCAAGAAGTCGAAGGAGCAGAAGCAGGCCGAAAAGGATCTTGCAGAGGCCGCCTGGAACGCCGGGCTCGACGATGATCTGTATCTCACCCCAAGCACTCGCAGAGATGCCTATCACTCCAAGGAGGGTACCCCCATGTCACAGCTACACTACGACAGCAAGGGTTACAACCAGATCTACGAGCAGATCTGGCGCGACATCGCGCGCAAGGATATTCCCAAGGTCTACCGCATCAAAACCACATCGCTCTCCACTCGCCAGGAGAACTTGCGCAAGACGGCCCAGCTGGCTAGTAAGCAGTCTCGCAAGTGGCAGGAGCGCACCAATAAGAGCACCAAAGACACCCAGGCCCGTGCCAAGCGTGCGATGCGTGAGATGATGACCTTCTGGAAGCGGAACGAGCGTGAGGAGCGTGATTTGCGCCGAGTCGCAGAAAAGCAAGAGCTTGAATCCGCCAAGAAGGCAGAGGCCGACCGTGAAGCCAACCGACAGAAGCGCAAGCTCAACTTCCTGATCTCGCAGACCGAGTTGTACTCTCACTTCATCGGACGCAAAATCAAGACCGACGAAGCACAAGGCGACGGTGCTGTGGCTGCTACTGGAGAGACTGTTCAACCCGGCAAGCCTGACGCGCACACAGTCGATCTTCCTGATAGTGTCGCGAATCCCAACGCTAAGACTACTGCATTCGAAGACCTTGACTTTGATGCCGAGGATGAGACTGCTCTGCAGCAGGCCGCCATGGCCAATGCGCAGAATGCTGTGCAGCAGGCTCAAGACCGCGCGCGTGCCTTTAACCAAGAAGGCGATAACATGGCTGCGTTCGACGACGGAGAGATGAACTTCCAGAATCCCACCAGTCTGGGTGATATTGAGATCTCTCAGCCTACAATGCTGAATGCTCAACTGAAAGAGTACCAGCTGAAGGGTCTCAACTGGCTGGTCAACTTGTATGAACAAGGTATCAACGGTATCTTGGCAGACGAGATGGGTCTTGGTAAGACTATCCAGTCTATCTCTGTGATGGCATACCTGGCCGAATTCCACAACATCTGGGGTCCCTTCCTCGTTATTGCGCCTGCATCCACTCTCCACAACTGGCAGCAAGAAATCACGAGGTTCGTGCCCAACATCAAGGTCTTGCCTTACTGGGGTAATGCGAAGGATCGAAAGATTCTCCGCAAGTTCTGGGATCGCAAGCACATCACATACAACCGGGACTCTGAGTTCCATGTCCTCGTCACTTCTTACCAGCTTGTCGTTCTTGACGCTCAGTACTTCCAAAAGGTGAAGTGGCAGTATATGATTCTGGATGAGGCCCAGGCCATCAAGTCTTCTTCTAGTTCGCGATGGAAGAACCTGCTCGGCTTCAGCTGCCGTAACCGGCTGTTGTTGACTGGTACGCCAATTCAGAACAACATGCAGGAACTGTGGGCTTTGCTCCATTTCATCATGCCAACTCTGTTCGATTCACACGACGAGTTCAGCGAGTGGTTCTCCAAGGATATTGAGTCACACGCACAGAGTAATACCAAGCTCAATGAGGATCAGCTGAAGCGTCTGCACATGATTTTGAAGCCTTTCATGCTGCGTCGTGTCAAGAAGAACGTGCAACAGGAACTTGGCGACAAGGTCGAGAAGGATATCTTCTGTGACTTGACATACCGCCAGCGTGCCCTATACGCCAATCTGCGGAACCGTGTCAGCATCATCGATCTCATTGAGAAGGCCGCCACCGGCGATGACACTGACAGCAGTACGCTTATGAACTTGGTCATGCAATTCCGAAAGGTGTGCAACCATCCCGATCTTTTCGAGCGTGCGGAAACCAAGTCGCCCTTCTCTGCTGCGTCTTTCGCCGAGACTGCTTCCTTTGTCCGCGAAGGAAACTTCGTCGACGTTCGCTACTCAACTGAGAACTTGATCCGTTACGACTTGCCACGTCTCTTGTGCAGCGCCGGGGGCCGCCTGGATCTTCCTGGATCCGATAACCCACGCGCTGGTTTCCAGACCAAGTACCTGTCGCAATTGATGAATGTGTGGACTCCGGAAAACATCCACAAGAGTGCACGTGAGAATGGTGCATTCTCATTCCTGCGTTTCGTCGATACCTCCCCGGCAGAAGCTAGTGCAGCAGCTCGACTTGGTGTCTATGAGCGCGCCGAGCGTCGCCGCAGCAAACCAAACAGGCTTTCGGCCTTGAATGTTATTTATGATGAGAGTGACGATTCTAAGAACTCGATCTTACCTCACTCGATGTTGAACATTGTCGACCGTGAAGATCGTCAAGCTGTCCGTGATATCGCTGTCGAGGGCCGCATGAGGGACCTCATGACTGTGTCTCGCTCGGCATTTGAGAATCAAGGTCTCCCCTTGATTGAGCCGTGTGCTGCGCCCAAAGCCTCAGCGCCTCCTATTACAATCTCTGCCTCGGGTCAACAAGCTATGCGGGAAGCCAACCATGCTCTGTTCAATGCTTCGGTCCGCCAAGCATTGTCTGGTCACAACACCCGCCAACTCGAGGAAGAGATCTTGGCCAAGAAGGTGGACCCTGCACCTTACTCTCACCCACCCATGCTTCCTGCGCCGGGCTCAATGAAGGGACGCTACAGCCACATCGAGGTCCCATCAATGGGTCGCTTTGTGACAGACTCCGGCAAGCTGGCCAAGCTGGACGAACTCTTGCGCGAACTCAAGCCCGGTGGCCACCGCGTGCTTCTGTACTTCCAGATGACCCGTATGATCGATTTGATGGAGGAGTACCTGACATACCGAAACTACAAGTACTGCCGACTGGACGGAAGCACCAAGCTGGAAGATCGTCGCGACACCGTCGCCGACTTCCAGTCGAATCCCGATATCTTTGTATTCCTGCTTTCCACCCGTGCCGGTGGTCTCGGTATCAACTTGACGGCCGCTGACACGGTCATCTTCTATGACTCCGACTGGAACCCCACCATCGATTCACAGGCTATGGATCGTGCCCATCGTCTCGGTCAAACCCGGCAGGTCACGGTCTACCGCCTCATCACTCGCGGCACAATCGAAGAGCGTATCCGCAAGCGTGCTTTGCAGAAAGAAGAAGTGCAGCGCGTCGTCATCACAGGCGGAGCCTCCGGCGGCGTCGACTTCAACACCCGGGCTCGCGAGAACCGCACCAAGGACATTGCCCTCTGGCTTGCCGATGACGACGAGGCCGAACTCATCGAGCAGAAGGAGAAAGAGGCCATCGAGCGCGGCGAGGCCCTCGGCGCAAAGGGCGGCAAGAAAGCCACCCAGAAGCGCAAGCGGGACCTCACGCTCGACGACATGTATCACGAAGGTATGTCTTTCCGTCCCACATCATTAGCATCCGAATACTAACCATGTTTAGGCGAGGGTAACTTTGACGACGCCAGCAATAAGCCTTCTGGCGCAGCGACCCCGGCCGAAGAGCCAGTCGATACACCATCCTCGACGCCGGCCAAGCGTGGACGTGGCCGTGGACCGGGCAAAGGAACCTCCAAACGCGCAAAGACCACCAAAGAGCGCCTCCGTCTCATTGACGGCGATGGCGGCCTTGATTAATCACCTGTCACCTAATGCAACCGGGGCGTTATGAAAGCTTCTTCTATTTCCTTTTCCCTTTTTGTTTTCTTTTCCCTCTTCATTTTCTTTTCTTCCGTTGTCTTTACTGGTCTTCCCATTCTCTTTGCTTTCCTATTTGTCTGGCAGATACATTAGCTGCTCTGTATTATCACCCAACCCCCTTGCTTTGGTCGAGTTGACCAACAGTGATGCAAGGATGAAAACGATGTTCTCTACGATAGACCTGGTCTGCGCTGTGGCATCAGCTTGACTTCGTCTGGAGTGATGGTCCTGGTTTTTTTCACGTTACATTTGGTTTCTTTCCATTGTGTCTGTTCATCTCGCTTTCCAATGTTCAAAAAGGCGCATCCAATTTAGTTATGAGTGTCAAATGGATTGATTGATTTTATGGACTTGGGAGTCGTACTTTTGCGCTTACTATACGTAGTCTCTATGAGCCCTGGAGGTCGGTGGCCCAGGGCGCGGGCTCAGATTTACCCGTCAATTTGTGAGTTTGGTGGCTGAAGAAAAATCAAATCGATTACAGTGGTATAAGCACTAAGATCTTGTCAATAATTCGGGACAATATTTCCGCAGAATTGGTCTGATCCTTGACCAGAAAGAGCGAGTGTGTGTGAGGTGTACAGTACACCCCGATGTCGATCTCAGGTTCACCTGCATCTATTTCAGCTCGCCACATCCTGCTTTGCACAACAATGCTCTTATGACATAGCTTATATGCGTAATGATTCCAAAATGAGGGGGTATTTACAAAGCCAGACTGGTGATTGGCAAGGGTCCAGAGCAAGGGACTAGAGAAACATTGATCTTAAACCTCTGCATATCTTCAGTGTTGCACGTTGACCGGAACACCGGCACTCAACCACAGCTGAATTGGACCAAATCCCGCTTATAGAATAGAAGACCAAATGCCTATTCCGCACTCCGCACCGAGGTACCGAGCAAAAGCCGTGTGATCGAGATGCAGATCCCGGGGGATAGTAGATCCCGGCGACCCCACATGTCAAACTACTCAAACCAGTGCCGGTGAGAGAGACAGTGCAATGTGAGTAGACAAGTAGAGAAGTAGAGAAAACGAAAAGAAAAGAAAAGAAAAGAGTGGCGAGTAGCGCAACTTGCCACGTCGGGAAGGAACATCCGTGCCTGGGTGCGTCTGGCCAATCATCGCCCGTCCTATGTAAGCTGGATGACTAACCGGCCCTCCACCGATTTTCTTCTCCGGTATTTGATCTGGGCTGTTTCTCATCTCGATCTGTTTTGGCCTTTTCACTCAATTCACTATGGAGGCTCTCTTGCAGCAGTCCCGTTCTATGTGCCCCTTCCTCAAGCGCACCTCCCCCACCACCCTCCGCACCCTGTCCACCGCGACCCGCCCCAACACCAGCCCCGGAGGTGGAACCATGTCCAATTTGCAGGTCCTCGCTCGCCGCTGCCCCGTCATGAACAAGGCTCTGGCGGTGCAGAGTGCCCGCCTCAGCGGCACCAAGCGCTTCACTTCGCGCGCCGCTGGAGTGGCCGCATTCCAGCCCATGCGGACCCCCGCTGACCGGCGGGACCTGCACAGTTCCAACGGGAACCCCGCCAGTCTCGCTTCTGGGGGATACCAGAAGACCGAGCGAGGTAAATTTGACTTGTGGAGGACCGTGCTACGCTCAATGCTAATTTGACTTCAGGAGATCACCACCTGGCCAATCCGCTTCGCTCGTCGCCTGCCGCTGCCGAGGCCGCTCTCCGGGGTCCCCCTGGAGCCCCCCACTGCAAGCCCTACGACTACAATGGCTTCTACGATGCCGAGCTGGCGAAGAAGCGCAAGGACAAGTCCTACCGCTATTTCAACAACATCAACCGTCTCGCTAAGGAGTTCCCCCGCGCCCACACTGCCTCTGCCGAGGAGCGGGTGACTGTCTGGTGCTCCAATGACTACCTTGGTATGGGACGCAACCAGCAGGTCTTGGATACAATGCACCAGACCCTGGATAACTACGGTGCTGGTGCGGGTGGTACCCGTAACATCTCGGGCCACAACCAGCATGCCGTCACATTGGAGAAGACCCTCGCCAAGTTGCACGGCAAGGAGGCTGCTCTGGTCTTCAGCTCATGCTACGTGGCTAATGATGCCACTTTGGCCACTCTCGGCAGTAAGATGCCTGACTGTGTCATCCTCTCGGATAGTCTGAACCATGCCTCCATGATCCAGGGTATTCGTCACTCCGGTGCGAAGAAGATGGTCTTCAAGCACAATGATCTGGAAGACCTCGAAACCAAGCTGGCATCTCTGCCCCTCAGCACCCCCAAGATCATTGCCTTTGAGTCCGTCTACAGCATGTGCGGATCAATTGCTCCCATCGAGAAGATCCAGGACCTCGCCGATAAGTACGGCGCCATCACCTTCCTGGACGAAGTCCACGCCGTGGGCATGTACGGTCCCCACGGAGCCGGTGTCGCCGAGCACCTCGATTACGACAAGTGGGCATCCCAGGACTCCGCCACCCCCCAGAACACCAAGGGCACAGTCCAGGACCGCGTCGACATCATCACCGGTACCCTCGGCAAGGCCTACGGCAGCGTCGGTGGCTACATCGCCGGCTCCGCCGCCATGGTCGACACCATCCGCTCTCTCGCACCCGGCTTCATCTTCACCACCTCCCTCCCACCCGCCACCATGGCCGGAGCCAACACCGCCATCCAATACCTCGCCGAGGAACCCCGCGAACGGACCCTCCAGCAACTGCACACCCGTGCCGTGAAGAAGGCCTTCAACGACCTCGACATCCCCGTCATCCCCAACCCCTCCCACATCGTCCCCCTCCTAGTCGGCGACGCCGAACTAGCCAAGAAAGCCTCCGACAAGCTCCTCGAAGAGCACGGCATCTACGTTCAGGCAATCAACTACCCCACCGTCCCCCGCGGCGAGGAACGTCTCCGCATCACCCCAACCCCAGGCCACGTCAAGCCCCTGCGCGATCATCTCGTCCAAGCCGTCCAAGCCGTCTGGATCGATCTCGGTCTCAAGCGCACCAGCGACTGGAAGAGCCAGGGTGGTTTCGTCGGTGTCGGCGTCGATGGCGCCGAAGCCGCTAACCTGCCTATCTGGGAAGATGCCCAGCTGGGTCTGCAGGCTGGCGAGACTCTGGAGGCTGCTGTTGCTCGGGAGTTTGAGGTCGCGGCTTCGGCTCCGGCTCCGGTCTTGAAGACTGCTACTCCTTTGACTGAGAAGGCTTACTCTGATGCCCCTGCTGGCGTTGCTGTTTAAGCTGGATTTCTTGGTTTTGGGGGTGGTTGAACTATTCCCGTCCGTTCTTTTAGATTACACATACCACATACGGTCATATTTGAACATGTGCATCTGTTCAATCATATCTATTTATGGACTTTGTCCATGCCGACCACATTTTCTTCTTTTCTTTTCGTAGTTATAATCACGTACGGAGTAGACTGTCCATGGACACTATCCTGGGTCATTGCCATTGGCATGACTGATCGAGTGCTACCTAGGTATCTTCGGCACTGCACTGCTACCTACCTAGGTACTAGTGCATATAAACTTGAGTCTACACGTGGGATCCTAGGCACAGAGCAGCCGATGTCCAGGTAGTTGAGTTAGGGTTACTCCAAAGTTCGGTACATTTTTCCAAGGTTGCATGTAACAATCCCTCAGTCCTTCCAAGGTCTTCAACGCTCTAATCTCGAACTTAGACAAGTTGGTCGCAACCTTGAAACTTAAAATGTTCCAAGCTGTGATCTGTCTGCCTTTTCAACCTTGGAGCCCTGAGGTTGCATCTTATCCTCCACTGCACTTCCGAGGTTGGGACATACCCATCCTTGATATATATCTCCCACTTGGGCAAGTGGGTACCTAGTATCTCACGTTCAAACGACGATTCGGAACTCCTAGCAATGCAGACAGCATGATCCAGAATGATCACCTCCAGGGCTAGTACAGCCCTGAGCTGAACCTTTGAGTCGCAGTTCGAAACTTGAAACGTTGAACCTTGAAGTTACTGAAAGACAGCCAACTTCAAAAGGCAATCAATATGATCAATTCTTTTAGCTATGTAACATTGTCTCGACATCGAAACAGCTGAAAATGACAATTTTAAACCAAGCGCCGAGTCCCATACAACGAAGCCAAGCTTACATCTACTTCCGACCACCACGGCTAACCTTAGGGAACTCAACAGGGACACGCAAACGCGCAACACGACGAGCATTCGCCTCCGCCTTACCACCCTTGATATTCCACTTCGCGAACTCCGTCTCACGAGGCTTATCGATCCGACAGCCCAACTCGCGGAAGTACTGAGTAATAGCCGTAGGGTCAAGACGAAGATCGTCACGCAGATCAGAAGGATCGGTAGCCAATTCATTGGGGGCGTTACCACCCAAAGAGCTGGATCCACCATCCTTAGCGGGCTGGGGCGGGATATGCAACGAGAGGGCACAGATGGTAGTTTGGAGGAGGGTGAAATCGTTCTTTGAGACGTAACCGCCAGTAGGAGCGAAGCGACGACGGACAGCATCGATGACTGATTCGGGGAGGAGGTCTGCAGGGTCGGACTTTGCGGCAGAACCAGTTGTGTTTGAGAGGATGCGACGGAGTTCGTCGCGGGGAGGAAGACGTTTGGTTCCAGGGCCGCCTCCTTTGCCGCCGTTTTTGAGACAGCGGCCGAATTCGATGAGGAGCTGGATGAAGCGCAGGACCTGGAGGTGGGTGGGGTTGTCGGAGTGGACGACTGGGCCGACGCGGGAGGAGACGTAGCGGGAGACTGTGGTGATGCCCAGGCCTGCTTCGACTTGGGATTTCCATTCTTCGACGCCGTTGAGTTGGGACAGGGTTGTGTGGCTGCCTGGGACGAGGGTTTCGATCTTGTAGACGTCTGAGGGGTGCGAGGCACTGAGGTCCGGTGTTGGGAGGGGTTTGGCGGCTTGCACTTCGGCTTGCACGGCGAGTTCCTTGGCTCGGCCGGAGGTGGTGTTGGCGGGCATGGAGGAGATGAGGGCCGCGCCGGCTTGGGGCACGGCGCCGGTGGGTGCGTTGGAGAGCTGGGCGTTCTCGGCCATCGATTGCACGGCCTTGCGGGATTGTTTTGTACCGAAGGTGTTGGTGAGGGCTGTGCGCTGGGCGCGCATGGTCTGCTACTTGTTAGGGATCTGTTTGGAAAGTGTCCGCGGACGGGGGAGGACTGTACCGTGTCTTCATCGGAGTCTTCCTCCTCGGCCTTGCGGCTTCTCACGGCTCCTCGCAGAGTCGCCCGACGAACCTCCACGACTTTCCATGTCTTGCGCTCCGGGTCCACTACTGCGACATAGTGCTTGACTTGGGAGTCGGTGTCGTCTCCTGTGCCTTCACGGCCGACAAAGTCCATCTTGGCATGGTCTGAGGACTGCAGCAGCATCTCTGATGAGGCAATACCGGGGTTGCGGGTGGAAGACTTGGAGGCATTGGCGCGAGCTTTGATGTATGGGTTCCACGAGAGATTCTTTGAGCTGGAGAGACCGGGAGTGTTCACTAGCAGCAGAAAAGAACCGTTAGCAATGAATTGAGTCCTGCGCAAAGCGCAAAAAAAAGCCTTGCACTCACCAATCACCGGTGCAAGCTCGCTCTTATCTTCGACAGCGCTGGCCGCCAGCGGGGGCAGCGTCTGCAGAGCGGGCTTCTTGCTGGGACGATCATTGTCCGCAGAGCGCTTGCGCTTCTGATCTGTCTTATTTGACGGCATGGCGTTCTGGCAAAAGGAATCACGATCGACCTTAGCTGAGACGACAATCGGCGTGAGCGCGGTGAAATAAAATGTCTATGTCTGGCAGAAAATTTTACGAGCGGAGACCCGGCAGGCGGTGAACGGATTCGCGCACAAAGGAATATTCAAGTTGACGTATGGGCGGTTCGGCGCGCGCAGCTTACGGGTTTACAGTTACAAATATATCAAGTGTGCACTCATCAAGTCATCGATTCATCTGAGTAGCTAAACCAAAGACCTCCGAGCTATTCCATGGATTTTGTTTTGATAAACTCCCGGAAGTAACCTCTCCACAACTTTTGACCAACCCGAAGGAGGGCCGTAAAGCATGAGAATTGACCAGTCACCCCAAGCCGTGCTCAAAGACCGATAGCGATCCTCCAACATCCGACTAAACACAGGAGCCTCTCCGAGTAATGACCATGCCCAGCATCAAATCGTAGACGTAAATTGAATCCGAGGTGTTGGAAGGGTGGAAACTGTTTGATAACAGCGGATTCCGTCGTCCGAGTTGCAACTTCTTCTTTTGAGGTCGGAAGTCTGATGGGAAAGTCACTCGTGGAGTGAGAGGCATATCGCGAAACGAAAAGTAACGTCGACTTCAGTTGTCGTATTCAGTGTTCAAACTTGAGCCCGAGCGTGGTGCGCTGAGATGGAGGGGGCGAGTAGTTTATTTGCTATCCGACTGTTAGAACCTTGATCTGGACTTCGGCGAAGCTGCTGCGACTTACGATCGGGCACGCATCTTTCTTCTCTTGCGCTTGAGGCGGCGAACTCGCTTCTTTCTCCACTTATCTCTCATTTTCGTACTGTGTCTGGGTTAGCGCCTGGTCGAATAGCATCATTTGTTTTGGGTTCGGTACTCACGATTATGCGAGAATGAAGAAAGGTAGAAAGAAGGACAAAGTGGCGCGGGCCGAGACGCATTTGAGTGCGGTGCCGATGACTCAGCAGGACTCGCTTAGGGCGGTCACGTGCGGGCATGATGCTTTCGATTCCTGACCACACATAGCCACGCCAGCTACCAATTTGGCAATTTTGGGAAATTGGTAGGGCAAGCTATTCACTATCGAAACAATCTGGGATCCACTACGACATCATATTTTCTGGGGCTCAAGTGCTGCGTTGGATTACGTGGTTGAGCTTGACCTCGGGCTGTTGCGGTAACCCTAATATAGCTTGCTCTCGACACAAATGGATTTTGAAGCCATTGCAAACCATGAAAACAATCCTCGACAAGAGAGAGCTTTATGGAAGCTATCACAATGTTAAACAGCTCATGCATTGTAACCAAACACCAGGTGTGACATCACCAAAGCCAATTCAATTATTTAGCTATGCTATCCATGCATGTTTTATGTTCATTTACAGCATTAAGGTATATCATCACAGTCGCCTGGAGCTCTCAGGCTCCAATCACAACAAAAGGCGACCACATAAGCGCAATATCCAGCCTCCAAGTTTTAGTACTGGTACCGATAGGTGGGCGCCATATCACCGAGATATTCTTCCTCTTCCTCAGGGATCGCCGCAGGATCAACCGCCGCATGATCGCGCTTGCGGTTCTCGAACCACAATGCCAGCATGTAAACCACACACATGGCAGCAGAGAAGCACACAAAGGAAAGGCAAATGATGTATCCGGTCCGGTAATCAGTGACACCATTCTTCTCGACGAAAGAGTACGTCGCAATGATACCGCCAATGTTACCGAAGCCGACCTGCCAGGCGGTTCCCACGCTGCGTCGATGATGGCCACCGAGGTTCATGGCGAACCAACATACGATAACGGGCATGGCGCTGTAGCATCCGCTGGTGACTAGGAAGAGAGCGCCATATTGGGGCGCTGTTTTGCCGTGGATCGTGAGAAGCATGATGAACCCGGCCACGGCCACGGCCATTGGTAGCAGAGTGAATGCGAATCGGTGTCGCATCTTGTCAGAACAGGTAGCCACCACCATGGAGAATCCAAAGGCCGCAGCCCAGGGAGGAATCGAGTAGAGCTGGGTCATGATGTTGTCGTAGCCGTAAGTCTTGATGATCGTGGGGGCAAAGTAGGCGTAACCTGTACACCATCAGTGGTCATTCAAGCAGGATCAACGAGCGATAAACATACCATACGCCGGGACAATCAATCCGAAGTACATCAAACCTCCCACGAACACCTTATCTGTAATCGAGTCAGCTCATAGAAGTAGAAAAGCGTCGCATCTGACTTACAGTCCTTGAAAACACCCAGAATCTCGCGCTTGCCCAAGCGCACGTCGTGCGCAGCCTTGCCCACATCTTTCGCGAGCTTAGCACGCATGTATGCGCGCTCTTCCTCATTCAACCACTTGACGTCTTCGGGGAAATCGGCAATGCAGAAGAACAAGATGATGGCAACAACGCTCGTCAAAACACCCTCAATGATGAACACCCAGCGCCAGCCGCGGTAGCCTTGCATGCCCTCCATCTTGGCGATTCCACTAGCCAGAAGACCACCAAAAGCACCAGCCAAGGTGGTCGAGCTGAAGAAGAAACTGAAACGCTTCTGCGCTTCAGAGCGTTTGTACCACATACCCATGAGATAGAAGCCTGCGAAGCACTGTTAACGATGATCCATAGACGGCGTCGAGTCTGCACTTACATCCTGGGAACATGCCGGTCTCGAAGACACCGAGGAAGAACCGGGTGGCCATCAATCCACTCCAGTTCGTGACCAGACCCTGGAAGATCATGACCAGACCGAACATGAACATGCAAAGCGACACTATGCAACCATCAGCGAATTGTCCATTTCATATATCCACGAAATACTCACGCCAGACATGCGGCTTGAGTTTCTTCAAAAGCACATTGGACGGGATTTCAAAAATGATATAGGGGACGAAGAAGATCGTGAGCGCAGTATTATATTTCGTTCCTTCGACAATATCCAAATCCTCCTTGAGTCCCAGAATGGCCGCATTGGAAATATTGACTCTGCGATCCATGTGAGCTAGCGATTCGCGCCGTGCCGGGGATTCTCGCTTACCTGTCCAGGAAGGCCAGGAGGTACAGAATACAGATCGCGGGCAGGATATGCCAGTCGACCTTGGCCATTAATCTGCGTTCGGTGGTTGTCGTGAGAGGCGGCAGCTCATCCGTTTGCGAGCTGGTCTGGCTTTCGCCATTGTCAATTGGTTCTTTGGTGTCTGCGCGGGGGAACGGTCAGCTGTGTGTCCAGGTGGCGATGCGCTGGCGCGCGCGCGACAGATCATTTCGCGGCATTTGCGCGAACGTACCTGGGAGACCCATTATGATGATTGCGCTGGTGGGAGCGCGCTTTTGGCAGGATAGAAGAGAACAAAAGAAAAATCGCAAAGACACTTCCAGTGCCGGGGTTCAGTGCAGATCGCCAATTATTGCTTGGGTCGTATTCAGGAGTACAGGGATGGGCTTTACCCGAGGTCCAATGGGTCGGCGAAATAGTACAGTACTTGACACGGTACGGAGAGAGGAATAGAAGAGTGAAAATGAAATCCCTGAGATATGCATGTTATTCTAAGATATGCGATTGAGTCACCGTAAATTCATCCTTGTTGCCGATCCACTCTGCCCGATCTCGGCCAGTAGTGCGAGTCCGTCTTTTGTGCAATGGACTAGCATTGATCGGCATAGATCTTGTGCATTCACCGGCATGCATAGCAGGATATACTCCGTAGTACCATACTTGAATGTGCTCACTCATTGTACTACAGACGTTCAGTTGTGTAGAGTCCTGTATAGCATTGCCATAGACCCTTCCCCGCAAAACGCGGAATAGGGGCGGCTTCGGGGTTCCGGGCCTCGGGGTCTTGGCTGTGCGGGGGTTACATTTATGCCCAGGTGTTCTTCATTCTATGACTATAGATCAATGGCATATGTACATATCTTGTACTGGAATGTGTCCAGTGGCAAGGAAAGCTCAGTGACCTTCGCATACTACTATTGGAAGCACAGACCGGGGTTGTAGATCGGAAACCCACCGTGGGTCTAAGTCGGACATGAAATTCAGCACCGGCACAGAATGACTCTAGTACTAGATACAGTACTACCTAGGTACCTAGTACACTTTGGTGAAACATGGCAATGTACAGTGCTTAGACAGGTGATATGCAGTAAGATATTTCCCAACGCCGGGAATTTTCACCCAAGTTAAGTCCAGTCTTCTACAGTACGGACTAGTGTGGGGGCCAATAGTACCCCGAGTACCCACATCCCTGAAGGTGAGATTGAGCTCCGTCTTCGGCACTGAAACGTCAAATCACGTTTGATATGACTCCAATCCTCTAATCAATTCCCCCATTACTCCACCGCAATCACCTCCATCTGAATATCTGGTGTAGTCATCTTCGACACCAGCACCGTAGTTCGCGGCGGGGCATAGGGAAGCTTTCTCTGATACACTGCCTCGAACTCCGGCACTCCCTGAGCGCAATCCGTGAAATACACCTACCGAGCATCAGCCTAGCCCATCAAACCATAAAGTCCAACTTGGAACATACCGTAGTTTTAACAATCCGATCCAGCGAGGACCCCGCCGCTTTCAGAATAGCTTCGATATTCAAAAAGATCCGCTCAGCGGTGACAGCAGGCGGTCCAATGAAGAAGCCCACACGCGGCGCGGCAGCAATTTGAGCCGCGACATAGATCGTCCCATTGACTTTGAACGCCTGGGACTGTGATTGGTAAGAAAAGAATCTAGTAGGCTAAGCTCTCGGGGGATCTTACCGAGCGGCTCGGGGCTGAAAAGTCAGCAATGGCCACTTTCAAATGTTCATAGGGTACTTACGTTCTGGGGCGGCGGATGTGCGAATGCACTCGATGGGGGGCCTGCGGGGTGGGATACTGTGGTAGTCTGGGGGTGGATCTGGGTGTTCTGAACTTGACTGTGTCATTTTGAGCAGGAGGATGTTTGTTAATTCGTGTTCATTTTTCGACAAAAGAAAACATCCCCCCCGGACGTGAGGGATTGGCCATTGGCCTATCACGGAGTTGTATAGCGGCACGAGGTGCGATGCTTACGTGGGGTCTAGTGCAGCGGAGATTGAACACCTTTAATTCTCTCCCTAGATCTACTTGGATCAACATAAGCATTGAGCTTAGTTGAACCTGGGATGTAGTTGAGGTTCACCACCTGGGCACCTGGGCAGTGTTCGCGCCAACAAACATTCTGTTATATATCTGAGCTGGACCCCGATTATTTCGTCCACGGGTAAAAAGAGCCAATAAGGATGTTACCTACTGGTACATTTAAATAATTTTACCCATTTTAAGGATAAACACAAGACAGCCTATCGCCTGTATCCTCAAAACCCAGCCCTCAATGTAATTCGTAACTCGGGCTGTCGCTGCCTTGAACGGCAGCCATTTCGGTACCTTTGCAAGAGCGGCCCGCATTCCAAGGTTGGAGCGCCGATGAACACGTGCCTAACATCAACTCCATAGCCCGAGAGGCATGCTCCTTCGAAAGCGGAACCCATGGGGCGCTTTGCTGAGAGGGCCAGTCGCGACGATATCCCCAACGTGAGGCCATGAGGGACAGTGACACTCAGCGCTTGTACCAACTGGCACACCACTGTAATCTGTACTTCGTACTTTTGCAGATGTTCTGGAGGCTTGAAAACCTGCACCGAGCACCATCCACAAGAACCGATACGATAGACCGCTTGGTGACACTCATGCCGGATCTGCACTTCCGGGGATATCCCACCCTCCAATGTCCTAGTGTCATTCTCCACATCCTTCGTGGTTCGTGTTTATAACCGAAGCCTGCTGGATTAGTGCAGCTGTGCCGTGTACTAGTCCCAGTATGCTGGAGAAGAGTTTGTGATGGCTGGTGTAGTACAAGGAAAAAGGAAAAAGGAAAATTAGTACTAGTATGACAGCTGAGCATTGCAGCTATTCTGGCCAAACTGCAGGCGAGGTGGCTCGGTAGGGGCACGGGGCAATCTCGGTACGGAAGTAAGACATCTAGGAACATCCGACTCTGGCGAAAGGTCTCATCCCATTTGTTCCGAGCAAATTGGACGTTGGAGAGGGCGATGGAGGTTATGCATGTACCAACGCAGCGAGCAGAACGTCTGGCCCTTGATAGGTCACGTCAACCCGGAGTGCATATTGACACCTCAGAGACACAATTCACCGTCACTTAACCGTAAAGAAGTTGGAAGATCGAGTGAGAAAAGGTGGAGTCGACAATAAAAAAAAGTGGACGAGTCGAGGAAAACCAGTCACTTCCTCAGCGCGTGACGTCACCAACCCCCCCGGTGAGTTATAACCCCTCCATCCTCGCAACTGGTTTTCTTCTCTTCTGTACATACTCAATCTCATCGCGATTGTCAAAATGAGCGGTCACACACTCCCTGTTGATTTGAAGCAATTCAAGCACCTGAAGCTTGACCCCAAGACCCCTCAGCTGTCCGCCCAGCAGAAGAGCGATCTGCTGCACAACATCAATATCTTCAGAGATGCTCTAGTGGCCTTCACAGCCACCGGTGCTGCTCGTGGTGTCTCCGGACACACCGGAGGTCCCTTCGATACCGCCCCCGAGGTCTGCATCCTGCTGGCCTTCATCAATGCCAACCCCAACAAGTGGGTGGATGCTCTGTACGACGAGGCCGGCCACCGTGTCGCCACGCAATACCTCCTCGCTGCCCTGGATGGCAAGATTGAGCCTGACCACTTGCTCAACTACCGTGCCGCCGACTCTCACCTCCCCGGCCACCCCGAGCTTGGCTTCACCCCCGGTGTGAAGTTCAGCTCCGGTCGTCTCGGTCACATGTGGGGCATGGTCAACGGTATTGCCATGGCCAACAAGGATAAGAATGTCATCATGCTGGGCTCCGATGGCTCCCAGCAGGAGGGTAACGATGCCGAGGCTGCTCGTCTTGCTGTTGCCCAGAAGCTGAACGTTAAGCTGTTCATCGATAACAACGATGTGACCATTGCCGGACACCCCTCACAGTACCTCAAGGGCTACGAGATTGGTCGTACCCTCGATGGCCACGGTCTGAAGGTGCTCCGCGCCGAGGGAGAGAACGTCGAGTCTCTTTACTCCGCCATGTGCGAGGTCATCAACTACGACGGTCCCGCCGCTGTGATCGTTGACCGTAAGATGGCCCCCGGTATTGAGGGCATTGAGGGGGAGACCCACGCCCACGATGTCATTACCGTGGACATTGCCCGCAAGTACCTCACCAAGCGCGGCTACAGCGAGAAGCAGCTTGCCTTCTACGACCAGATCAAGCCTGGCTCCAACCCTCACACCTACAAGGGTTCTACCAAGGACAAGGGTGGAAACCGCACCATCTTCGGTGACGCCGTCAACGACATCCTTGACAAGCTCAGCAAGGAAGAGGCCCAGCGCCGCGTCATGGTCATTGACTCTGACCTTGCCGGTTCCACCGGTCTCAAGGCTATTGGTGCCAAGCACCCCGAGTCCTTCGTTGCATCCGGTGTGATGGAGCGAGGCAACTTCTCCGCTGCCGCTGGATTCGGCTTCGGTAGCAACGGTGAACGCCAGGGTGTGTTCTCCACCTTCTCTGCCTTCCTGGAGATGTGTATCTCCGAGATCACCATGGCTCGCCTGAACGACTGCACTGTGCTCTCCCACTTCTCCCACAGTGGAGTTGACGAGATGGCCGACAACACCTGCCACTTCGGCCTGAACCACTTCTTCGCCGACAACGGTCTCATGGATGCCGCCAGCACCTCGCTCTACTTCCCCGCCGATGGCGAGCAGATGAAGGCTGTCGTCAACGAGGTCTTCTGGAACAAGGGCCTGCGTTTCATCTTCTCCACCCGCTCCAAGGTTCCCTACATTCTGAAGGAGGGCACCGAGAGCAAGCTCTACGGCGAGGGCTACAAGTTCGTCCACGGCAAGGAAGAGATCGTCCGCAAGGGTTCCGCCGGTTACATCGTTTCCTACGGTGACATGCTCTACCGCTCCCTGGACGCCGTCGAGAACCTGCGCGCCGAGGGTCTCGACGTCGGTCTGATCAACAAGCCTACTCTGAACGTCGTCGACGAGGAGACCATCAAGGTGTACGGATCCTCGCCCTTCGTCCTGGTCGTCGAGTCCATTGCCCAAAAGACCGGTCTCGGCTCCCGTCTCGGAACCCACCTCCTGGAGCGCAAGTTCACCCCCAAGTTCAAGTCCATCGGAGCCATCAAGGAAGGCTGCGGTGGTCTGTACGAGCAGGTCAACGCCCAGGGTCTCGGCCCGGCCGATATCATCGCCGCCGTGAAGGAGGTTTCCAAATAAAAAAGCAAACGCGCTCATGTGAAACATAACGACCATTTCATGATATAATTTCAAACGATTTTTTGGTTTCGGTTCAACAAACATCCCCATCTCGTATGATTTAGACTAGAATCATAAATCTCTGCTCATCCTTCCCAATTCAAACATCGGCAATCAACGGGATATGTCTGTCGCCAATGCAGTCCCCACAACTACCCGCCATACTTGTCTCTTATTGGCCCGGTCTCCGTTAAGGCTGTCTTGGCCCTTGCCCACTAGTCCCAAACGAGCTCTAGAGCATCAAAATCCAAAGCACGCCATCTTGCTAACAGATTCGAATAGGCGCAATGCAACGTAAAATCATGATTTTGGAATATCAGTGCAGACGCGCAAGTTTCCTTTAAAGACCCTTTCTCCCGGTCGACATCAGAATAAGCATTTCGCCCTTGGCTCAACAATTCACAAAAATGGCCTCCATCTCGGCCTCAGATACACCCGAATCACCACTCTGGTACCGCGGCACTCTCTTCAATGCCTGTATCATTGGCGGCGTGGGCTTCCTAGCCCCAGGCCTCTGGAATGCCATGAACGCCCTCGGAGCAGGCGGTGCCCAATCTCCGTTTTTGATCAACGCGGCCAACGCCCTAGTCTTCGGCCTTAGTATGTGATCGCGTGATTCGGAACCAATGACCTACTAACTCTTCCAAGTGGGATTCCTGTGTCTTTTCGGCGGTCCAATTGCTAACCGCATTGGTCTGAATTGGACTTTGATGCTGGGTGCTGTTGGATACCCGCTTTACTCGTATGTGGATCGAAATGCGACCATGCTTGGTGTTTTACTGACAGATCTGAAGCGCGGCTCTGTACACGAATAACCGATATGTATGCTTTGTTTCGGTGACATTTATGCACGACTATGACTGACCTGATTTGTTTAGGGAAATGTGTGGTTTGTCCTGCTGGGATCTGTGTTCTGCGGTCTATCGTGAGTGGTTGTGCTGAGACTTCAAGATGCATGCTAACTACATATACAGTGCCGGACTTTTCTGGGCATCGGAAGGTGCAGTGGCACTGGGATACCCCGAGCCAACCAAGAGAGGTCGCTACATGAAGTGCGTTCCAAGTTGATTGCAAATGGAAATGCGTATACTGACTAAATCAGCATCTGGCTTTGGTTCCGCACAGGCGGACCCTTATTGGGAGGAGCTATTGTCCTCGGACTGAATCAGTATGACTATTTCGATATTTCGCGACTACATTCGCTAATGATTGCACAGCTCTGGTGATGCCCACAGCAAGGGCAAGGTTGGATCGGAGACGTATCTGATTTTCGTCGCGCTGCAGTGCCTGGCTGTTCCTGTGGCTTATTGGCTCACCCCGCCGAATAAGGTCCAGCGCAGCGATGGGAGCAAAGTCAAGATTGTTTTGCAGGACTCATGGCGCGCCGAGATGAAGGAGTTGTGGAAGGTTTGCAAGCGGAGAGAGGTATGTTTGCTGTGAACTGAGTTGCTCTGATTCGGTGCTGACTTTCATAGATTATTTTGCTGCTGCCCGTTTTCTGGGCTGCGTACTTTAACCAGTACAGTGGAAGTATGGATTGGTTCTTTCTACTTGTGTTGCTTGATGCTGACTTGTTCGCTAGACTTCAAGACATACTACTTTGGTGTTCGAGCTCGTGCTCTGATGGGCTTCGTCAGTATGTTTGCAATTCCCCGGTTCGGGTTTCATCGAAACTAACATCGTTAAAGGCTACTTTGCCAGTCTGCTGTCATCGGCTATCATCAGCAGATTTTTGGACTACCGTGGACTTTCGGTCAGAAACAGAATCAAGTACAGGTATCATTATCCAATGGCAGAAGAATAAGGAAACCAAGCTCACATGTGTCCAGTTTCTTCTATGTCATTGTCGTCCACATCGCTGCCTGGGTCTACTGCTGGGTCGTCCAAGAAAAGTACACCAAAAACCCACCCATGCTTGACTGGGCCGACAAAGGCTTCGTCGAAGGATTCTTCGTGATCCTCCTCTGGGGTAAGTTCCTACCTAGAAGACCTACTCGTGAAATACTAACCACCAACAGAATTCTCCCAACAATGTCTCCAAAACTTCCTCTACTACCTCCTCTCCACCATGACCGACAACATCTCCGAGCTCTGTAAGTAAGCCCTTACCAAGACCAGAATAAAAATACTAACCTCCCCAGCCCGCCTGTCCGGCATCCTCCGCGGCCAAGAGAGTTTCTCCCAAGCCGTTTCATTCGGCATCAACACCCGCGAGTGGAAAGGCGGACGAGTCCCACTTGCCGTGAACACTATTCTCCTGGGTAAGTTGATCAACACGGATTACAGTTTCGCAATATATTGACATTTCCCAGGTCTCGCTATCTTGCCTACCTGGCTCGTCGTCAAGGACCATGTTCCCATCGAACACTCTAAAGAGGCTGCTGAGTCTTCTCATGCTCAAGACGAGGAACATTTCGCTCTTGAGGTTTCTGAGAAAGAACCGTATGTTGTTGGAGAGGCTGTCGCTGCGCGATGATTTTATGAAGTTGCCCTGTGAACGAAAGGCCTTTCAACAATGGTCTCATGGGGATTTAATACATTTTAATTTAACGAATCGATGATCCGGGAGCGGTTTATGCATGTAATATCATCAGTGAGAGAGAGCCCTGGAGAATACTTCAAGATCCATGAGCGGAACGTTAACGGAAATATGGCTTTTCCCAAAATTGGACCTCCAACAAGTTGATTTCGACCACACTCGAACATGTAGATCACCATGTCAATCCATATCACCTTGGCACTATTACCGACTCGAAGATATCATTTCCGTGAGAATTGACGTGAATTGCACCCTTAATGAGTTATACGTGTGTGGGGTAAGCAGCGGGATGTCTGATTGGTGGATCATCGCGTATGCACAATTTGCGTGGAAAAAACTCCGAGCGGCTGTTCTTTCAGCTCATTAATATACTAGTAGATCAAAGAATAATCATACAGTTCTACTAATACAGTAGGATTTTCCGAATTCGAAGAAAACTTTGCAAAGAAAAGTCGCCATACATCATGGTCTTACGCGATCCTGGTGGCCTTGGGGCGCAATACATAGTGCCCAGTTATGTCGGCATTGGGCCTGGGCATCGGAGGTCACCGTGCGATTGGCTTGAGGCAGCTCACTGCCCAAAAACAGGCCCGGTAGAGCTCGGCTACGCAGGTGCCGGGGCCGGACAGTGACTAATGACAACCCCATGGGAAAAGAGCTTTCCCCACTGTGGATCTTGGGGTAGCAGTTATAAGTGACAGCCCCTGCTCTTTCAGAATGGGCAGACATGACGGACCAGCATTTACCGGCCAACGTGGGCCATGACATTCCCAAACGTGAAACAGAACATGCCAATGAGCCGGAAATCGAGCCGGAACACGAGCCGGAGGGTGAACAGGCTCCGAAAAGGAGGATCAACGGAGGCCTAGATGCTTGGCTAAGCGTACTGGCGGGCTTTTGTGTTTTCGTGAACTCATGGTTAGTGAGATGATTTTATACTTCCCGATGTCGGTATACAACTAACAGGGTGAACAGGGGCATATTAACCACATACGGAGCCTTTCAAGAATATTACCAAACCGTCCTCCTACCAGATGAATCACCATCCACCATCTCCTGGGTGGGCAGTATCCAAGCAACCCTGATCCCCATGGTAGGCCTTGCAACAGGCCCACTAGTCGACGTAGGATACCTGCGTCCTCTAATCGTAGCAGGAAGTTTCCTAACCGTCTTCGGACTGATGATGACCAGTCTCGCCAGTTCCTACTACCAAGTAAGCCAAGCCCAGCAACACATACAGCACATCACCTAACAAGTCCAGGTACTACTCGCACAAGGGTTCTGCGTCGGAATGGGCGGCGGCATCTCATACATCCCAGCTCTAGTCGTGATATCCACCAGTTTCACCACGAAACGCCCCATCGCAATCGGCTGCGCATCAATAGGATCCAGCGTCGGAGCCGTGATCTTCCCCGTCATGTTTCGCCAACTCCAGCCGAAAGTCGGCTTCGGATGGGCGGTTCGCGCTATCGGCTTCATCTCCCTCTTCCTGGCTATTGTTGCTTGCACGATCTTGTGTCGACAGCCTGCGCAGAAGGCGCGCGCAAGAAGTCTCATTGATTGGAAGGCTTTCCGGGAGCCGTCGTTCATGATGTTTTCGACTTCGCTTACCTGTGTCATGCTCGCGTATTACGTTCCGATCTTTTATGTCGCTTCGTATGCGCGCACGGTGATTCACACCACGACCAGTCTCAGCTTTTATATGGTTGCTATCGTTAACGGATCTTCTGTTATTGGTCGTGTTGTTCCATACCTGCTCGTGACGTATATCAAACCAATTGGAATCTTGGTTTTTGCCGTCGCGGCCTCTGCAATCGCTATGTTTACTTGGATCGCTGCGACCAACAGTGCGGGATTTATCGTCTGGGCGTGCTATTGGGGAGCTCTGAGTGGTGTCTTGGTCACTGCGCCTACGTCCATCGTGGCGCATCCGGTCTTCTGTCCTGACCCTACCTTTTTGGGCACGCGCTTGGGCATGATGTGGGGGATTTCGTCGTTTGGCGCGCTGGCTGGAACCCCAATTGCAGGTGCTTTGGTCAATCTCGACACAGCGGAGTTCCTGCGCGCGCAGATATTTGCGGGGTGTATGATGGTTGGCGCTGTTTTGCTGCAGACTTGGCCAGCTTTCAAGGTCGTGCGTTATGATCAGCGGAATCCTCGCAAAAAGTAATAATCCTTACAATCAATGAAAGTGATCGATCATCATAAAAAGTCCGGGCTGTCTAAGCAATTTTGGAAATTCCCGCGACACCTCCAGCCAATCCATTGACTTCAGTGCTACCATAGGAAGTACCTGTCCAGCACGCAGCACCCCGTGTTCCCATTGGAGAAATCCCAAACTTCGAAATAAAATTCCAGAAATACAAAATCAAGTAAAAACAGGCTCATAGGCTGTAAATGATGTAGTTCGTCCAGGTTGGAAGCCTACCGTCTCATCATGACTTCATCCGAACTGGTGGCGAAGAGGTGACCAAGGACCTTATGTTGGCTACAAAACAGCTGAATCGGTACTTCCTATCTTCCTGACTCTATTTATTCCAAGTCCGATTCATTCTACGCTAAAATAATTCACATATCTATACAATCGTGAGTGTCTCCAATAGCCCCAATTCTGGAAGACTGGGCCACACTTGATACTCCCCATTGCCTTTCATAACCATTCCATCCACTCTGGTTTCATTCAATATTTAAATCGCAAACTTTACTGATCACTCGGAACCCCAGAATACCTAGGTACTATCACAATGGGTCACGACAGCAGTCCCAACCACCAAACCACCTCCGTCGCCGGCGGTTCCAGCGCAACACCCACCCCAGCCAACAATGTCGGCGGCGGAGCAGGATGGGGCGATCGTATGTGGATGGGAGGCAAAGAGCAAGGAGCCGGGCATATGGATGTTCGTCAATGCAAACGTCTTGGAGATAATCCATGAATGCTGACCTCGTTTCCTTCCACAGGCACCAACTGGCAAATCAACCATGGGAGAATTTCTTGGTCTCAGAGACCAGAAGACGCGCGCCGAGAACAAATATTTTGAACGCGCCGAGATGGCCGAGAATGATGAATATTCCATGAATGCTACGGGTGACCCGACTTGCGCCAGTGAGGATCATTCGTTTATGGGTCATAAGCCCGGTGGTTCTGATACTTTGCCTGGGTGGAATAAGATGAAGGAGTTTGCTGGAGGGTAAGTATTGGCTTTGAGGTTGTCATTATTCCCGCATATACTGATTATTCTTATACTTCCAGGTCCATCTAGTCCAATGCTCCATGTTTATCAGCCTCTAGTGATTATGATGTCATTAGGTCTAGGTAGTTCAGGAATCATGTCGATACGAAAGAATCAATCTAAATAAATACTCATGTCTATATCAATACTGCAGTACATACCAGTCACGGTTGATTCAAGGCTATTAGCCCATAAACCTATAACATCAGAGAAGAAAAGATCCACGGATGCCAGTATCATGGAAGGCGAAGAGAGACAGAGCCCGCCACTCTAATAGTTAAGGAGCCCAGAATTTCCGAAATCTCGGAAACCACAACAGGAAGGCTTTTCTCTCTCCCACTGCTGTCCCGTACTTCTGCACAGATCAGTCCTGCGACAGCACCATCATCCCTTAGAAGCAGAGATCCAGAATCGCCCGGCTCCGCAAAGTTGTATTTAACACCGAGGATCACAAACTGCTCGGTGTAATGGCTTGCCATCTGGCATTCTTTGCCGTCGACAGTGTACCGGGATCCTTTCCAATTACACAGGGCCTTGGAGCCATTGCATATTCCCCCTGTTACGTCCGTGGTACGGCCATGTTTGAAGTACCATCTGTCTTTCTCGAGCTCTCCAAATTCTGTGATTGGACATCCTGAAAGGAACGGTGCGACTGGAAAGTAAGGGAGTCTATCACCAAAATCCGGTATTTGGACGTCTGGAATCTTGAGCATGATATTTGGTTTGAAATGCAGCTTCTCGGCTTCAGGTGTGAGTTCCACAAATGCCCAATCGAGGACCTGTTTGTCGTGCAATAGTAGACCAGAAGTGAGGAGCACACGGCCGAAAATGTCTGGCATATTTTCGATGGACTGTCGCGCTCTCTCGAATTTGCTCTTAGAGACCCCAAGGGAGTCAAGCTGAATGAGAGATGATTTTCTTAGATCCTGCATTGACAAGCTTTGTTTTTCGATCTCCGCTTCAAGTGTGGCCTTGCGGGATTCGATGGCATTCATGACAGCACGGATGTTCGCTAGTGTGTATTCTCGATCCATCCGAGCAATAGACTCTATAGTAATATCTCTGTGAGCGATATTTGAATCTGGGTATATCCCCGTGCGATCGATTACTTCACGGGTTTCACAAGATGATGGAACAACTGCACTGTAGCTCGTGAGGAATCCTCGGTGGGTGCGATCGCCGAGCTTCAATTCCATGAATCCACCCATTGTACCAACGATATTGCTTTCGCGAACCCCGATCGAGTCTCCCATTTTGATATCGGCGATGACTTCGAATCGATGTTCGCATGAGACAGGCTCTTTTCCAACTAAGGTGTCCAGGCTTCCCGGAGTGAACTCGACGTCGATACGAAGGTTGGGCTCTTTCGCAAGCATCTGATTGATTATTCGAGCTCGGATCTGGAACCAATTCGCTTTAACCGGTCCCTCAACAATGACGACAATTGCAGGTTCCGCCTGTTTGGAATCCTTGCCTCCAACTCTGAACGGGCAAACCACCTGCCACTTCTGACCAAGCGAGTTGGTGAGAATGCTTGCGATTTCATGTTTGCATTCCTCGAATATACCCACGATTATATGCCCCGATTTGATAGCATGGATCTTTGGAGGAGAGAAGTGTTCAGCATGAAGAATCTCAACATGCATGTCCGGGAGATTGTTTCGACGCAGAAGCCGAACAATGTCGTCCTTGAGAGGTTCAAAGCGAATCAAAGTTGAGTTCTCGCCTCTGACAAGAACCTGCACAAAGAAGAATTGGCTGCCATCAAGGCTTGCCTTCAAGGTGCGAAAATTGGATTCTGGCGGCACCTCGTGCTGTTCAAGCAACTTCTCGATTTCGGGACGCAGATGTCTCGCTGGGTCCTCATTGATGAAGACCAGGCTAGTTGTGAGGGCGGAATTGTCAGGATTGCTGAAACTGATGCTTCGAAAGGGATTCGCCTGGTATGTGTATTGGGGGAGAGTAAGCTCTCCTTCAGTTTGCGGTGAATTCCGCAAGAGCCGTTGTCTCGTGCAATGGCTTGGCTCTTCTGACAGGAGAGGAACCTTGAGGGGCTGGGAACTGAGGATAGACATCTTTGTTATATAAAGAAGGTAGAAATAGAGTGAGCTGAGAATGCCCAGGAATATTGTGAAACGAGGAAAGTACGCAGCGAGACCTTTGCACACAAGTAAAGGGGAAGTAACTAAAGCGCTGAGATTTGAATAATAACTGATGGAGAAATGAATAAGAAAATAGGACTAATTCAAGAATCGATAGAAGGTCACCCTTTTAGGCGTCGGAGCCATATCTATGCTGTCGGGCTTCCTGATTCGGACTATCCTAACCAGAATCCTAAACTGGATATCTATAGATGGCCTATTGATATTATGTCGTGAATAAATATTATAGGCATAGCCCAATCTTTTTATGTTCTTGCCATTCGCAAATGTCTTGTACTTCATTAGACGACGGTCCTTTGCACATGCCACTTTACGCCATCGGACCTTTCACTTCCGTTTGAGAACCAAAGTGAGTCTCTCTTTCCCAGGCACTCAAACAGTCTTGCCTTTCTCTCCCTTCTACCTTCTTTCTCCCTTCTCTTTTGCAACCAAGTTGAAGAACATTTTTTTCTTCCATATACATACCCGAAGAGGTCATGAGGCCCGCATGAGCACTATCTATGAATGCCTGCTTCCTCATTCAAATCAAAAGATCCAAAAAGAAAAGGAAGCTCAAGTGGTTCAGCACTAAAACAACAACACCCTCGAAACTACTGGTCTCTACGCGTACCAATCACAGCCATCATGTCCGTGGACCTCCTGTCCGTCACTGAGGCCTGTGCTTACTTCTTCAATTGTTCACAATTCGTCGTCGTCACAACCATGGTGAGACCCAAGCGAGCCGCCAAGCTACCTGAGCCTCATTCGGCTAAGGCATCACGATGGTGGCCACTATCTTGATGAAGGAGAAGAGGGAGAGATGAAGAGTCTCCCGATGGACCTAGTCAACAGTCTTCGTCGGGATGGGGCTCGAATCGACTACAGGATGGCAAGGGCGGCAATTCGCGTGTATGGGGTCGGGGACCTTGTCACGGCTGCCAGCGAAGGATTGGGTCAAGTGGACATGTTAGTTGCCTGCGCTGGTGTCATGCACTTCACCTTCACCATGATCTGGCCGTTCGATTTCAACTCCGACGGCGATCTGCGCCCCAAACGTCTGTCTCTCGGCTCAGGCGTCTGCGTCCGCGCCGCTGAACTGCTGTGGTACCCACTTAAAAAGCCAACGCCCAGATAGACGAGTGGGAACATACAATCGTTGTGAACTATAAGGGTCTCATACATGCCCTCTTGTTCCACCGCCCCCCTTATGATTTCCCGCGGCGGCGGCCGCCGCCACGTCGTCGGCATCTCCTCCTCCTCCTCCGGTCACCAGTTCCAACATACTCTGAGAGCCAGAGTGAACAGACCACAGGAAGGAATTCACACCAGAGTCGGTGACGAAGTATCTCCTGTTATCTATGACGCCTCCGACATGTTGCAGGTTGCAGAATCCCCGGCAAGCAATTACAACATTGCACACATCGACTTGACGGCAACGGGCAGTTGTCACGGATGACGTGGCGCCGTGCCAATTGTGTGGTCCACCTACGACGACCGCAGATGACAATATGGGAGTGTGGATGAGATATGGCACTGTTCAACGCAATCTTTCGCTCCTTCATGCGAGGCTCGTCCACTTTATAGCTGGGAAAGAATACGCGGGAACGAGATCGAGACCGATCCGATTTACCCCATCATGCTTCGAGCGTACACCCCTTAGTTTGACACTGCAGGCGGCTTGCGCCGAAGTCCCGACTGAGGGGTTTAGACCTGAAAGCCTTCCTATATCCGGGACTATCCTTAGATGGGCAAGGAGTGAGAGACTTGGAGAGGGATCCATGACGCCAGAAACATGGGTCTCGACGTTGGGCTCTAGCTTGGCCGTCAGGGGATAACAGACAAAATCCTCAATGATATGGTCAAAATTGCGGGAACTCTGCCTTGGGCCCTTCTCATGATGTTCTGTGTTTAGACCTGGGAAATCATCAACAACGATCTATCTGAAGGACAGCGCTTCATTGATCAACTTCGGTGTTGAGTACCAGTCACGAGAAAAGAAATCCGACCGGACTGCCGATGACGGTGGTCGGCGTGATTGAACTTATTTTCATTTTGATGGTTCAATTTGACAAGAAAGCAACAAAAATGCCACGAAGTTGAAGTTCTCGTTCGTAAAATTATTATTCTTCATATAAGCTGCTAGAGAGTGAGATATTGACAAAAAGGCAGAGGTACTAGTCCGACATGTTTACTGGCACAGGTCCGCGGTCAGAGTAACTGGCTGAGGGCAGCCGTAGACCTTCTTATGAGCAGGGGTGCTGTAGCAGGAAGCATCGTTGGCAGCACAGTCGAAGACCTCACAACCCTCGCCGGGGCTGAGCGAGTTGGGGTTCGCTGCGAAGGGGTTACCCCATTCTGAGCTCAGCTCGTCTGGAGAAAAAGTAATAAGTATGATATCACTAGCTAGAAGATAGATTTTGGGCACTTACAGTATGCGTAGTCTGGGTTTGAGGAGAAGGAGTAGCCAAAGAAGAGAGGCTTGTCCAGGGTCTTGGTCTTGGCGATTTTGATGGTCTGTGTATTCCCAAGTTAGCTTTCCTGCATTTGGTCCAGAAATCGGGGGTAGTCACGCACCGAGCCAGATGTTCTGAACTTCTCGGAGAAAGTTCCACCCTTGGGCACGGTGGTAAGAGTGCCTGGGCCGCTACCACCGTAGGGGAACGACTGCACATAGACGGTTGTGGCACAGTGATTGTGCACGACGGCGTTCTGGGCGGAGACCAGGCCGAGGAAAGCACCGAGAGTAATGAGAGAGGCCTTCATAGTGAGTATATTGTTTTGGTTTAAAATAGAAGCTTGGATGTCTTTCTTCCGAGGGAGGGAATCGACAGTCCTTATATAGCTCTCATGCTCGGCCCAACGCAGCAGCGATGATGTATGAGCATCCCAGATGCCTTACATCTAAGACAAAGGACTCATTTCATGTCATGGATTGTCAGGCCACCGCATGAGGGTCCATCTGATGTCCAATAAGAAGCAGTCGCGGGTGAGACATGCGCATCACCACCGCTGCATGTGCTCCGCACCCAAGACCCTGCACCGGGTATTGTTATACGACGTTACCCCGCCGACTCAAGATTGGACCTATTTTTGATTATTTCTTCGCTTGCAGATGATAATTTCAGCGGTGTGGAGATGCCGAAATCAAGGAATTTTTGTTGAGACTCGAGGACTCGGCTGTTTTTCCCCGGGACTGGCAGTGAGACATCGAGATGCATACCCCGCATAAACACGATGGTGGCTGGTCTACCACGCCACACCCATACCCTGTCTTCTTTTATTCTCACTTTGGGCTTTCGCTTTCGCTCTTGATATTTTACTACATGTAGCGGATTTTTGAACATGTAAGGGAGTCAAACGACCACGAGATACCTTGCAGGAAGTCTGGGGTATTGTGTCCTGGTTGTCGCGGTGAGTAAAATATCACAAGCCACCGGAAAGCATTGTATGGCCATAGACTGGGGTCGATAGTGCAGGCATTCTTCGCCTTTGGAAATTGGGCTTTCCGCGAACATCCGATCGTGATCTCAGTGTCGTGTTTGGAGCAGTAGCGGTATCACTTTATGCCACGACGGGGGGATGACCGGGTAGAGAAATTCTTGCGAGGTTGGGAAATTAAGAGGCGAAGGGGAAAAGCACAGCTAGTGGCAAGGTGAGATAGAGAGAGAATTCAAACCTTACAAACAGGGGCAGCCGCCGCAGCCAAAATTGGCGCGGTGGTCGGGATACTTACATCCCATCAATTATCCCCAGTTTTGACGCTTCTCCCATTCTCCCATTGAGTGGGAATGGGATCGAAAGATTTCCCCACCAACGATCGGGACGGTTTGAACTTTCAATCGGTCTGCCAAGTAGGCCGGGATCAAATTCGACGGCGAGCCTCCATCGGTTAGGAGCCAAAGGCGACCACGAATCGAACCAAGTAGATGAGATCAAGCAGAGGCGGAGCAGGCAAAGTCGGTTGGGGCTAATTGTCCGTGTACGAGACCGCCACTGCCGCGGGAGTGTAGAACAACGCAATTGCTTTCGCGTGTAGGGACATGATCATATCATCATGGTGAGCATTACCAGACGTCTAACATTGGGCAACCATGGGGTCCGAACGTCCGCTGGCCGGAACGGTGATCATGTGGGCGGCGAGATCTTCCTTCTCGTCCTTGCTCTTCGCTTCAGCGGCTTCTGATGCTTGTAATGTTTGTACTCCGGTCAGGGCTGTAACCGATGGGCAAATTCGGCTCCGACAGCTGGCGAGACATCGCAGTACTCGACCCATATCGCTTTCAATCTGTCCGCTCCCGGAGATCTAACATTGAGTGGGAATGGGATCGAAAGAACGCATCCCATGTGATTGTTTGGCTCTCTCTTGTGGAACTTGAAGACCATTAGCATGTGGTTTGTTCGATATTTGAAAAGTCGCTCCGTTGGAAAACGTACTGTTCTTGGCGTGCGCATAGACGACCAGATGAGTATTGGAAATATTGTTGAATTTCATCGCCGATGAGCCTGACGGAGACTGATGAGTCTTGAGGCTTAAGAGTGGATTGGAAGAGAAAGAAAGAGAAAAGGAGTCAACACATGTGCAGCGTTGACCAGATGCCTCAGGTGTCAGATCAGTTCGACGACACCGCAAGATTCCTCTGTTTCTTATTATCACATTTCAGAAGTCGTACATATTTCTCCTTTCCTGTATAGACCAGTATCCTCTCCAACAGTATTGGATCCGCGATCGTCATCATACAGCATCCCAAATCCACCGAATACTTGCCACGATTCGCGGAAGCCTGCGGTATGAAGGGTCTTGCTGCAATCGATTTCACAGCCTTGCAGATCCAATCTCAATGGAACCCACCAGAGAGCCTTGTGCCATGCTAAACGCAGGCTTGGATTCTATCCAGGCTATGACAAGGTTGACTGAGTGGACTATGGCCCGACTCACCATGTCCCCCTGACCTATAAATTGGACACTGATCCCCAAGACAAATGAGGCAAAGTACCATTGTCATCGTCGAAAGATCTCACGTTTCTCAAACTAGTCGAAGCATCTCACAATGAAGCCATCTTCAATCCTCGCCCTCGCTCCTTTCCTGGGTGTCGCCTGTGCCCGGCCTACTGAGAACAAGCCACCTCGCTTTGATGTGGTGGCCGTGAGCGAAGGGCCTGTTCAGTACTATGCGCTCGCCCAATCATCGTCCTTCTTTTATCTGGGCCAAGGCGATGGAAACACAGACTCATTCTGTCCCCCCAAGATTGAGAAAGCTGGTCGATGTCCACCAGGCAAGGACACCGTCCTCAAGGATGCCCATACACTGGTGAGCCCCTGATCTTTTCCATATTTCCAAACTTGCCACGCCCACTGACACACGACCAGGACACCGTTGTGCCCGGACAGATCATCTACGTCGATTCCAACTACGCAGTCAGAGCCACTGGTCCCAACTCGGGCGCTGACGATGAGGACAAAGACGATATCGATGTGTCCACTAGCGATGGCTTCAAACACATCCCCGGCGACCAAAGCGGCCAGTGGGATTACCAGGCAGATGGTGTTGATGGTTTCCTAGCCTGTCCTTACAACAATGGCATCTATCAAGTCTATGTCAACAGCGCGGATGCAAAGCCACCCCGTGGACAGAAGCTTGACACCTGCGTCCCATTCACTGCTGGCACTGTTGAATACAAGCTGCCTGCCAACGCTACTGCTGCTGCCTGGCAGTACTAGATACCCAGCGGTTTAGATCTGGTCGCCCGGGTGTTTTCGCTTATATGCATTCACCAGCTTTAACAACTGGCTGGATTCCTTCTCTTCTTTTCTTCTCTGGATCCTTTGGTATAACTATTGTGGGGCGAAATCGATGTCAGGATTTCATGTCTTAACTTACTCAATACACTCCTTTGTTCATACTTCTACGAAGAAACTCTGGGTTTCGCGACCTCGAAACTGGCAACCCTGAGCCTGGTACGGGAACTGGCAATACCTACCTATGTCGGTAACGCATCCGGTACTTCTCAACAGGTAACAACCACATGGATCTGGATCTGGGTGCGATTACGGCAACACCGCGCGACTACGTGCTCGGGGTCGCCAGAACCGCAAGTTCTCAATGGCTGCTCATTTCATCATCCGAAATGCCATGTTTGACGTGCTAATGATCAAATTTTTGTTCATAATTCTCAACTACAAGAAGTCTTTCCCAATAGTTTTGGTCTCTTCTTTTCCGCATGTAACTGTAGTTGATGTACTGACCTCGGGTATGTTCGTGCCAATACGCTTCAATGATTCCCACATTTAACATAGAAAGAGATTTACCGTAATTGGCTTGATTAGGGCGCTCAAATCCTCTAAGGACATCTACAGGGCCCTGACCAATAATATGATAAAATAATATTCCCACGGGCTCATAGTCCTAAAGATCACCATGTTAGACCTCGGTCCCTTTTGCAAAAAAACATCTTTGATCCTGGAATCCAGGCCAGCATCGCTCAATCCCGGCATTTCATGACCGACAACCGTGTGATTGAAGCATATGAGCTCTCAACATAACCATTATCATGTCTCGGGTGATTGGATAATTGGCCTCCGTATGCCCCGATTTTACGAGTCATTGAAGATCATCCTGCGGGGCAATGCATGATATATTCTTCAAAAATGCAGGTTTGTTCTCCGCCAAGGGAGGCTGTGAACTGTGAAGCATGATTTGAGAAATTCCCCTGTAGGACTTCCCCAAAGGAGGTAGTAGTGTGAACTTTTCGGAGCCTTACCGAAAGCCCGGCGCAAGGCTCCGTTCTTGCGCCCGAGCCCAACCTTGGAAGCTAGAGGCTGTGCCGATCGCCGATCCTTTCTCTTTTCTCTCTACCTTTCTATCGGGTTATCAGATCCTTCACGGGCATTTGATGGATCCATTTTTCTCATCAAAAGTTACAAAGTTATAAAGTTACATCCCACAACTAGGCGCGTTAATGCCAAGATCAACGTAGTCCTGAGTACAAGGCTGAATTAATGACAGAATAGATGGAATGCAAAATCACCGCCCGTTGCAGATCTTCAAAGTTTAGATGCTCATGCGACATAGCCTCAATATCCTTGTCCTGGTGGCCGTTAGGCTGATTCCTTGCCTTTTATATTCAACCCATCTCTACCCCTTTGCTTTACATCTATCTCAAGCCTCTGACTCGTCTATCAAGCGATTACCTTTCATCTTATTCCAGTCTCTACCTATACCACACCATCCATCATGGGACTCATGAGTGACTTTTGGACTGCGACTAGCCCAGGACCGAGAACAGCTGCGCGAGTTTTCGATACTCTTATCGCTGTTATTGGTATCATTTGTATAGCAGTCGGATCGTACTATCCCGCCTCCGGTTTCATCTATTATATCACGGTATGGACCCCCAGGACTCTACCCAAGAGGCCGAGAAGAATATTAGTCAACTGAATTTTAAACAGCTTGGAGTTTCGGCTCTCTGGTCCGCCTTCGCTTCATATATCCATCAAACCGGGCGTAATGTTCATCCGGCGTTCTTCATTGTGCTTGATTTTGCACTCGCGGGTGTGCATTATGCTTTTGGAATCATAAACGCCTGGGCCGCGACTGGTTCATTCTACAGGAATGGAAATGCAATCATGGCAGTCTTCTTGATTGTAGTTGGGTACGTGATTTTAAGAGTTGGATATCATGAGAAACCCACTGACTTTCCCTCAGATTCCTTCATACATTATTCTTTGTCTTGGCCTGTCGGGATACGCACGTTCGCAGAAGATCGGCAACTCTGAATGCTGCAAAGATTGGCCAGGAGAATAATAATGTGTGAACTGGTCATGTTCTATCTCGTGCACAGGGTCTTGGATTGATTATGCAATGAATTTAGTGTGTTGTCCGGTTCATATTCCTGCCCATAGCACCACTGGGCAGGTTGGTTGCGGGTTCGGGCTACAATGGGGGTTTTGTGGAGCACGCAACAACCACTCGGTGTGCGGTACTGAGATCGATGAATATCTTTCGTTGTGATTGGGTTACCTTAGCATATATTATGGATCTTCCCAGACATTAGTATGGCAGGGCAGTGCTCCGAGGTACAGCCTTGCGCTAAATCAGCCCCTGGCATTGACATCATATCCAATTTTTATCCATACTGTAGTCTATCCTTTTTCTTGATATAAAAAGCTTCAAAGGTCGCAAGTAATTAAAATATTTTCGCAACATCTAAGAGCCTTCAACTTGATTTGAAATATTTGACTTATTGCCTGAAATCTACGCCATGGAGATTTTCTTGGAATTCTTCGCAGCTTTGGTGTGCTGTTTTGTCACCAACGTCGAGTTCAAAAGACCCGGAAAATCTTCTCATGAAGACCATTCCAATGCCGAACCGAAACGGGACTGCAAATCTAAAGCAAAAAGCAAAAGCGAAGCCTAAGGAACTGGCTACTTTGCCGATCACAATTATCAAGTTGAAAGGTAGCGTGCCACAAAGCAATCAAGATGCATTAGCGATCTTCGGACTTATATAAGCGAATTAGATTGTACCTCAGCCTTTCGAATCACTCTCTCTGGAGTCACAGATACAATACCGGCTTGAATTCCACCTTGACACACCCGGTCCCCAACCCTGGAATCCCACCTGCACAGCAAATTAAGACATTCGTTCTCTCTTCCGCAGCCTCCACGATGAGAACTCAACCATTAGCGCTTCACTATTTTTCCTTTCCAGTTGCTGTTTTGACTTTCCTCATAACTTGGGGGTATATCGATCATTTCGAAGGGACTTTCCCGAGAGACGGTCGAAAGACCCCAAACAGACACAAGACGAAGCCACGCCGAGCGATTGCTATATCCGGGGGTGTCCTTATCATCTGGTTCAAAAACCTCATCCATTTCATCCTTCTCTGAATCGGAAAATTCGAAGCCGCGAGCCCGGGCACAACATCCACATTCCACAGTACAATGCCCCACACCAAGACTGCGAGAAGCGTCGATCTTGCGGTTCAAACAACAACCGCATCCACGAAAGCAGCATCCCTGGAGACCAGCACAATCTTCGACGAGCTCCTTATGCATATACCATCGAGGGTGGGATCGCCACAGTTCAAATGCTCGGCCTTGGAAACCTTTCCCCAAACATTGCCGATAAATCCACCACTTTCTGGACAAGACGTGATATCGCCTCTCCAGGCCTTTGAGTCGTTGTTTTGCGTCTGAGTCGAGTGCAGAGGCGCTTTTGGTCGCCATTTCTTCCTGGACCACTTCCCGGAGCTCTTCTTCGGTGATCAGTAGATCCAATGCGGCATTTGGCGATCCATCTTGACTGATTTGCGTACAGTGTGTGTGATATCGGAGCAACTGAAGTGCATAGGTCTCGCCAGATTTCATAAGCGTCGCCTCAGTACGAAGGGGTTCGGCTGCATCTTCTTGTTCTCGCATGGAAAGTCCTAGTCGTCTAGTTAAGTCGCAGGCTCCTCTTAAAGAGAGCCAGCTCGCAGGAGTCGCCATCGGGTGTGTGCCTTATTTTCAAAAGGTAGGTAAAGGATCGTCAATCAATTTGTACTCGACGCCCGATGACTTCAGGAGCTGTCAAGGTTGACTCATCGATGATCCCATGGATGAGACATAAATCACACACTGATAGTATCCATGGATTTTGGAAAGTTACGATACAGGGAGAAGCTTTGCCTACCTACCTAGGTAGGTAGCCTATATATTACTAGGTACATCCCGGGAAACTCTTCTAGGGATTACCTTGGGCTTCTCGGGTTGCCTTCACTTAGCTACTCTGTCAATGGAAGCCGGAAAGCATCTCTATAAAGAGTGTACGTGGCCCCCTCTATAAATGACGACATTTACTTTATGCTGAAAGTAGTAAGAAACAAAGACATCATGCCGTCATCGTTCAATTGTTCTACACTTGGAAGACGAAAAAGAACTCAGTACGCAAAGCCAACCAATGTAACAATTTCAGAAGTCCATGTTCCCTAGATCTCACGCTCTCTGCTCCCTTTGTTTCCCCCTCCTTCGTCTTTCTCTCTCTCGGGGTCAGACAATCAATCTCTTATCTGATTTTATGCCCCCCAGCAGTAGCCGGACCATTCTCCCTCCTCTCCTTTCTCATAGCCTCGAAAACAAAGAACAGGGAGGCGTCCAGTGAATTTCTATATCTTGTGTGTTAGTACATACCGATTCAAGGCTATGAGACCTTCATCAAAAAGTGTCCGCTCAAGAAAAAAACAGAACAACGTTCTATATGCGAGCGTACCTAGCAAATCCACAGGAGCTCCACTACGTCGTTCTCCGCGGACTCGCAAGAGAAGAACCTAGCCATCGAAGTTTCCGCGGGCACGCTGGAAACTGTTTCCTGTCATGAAAAGGAGCAGAACAGCCCCCATGGCTGTCCCATCGCTAATTTTGTTGCCCATTTCGCCCGGCAGACCCAGCGATCATGGCGCCGACGAGTCTATCGAGGGCAGCGGGGTATATTCCACGCGGAGCACGACTTTGGATAAAGCATCCTGTTGTCGATGCGTTTCTTTCTGCAATATGCGTCAGTTGGAGAAACTTCATTTGTAAGGAGAGTCACATTTACCTCCAGTGAGTCTCCTGCGACCTCACTACTGCCCCCAACCCCCGTTAGATACCCCATCCCGACCAGGTGATCCTGGCTTTTGCCCAGATAACTCGCCCTTTTGTCTTTTCGAAGGCTCCTTTTCTCTCATTTGCCTTTCACTCTCTCAGAGATAGATATCAATTTCTTCTCCGGCTTCTTGCTACCAGCAGCAGTCAGATCAACTTCAGTTCTCCGCCGCTTGGCAGCGAGGTAGAATAGGCGTTTTCGGTGGGAATGGCAGGACTGGATGTAATTTGGTCGCGTGCTCTCTCACTCCAACAGTAGATAGCTTTCTTGGTTCCCCTTCTCTCGTCTTCAAACGCACCAACCCTCCAACAGTTATGATGCCCATGATTCCGCTGACGCTCTGCAGAGGGGCTGGCAATATGTGACTGAAATCAATTTCCAGCGTCGCCGAACTGGGCAGTGCACATCACACAAAAGTATCCTATGAGCCAACTGGATCTCCCTATGTTGCATTAGACTGGTTATGCTTCCACAAGGACCGGGACTTACAGCAATATGGAACAGACAGACCCAACGGTTGTGATTTCGTGAGTCATCGCTGCTCTTGAATATTTTTTCGTATGGTAGTACTTTGATGAGGCCGCTATAACTATGTCAGTACCCATCAATCCAAGGCAAGCTTCGCAACAAAGGGCTGATAGATATTTCCCAGGCTGATATTTGTAGGCTTACCTATTTATCATCATGATCCCTCGGCGTTATCGAGGGGCCATTTGAGGTGTGGGTAAACGACGGCCACGCATCTCAAGAATGTACACGAGCCTCGGTACAAAAGAACTGGAACAGAGAAACGAATATGATAGCGGGGAGGATTGACGATTGCCGCTTCAAACCCGATCTGACGCGAAGAAGTTGCGAGACGTCATCGCTATGAAATAATTTGCAAGTATATCTTAGATGTCATTCAGCGAGCTGAGGATCGTGGAGGTGTTCTGCAGAGGAACGAGCAATATGCGGCGGCAATTCATTTTCAGCGTCGCCTCACTGGGCGGTGCTCTAGTCATGTGCGTGGGCAAATGATCCCGTTTCTGTAGCTCTCTCAGTTCTGTATCAGTAGCTAGGCTTCTTCTTTCCCCATCTGAATAGTGAATTCAGTCAGTCTTCTCTCTTCCTTGGCCCTTGGGATGCGGTAGCCTTTCTCAAGAGGCAGTGTATGGCACACTTAAGCCTCCTTTCAGCTACCTCCATCTTCCTTTGTTGTGTCAGAACAGTGTCGTTTCCACTGAGGCTGGAACTTACAGCAAATTTGGACGAACAAAGATGATCGCAAGCTTGGAAATCATAGCTTCTCATTTCGGTAGTTTATTGAAAGGTAAAGCTTCTGCGAGGTATATAGACTGTGTTTTATCTCCAACTCATTAATTTAGCAGGAGCTTCAATGAGGAAACTGCTGTCTCACTTGGCACATCTGAATGTGGTACGTGCCTTCTGGACTAGGTAACTTCCTATATGATTCACTGCGTCATATTTCCACTGCCTGGATCATCCAAGAAGCCAAGTCGCTCCACTGAGGTGGAATCTCAAGGCCATCGGCTTGTAATACGCCAAGGACCAGCCGCCTTCCTGCTCCTGCTGTGAACCACTTTCGGGAAGCCAGATGCAAATCCAATCCGTGGAACAAGAAAATTATGAGGGCTATCCAGTCTCCTTGCTGGACCAAGAGGAGAAAGGAGTCGGTGATTCGAATCGGCCATACAACGCTCTCAATCTGCCGGGGCCAAGTATGAAGCGTCTTCAAGGTCAAGTCGTAGGCGGACTGGTATATCTGTCGAGATGGGGATTGGCATTGGTCAATGACGGTTTGAACCTCATTGATTCTCTGTAAGATTTCCCTGCCTTAAGTGTTAAATTGTTAAATTCATATCCTTCTTGGGGTTAAGTAGAAAGGCCTTACTTATGTAACTGGAGTAAACCGGCGTCGCTGTGAGGTGGTCTTAGCATGGTACTAGAGACAGTAAAAGTTTACGTTTACCTTTCTTGGTCCTTGCCTCCCTGGTTCAACCTCTCACGGCGTATCCAGAAGTCAATACTGGTTGTTGTTGGTCCGTAGTATATTTGATTGAAAACCATGGTGCAGCCCTGAAGGTTTGACCGCATTGCAAGCACTTCGCGCAACGGATCAACCTGGAGTTCATCTTTGCGAATACCAGGATAAGCGGTGACTAAAAGCAAGATTAGTGACGAAGTAATAAATTTAACTTCATGGTTTCCATGGCTAGTAGCTAGATCCTCTCGTAGACCCGAAATCGCCTGCGTTTTGTAGATCAGGGCGGTTTCTAGCCAGGAGGCTTGTTTCTCCAATTCGGAAGAAGCCAGGTGAAGAGCCGCAGCGGCTAACAAGCCGGCCATCGCGTAGTCATGGGTCGTTGCTATTCGCGGCAGCTCGAGCTGCCAGAAGCGTAGATCCGTATCATCGGATGCTATTGTAGGTGCAGTTACCATTGAGAAATGGTGAATAAGCCGTAGTTCCTGTAACCTGGAGATTCCGGAGACCTGAGGAGGGCTTGTGCGATCGCGTGAATGAGAATCACCATTGGCGGTGGTAGATGGCGAAGGCTTTGTTTGTACTTTCGTCGGAAGATACGTGCATTCTAAACCTCGCTTGTGGCATAAGCCGCATTCTGGCTGCTTCTCGTCGCACTTTGAATTTGCGTCAGGCATATCAGTATCGAACAGATACCTTATGCTTTTTGTTTCATGCGACATCTTGATGGGGTTGTGCTTACCTTGACATGTCGACGCTTGCAAGGGGCGCAGCCATTCCTTGATTTATTATGTGATCGACGTGGGTTCCCAAGCAGATGATGCTTCATTTCCATGAGATCAGGAGTTCCACGTCCAAGGATATGAGGGTATAGGTTTGAATGTGAGACGGAATACGCGATACGTTGTGGATATCGGCCGACCATTAGCCGAGGTTTACTGCGCCACTAAGCAGATACGAACACGTTATGGGTCTTTATACGACGTCTGATTGGCTTATTCTGCTTCAAGAGGGTCCGCAGGTTCATCAAAATCCACCCTGGGGCTGCGAGACCGATTTATGCCTTTTGCCTACACTACATTTACATGGGAGTAAAAGCACTGCCTAGAGGAAACCGAATACGCAGTGGAGAACGACATCAATCGCACCAATGAGCTATGAAATTGTACCTAGGTATATAATATCGCTTCTAAGGCATCATTGTCGAATATTCTTTAGAATTAATGATAAACTTGAAATCTCTGGGAGGTCGAAATCGCAGGGCAGTATATATTCCGAGACCTCCCTTTCTCTTGAGGTCTCAATCTCTCGCTCTCTCACTGCTTCCGAGGTCTCGCTCTCTTCTTCTCTCTCTCTCTCTCTCTCCTACGTTCTACTTCACAACCAACATACTGCACCTCCTCCCTAGTCAACACCAGCTCCTCGGCCGAGAAGGAGCTTGAATATCGCGAGCCTGGAAAAGCCTTCATCTAATCCCTACAATCTCTTACGCTCGTCGTCAGCATGGCCTCTGACCCGAAGAATCTCTACGGTTATGTGCCGTCCAACATTGCAAGCATCGCCGTTGCGATCATCTTTCTTATCCTTACCTTGCTACATCTCTGGAGAATAATTGCGACTCGACAGTGGTTTGGTATGGCCACGGTTGTGGGGGGTGTTTGTATGTAATACGTTCCCCATGTTAACTAGTCCATGTCACCGTGCTGATCATTGGATAGTCGAAGTGATTGGCCTTGCGGCTCGAGCCGTCTCCCACCACGATGTTGCTTCCACGGGCCCATACATCATTCAAGTCCTGCTCATCCTTCTCGCGCCCATCATCTTCTCCGCTGCCGTCTATATGTTCCTCGGACGGTTGATCCGCGCATCAGGATACCCTCAACTCTCCTTCATCCGAATCAACTGGTTGACCAAGCTCTTCGTCTGCGGTGATATAATTTGCTTCTTGATTCAAGGCTCCGGTGCTGGCAAGCTCGTCAACGCACATAAATCATCTGAGATCACATCGGCACAAAACACTGTTCTTGGCGGTCTTGGTCTCCAAGTGTTCTTTTTCTGCATATTCCTTCTCTGCGCCATCGTCTTTCACAAGCGAGTCTCTAAGCCTCATTTCGCGAGGAATTTGGACCCATCACTTCGTCTGTCAATGACGCTTTATTCGCTTTATTTCTGCAGTGTCCTCATCATCATTCGAAACATCTATCGTCTCATCGAATACAAGACCGGGCAGTCTGGATACCTCCAGATGAATGAGTGGCCAGCCTACGTCTTCGATATTGCTCTCATGGCTATTTTGATGATGGTCAGCTTGTTTTGGTATCTCGCCAACACAAAAGCTCGAACTTTGGAAACCCTCCCTTTGGATGATTGCCATAGCGAAGCTTAGTTTGCTTCGCCATCTGTGATCGGGTCTTAGAATGTCATCATAAAGTGTGACGCCGATATCTCATCGAACTTTGTTTCCACGGGGAGAAAACGGTTCGGGAAGACATTCTGGGTACAATTTAAAATGGGAGCTGAGATGAAGGATTTCCATGGGTTCAAACTATGCTGACAGAGCCTTGCTCTCGGAAGAACATCTGGAAGCAAGAATACACACATAATAACGCAAGCAGAACAAATTCCTCTTAGAGAATCACAACTAGTTCATCTCTCTCTCTATGTCTGATTCAATCTTGGTTCCTGTATTGAATGAATGCCCAATTACACTATGCCCTATGAATTAGTAGAGGCAAATTGTAACAGATTTGGTCATTGCTCATCAAAAAGAAAACGATGGCAAGTGTTTCCAAACGATCTATAGGGCAGGTTAGGCTGCATTTAGCCTAGTTCGTAACGGTTCTTTTGAAGTATGTACCTAGTAGTTATCATATGTAGTCGAAGTTACGCAAGGATATAGCAGCTGTGTCCTTTCCTGGCTGGATATTAATTTATCTCTGACATCTCCATACAAAATACATGCACTTGGAAGGAATTCTTTCTAAATTAGAACTAAATTCACTACACAATTGCGTCCAGCAGACGATGATAGGCAGATTTGCTGAAGATGGAGTGACAAGATTTTGAACGCCCTCCAATCCCAAATATCCTCTGTCGTCTTCTTGGTCTTCGACTTCCTTCGCTCTCTGAATCACTGGAAGCTTCAATTTCATTTCCACTTCCATCTTCATCTTCATCTGCAGTCTCCCATTCATCATCAGATTCGTCGTTCACTTTGCTTTCTCCTGTCGATAATGTATCTTCAAATGCATGCTCTTCATCAATAGTCGGGAGAGGAATCGGCTTCGTAGTGTCGAAATTGACCTGCGGCCAGGCCCACTGCATCAATACTTGCATCCTCGAACAGTACTTGTCGGTGTTGAAGTTAAGAGCTTTGGTGTAGGCCACTTTTAGCCGATTTCCGTCGAAATATCCATAAAGAATTCGTACTCGGCAGCTTGGTAGGAATGATATTACCATCGTCTAAGCGGTCAGCCTATCCTTCCTATCCTGAGATGTATGGGGAGTCGAGAAACTTACCGGGTAATCAATAGTAAATCGGTTGCCATTGATGCGTTTGATCGATTTCTTCTGAAGAGATGGGTTGGATCGATACCCAGCGAGCATCCATCTTACAAGTACGGATATTTCACCGACGGATGGATAGCACCTATGTTCCAGGTGACAGCTGTCCATGACGACAAGTCGATGGCCGGAGGTGGTCTCAGGCCTCGTGGCTCCGTTTTCGATGGTGAATAGATGTTTGTCGCTGGTTCTGAAAAGATGTTCAGCTTTTTCGTCGAGTCTAGATTCAATGAAAGTCAGTCTTTGGGGTCCTCTGCCCAGTTGGTGGATCACAGGGACGGGAATCTGCTTACAGGTTTGATCTCCAGGCACCCGGATCGCAAATTACTGGATCCCTAGAGTATTTGATGAATCTTTGGAGAAGTGCAGTTTTCAGGCTCAATGTCCCGGTTGTCTTGTTTTTCTGCCGGAGTTTCCTAAATTCAGGGAAGTCGTCGTCGTGCTCCGGGAATCCATTCCAAGCGAAAGGGTTGAAATACTGGAACATGCCACGGGGTTCTCCGGTCATGAAGTCCATGGGATGAATCTCGATTGACTGGTATGATTCGGCAGTAAGAAAACCAGCCCTTCCTGTTCTTAGGGTGTTGTTCAGATCGCGAAGCTGCAATCTCTTGTGTTTATAGAGCGAAACCCAAGATGGAGGGCAAACCATTTTGAAAATTATAAGTAATGAGATGGATGAAGAGCAGTTACACTAGCAGAATGTTCATCTTCTTGGGGGCTTCTCATATAGAGCTCCCGACGACCAAACCGTCGACGGACAAAGTCACCGAAACAAGCGTCGGATAGGAACCGTATATACAAACTTGAAGGAAACCCAATGTTAGGAGAAACACTGTTTTAACCAAATAGGCTCGACCGGCGGAACATACCCGATCCTCTTGGGGGTATTACATGTTCGTGCAAATTCTAGAGCTGATACTCGGAAATGATGTGCAGTATGATCAGTTATCAAGGAATATCAGACATCAGGATGATTTGCTGGCGTCAATGCTTGAGGTAGTTGTCTACGTACCAGAATGGACAGGTTAGCACCACTAGAGGTCAAAATGGTTGAGACGAGTGTTCTTGGGTAGTTCGGACTGGAGCTTGTCACCGCATGTCTGGTGATTTAGTGCTCTTTGCCGGTCACTGTGATTGAAAACAGTTTGCTTGTCCAGAGAAGAGAAACGAAGGGAGTAGAAAGTGAAGACGTCTCAGCCTGGGGCAGATTTCCCAATTAGGAAATCACCTTCCCCCCGGGGCCGTGCCCAGTATAAATGCCTCCTCCTCCCCTCCTCCCATCCCCTCCTCTTTTCTTCTTCATCTTTTTCTTCCTTGTTCTCGGCAACTTCTACTTTGAGTGGGCGTATCCCTCCCATCGATGTCACAGAAATTTGACTTTCGACCTTCAGGCCTGAGGATTCAAGTGCTTGCGGTCAAGCTCAGGTCTCAGTCCCTTGCCAGTCGATGAGAAGATGAAGTTGCTAGAGAGATATCCCGAAGCTAGCAATTGATCCTGCAAGTTATCTGCCGCCCCGGACATGTCGATTGAGTCTCTCCACCTGGGCACCCCGGGCACCGGACGCCGGATACAACATGGAAATCGATAAGACCATCACGGATATACAAAGGGCTCTTGTCAGGCTCGTCAGATTCCTCGAGCAGTCTAGTATGCATCATCCTGTAAACGTGGGCTCTTGACTTGGACGTTGACATGCCTTTTATGTTTGCTTTTGTATGCCCGTGGACCAAGCTGAGTCACGTCAGCACGAAGGGATTCAGACGGTTGGGGAAAGATTATGCCTACTAAGCCAAGGGTGTAACCACTGGGCCCCAGAGCCAGGAAAGTGGCGGACGACACCTTTGACCAGCTACTCTTGTAGACCATCTTGCAAGGGTCCGGCGTGTAACCGTGCCCAAGTGGACATCCCAAGCGTGATGGGCTCTGGTCGAGCTCCGCTAATATTGGAACCTGCCAACGCGCCATGGCACCATCTGGCGTGGAAAGGAATAGCACGAAACCATATCATTTTACACAACAGTATACAGTGCAGCGCACGGTCAAAGTCACAAGAACATAATTACTTCAAGGGTCTCTAACACAAAGAAAAAGAATACAGGAGCAGCCAAAAATGGAACAGCCCATAAAACCCCACAGTATAGCAGATATACCTCAGATCCACGAGGGAAACGATGCATCGAAATTAACGACTATTTTACACAAGGTCGCGCTTGACAAACTCGGCAAGAAGGGTCTTGCCAAGGGAAGCAGGGCTGCGCTCGACAATGACACCAGCGTCGGTCAGAGCGGAGATCTTGGAGTCGGCACCACCCTTACCACCGCTGACGATGGCACCGGCGTGACCCATGCGGCGGCCGGGGGGAGCGGAGATACCGGCAATGAAGGAGACGGCGGGCTTGTTGTGGATGTTGTTGGCCTTGAGGTACTCGGCGGCATCCTCCTCGGCGGAACCACCGATCTCACCGATCATGATGATACCGTCGGTCTCGGGGTCCTCGAGGAAGATCTTGAGGCAGTCGATGAAGTTGGTGCCGGAGAAGGGGTCACCACCGATACCGACGACGAGGGACTGACCGAGACCAGCCTGGGTGGTCTGGTTGACGGCCTCGTAGGTCAGGGTACCGGAGCGAGAGACGATACCGACACGACCGCGCTTGTGGATGAAGCCGGGCATGATACCGATCTTACATTGACCCTGTGTGTTGTATGAGTATCAGGCGTGATTGGGACGATTGCGCGCTTGTTTTATGGTATCAACTTACGGGAGCGATGATACCGGGGCAGTTGGGGCCGACCAGACGGGTCTTGTTCTGGGTCTTGAGGATGTCGGTGATGCGGACCATGTCTATATGAAATCAATCAGTTCGCGCGCTTGTGAGCTGGTCAGGACGATCCGTACCGTGCTGGGGAATACCCTCGGTAATGCTGTCGAACGAGATACTGTCAGTTGAAAGCTCTTTGCAGGGGTTTGGAAAAAAGTGTTCAATGCATTGACACGTACCAGACAACGAGGCCCATCTCGGCAGCAATGGCCTCCTCAATGCCGGCGGCGGCCAGAGGGGGGCTGGTGACAGTTAGCTTTGCTGTGCTGGCAGCTCACGGGTATCGCAGGATCATACGGAACGAAGATGGCGGAAGCGGTGGCACCGGTCTCCTTCACGGCATCGCTGACGTTGGCGAAAACGGGAAGGTCAAGGTGAGTAGAGCCGGCCTTCTTGGGGTTGGTACCACCAACGACGTTGGTGCCTGTGTTGTGTAAGCTGTTGTGTCGCGATCATATATCTTGAACAAGATTTACCGTAGGCGATAGCCTGCTCGGCGTGGAAGCTATTTCGAGAGCAACGGTTAGTCAACTGCGCGTGCAATGCTCTGGGATCTTGCGGATTCTGCACTCACGTTCCCTGCTTTCCAGTGAAACCCTGGAACAGAACACGGGTGTCCTTGTTGATCTTGAGGTTGTTCACGGTGCTCTGGTAGGCAGAGGTGGCCTCAGTCCGACGCTGGGTGGCGCCAACCTTGCGGAGGGCCGAGAAGGTGTTACGGCGGAAGGCCTGCATGACTGCAAATGTGAAAGAGAGGAGAGGTGTGAAGAAAGGAAATTCGGGGATGAAGGTAAAGCAAGGATAATCGGGATGCGCGCCCGGGAGTTTTCGCTCGGGACAATTATTTTACTTAAGCGGACCCGAGAGACTTCGTCACTGACAACACTTTTTTTTCGATCTAATCAACCCCCCCACCAACTTGGCATTTTTACAACGTCAACTGCTCAGGCAGTGCTAGTCTATTCGCCATGGCTACCATGACTATGACCCAGCAAACCAAGCGAACCGCCAAGAAGAACGCAAAGTCGGTGCCCGAGAATGAACGGTTCATGCGAGCATGCTCCGACATTGCGAATGCCCTCATTCAAGATTACGAGGCGCAACGGGACTCGACAAAGCCCAAGAAGGATCTGAACCTGAACCGGTTGCGCGCGACGTTTTCGAGCAAGCACTGCTTGTCCACCCAGCCGCCACTCACAGCAATCATTGCAGCTGTACCGGAACACTATAAGAAATATATCCTGCCGAAATTGATCGCAAAGCCCATCCGTGCGTGCAGGCTGTCTTGGAAATAATAGGAATGCAGCTAATTCGATTCGCAGGAACCTCCTCTGGTATTGCCGTGGTGGCGGTCATGTGCAAACCCCACCGATGCCCTCATATCGCGTATACCGGTAACATTTGTGTCTATTGCCCTGGTGGCCCGGACTCCGATTTCGAATACTCGACCCAATCCTACACCGGATATGAGCCAACTTCGATGCGAGCGATCCGCGCTCGCTACGATCCGTTCGAGCAGGCGCGAGGACGTGTGGACCAAATCAAGGCTCTCGGCCACAGCGTCGACAAGGTGGAATACATTATTATGGGTGGAACTTTCATGTCGCTTCCTGAGGACTACAGGGATACCTTCATCTCCCAACTTCACAATGCGCTCAGCGGGTACCAAACAGACAATGTCGACGAAGCGGTGCAGGCCGGTGAAATGAGTAACGTGAAGTGTGTGGGTATCACCATCGAAACACGACCTGATTATTGTTTGGACACACATTTGAGCAGCATGCTTCGCTATGGCTGTACGCGATTGGAAATTGGTGTCCAGAGTCTTTACGAGGATGTCGCAAGAGACACCAATCGTGGTCACACCGTCGCCGCAGTTGCGGAGACCTTCAAGCTCGCCAAAGACGCCGGTTTCAAGGTTGTCAGCCACATGATGCCCGACTTGCCCAACGTTGGAATGGAGCGAGACCTTTTCCAGTTCCACGAGTACTTCGAAAACCCCAACTTCCGTACTGACGGTCTGAAGCTTTACCCCACACTTGTCATTCGAGGCACGGGTCTTTACGAACTATGGCGCACCGGTCGTTACAAGAACTACACGCCCAACGCACTTATCGATCTTGTTGCGCGCATTCTCGCCCTGGTTCCCCCATGGACCCGTATCTACCGCGTTCAGCGTGATATTCCCATGCCCTTGGTGACATCCGGTGTGGAGAACGGTAACCTGCGCGAGTTGGCTCTGGCACGTATGAAGGACTTCGGCACAACCTGCCGTGACGTCCGCACGCGAGAAGTCGGTATCAACGAAGTGAAGAACAAGATTCGCCCCTCGCAAGTCGAGTTGATTCGCCGTGACTACACGGCCAACGGTGGCTGGGAAACTTTCCTTGCTTACGAGGACCCCAAACAGGATATTCTCATTGGTCTGCTTCGTCTGCGGAAGTGCAGCGAGACCCACACTTTCCGTCCCGAGTTCACTGGTCAGCAAACGAGTATCGTTCGTGAGCTTCACGTTTATGGTTCTGCCGTGCCCCTTCACGGGCGTGATGCGCGCAAGTTCCAGCACCGTGGTTTCGGAACTTTGTTGATGGAGGAAGCCGAACGCATTGCCCGGGAGGAGCACGGCAGTCGCAAGATCAGTGTTATCTCTGGTGTTGGTGTGCGTAGCTACTACGCTCGTCTCGGCTACTTCCTCGACGGTCCCTACATGTCCAAGATGCTGGACCCTTGGGAGGATGAGGAGTGAGTTATTTCAGACCGCAAAAAAAAAAAAAACAACTCAAATAAAAAGAAAGACTGGATTCGGGAGCTCAATATCTGGTTATGCATCCACTGGCGTTGGTGGTCTCTCAAAAAGCTGTTTTTCTCAATGATGATGGACCAATGATTGAATGTCTATACCAAGTTATCAAGTTTATACTTCCAATGCACAAGGACATAATGAGATATCATAGAACTAACTGTAATTCTCGGCTTGGTCTATGTACAATCCACAGATATCCACCTTCGTGTTCTCACGAGGGATGGAAAAAAAAAAAAAAAAAAGAGGAAGATAAAGAATCAGGAACCTGCCCACAACGCCTTTGAATAGAACCCGATCTTGTTCGCTGGTAATAAAGATCTACGACGCTTGCGTAGTGTAGACGTGGGACGATTGGTTGCCCAGGGAATAGATCCCATGCTCTCGAGTCGGAAGCCCTTTCCACCCATGAGCTCTAGGCGACTGTACCGTGTCCACGAAAGGCCTGGAGAAGCCCCAAAATTCGAAAGTCGACAGACGGCATGGATAGCGTTGTCGTCACAACGATCGCAAATAAATCATGGCATTTAATTCAAGGATATAGCGCCTCCCCTGCTGTCTCGCATGTGAAGGAAGGCCTGGAAACCGCAGAAGAAGAAGAAACCCTGTAGGAGAAGAAGACGAGCTGTCAGCAACCGATTTCGTCATTGGTGCAAAGGTTGACCCTGTCAGGTCACGGGATGGAGAAGGACGAACAATGTAAACGATCACAGCGGTGTAGATTGAAGCAGCGACCGCAGGGCCATCTTCAGGTTCGCCGTCGGAGCCAGTGAAGGAGTGGTTGTTGCTCTGTATCCAAGAAGTTCTCGTTAGCGCCTGGCTTCCATTTGTAGGTATTACGTATGCCCAGCCCTTGGGCAAAGTGTCGAAGGGCTGAGATTTCGATAGAATGTGATGAGGCGCGATAACATACACCGAAGAGCGAGCCGAGGACTGAGAGGATGACGATTGCGAAGAGGGAGATAACGACGCTGTCGATCGGGTTAGAAGGAGGCTGGAGGCTAGAAACAGATCACGGCGGTACGTACCACGACCAGGCGTTCAGGGCGGAGACAACGGGCTTCATGTTTGCAGATAATGGCGGAAAGAAGAGGTGATGACGAACGGAGATCAACAGCTGAAGTTGGAAGTCTCGAGATACGGAGGCGGGCGGACCTCGGGGCCCTAGACCGCTTTGGGATAAGCCCAGGCCCAGCTGACTCTCGATCTATAAACTTCCAAGGTTCTCTTTGACCACATTCGCTTGTCTCTATATTTCACTGGTTCAGTTCTAGTCAATGTTGTTCATGTTGTATATTGTTCTATGGTTGATATCGTCATCTCGTTAATGTGTCTTGTTCCATTCAATGCACTCGTCAAACGTCACCCCAGAGCCCCCGAAAATGTCTAGCGCGCTTCCAATGGTAAGATCCACCTTGCCTTTGCTACTGGTGTGGACCTTCTCAAGATCTTGCAAGTGACGAGCACCACCTGCATATGTCACTGGGATGGTGCACCATTCAGCCAATCGTGAAACCAGTTCTTCATCGACACCCTGCTGGAGGCCCTCTACATCCGCAGCGTGGATCAAGAATTCTGCGCAGTAGGGCTCAAGAAGCGCAATGGATTCTGACAGAACTTAGATACGAAGGATCTCAATATCAGTGATAGAGACTTACCTTGGTTGATCTCCATCTCGGTGATGGTTTGCCAACGGTCCATTGCGACAAACCAGGTGTCGTCTTTTCGGCGACAGCTCAAATCCAGAACAAGCTTTGATTTGTCGCCATCAAGAGCAGACAGAACTGACTGGAGACGTTCGAGGGAGAACTTGCCCTCGGGGAAGAGGAATGATGTGATGATCACCTGTAGCCCGCATTCCATGATTAGCATCAGGCCTGCTATGACGCAACACAAAAAGGCAAGAGCATGCGAATCCTGACAAAAGAGCCAAACGAGCAATATCCAAATGTAATATAGACCAACGCCATAAAGCAGTAACAAGCCTTACCTTGTCTGCGCCTTGATCAATCCAGTACTTCGCATTCTTGTCGGTGATACCTCCAGCCACTTGAAGTCCACCGGGCCATGTCTTGCATGCTTCCTGTGCAGCCTCTTCATTTCCAGGCCCCAATTTCACAACGTGCCCGCCACGCAAGTCGTGCTTTTGATACAATCCCGCATAGTGGCTGGCCGGTAGCTTAGATACGTAATTGGTCTTCAAGTCCGCAGCCACCTGGCTGAGGGTACCACCCACAATTTGCTTGACCTGTCCCGAATGCAAGTCAATGCATGGCCTGAATTTGGTCATCTTTTCTGTCAAATCGGATGAATTGAAGAGTTGATTTGCTTGCCCACACGCGGCGTGAGTCGAGGGGCTTATCGTGCCTATCACACGTGACTCGGAGTTTAGCTCAAAAAAACTTCTTGGGCCGAGCCGCTGGTGTTTTTCTACCTTTGCAAGCTGATCGACTTATTCACAATGGTTGTGAAACGCAAGCGTGAGACCACAGTGGTCTCTAAGCCAAAGGCTAAAGAAGACTCACCACCCGCCGTGGACAATGCGCAGGACGTATTCCGCAAACTATTCGAGGCGCAATTCGAGCCTCTTGATTTGCCAGCGCCTACCGCCAAAGCTGCCAAACCCTCAAATTCCGACGAAGATGAAGAGGACGATGATTCTGATGATTCGGGTTCAGAAGGCGATTGGGATGGAATGTCCGACATCAGCGACGAGAGCAACCAAGTGGAGGTAGTCGAGCATACCGACGCACGCGCTGCTCCAGCGGACAGAATGGACAAGAAGGCCTGGAAGGCATTCATGGTAGGTTCTGAGTCGCCAAATGTCCTTGTACCCATACTGACGAAGGGTTTCACAGAGCGGTAAAGTCGTGTCTTCCTTGGACAAACCCACTACCAAGCCAGAGCCCTCATCCAAGAAGGAAGAGGAGGAAGACTCGCACGATATGATGAACTTGAAGCACGATCTTTCTCTGCAGCGCCTGCTCACGGAATCACACCTCCTCGACTCTGCCGACGATCTAGCGCCAACCGGAAAGAACCGCCTCAAGGCCTTGGATCTGCGCATGCAATCCCTCGGGGCCAAAGATTCGCTCTATGCGCAAAACAAGATGCCAACTGCGCACCGACGAGGAATCAAGGCCAAGGCCGCTACAAAGGAGGACAAGCGTCGCCGTGAGGCCAAGGAGAACGGCATCATTCTCGAGAAGCCTAGCAAGGTGACCAAATCGAGCAATAATGGACGAAGGGAGCGTGGTGTCAACGGAGCATCGGTTGGCAAGTTCTCGGGCGGCACTCTGAACCTCAACAAGCAAGATATCGAGCGTGTTCAATCCTCCGGGCGTCGCATGGCCGGCGGGAGAGGCAAGGGCAAGCCCAAGTCGAGAGGTGGCAAGCGTTAAAGATGCCAATACCTTGCGAACTATTCCTTCGACTCTCGAATTGCCCAGGTGCTCAGTATATCGCGTGGCTGTATCTCCATACCACACGTCCTCGCAAGAGCCAACTGCCAGGAAACCCCAGCTTGAGCTCGGCCTCATTCACGCTGTCAACTATCAGCTCGGCCTTGGGTCGAACCTTGGTGTGATCCGTGGTGGTACCTCATCACGCCACTCCAATGCCTCTTTGAGCTGGTATATTGGCTTTCACGCTCAGCCTTGTGCATCATGGCCCCGTTGTCTTGCTCGTCGTCGCGACAGGTCTTTTCGATGCACATGAATGCTTCGTTCGCTGGTGACCGGCAATCGTGGTTGAGTCGATTTCCATCAGGGTAATCAGCTCTATACTACCTGTCCGTGCATTTCATACGGGAACAACCGGCTGCCCTTTGCTTTTTGTGATGCAGCTGAGTCTGTTGGCTATTACTCCGTTGCCGTCGCGTCGGGAGTATATTACAGAAAACATTCGGAGCATGCCCAGCTGAACTTTACCTTGGGGCATGTTGTTACATTATCACCCATTATTAGACAATGAACAAAATCCCATGATGGCAATCTACCTGATATCACCCACAAAGCTCGGTTCGTAAAATGCCCTCCAGAACACCGCCTAGGTGGGCCAGATATATAAATGCGGCTCAAGAGTCTACAGAAAGAAAATACCTAGGTACACATGGTGGTTTCCAAACTTGGAAGATTGTTTTTCGAACGCGGCGATCACAATATATATCGGAACTTCCAACATTAGAAACCATACTAGGTACAACTTCAACTTCGAACCTTGAAGGTTGGAAATAACTTCAACTCATTCCCGAGGTCATTTCTTTTTACCCATTCACGTACCTAGGTACTAGGTAGGTAGTATTCCGCTGTTGATATCCACCGAATACCTGTACCCATCCCTCAAGTTTCAGACCACTCCGCCTCCAGCCTTGGAACCTTGGAAACTGTCTACATCCACACTCTCCATCACACACCGACTCTACCAAGAACCCAGATCCTTGGAACCTCGGAGAGTCCGATAAACCTCGCCAAGCTCCCACTTTTGCGACGCCAAGAGATGGCCAAGATCTCTACCAAGCGGCATCAACAAACGGAACAGGCACGAGGACAAAAGCAATGTGTCCGAAATTCGGATTTTTTTGTGATGCACCTGGGCACCCTCCAAGGTGGCGAGCACTTGGCACATCACAATGGAATACGCACAGTACGGACCTCGGAGTTATGCACAAGCTCGTAAGCTGTGGTCTACGCGTTGCCATGAGATACATGGCGAACATTCAACATTACAATATAGGACCATCAGTATCTGGACATGGAGACCGTCCACGCAATCACGACTGGCAGATGTGAGCTATGGATTCATGTCGACGATCAGGGGGAGTTCCGAAAAGCCTTGTAAGGTCGACGTTTGCGCTCGGGTCAGACCGCGTGTCTCTGTCGAAACTTGCTAAATGGACTCTTTCTTAACCCAGTCATTTTTCGATTCGATTGGATGATGCACAATATTGATTGAAGTGGAGTCTTTTTCGACATCGTACTTTGGAGAAACTGAAATCATTCTTAAATTAAATGATCGGCCGTTGAATACTAGTAGTAGAATGATCTCGGTGATTATTCCACGCCGTGGCGGCACGAAGTGGTGGTCCATAGGTCATGGCGTCGAGCTTGGCTGCATTTTTCACATAAATGCTTCTCATGATTAGGCTGCGGAGCTCAGGCCCGTTTTTTTCTGTTTTTTAAACGTTATTTTTCCTTCTGGAGCTCCGTCGGCAAAGACAGGGGCTGGATCTGATCTGCAAATCCCCTGGCCCATGCGCTTTTTATTGAGGCGCCAGGTCAAATAGATCGAACACAGCCTCGATGCCAGACAGGCAGATAAATTCCATAGCTCATTGTTTGAGATCTCTGCAGACGTGAAACTAACAGTAAGATCAGAGTTGGGCTTCGAGAAAGCTGTCATGCATGTCAGGGGGATCTACCTGAGCCTTGGAAGGCTATTGTTTCATCGAGCTCCCCAAAATGGAGTCTCCTTCAGATCTTCGCGACTAGAATATTGTACAGGATAACAATGGAAGAAAAAAAAAAGCCAGACATCTGCATTGACGGGTTGTGGATAGTTCGCGAGTGCTTACTGTTGACGTCAGGGGGTAAATCCTTATCAGATGAAACATCCTTGTCCAGATGTAGGGACTCATGCAGACACAAGTACGAAACACAGGGCATAATCACATGAAGAGAGAATAGATTGTTCCTGGGCTTTCGTGGACTCCAGTGGGGCCGTGATCGACCAACTGAGGAGACTCCCGCCTGAGGACCCTACGAACGGTATACTATAATCAAGCCCACGGGTTGTAGAGCACGGAGTACTTACTACTAGTAGTACTATAGTCGTACGCAATATAGTATCAACTCCGTGCTACACACTCACATTGCATTGCATTAGGCGATCAACATACGGAGTATTTCGGAGGCCATCACAGGAATATACTCGCTCTTTAGCTCGGCAGTAGCTCGGGACCTAGTTAATTTGGAGCATTGCAATGCTGCATGTACGGGTGATATGACTCGGAACTTGCGAAAGCCAGGCCAGTCAGGTCTGTAGCATCCTTCAGGAGGGAGGCCTAGACCCTGTAATTCGAAGTGGAGCAATTGTGCCTTTGATCGGGCTGGGATGTCGAATCTGAAGATGTAACCTCGCACTAAGTCGGGTACCCGAGAATCGGAGAACGGAGTCCTTCTCGGGGTGGCGCTCGCGGGTGCAAAAGGGTTTAGGACCGCTCTCGTTAGCCTAGGGTCTTGGCGTCGGGCATCAAAATTGAGGGCGAGGTGAATTTCAGGTTGAGTCGAGGTGAATATCATTCAGCCTTAACCAGCCCTATCCAGCCTTGTCCAGGTTGAAGCAGCCTTAACCGAACGATGAAAAGTTCCGAGATGAGAAACCTTCCGAAAGTCAGAAATCGCCCATCAATGTGCGTGATGTACAGTTGAACGATCAATCGTAGACGAGGACGAGGTCTTGGCAGATCCACTAAGAATGCTAGGCTTGCGCGTGGCTCATCAGTGGAGTCGGATGGGGGACTATAAATCCAACTGGCAAAAAGCAAAACCGTGCAGGGGTTATGGGCCTGATCGACACAGGATTGGCACCATTGCTTAGTCGTCTATAGAGGCCGTTCAATTCGTCGATCATCTCCTTTCTAGCGTCAAACCTTGTCCCAGGGGATGGTGTTGGACGCATTCTTCGCATCCCATCCACCTATCACCTGCCCGGAATCAGAATTGCACATAGTTGTGCTCAGCTAGCTTCCACAGACGTCGCTTATCTGGGATTGTAATCCATCGTCATTGGGTATCAACCCCGGTGCTCAGCCGCCCCCTTTGCCGCCCTACCATTGGTGAATCGGGTTTCTGGGTGAAGCAAGGGCCAACGTCCCCTATACAACAGATCCAAGGGGGATGTCTACGTAAGTCGAGGACTTTATTCGTCCAATTACTTCCCCTGAATTGATATCGAACACAGCAAATGACGAAGCTTGGCATTCGGTTGACAGATAACACTCACATAGGAAACAGCTGAGATACTCGACACGTGGGGACTTGGATTTTTGAGTCTTTCTGGTTTCAGGCTTTTCTCTATCTTTTCTCAGTCGCCAAGCCTTGGCAAGGTATATTTGATTGGGTTTGATACTTCGACAGCTTATCATGCATGTAGACTTGCAGAGCCTTGAGGACCTGGGAGATTGATCGCGACATACAGACGAAGTACTTCGTAGTATTGCCAGATGAGAGACATGAGATCCCGAGCAGGTGTCAAGTTAATTTTCTTCCGACAGCCTTTTTCCAATGGGTGATCCGTGGGTGAAACCGGGCTTGTGCAGCACATGCGATGCAGATCAATTGAAATGTACACGCGTGTATGGAGTCTGGATGGAATTTCAGCGGGTAAAGGTATTTTCTTCACAGTCCCTCAATTTCGACTCCATGCAGCTGTAGTTGCAAAAGCTCCCGAATAATTCGCGGGGAGCTCTGGAATGCTCTTTACCCGAGGTCGACGTCAGCGGGTGAGGCTTGGAAATGACACAATACATACACAGTAGAACACGGCAGGCATCAATACGCATCATTTGTAGTCTTAGTGGAATTCAGAGCTAGAACCTCGAGTATTCCAACTGCGGATTGTGACTCGCACGTATCAAAATGAGCGACGTGGAGTTTTCCAGATTGGTCTGATCCTTGCCACTTTCTAACATCAAGGGGAGAACGTAGTGGTCCCCCTAGTATTATCCACAGTGGAGCACGTTTAGTTGACTCTCAGATGCATGGGTCCGTCGAATATTTTTGTATTTTCTATAGCCGCTATAGGGGTTTTGGGTTCAATTTGGGATACAAAAGGGTCCTGACGTTCCGGTCTTGACGCTTCTAGATCCTCAAAGCTGTCTAGGCCGATGAAGAATCACTTCTGTCATCAATAACTTTCTGTCTCTTCGTACTTGAAACGTTATTGTGCTATTCATAAGAGTTCTTCATCATGACCTTGTCACAATTCAGCTCTACGGAGACACTCAAAGACCCCAGGGTCATCACACAATCGGTTGACTCCAGCCCTAATCTGTCACCCACCGATGAGAAAGACATTACTGTACCATCAACACCAGCAGAATCACTTAACCTCGAGAGCCAGGCCCCCACGCCACCACCTTACCATGTCTTCCCTCGCTCTCGCAAGCTGCAACTGGTTTGCATCGTCTCCCTCGCTGCAATCTTTTCTCCACTATCTTCCAACATTTACTTCCCTGCCCTCTCAGATATTTCAAAAGTAAGGCGATCTCGGAAAAGTTCAAGGTCAAATGCTAACACCACCACAGGAGCTTAACGTGTCTATGTCCCTAGCTACATTGACTGTCACAATATACATGATTGTCCAAGGCCTTGCCCCAAGCTTCTGGGGATCCTTCTCAGACGTTTTGGGCCGTCGAGTAATCTTCATTGGAACCTTTGGTGTATACATTATTGCCAATATCGCTTTGGCGGTATCTACAAACTATGGGGAGCTCATGGCTTTCCGGGCCCTGCAAGCGGCGGGTAGTGCTGCGACTATTTCTATCGGTGCCGGTGTCATTGGTGATATCACCACCTCAGCCGAGAGAGGCAGCTTGATTGGAATTTTTGGTGGTGGTGAGTCACAAAATAGAACCTTGGAAGGTGCAGTGGAAAAAGAAAACTAACTTTTCACAGTGCGCATGTTGGGCCAAGGAATCGGGCCCGTTTTTGGTGGTATTCTCTCACAGTACCTTGGGTTCCGGTCTATTTTCTGGTTTTTGGTCATTGTGTCAGGCATCAGTCTCCTCTCTATTCTGGTCTTCCTCCCAGAAACTCTGCGCCCCATCGCTGGTAATGGCACCGTCCCTTTGAAAGGTATCCACAGACCTTTCATCTACTCCGTCACTGGCCAAAAGGATGCCGATGAGAATTCCACTCCCATTGGAAACAAAAACAAAGTCACCTTCAAGACTGTTCTGGCACCACTTACCTTCCTGGGCGAGAAGGATGTATTCATCACCCTGTTCTACGGCAGTATCGTCTACACTGTCTGGTCGATGGTCACCTCGTCTACCTCCGACTTGTTCGAACAAAAGTATGGTCTGAACTCCCTCGAGGTTGGCCTGACCTTCCTCGGAAACGGATTCGGATGCATGACCGGATCTTACACAATCGGATACCTGATGGACTACAACCACAAGCGGACCGAGCGCGAGTACTGCCAACAGCACAATCTTCCAATCGAGACCCGCATCAACTCCAAGTCTCACCCCGACTTCCCCATCGAGTATGCTCGTATGCGCAACACCTGGTGGATCACCGCCATCTTCATTATCTGCGTTGCTGTCTACGGTGTCTCTCTGCGCACTCACATCGCAGTGCCAATCATTCTGCAATTTATCATTGCGTACGGATCCACTGCTATCTTCACTATGAACAGTGCTCTCGTGATTGACTTGTATCCCGGTGCGAGTGCTAGCGCCACTGCTGTCAACAACTTGATGCGATGCCTGATCGGCGCTGCCGGTGTCGCGGCCTCTCAGCCAATTATTGATGCTATCAGTGCTCAGTGGACATTCCTCTTGCTTGCGGGTATCACCCTCGCTATGGTCCCTCTCCTGATGGTTGAGATGAAGTGGGGTTACGGATGGCGCCTGGAACGCCACGAGCGTTTCAAGAAGAAGGAGAACAAGGCTTAAGGAAAGTAACATTGAGAACTGGGGATTGGAGTGGATGTTCAAGTTTTGGTGGTTGTGGGAGAAAAAAAAACATCGATTGGACATTGAAGTCCAATCATTTTCATGATATGATGATATGGGTTTGATTTCGGGTGCAAAGCGGTGCATACATGGCTTTACTTCTTCATTTGAATATTTTGGCTACGATTTGTTTCTACTTCATCTTTACATATTAGCTACACAAAACACGGGAACTGGGTATTACTTTTGAACCTTTCAACTCTTGCAGAATTCTCCAAGGCTTGTCCCTGTACAATGATCTAGTAGTATCAGTATGTAAGTATTCTACGAGAGCGATAAAAGTCGATAAACTGAACTACACAACCCGGTGCATCGATTTCCACCTGTCATCACCTTCCAAGTTTCAGGGTCCATATAGTCACATGATCACAACATCAACTCCAGGGCTCCCACCCCAGCCTCGGGCTAGACTTCTCCTCTACGCCCAACCACCATCTCACATCAGATAAGCCTGAAAGCGATGATAAGATCCTCTGATTGATCCACACCTCGTCTGGACCCCACGTCCTATCATGGAGCCCGCCCGAAGCCTGTACAAGAAGGATGTTGATTTCGAAGCCTTGGCGCTTCAATGTCGCGACTTCGCCAAGCAGTGCGTGAAATATGTCCGTGGTATATTTCAGGCTCCTAACCCAGATTCTTCTTAGCTTGAAACCAAACAGCCAGCTGGATTTTACCGATCCTGCCGCCGTTCGGTAAGCCAGCGGAGCCTAGCGTCTGACATCCCGAGAGGAAGTGGATCTGACTTGGCATGCAGGCAGCTCACTACAACCTTGTTGCGAGAGGACTTTCAGCTCAAAGTCAAAATCCCCGAGGATCGGCTGTGTCCACCGGTATGCATGCAATATCACAATAGTGTGCAGACTTGAACTGACTTGGCGTCTAGGTCCCAAACAGGTATGTCGTCAAAATTGACAACTTGAGCCCTGCATGCATGTGTCTCACACTCAATATAGACTGAACTACATAATATGGATTCAAGATCTCATTGATTCAACTGCAGAAGGATCGAGTGAGGGGTATGACCGGGAGCGGGAAGTTGTCGGCCTCGACATGTATGCTCAAAGACCTCATGTTATCAGAGCTGGCTAACAAGGTACAGCGGAACGGGATGTATCGGGATATACCCCCTTCTTGGCTGCCAAATGCGACCCGGCTGGAAGTTCGTGGCAACTGGTATATTCTCCGACCGACTATTTTCGGCATCCGCTGATCGTCGTGACAGATATTGACCCGGGTAATATCCGTACCGCCCAGGAGAATGTCGCATTGAATGAGCTCGAATCGCGGATTCGGATCATAGAGTCGGATCCCGATGGCCCACTCTTCCCACTCGAGAAGATCGGCCGTAAAACGTGCGTTTCTCAAGACGTTGCATTGCAAAGATTATCTCTAACCACTGACCAGTCTTGATTTTACCATGTGCAATCCACCTTTCTACATTTCTCGTGACGAACTAGTCGAGTCCGCCAAACAGAAGAAACGACCTCCGTTCTCGGTAAATGAACTCTCTCCCCCTGCCCCCCTGCACGCCCATCACATCTTGCAACCCTGTCTGATTGATAAATGCGTGCTGACTGTGCGCTAAGGCATGCACCGGCGCCGAGGTGGAGATGGTGACCCGTGGTGGAGAAGTTGATTTCGTGAAGAAGATGATCGACGAAAGTCTGCAGCTGCGTGGCCGCGTTCAGTGGTACACATCAATGCTAGGCAAGATGAGCAGCGTCTCTATTCTTGTTGAGGCACTAATCAAGTACGAGAACCACAACTATGCCGTCACCGAGTTCGATCAGGGGGCAAAGACAAAGCGTTGGGCCGTAGCATGGTCTTGGGGAGACCGAAGGCCCCCGATGGTACGTCCGAAATTGAGCCGTTTAGTGCCTACTCCGTGTTTCCTTGGTTTTCTATGGCTGACCAACTCCAGAATGTGGCGAGAGGAATTCCTAACCTACCCAAAAGTTTTCTCCCCTTTCCTGCTGATTATACTTTCACACTTCCAGTTGATGCGGCCATTGACGCGACCAGTGAGACGCTCAACAAGGAGCTTGCTTCCCTGCCTTGGCATTGGAGTTGGAATGACAAAGACTCCACAGGTAAGGGTTTCGCCTCCGAGAATGTCTGGTCTAGACAGGCTCGACGGAAAATGAAGCTTGCCGAAGGGAATGATCAAACCAAGTCCAAGGAAATGCCTTCGAAAGTGGCATTAGGTGTTTGTGTACGCCTACGCCTAGAGCTGGGAGATAAGCCGGAAGAAAAGAAAGTGCAGACCCTTATTCGATGGACTCAGGGGACGGACACTGTCCTCTTCGAAAGCTTTTGTGGCATGATTAAACGCAAGCTAGAATCGAGATGAGAGTACAGAGAACAGAAAAAGGCAAGGAAAACAAGGACCTTCGAAATTTGCTAAACTCAAAATTGGCATGAAAATGCAATGAGCCAAAATCCTCATGGAATCATAACTAGTATCAAGTTCTATATCTTCTAGTTTCCGGTAACCTCGGATTGCAACTCCTTCAGACGATCCCAGCCCTCAGTTCCGTCCCAGAAGTCCTTACCCTTGCCCAAAATACCTCGGACAGCACTTCTGGCCTTGAAGCGCCAGTCCTTGGCAACGAGCTCGGCTTCTTGATCTCCCTCAAGCTTCTGACCTTCCCGATCCATGGGGCCGAACTTGGCATATCCTTCACGCACAAGCTTCTCTGTGGCACGCACAACCTCAAGCCAGGGCTTCTCGTCTCCCATCTGGAATGCACCCTGAGCATTGGCAGCCACAGTCGCGCGCCAGGCCTTTTCGTGAGCATCAAATGCCTTGCTTGGACGATCACGGAACACTTCAACGCGAGCAACGATTTGCCACAGAATGGCTGAGTGCGTGATGAGTGGGACCACATTGTTGTCGACCAGAGAAAGGATTTGACCGGGGATAGTACCGGTGCGAACAATTGGGGCTTCGGACTCATCGTCGGAGCGGATGAGCAGGTCTTCATAGGCGAAAGCGGTGTTGAGGAAATCGACCAACATGCCCAGAATAGCCACGTCGACGCACTTCTCTCCGCTCTTTGCGCCAATCAGCTCAATGATACGCCTTTGTGCGGTGATGACATCGCGGAAGGGTGTGGCGGGTGGTGGAATGGATGCAGCAACGGTCAAAACGTTATCCCAAATGCGGGCATCAGTGCCCTTGAGCTGGGCAGCGCGCTGGAGCGCGGAAAGTGCCTCACGCTTGCGCTTGTGAGGGTCCACGTCAGCAGGGGTCTCTCCAGTGACTTCATCGACTGTATCGGGAGTGGGCTCTGGTGCAGAGGTCCGAAGCATTGCTGCAGCAAGGTTACTCCACGCTTGACCATCTGTGTCATCCAGCTGAACAGTGCGGGTGAATGTGTCGGTGGCTTCTTGCCACTTCTGGAGTTCAAGCTGCACACATCCGAGAGCGAACCAGGCGCCATGGTTAAGGCGGTTGATGTGTAGACTCTTCTTGTATGCGGCCTCGGCCTTCTCCAGCTCGGGAGGAGAAGAAGTGAGATAGTGGCGGGCCAGGGAGCGCTGGGCGCGAGCGTATCGCTCACCAGACACTTCCCATGCGCGCTCGTACATCTTCTCGTCCTTGTTGATATCTCCCAGGATACAAAGCAGGCGTGGTGCGTCTGCGGGCAATGGCGAACGCTCGGGTCCCTCGAAGAGTTCATTTTCGTCGTTCTCATCCGGGCCGGTAGCCTCGTAGAGTTGGCGACGGATGAGTGCCTTTGCCTTCCCTTCACGCTCGGTGGCGGCGTAGCAAAGGGCGGCTTCAGCCCAAAGGTGAAGTCGCTCGTAAATCTCGAGTGCAGTGCGCAGACCACCGAGGTCGACCCAGCGCTTGGCGAGTTCAGCCTCGAGACTCCAGCGAGTCGAGAAGTTCAGGATCCAAATGTGTTCGAGTCGCTCAGCAGCAGGAGCAGATTCGGATTGTTCGGGGCGCGGCAAGAAAGTTGAAGGCTCGCCCGACTCGGTTTGAGCTGCGTCGTCACTGGTCGCGGTATCAGCGATGACCTGGTCGACCAAAGCCTGCATCTGCAGTACGGCTCGCTCGACTGTACGTGATCGGTAGCCCTCTACACGACTGCGCACCAAGAGGGCCTGTGTGTAAATTTGCCAGTTGGAGCTACCGCCATCGAGGACACGGGTAGCATAAGGGTTTGTTTCTTCACGAGTGAGACCGTTCTCAGGAGCTGTGTTGGTAATAGCGGATGCTAGTGCCAACAAGAGAGCCGAATCCACTGGGTTGAGAATTGGCTGGTTGTTGGCATCGATGGACTCCAATGAAGCCGAGACTTTGTCTTGGATTGCTAGAGATTCTTCATCGGGCTTTTGTTCGGAGAAGGAGATGGACTCGAGGAGTGTGTCGTCATTCAAATCCAAGTTCTTGGGCCCGGAAGGCTCAGAGGCCAGTGATGTCTCATCAGCACTCTTGGCGAGCACAACCAGTTGACTGATATCCCGATCTTGGAACTTTGTGCGCTTACCCATCTTACCAGTCAAGGCAAACTCGAACCTCCGCACCTTGGCCGCTTCGTCAATATCTTCGCGAGCCTTGGCGTCAAAGCTATGGTGGGTGTGGATGATGGCTCTTTCCAGCAGGAATCGACCCCTCTCGTCAGCAGTCAACTCGGCCTTCTCCAAAGCTTCAACATCTTTGTAGATCACATCTTGCAAACTACTTGTAACCTCCGAGAGCATCTTTTGGTGGAGGAAGTTAGCACGCATGCGTGCAGTCTTAGCATGGAGTGGCCCATCGGTAGCTGCATCAGACAACAAGGCCTTGGCGACAGCGAACAGTTCTGGGTTGGGTGTGAGCCTGTAGGCCGCTTCTCCATCCACCGAGAGATCCCTGATGATCTTTGCCCGCACAGCTCGGAGGGTCTGGTGTTCACTTCGGAGAGAGGATGGGAAAATGGCTTCGGCCGAGCTGAATTCGAGGGGAGGTCCGGTGACGTTGGATTGCAAGAAGGCGAACAGAGCTGCTAGACCGAGATGCAGCAGTTGTGATTGTTTTTGTTCGGTAGATTGATCATCGTTTGACTGGAGAACGGAGCGAGCCTGCTCTGCCACAAAATCGGTGTAGGAAATATCACCGCTTGCGACTTGCGCAAGTGCCTCGCTCGACTCATGACCCAACACCTTCTGAGAGAGGGGCAGGTTGATGATTGGGACGATGTTGCTTGTCGTCAACCGGATCGGATCGAAGCGGTCCTTGACAGGAGATGCGCCATCGAAGGCGCTATCTAGCGTAGACGGATATTCAGGAGATTCAGCCATCGTCAACAACAATTGCCTAAAGTTGAAAATGAACCCCGCGATCTTTTTCGATTTTTTTGCTTATCGATAGTGTGTGGATAAGGGCAATGCGTGGTGTTAACACATCAGCGCCCAGTTCTCAGGTACGCGCCCGTACTGCCACGCAGCCCAACGTCGCATTATTAATCCCGGTCTCCTTGGAAGCTTCCAGGGCTGTGATGAGCTCCCCTACATCCCATTCGGTCTCTCGGATACGATGAATGACGGTCTTGACGAGACCTATGTTCGGTCGCCGCTCCCAACCAGAGTGAGAAGCGCCTGCGAAAGGTGTCGGCGCCATAAATCTCGGGTAGAGCACCTTGGACCTAGTGATTATGGAATCTTGAGGCATATGCTGAACTAATATCACAGTGTGACCCTGTTAGGCCTTGCTCAGTATGTATTCGAGCCAAGGTCGATTGCCAGCCGCTCCCGACTTCAGTTCGGCCCGGGAAAGCAAACTCACTGAAGTACGCTCAGACCTCCCATGGGGGATATTTCTTCAATACTCACATTCGACTATAGGCGTCTGGGCTCCAAACAAACCAGGAATCCTAGATCTCGCTCTCACATCTCCCCAGTGACTTCCAGTGAGCATTCAATACATCGGCGTGACTCTGGTCGCGATACGGCCCTGCTTGACCAAGTTACATCGGCAGATGAACCTTCCAGAGCAAATGATGCCACACTGCCTACTGATGGGCAGAATATGCCATCGCCCATGAGCTGTGGGGAGCCTGAATCAGCTATTGGTATTGCCCAAAGGATATGTGGACTTGGTAGCCAGCGCATTGATGAGCAAATCACTTCTGCCATCCCCGGCTATCAAGCAAGCACCAATAACTCCGATACAAGTCCCTTGACAGACAGCCAACGAGTTCCCATAGCTATCATCCTGGGTCAGACATTTCCATCCATGGAGCTTGTGTTAGAACTGGTGGAGGATTACTTCGATGCCGTGCATTGGTTCTCTCTCGCGATATACGAGCCAAAATTCCGGGCTAGCCTCCTTTCCATTCAGGATGGGTGTGCCTCTCCTTCCCAGCGGCCGTTTCTCCTGTTACTATCGATGATGCTTGCGATGTCGGCTTGGTATAGATCGCAGAGGGGTGGCACTGATATGACAGAAAAGAGTCACGAAATGAAAAATTTGGGTGCGAACTTACTGAAGCTCATTGAGTCCAATTTGGTGGAGTTGATGGACACACCTTCGGTCACTGCCGCGCAGACATGTATCTTGTTGGGATCGCATCATGTCTATCATGGAAGACCCAATCTTTCCTTCTCCCTGTTGGGTGCGACTATCAAAATGTCACAGTCATTGGGGTTGCATCGAGGAAACATGCGAAAAGAATTCCATGATCTGGAAGAAAGAAAAAGAGTGTGGTGGACAATATACACATGGGACAGATTTGCGTCAATTACATATGGCAGACCCTTGGGCATCAACGACAAGGATTGCAATCTCAACATGCCATCCGACGTGCCCGAAAATCCGAAGTTCGTTGATCCGTCGTCGGGGCAGGCTGACACCATTTGCTACTCTACTTATCAACGAGAGTTGAACCAGCTCTATTTGATTGCATCTCCCGCTCTCAAAACTGTGTTTGGCTCTCGGACTCTTGGGACCTCTCAACAGCTCAATGGAGATACATATTTTGCCTTGGTGGAGCAGATCACACGAAGGCTACAGAGGTGGAGATCCTGCTTGCCAGACCATCTGGCATTGGATCTGAATCAAGATTTCGATTCCACTGGCGGGCCAATTTCAAGAGCTTACGTCCTGCAATCTTTGTCCCTTCAACTGACTTACGACAATGTCCTTATTGTGCTACACCGCCCCTTGTTGGCACGCCAGGTCGATCACCTCTATACTGCAAATAACCGATCACCCCAGGGGAGCGAAACTAGCACCCCAATGTACCATCCGAATACTTCTCCCTCCGTGGCCCAACCGAACAACACTGCAGAATCTACAAACGCCGCCACTCAAACCACCAGCTCAGAATTATGGATGAAAGCAGCAACAAGGACAGCCAGGGTGACAGAACTGCCCGCTCTCGCCCAACTAGCCACCGACAGTCACCTAGTTGCATTTCTTGCGATCAATCTGTTCAACGCTGCAATCGTCCTGGCTGTGATGGCTATCTCCGAGCCTCTGTCTGACACCGCGCAGGAAGTCAAACGGATAATTACGCGTATCTTGCGCTTGCAGGACCTGCTTGGAAGACGGTCTGCGTTATCAAAACAAAGCACCGCTGTGCTGAAAAACGTTGTGATAATGCTTCTTCGTCGTGAGTCAGCTGCCATGCTGGCCCCCGTCACCGGAAATGGTCAGATTATGGGTCAAATGCCGGTCCATTCTGTAGCAGAGCCATCTTCATTCTCCGTGGAAGACACGCTTCGGATGCCACTCGACGCCGCACTGGACCTTCGCAATCCCCTGGTCAGGGATCAAAGACTGCCGGATAGCCTGACTTCGGTCCAGTATGGTAGGTTGCCTGGTTCAGAATTCTTGTTCGAGATGCACAAGTTACTAATGCGAGTATGTGTGATAGCAATGGGCCCGGCAGAACTCTCCGTCAATCCCTCAGTACAGACTCGTGATATGGCATTTCAAGAACCTCAAATGGCCGCACAAAACAATATCTTGTGGCAACAAACAGATGATTGGAATATGCCTGGTTTCTCTCGTTTCATTCCAGAAGACACCTACCAGGGCAACACTGAAGGGGGTTTGTATTGGCTATGGGACATGACTTGGAATGAGACCGAAAGATGAATTTAGAACACATGATGTAAGTTGAGCAGAGAATTGATGAACTATAGGAAGTGATATTGTCTACTGCAACGAGTGGATCAATACTCTGATGCTACGTTTGCTGCCTTCTCGTCAACGCCCGGTCCATATATCACACTTTTGATTCCAGCGCGACCGGCAACATTCTCAAATGCCTTTTCTGCCTGAGCGAACTCGAACTCGTGGGTGACCAGACCATCCAGTCTGACCCGACGCGAGTCGAGCAATCCAATTGCCAATTGGAAGTCTCCAGGTCCATACCGGAAGCTCCCCTTGAAGACAACTTCTTTGTCACAAATCTGGCCGACCGGAAGAGAAAGATTTGGCTTTCCTAGCCCAACCTGGACGAATGTCCCGCCCTGCGCAAGAGCGAGGATACCACAATTCAAGCAAGGCTCTGCGCCAGTCGCATCCAAAGCGATGTCGGCACCCAAGCCCAATCCCGCGGCAGCCAGTAGATCTGCTGCATTCTCATCTGGTGTGCCAGAGGTCATTTGATATGTATGTGTAGCGCCATAATTAGACGCAGATGCCAATCGAGCCGGAACAACGTCCACCGCAATTACTTTTGAAGCACCGAATGCTCGTGCGACAGCACAGCAGAGCAAGCCAACTGGGCCAGCTCCGAACACAATCACTGACTTCTCCTGCATGTTGCCTGCCAGCCGGGAGCTGTGCACAGCGACACTGAGAGGCTCAATGAGTGTGCCGTCCCGTAGGGAGATGTGAGATGGAAGCTTGAAGCAACACTCTGCAGGGACCCGATAGTATCTGGCAAGCGTTCCGTTGTATGGGGGTGTTGCGGCGAAGCGCATGTCCTTGCAGAGGTTGTAGCGTCCGTTGCGACAATGGTTGCAGGTGTTGCAGGCGATACCCGGCTCCAGAGCGACGCGATCACCGACTGTGAGGCCCTCCACACTGCTTCCGCTTTCAACCACGATTCCTGTCGACTCATGCCCTAAAGTTATGGGTTTTTCGACGACATATCGACCTATCCGGCCGTGTTGCCAGTAGTGAACCTACAAAGTAAAGGCATATTGTTAATTGCCACTCACGACGTATTTCACAACGAAAGCACCAGTGCTATAACTCACATCTGAGCCGCAGAGGCCTGTCGCCATCACTTGGACAATGACATCCCGGGGAGACTGTATCGTTGGCTTGCTGCGTTCTTCGAAGGTGAATTTACCCCCTGGATGCAGCACGAAAGCTTCGTTGGGTGTCTATGGAAACGCCAAAGTCAGTAAGAACGTTGTCCAGCGCAATCGGTATCATGGCCACATGTTCGAAAAAGGACATACATGTGTCTCTTTCGTGACAGTCATATTTCTGATGGGTGCTTTGCAAGTTGCAGAGGCTTCCTAGGATATCAGTACAGCTTTAAGTTGTCAATTGCACAGGAAGGTCAATCCAGCCCAGTCATTCCCATGGACGGATCCTTCTCAGCATCTTCCGAAGGAGTACCAGCTACTCCACATGATCAAGCAGTGGGATTGCCATCCGCGATCGGATCCGGTTTCCCTCCATCTCCGTGCCATTAGTGATCGACTCTACGAAGGCTATTACTGCAAAATAGCCTAAACTCTGTCCAAATAGCCACAGAAACTTCGGGCTTGAAATTACTACCGTGGCTCTGCTCAGTCTTCAAAGACATTGGTAAAATGCCGCGAACTAAGACCCGGATGTCGATCTCCAGTACTTCTATACAACCGGAACCGCGATGTTCGCCACCGGAACCGAGATCGAGTCTCCACACCGGAACCGTCTTGACCACGCAGCTCAGCCAATCGGAACAACCAACACCGAAGCTAAAAGCAACGGGCTGGCGGCTAGGTTTCTACTACGTGATGCCGAGAAAAGCACACAATCAAAGCCGTCAATATCAGGGCTCGGGTTCGGGTTGACTAGGGAACAAAGCCGGTAGTTGTCCCGTGTCGTCCAATAAGAACCCCGGACTATCCGAAGCCCATGAAGTCGGCCATATTCCGAGGTGTGATCCCACGTCGTTAGACAGCCCACGCTATTTTCCCCGGCATCGTGGAGAAAATGGCCCTACCCCGCGGGTCAGGATCTGGGGTAGATAAATCCTGACCCCCGTCCCCCGATGGTTGGAATCCTTTCATTCGAATACTTCGGAATCACGCCGTGCTTGCTGGAAAGCGCAATTATATGCTATGAGTGTCGCCAAATCTGCCGAACCAGCGCCCTATGAGTCGATCCGGCAACGATCCCTCGCTGTTGCTGCGCAGGTAAAGGAGGAGCAGGGGTGGCTGGAGAGAAAGCTCAAACCCAAGACAGTATCGGCGAGATATCCTTTCAAAGGGAAACTATTGCTGTACGCAACATGTGGCTTTGGAAGTTTAGGAGATGCATTGTTCGGTTTTAATTCCGGTAAGAGTCATTTGATTGAATTGTGAGATTAATCGCTGACCGAATAGGTATCATGTCCGGCTTGCTGGTCAACGAGGTCTTCATATCTCGCTTTTTCAGCAACTATGGAGGTGCCGACGGGACCACAAGTGGCGTTGATCCTTCAATCACGGGCATTTCAGTCGCATGTCTACAAGCGGCGGCGGCGGTTGGATCTCTGATTGCCGGGCGACTTGGAGACATCATTGGCCGAAAGAAATGTGTCCGCGTCGGCGCATTCATTTACTTCTTCACCTCGTTCATGCAGATGTTCGCCCCTGACTTCGCTACATTCATTGCGGGTCGTACTATTCAAGGAATTGGCATCGGCTTCCTGTCCATGACGGTGCCTATCATTCAGACAGAAATCGCAGCTGCAAATCGGCGTGGTCTGATGGTTGGAATTGAATATACCTTCCAGATTGCAGGATACATGCTTTCGTGCTGGGTCGACTATGGTTTCAACTTCTTGCTACCTGATCATTTGTCGTGGCAAGGCCCTTTTATCGTTCAGATCGTTCTCTCTTTTGTCTTACTGGCCATGTCATTCTTCCTGCCAGAGACACCCCGATGGTTGGCAATCAATGGATTCGTAGACGAAAGTCTACAGACGATCGCGGATCTGCATTCCAATGGTGATACACAAGCGGATCACGTCCAGCGAACCTTCCTTGAAATCCACGAGGCGGTCATCTATGAGAGTAACCTGGGGAAATCCAGCTGGACAGTAAGTCACTCCGTATCTATTTCAGTGGCGCTGCGCCCTTCTTTTTCTTTGCCCTGCAAGATCCGAACAAAGCATAACAATCTCATAGGAAATGTTCACCCGGTATCGAAAGCGAACTATTGTCGGAATCACTGTGCAAATGTTTGCTCAGATCAACGGCATCAACATCATTTCTTTCTATCTCCCGAGTACTCTTTCATCGGCCGGTTACGACAACCGAAAATCTCTCTTGTATACTGCCGCGAATGCCTTACCTTACACAGCTGCAACAATTGCTACTTGGTGGCTCGCCGACAATTGGGGCCGGAAGCCTCTACTCATTTCTGGAGGTTAGTCTTCAACAATACATCTACCAAAAATAACCACTCGGTTAAGGAGACTGACAATGAATCTTTGAAAACAGGCATCGGTATGGCAGTCCTTCTAGCAATCGTCTGTGTCTTCACACAACTCGACTTGGACATTCAAGTCAAAGCAAACGGCCAATATGCTTTCGTCATGCTCTATAATATCCTTTACGGATTCACCTGGGGCCCTATGCCCTGGCTTTTGCCCGCGGAAATCTTCCCTCTCCGTGGAAGAAGCAAAGGTATGGCCTTGGCCACGACCAGCAATTGGGTCTTCAATTTTATCATTGGCATGGTGTCTCCTGATGCATTTGCTGGAATCCATGGGTATTTCTACATTGTCATTGCAGGTTTCTGTCTTTCCTCGGCAACCCTCGTCCATTTCTATTACGTCGAGACCGCACATCATTCTCTTGAAGAGATTGCTGTTGCATTTGGAGACAAGGCTTTCGCTGATTGTGACGTTGAAGTCATGGAAGAAGCTAACAGTGAGACCATTGAGCATTCTGCATGAGTACAATAAGTTGTCAGAGTTTGCGAGCTGCCCTTTTCTTGCCCAGGTGTATCTTGATGAAATGAATTGCATTGGACGGGAGAGGTTAGCTATATCTCAGTGCCAAATCCATCACAACATTGCTTTAATCCATGTTCCATATAGTAACACCAAACAATCTTGGAACGGGATCCCCCGGCATTTTAGGTAGAGGCATGCGCATGGTTTCTCAGAATCTGGTTCAAGCCCTCACGTTTTAAGCATGCCTCAAAGTGGAAACTCCTGGCTAGATCATCGAGATCTTCCTCGCTCGCTCCCCGGAACAACTCAGCAAAATCATTCACGAAAGATGCCGCCAGGAATGTGTTGAACACATTGCGCATAACATGCATCTCGGTGTTCCAGGACGTAGGATACGTTTCCTTGGCAGTTGGACTCACACTGTCGATCCAATTGACCAGTGGTCTGAGTGCAGCCTCTGGTTCAGAAGCAGGCCGCTGACCCCATTTGTCTAGCCAAAGCTTGTTCTTCTTGTCGAGGAACGGCTTCAATGTCTTATTCCATCTGCTTTCTGGGTTTGTGTAAACCATGCCTTGAAGGCCGATATCCTTGTAGAGCCAAATCGACCAGCTGATGTTGTACTTATCATAGATGCGCAGCTGTTCCCCGAGAAGATTATACCGCTCCTGGTTCACGGCTTTGGCGTCCACGTCAAGGATCTGGTCTGCGTATACTGGACCAAACTCTCCGTTCCAGACGGGAGTCTTTTTCTCGCTCATGAATTTGGCTTTCCGTAGGTATCCGCGCTCTAGGCGGTCCTTTTGGTCAGAGGTTCCCTTGTATGGATCACCAGTTGGGAATCCCATAGACTGAAAGAACAGTGAGCGGAGCCATCATTATAGATATCTTTAACTGAAGACTCACTGAGTAATCGTGCATAGCGTATACGCAGTTTGGCAGAACTTTGTCAAATCCCTTCCATTCCATTGCAAAAGTATTTCCATCCAGCCATAGTATGTGGTTCGGATCAATTTCTCGAATGGCCTTCTCAATGCGCGTATAGAAGGCCGGGAGACGCACATGCTCCGGATCGCAGGGTTCGTTGAGGGGATTGTACCCAGCAACCCAGGGGTTGTCTTTGTATCTTGCTGCAATCTGTTCCCAGAGCCACACCGTTCGATCTTGGTGGTCCTTATAGTCCCAGAATGCCGCATAGCCGGTCGGATTGTCGGAATGCCAGTCTGGGTTTTGACCGCCGGGGACGGCGTGCATGTCCAAGATGGTATAAATGCCTTGTGCTGCGCACTATAAAGCTTGTCATCAGGACCATGCTCTGTATATGTCGGAGATTAACGCGTCTGAACATACCAGGTCCACAACTCGGTCCAAGTGCTTGAATCCCGATGTCTTCAGTACGCGGGGATTCATATCGTCTTCGAAATGCCGATAATTGAATGGTAGACGGAGGCAGTTCAATCCAAGCTGTGCGAAGAATTTTGCATCGGCTTCGGTGAAGAAGTATTCAAGCCATTTATCGAAGAAGTATTCGTAGTTCTTCTCTCCGAGAACTCGACGCATGGCCGCACGATGCTGGGCCTCATGGCCCGCAAAGCCTGTAATGAAATTCTCCATGCTGATTGAGGAGATGTTAGCACTCTTCAGTTCATGTTCTGTACTTTGAAACCGTCTCACTTCATCCATCCCCCGAGGGCAGCTCCTCGCATGACAATATTGTGGCCATTGCCGTCCACAATCTTGTCTCCCTTCACGCACAAAAAGCCGGTAGTCATGGTTTTGATATAAATTGATACTTTGGGCAATTCTTGATAAGTATCAAAGATCTGAAAGTTCTCAGATCTCGCCGAAAGATCGAGCTTCAATTATATCCGAGACCATTATAGCGGTTCAAGATACACCGAACGCGGGGAATGGGATAAATGCGTTGCTTGGCAAGCTACCCAAAGGTAATTCAGGCTAACACGTCATCCGACTCCGGTTAATGTTGTCGTATTTAACCCGTAAAGCAGCTAGTTTGCAGGGCTGCTGCCTTTGTCTGTATGGGTTCCCCGCTTGATCCCCATCCCGAATAGTGACCAAAAGAGTCAGCAGTTGAACATACCTATACCGATGCAGACGAGCAAGGAAATCCAGTGCTATCCGCCCTTCTTATAGAGTGGTGGTTGCTCAAGGAGAAAAAAGAGTGAAATATGGCGAAGGTGAAAGTGTGTGAGAGTGTGAGAGAGAGGAAACTTTCCAGGACGCCTTTTTTGAGGTAAATTGACAGCATGATTCTTTCGGCCCACCTACTTTACTTCTCTCTTCTTCGGCTCTCAGAAGTGGCAATGTGGGAGTATGATCATTTCCCATGATATATTAGCTCCCTTAAACCATAGTTCTGGTTTCATGTTTCCCATTCAAGGTTCCCGTAGATACAAGTACTTAATGATAGTAACATTATCCGTGCTTGTCTCCAGCGTGCTTCCCAAAGCCTCATGGCATCTTCGATATGTTTCGAGTTTGCAGAATTCTTGATTCCACCAAAGCTTCTACTACATATAGCCTCCTGTGGCTGCGAACGTGTTTTGGCCTAGCTCCCGCGCCATTCTTTCAGCACTGGGCATCGACACAGATGGCGGTAATGTTCTGACATTCAAGATCGCATCCTCGTCTTCAAATGCCTTTCGAACGATCGTTGTTGCAGGAGTGCTGGTAAATAGAATCTTGACCGGTGCAGACGTATTTTGTCTGTTTGATATCTCCAGGAGCTTTGCTAGAACGGGAAGCGCCTCCCCCGAGTACTCCTCTCGCTCCAAAAGTATGATTCCGTCAATAATGCAGCAGAGAGTTCGCGTGATGGGGAGCTGATAGATGAGCAGTTCTAAGATCTCGAACATTTCTTCTAGCCTGCTTGGATCGGTCAAATGAGAAAGTGATCGCATTTCAAATCGATGCTGCCGAAGCAACTGATCAATCAAACTTCTGGTCATGATATGGGGATAGCCCCAGGGCTTCTCGTGCAAACGGTCGATGTGCTTTCCTCCGAACAGTATAAGCGGCAAGTAGCGTGGTCGGGATTTTAAAACCCCTATCATCGTACTGCACAGGACTGAAAACGGTGATGTGTTGCCAAGGAATCTTGAAGGGCGAGGATCCCAGTGGAGTAGCAATTTTGTCGATGTTGGGAGCACCAGCCATTGTTGGAATTTGTCCATTTGAATTACCTGTTCTGCTTGAGCAAGATCTCTTGATGGAAACATGGACTTTATGCTCAAAATGCTGGCAATATCTTGTAGGTCAATGTCCTGAGTGTCAATGATGTGATGCAATGCTTCTTGGCTCATGTAGAATCCCATGGCTTGAACTTCCGGTGGAGAGGCATGCTCAAGATAATGGCCTGAAAAATTGAGTTCTCAATCAGTCTCTTTCCAAAATCTTCCAGGGAAAACATCGAACTCACGTAGCCCCTCTATCCTGGACATTATTCGAAGTTCATGCTCAATCAGAAGGTCTTTCATGCCGTTCAGCCCTTCTGAAATGTTGGCTTGCCCACTTAACATTCGGTCTTGATTTCGCTTGAGATCTTCGTTGTCTTGAGAGGGAGCGTTAACACATTTCTCAATAGCAACATCACTTGTACTCGACTTCACGGAGCACAGATTTCCCGTCCAGCTCTACTCACATATTTGGGACTGGTGCATATGGGACTTTTCAGCCTCTGTGTGAAGGGCCCTACTGTCCGAATCGATCTGTCGAACGCTCTGCACTAATTTCTGTCCATAGCCATCACCAGTAAAGATGGCTTTTCCAGCCTGACCAACTGCATGATGATGAGCGGGGTTCAAGTAAGATCGAATTGAGCTTACATTCGTTGGCCGTGAAGAAAGCGATAGTCTGTTCCACGGCACTCAAAATGGAAATTGTCAACTCAGTAGACGCTTTTCGGACATGCTCATCGTCCGGGAACATTCCGACAAAGAGTTGTATATCAGAGAATCGGGCCTCGAGGTTATCATCGTCAGCGACTCCCAAAGCTTGTGCGCGCCTATCTGCCGCGACTTTCATGGCCTATGCACAGGTCAATTATGATTCATGTACACCGTTGATAAACTGAGTCCTTTGCGTACATCCATAATGATCGTCACAGCTCCTAAAACTGGCGTAGAGTACATGTTGTCCGGGGCTAAAACTTTTGCTATGCGGGCTGTCTCGGCGATTGGGGAGATGTTGTCGGCCAAACGGCGCCAATTCTTTCGAAAGCGCCCTCTAATGGACTTTTCTTGGCAGTATTTATCCTTTGCTGCGTCCAAAATGGCGTAAACTGACTCCCAGTTGTCTTTGTCCCGGATGCCAAAGCCATTCTCGTTGGCCCTCTTAGATTCTGTTGGACGAAGCTTGAAACGATCCATCGAAGCTGCAAAAATTGCATTCCAGAATTTCATTGCTTTTTGCTCCGTATAGAACGGTCTCGGACTGATTTGGGATCTCCGCAGTGAAGACTGTTGCAACTTGCTGTCCTGAAAGTCGTCATCATTGATTTTCTGTACAATAATAAACGGAGTCTCGTTGGGGACAAAGCGTTGTGCGGAATAATCATAATGGCAAACGTCTTCAGCAAACATCGGATGATAAGTCTTCAAGCGATGTCCAATAAAATCCACGGCAGGTGGCTGTTGACTTATATGAGGAACGCTGTATCTGTTACTCTCCATTGCCGGCGTCATCGGGAGAGACTCGTGAGACTGAGTCTCGAGGGGCAAAGTGTCGAAGTAGTGGCTGTGGGGCTGCAAATGCACGCTAAGTATGCACCTCAGCCCTCGGATGATGAGTGTCAGCTTTCATTTCCTTTTCCTCGATAGCGCTGACCAAACGGCCCCCGATAGGAACACTTTTGGGCAAAGACGGAATCTTCGTGCATTAGTGAGCCGCCATTCTAACCAAAAGAGGCTGGGCGTATTTGCTACGCCCAATAATGGCAGCTATACTGCCGCTAGCTATCGGCTCTAGATGCAATGTGCATCAGCAGAATGGCTAGAGCGGCACAAGCAAAGCAATTCATGGATCTCACTGTGGATTGATAATGTCCCCTCTCTCTGATGTGTGCAAACTCATACGACTTGCACCTGGAGCACTATCTATCCTGTGGTCTCTGGTCTTCTTTTTCTTGAAACAAGCTTCAAGCACAGTATTGAAGACTACGGCCACAAAATGGAGCAGCAGATCAGTCACTCCGGTGACGAAGGATCTGACACGGCGATGCCCCATCAACGTCAGACTAGTGACTCCGGAGACATTATGGGCAATGAGTCAGATACAGAAATGGGGGACTCCTCTGCTGATGATTGCCGTGCCACGTCCTCCTCGAATGTACACGCGGACGAGATAGCCTTCATAAGAAGGAGACTCGAGCAGCTCGAGAGCCGGAGCCAGGGAGAATCTCGACCCCCGAATCCCCATGGTGCAGAGAGCTCGCATCTTCCTGCCGTGCCAAGATCTTCGGAATATCAAAAAATGGAAAGGCTTATGTATAAGAATCGGAAAAAGTGGCAGACTTCCCGTGAGAGGAAATGGCGCATGAGGTGCCATTACGTTAGTGACGACGAAAATCGCAACAAAGTATACAAGCCCGAATATACCCGGCAAAGATTTGAGCATATGACACCCGATCTGGAAGTGGATTTTTCCGATCTAGCGCATCAGATCAAGGCGGATACTGAAGAAGAAATGATACCTTCAGAATCTCATGATGCTCGTGATGCTCGTGATACCGAAGCCTCGCAGCCTTTGCCTTTGCCGGGATCTCGGGGATACCAAAAGATGGAGGACTGTCTGTATAGACACCGAAAGGAGTGGGAGGATTCTGCCGACACGAGATGGTACATGCATGAGGTCCCTGACTATTCTGAGCTTCGTGCGGATGGCTACTATCCATTTCAATCGGATTATGTTCTCAGGCATGAAAATCCGTACCCACGGCCAGATCCATTTGATGCCGCGCACAAGTGCAAAGGGAGGATGAATGAAGAAACAGAGCCTGATGAATATGATCGAGCCATTGATTTTGGCAGTCGGCGTGAAAGATTGCGAAAGGGATTCGAGTGGGAACTGGACCGTCTCTACCTGATGGAAGAGCTTGACAATCGTCAGCGCACGCAGAAGGACGAGAAACTGAAAAAGCAAAAGGCAGATGCTGAAGCTTCCCAAAAGGACAAAGACCCTGACAGTACTAGCATCGTCATCATTGAACCTCAGATCAAGCGAATGGATTGGTATGCCTTTAGGCGCATTCTTGGCCTGAAGAACAGGCCCAACACGATTGACATTTTGATTGGCGGACCAATCATTCGAGACTCATTGCTCGGATACGGCTCTTGGTTTGGATATTCCAATGTTGCATCCAAGAAGCCAAAAAGAACACAGGGGACTGTTTCTGCGACAGCCCGGAGTCCAGAAGACTCGCCGCTGCCCGAACGAATTCGGGTTCATTCCGCTCCTCTTCTGAAGATCATGTCCAAGATTCTAGGCTCGGATGGCAGTTCTCTGGAAGGGGACACACCGGTTGTTTTCCTCCGTCCATACAAAGCTTTAATGTTCTGTGAGGAGCAACTTCGACGTGGTTACACAGAACTAGAGAAAAAGTTCACTGTGTCTGCTGATGCTCCTGTTACAGAAGTGACTGAGCGTAACACTTCGGATGATTTGAAGCCTCCAACTAGAACGCGAACCGTCGTCGAAGTTGAAGAAAAGACTGAATCTCCCTCTGTCCTCGGATCTGCCATTGAAGATATGGAGGAGGACGACGAATTTTATGAGGGTGAGGATGAGGATGAGGAAGAAGAGAACGAAAAGGAGAATGATGAAAAGCCAGACGAAGAAACAGGCTCTCTCATCACTCTCAAGCATCTTCGGTGTCTCCTTCAATTCATAGATGAAGACATCAAACCAAAGAGAGACTATGTGCAACGATTTGAAAGCCGGAAAGCTTTCTTCTCTGATCTCTGGTACGTCTTCAGACCAGGGATGGAAGTGATCAGCAACGATGGAAAGCAGGCATATCGTGTTATCCAAGTCAAAAGCGCTCGACACCGTGTCATTCCTCAGTGGAAGAGGTTCCAGTCGAACGGCGATGACAACGAAGGGAAAAAGCCAGATGCTCCTTTCAGTCTCCATTGCGTATACATCGATTTCGATGGGAAAAACCTTGGGCCCGTCTCTAAAATCTTCGAATTCAAGAGATTTGACGGCCAACAAGACATCACTTCCCTCGAAGTATATCCCCTCAAGTTCTATCAAGGGATGCGATCAGATTTCAACGACGAGGAGTGGCAAGGCATGGACGGACTTCCGCCATCATCCCGCAGCGATCGCTATCGTCAAAAGCTCATCGAAAGAGGGCGGAAATTCCTTGACGTGGTTGGTGTGAAGCACATGTACTACGCCGGACCGACTGTGGGGGTTCGTGATGAAGTCGAGAGTCAGGTCGTCATCGATTTTGAAACTGCGTTCGCTGTCGAAGACGAAGAGCAGGCTAAATGGAAGCCCACGCTGGAGTTACTCGTTGGTCGAGCTGCTGAAGAGGCTGACGAGGAAGACAAGAATTGCTCCGCCAATTGTTGCCGAGCAGACCAAGTGCACGATGATACTTATATCGACAATAAGCAGAGAACCGACTATATCGATAGTCTTTTGCCCAAGGAAAACGAGGCGGAGAAACCGTTGCTTTCCATCATCCCCCGTTCCCTCAAGGAACTCCGAAATGGCGCAAGCAAGAGCTTCGCTATATCAGAGGACGAGTTTGCCATCATGTCGTATCGTGTCTTTGGCTTTGTGCTTCGCACGAGAAAATGGGGTATGTTCCATCGACCGCTTTGAATAGATCGATAGTCGTTGATTGCTAACTCAATCCTAGCCAAGCTAGACTTGTCTTATTTGACAAATGTTCAACAGCCAGAAGCTCAGAATCTTGCCGAGAAAGATTTGAAATCTGGTGAAGATCAACAAGACTCCAAGACGGCCTTTGAGCGCCTTGTTCTAGAAGAAAAGCACAAGGACATGATCATATCGCTCGTCTCTCAGCATTTCCGAGACAAAGGCTCAGCGGCCAACCATAGAGAGCAATTTGATATTGTTCGCGGCAAAGGTGAGAGGGTTTGCGAAAATGATTCGAGACTGAACTGACAGCTGAGCGACTCCTAGGGAAGGGTCTCATCATTCTGCTTCACGGCGAACCCGGAGTTGGAAAGACATCGACAGCAGGTAACGCTGAGCCTTGTGATGAGCCGAAGTGATAGTGAAAGCTGACTTGGGCTATAACAGAGGGTGTTGCAGAGCAGTTCCGGAAGCCTCTGTTTCAGATCACTTGTGGTAAGTTGATTCAATAGCACTTCACCCAAGTCAATTCTAACAAGCAGCCAGGCGATCTAGGAACAACGTCCAAGGAGGTGGAGAAAGCCCTCGAAACAACCTTTGCTCTTGCCAATCGATGGGATTGCATTCTCCTCCTTGACGAAGCCGATGTGTTCCTCTCTCGGCGAACCAAGGAAGATTTCCAGCGAAATGGGCTGGTAGCTGGTGAGTCCAATGCAAATCCGAGCTGAAGTATTCGGGCACGAAGCTTATAGATTCAAGTCTTCCTCCGAGTCATGGAGTACTACGCTGGAATTCTCTTCCTGACCACCAATCGTGTCGGAGACTTTGACGAGGCCTTCACATCGCGTATCCATGTCAGTCTGTGGTATAAACCCCTGGACGACATGAAGACGGTCAATATCTTCAAGCTCAACCTAGAACTTATCAAAGACCGCTTCACTCGCAAAGGCCGCAAGATTGTTATCGAAGATGTCGAAATCGGAGCATTCGCCCTGAAGCACTACAGTGAACACAAGAGCGCACGCTGGAACGGCCGACAGATTCGCAACGCATGCCAGACAGCATTGGCACTGGCTGAATATGATTCTCAGGAGCTGAGCCAGAAATCACCCGAAGCCCCAGACGTGACTGTGAGACTCGGCGTGTCGCATTTCGAAGTCGTTCGTGATGCCTATGTCGAGTTCACCAGTTACATCGATGAGCTATACGGCACGGATGCCTCCAAGCGTGCCCACGAGGAAAAGCTGCGCACTGCGAAGCCTGTCAATCACTCTCATAATATCCCAAGCCAGAGCGGACCAGACTTCGCGCAAATGGCCCGTGGACAGATGTCAACTCACGCCCATCTGCCTGCTCAATACTCGAACCCGGACTTTCAAGCGATGAGCCGCCCTGGGATGACGTCTCAGCTGCAGAATTACGCGCTCGGGAGTTATTCGAACACTGGCCAACCAATGTATTCAGGTTATCCGCAGGCCCCGGCACAAGAGCGACCTGGCATGGGCGATGAATGGAACCCACGCGGTCCTATGCCGGCCGCGGCGCCAGATACTCAAGACCCTATGCGGTACCAGTCAAGTCCACGGGCACCAGGCCAGGTCCAGCGGCCATTGACTCCAGACTCGCGATCTCGGGTCGTTCATGGCGTTGAGGCTATGTATGAGGGCACGATGTCTCAAGGACATGCGCACGAGTCTCCGCGTCCCTTTGCCCCATATGGTAGAGGGTATGAGCTTTAGTTATATGTACGTTGACAGATATAAGAAATGAACTGCGTGTGGAGCAAGAGCTCAGGCATACCTGAGTACAAGAATTGTATTATTCACATAAACAATAAGACATGCGCCAATGAGCATCAAGTTAAAGCCACCAGGGTATTTGTATGACGCGAGAGCAAAACAAACGAGCAACGCCAACCGAATAAGCCGCCAAACGCTCAGAGAACAAAGACAACCGGAACATTCTACCAATCCTGTCCGCGGTCCCGCATCAAGATTTCAATGGCCTCATCTTCGGGCACAGGGTTGTCATTCAATTCTTTGACACACTTCGTAAGGCCCTCGGCAGCTTCGTCCACTTGCTCTGCGGTCCAACTCGTGCATGCCATCACCATGCGACGGTAGTTCTGGCCGAGCACGGCGTTTTTAGCCTTCAATCCATCCACTTCGGCTAGAATGCCTGCGTTGAACTCTTTGTAACAGTGTGCTTGCCGTCTCAGCGAGTCCGTAGAAGGTAGAGCCTCCAAGAACGCGATTTGCTGCTCCGAGAATCCGGATGCAGGGTCAAATTTCTCGGGGAACAATGTATCAAACGTCGCGACGTCCACACCAGAATCTCGATCGGCATCACCCACAACGACTGTTTTCGTCGCATCGAGTCCTGGTGTGTTCTTCACTGTGGCCAACAACCCCTCGGAGGATCGCTCTAGGTTCTTGATCCGACGGTCAAGCTCCACACGCTCCGATTCCTGTCTGCTAAGTTCATCGTATTGTTTCTGCTCAATCTGCCGAGCTTTGGCAGATTCGCGGATCTTCGTATGCCAGTGGTCGAAACTTTCTTGTTTCTGGGTCAGAGTTGATGCCAACTCTCTATCGATTCCACCTAGAGTTTCTTCCACCATCGCATTGATCTGTGACAGTGCCGCTAGATTTCATGTTAATACAAGAACATACTGTGGTCTGGGATATTGCTTACCATCCAGGATCTCCTTCTTTGTCTTCGCTAGCTGGTCGATGAAGGTGTCATTTCGATCAATCGCTTGCTGGGATTGGGGATTTCCATCCACCATGTCAACACCAACACCATAATCAGCTGGTCGAAGACCGGTGTGGTTGGGGATGTGGGGATCAGCGCCGACTTCCAATAGTTGGGGAACGAGGACTGAGCGCGCACGTCCAGCTAAATTGAGAGCTGTGTCGCCTTGGTCGTCCCGCAGATTGACGATCTCGGAGATGAATCGTCCCAGGGAGATGACATCGCCGCTAGGGGCGCCGTTTGATGTGTGATCTCCGTTCGTGGTAGGAACGATGCCACCATGGCGTACGATAAACTCAAGGAGGGCTTCCAAGTAATGCTTGGCGGAAACATGCCCACCGCCGCCAGTCGCAGCCATCATGGCAATGTGGTGCAGGATGGTACGTCCGCTGTAATCGACCATGTCAATCGTTGGGGCGAGTACCTGCAGCAAGCGGGGGAAGCTTCGATAATCAAGGTTATTGCGAGTACCGACAGATTTCTGCAGAGCAGTCTCTCCTGCGCCATTCACGCGGGAGATGCTAACGCCTTTGGCCACCAACGCATTCAAAAGTGACATGCGCGCGAGCATTGCCGCCCAATGAAGCGCATTGTTGCGATATTCGTCGAGGGGTATTTCGAGATCGTCGCCGGTCAGCTGCAACAAAGCAGGGTGGTTGGTGAAGTCTTTTGTTCGTTTGTCGAGAAATAGAGTCATGATCAGCTTCATCTTTTGGAACCGCTCGGGGGTGGAAGCAGGGGCCAGTGACTCGACTCCGCGCTTGGAGCCATCGTCGGTGGGGGGAGGCAAGACGTCCATGTCTTGATAGAAAGAGTCGTTAGGTTCGGTCGGTGTAGGGTCTTGCATGGAGACATTGGATGGTTCACGAGCAAGACCGGGTGGGGGTTGGTGTGAGGTAGAGCGCATGCGTTTGCGTGGAGGTTCTGCAAGATGATCTTGATCGTCCTGAGTCTGGTGTTTGTTTTGCAAGCTACCAAACCCACTGTCGGACATGCTGTACATGCTTTGCTGACTACTGAAGGGAAGCCCGGATTCTTGGCTGCTCATTTGTTGGGAGGGTTTGCGAACCATGCTTGGGCGGCGACTGCTGGAGTTAGGTGAGTCGAAGCGCGCTTTGCTAAGCGCATTGACAGCGGTGGCAGCAGTGCGAGAGATGTTTTGGAAGAAAGTGCCCTGCTGCGGCTGTGACGAACCACGACTCTCCCCACCATTGTATAGACGCTTGCGCTGCGCGGCCATGGCCTGCTCCTTGGTGGGTGTTTCTATGCCTCCTTCGGCAAAGGATGTAGAGCCCGAATCGTATTCCAGTAACGGTCGAAGGGCTTCCTCGACGTGGTACTCTCGACAGAGATCCACCCCTCGCTGGTAATTGACCCAGGTTCCCTGATATTTTCCGTAGCCGCCCTGTACCTTCTCGTGTTCACCTGAGGCAATCTCCTTTTCCAGGGTTTTCGTGCGTCTCGCCTTGACAACGCCAGCGACTTTCAAAATTTGTGTAGCATTCAACCAAGAATCGGACCGACGTTTCATAACAGCAACGCCATTTACTTCCATCTCATAAACGGCGATCTCGGAATATACGGCCTGTTGGGAACCCAGTCAGCGGTGTTGGAGGTTTGAGTGTAAAAGACCACGAACTCGATAAATCTGTGGTTTGTTCGCTTCCGAGTATGACATCGACCCATTGTCATTTGATCCACCATAACCTCCGAAGCTCGAGTTCCGGGGGAGGCCGTTGGAGTAACCGGAAAAGGACATATGCGATCCTTTCGGGGGCGGAGTCGCGCGAGGGGTGGAAGAGAGGGATTGCGAGGCATTCATCGAAGCATTCAACACGTTATAGGCCATTCCATTCGGTCCTGTACTGCCTTGAGAATATGACATGGTATTTCCCAATAAGATTCCCCGGATCCAATACCGACGATAGCAAGGGACAGATGCCGAATGCCAATTGGAATGACGCGAGCTCAAGGAGGCGCGTGGCTCACCCTCTGAAGGGAACAGACCAAATCAAATACCATTCAAGGCCCTGAGCCTTGACAAGAAGTATATGACAGACGATCAGTCACGATCAAACAGCGTAGATAATCCGAGTCCGAGGAGGGCTAAGTCGCGGGGCGTAGAGTGAAGAGGTCGCGTCGGAGTTCCCGTGACACGCATCTCGCCAAGGTTTTCGCGTTTCGCCGTTTTAGGGCCGTTTTTCTCTCTTCTGCGCTATACTCTTGCCATGGCCAGACCACAGCCTTCGCATTGGCTTCAGGATCTGTCAAAATCCCACCAATGGCGTCATTTACTTCGCGCCACGCTACGTGAATGCACATACCTCCCTGATCCCATCGCCCGCGAGTACATGCGAAACCATGTCATCTCGCGATATCGTGCTGTCTCCTCTCGACGTGTGAAGGCTGGTCCTCAAACAGCTCATGCAGCAAAGCATGCCTTCTCGGTACTACGGCGAGCCAATGAAGGATACCAGCGCCCACTCGAGAAAGTGTTGTTGTTATCGTACGGTCGCACGGGAAAGAGGCGCCATGCGCTGCTGGCAGACATGTTAGGAAACCATCTCCCGCAAAACACCGCCTCTTTAAAAGAATATCTTCTCCAAGCGCCTGAGTTTACCGATGGATGGGAGCCCCCGGTCATCGTGAAAAGTCTTGCCCTCGCACACGTGCAGAACCCAGTTGTGACGACGAATCGCATCAGGCCTTTGATCAAGAAGTTATCGCCACCGATCCCCAAGGAGAACAGCTGGGGAAAGGAACTGTCTGAATCGCGAAGAAAGACCATTCGGAGGAGATGGTACAACACTACACTGAGCAGTCTCATGCCGCCAATTCCAAAGAAAGAGCTCGAACTGCTCGATGGCTTGATATCGGGAACCGTGAAATGGAGCCCTGTCAAGAGGCGAAAGGTACTGTTTGAAAAGACTAAACCCCAGCCTGAAAGTGAGCTCTTCCAATTGCTAGCCAAAGGTCCTGAGAAAGGGGATACATTTGCCGCATATGCCAACGGACGGCCCCACGAGATTACAGCCAGATTCATGCGCCGTCAATGGCGCCGTCTTTCTTCTCTAGTGCCTCGTTTGTACTGGAACCCATACTTAGAGAAATGGCGCTTCACGTGGGATTCGCCAAAGGACGTTCCGGCTCTCGCGTTTGATCTGAGCAGTAGTGTTGACCCATCGGGGATTTTCCAATCCCTCAAGCAGGAGGGAAAGGCTGAGCGAAAGCCGCCTCCCCAGCAATAACATAATCTCGAACATATCTATAATATATATCTCGGAATACAACCTTGGAACATTGAAACACTACCTATCTACCTACCTAGGTACTAGTAGGTACGCACGGGTTTCATCAGGCTGAGCAGGTACACATTTTCAAGTCCTGGGGTTTCCAAAGCTGTGCCAGGTGTTTATCTCGTCCCGAGTCTGACACCTGCACAAGTGAAGGTCATTTCAAGAATTGAATGTCATTATGAATACATGAATACATGAGATAGGCGTAACGCATAAACCTTGGGCCTCGTCTTGTTCGCAACGTGAGAAGGAGAGCACTGCCCAAAGGGCATGACTTGCGTCATCAAAGACGGTATACAGGAAAGGAATCGAAGGACAAGTATCTGATCAATCAACCCTGAGACCAGCGCAGACCGAGGTATCAACCTAATCACTGTCGGAACTGGAGCTGGAGCTGCTTGAGCTGGAGCTCTTGCGCTTGTGCTTCTTGTCCTTCTTATGCTTCTTCTCCTTCTTGTGCTTCTTGTGTTCCTTGCCACTGCAGCGCATTAGCCTCAAATCCATCCAAAGAGCCGACCCAAGCCCGGAGATAGAAACTTACAGCTTGTTCGTTGCCATGTTCATGCCAACAGCGCCTAAGACAGCGCCTCCCGCGGTACCAAGCATGCCATGGCCTAGCTTGTTCCCCATGAAGCCACCGGCAGCACCACCGAGCAGTGTCGATCCCAGTCCCCTCTCGCCCTCTGGTCCTGCGGCGCCAGGCGGGCCCTGCTGGTGCTGTGCCGGTGCTCCGCCGTAGTACGACGAGCTTTCACCACCTCCCTGGTGTTGCTGTGGAGGAGGGTATGGGGAGTGGCCACGGTCCTGGGGGGGTTGACCATATTCCGGACCAGGCTGGTACTGGCCCTGCTGTTGGTATTGACCATGCTGTTGCGGTTGTCCGTAGCCATGGCTCTGGTCACCATGCGGAGGTCCTTGTCCATACTGAGGCTGACCGTAACCTTGTTGGCCCTGCAGATTAGACCAGTCAGTAATGTATATATGCACCCGATGCGAATGCCGGAAGTGAGGGTTTGGCTGTGGCGCAATACTCCGGCGCTGTATGAGGACACTCACGTCTGGGGGATAGTAGCCTTGTTGGGGTTGAGGAGAATGGCCCTGCTGGGGGTAATGGCCTTGGCCCTGTTGGTCATAGTAGCCAGCACCACCGTACTGGTTCTGCGGGGGTCCACCGTAATACGACATGATGAAAGAGATGTTGTTTAGGTTGAGTATTTGTGTTCTTTAGGTCAGAGTCAACTTCCTGAGAGTGGCTTTAGGATGTGAACGAGGAAGGTGAGATTCGGGGATGCGCTGACCATAAATACGGCATCAGCGGGACCAGCGGGGCTGAGCGGGAGGAGAGCACAGCCTCATGACATTCAGGGGTCTCGGATCGACTGCACAGCCTGCTGTGGAAATGTGGCTCAGTATTTTCAGCTACGTACGATGTAGGCAGTAAAGCGCCCATATTTTGCCATGGCTGGTGAACATCTACTCCGCATGGTGAATCCACTGCCGCCAAGAATCTCCCCGCCAACGGGCTGCAAGGAGCCGTAAAGTATTCCTCGTTCGGACAAAGATGCCTACAGTGTGGAGCCCTGGAAGGCTCAATCTTATGGTTTGTGAGGTACTACGTAGACTGCCGACCTAATTATAGCTGACCTCGTAGGCCTGTTAACATACTCCATGTGGATGCTCGGATAGATTCAGCTATGGAGTAGTACTCTGTACTGCGTATAGATTGATGGATGATCCCTGGGGATTCCCGTTCAACTCTTGACAGACACGGCATTGTTTTTGTGAGCAATAATGCTTCTTCCCACCTGGGCAGTAAAAGAATATTCGGTCCCGGAAATGCTTCTCCGAACATACCTCTCCAGACAGAGTGCAGATTCCTCTCAGCAACGAAAAGCATGCATTGGAAGTGGACCAAAGATGCTTTCTTTCATGTCCAACATGGGTAGAACACAATCCATGGATGTAGAAACGCATTTGCAGCATCTCCAAGGTTCGGTAGGTGTCCGTGGAGGCCGAACAATCCACTGCGCTGAGATCAAGTTATTAGCACCGAGTGGCCGTCCCAGCCTTTCTGACCCAGCCTCCAGGGTCCCAGAAAACCCCAATGTGGGCTCAACTCTGTGTTCGTAGGTATCATGAGCGAGTTCTGGCGCGACAGACATCTGGGCTTAGATCCAGGCACCCAGGAGAACACTGGGAATTGGCAGAACAATACCAATATGGTATCAAGGTTATAAATGACAACGCCGGAGTGGCTCGGCTCTGTGACAAACAGAGCCTCGTGGTCCTAGAGAAATAGCTGTTCGTCTTATGTGCAGATATGGAGTTGCCGTATAAAGTACTGGTCATGTTGCTGCTTTATGTCGAATGCTAGTACCAGTGATAGCCTTCTGGAGAAGTGTGCAGCGGGGCAGAGCAGCAAAGCCAATCCCATCGCGCGGGGAGGTGTTCGCAGGAACCGCGCAGCGGTCCGCAGGCACAAGCTTCGCTGGGAATGTATTGGCGCCAAGCACAGCGTGGAATTGGCGGCAGGAGGAGGCGGTGAGTCGAGATCAACAGTTCCAAGGTGATGACATTGAGTCACGTGATACTCTTGCCCGATCTGGAACTCGGATGTGCTGCCGAGGACCACGTGGCGCAAAAAACGTGGCTTAAACGTGGCGTATGTGGCGGTGCGCCACACTTTATATATTTCAACCTCCAGGATACTTGAAAACCGCACCCCTCGGATAGGGATTCGATGAAGCGGGACCGTAGCCCGCGGGGATCAAGCTCGGTGGTTGCTTCAATGATTTCCCGTCGTATCCGCGGTCGTACGGCGGCGGCGATAGTCGGATAATCCCACAGAGGATCAAAGCTCTATCCGAAGTCTCGAGGCTGCACCAAGCTTCTACCCGGGCCGCCGAGTAATGGATCAATTTCTGTTGCACTAGCTTAGGCGGTTAGGGTGTTCCGGTCGGACTAGACACCGTGTGGGGCCCTGGGATCTACAACTCCACAATCTGGGGCGGGTATGGCCCGTATGGGGTATGTAAGATCAGAAGGATGGGCCAAATCAAGCCAACATTGCGCACAATTGAGTGCTATTGAGGGGGATTGATCTTGGAGCTGATAATCTGGCAGAGCCAATCAGGGCGCTTCCTTTCGTTGATCCAAAATCGCAGGAGCCCAAGGGCCAGGGTATAAATAGCTGGTCTTTCCCCCCCGACCGGCCACTTTTTTTCTTCCTCTTCAACTCCTCACTTTCTTGAATTCCCATCTCTGCTTCTCATCTTGCATTCCCAGTCACCTTGATTCATCCTACGAATGTCTTTTCCTTTTGACATCATGTCAGACCCCATCTCATGTCGTGTGGCAGTCGAGTCCCTCCTCGAACAGATGATGATGGATCATTGCATCGTGTTGTGATTCATGTTCCTACCCTGCACACCCCAAACACTTTCTCCCTTTTACAAACCCCAAGGGCCTGGTGTCGCTGTATGTCAACCCTTTCTGTGTTGCCGTTCAAGGTCTTGGCTAACTGACCCTCACAGTCTATGTTCGTGAGATGATCTCATGCAACTGGGTAAAGACTATTGCATTGCCACGCGATGCAACTCTTCTACCCCTCTACTGCGTGCCACACCCCGCTCATGGAAAGCTTTTACTCCCTTTGATAAATCAAGGGGCTTGGTGTCGCTGTAAGTTTATCCTAACAGGGCTGAATTTGAAAGTCTTTGCTAACAGAAACCCCACAGCAACACGCATCGTCCTCGGAAATGCTCACCCTTCTGGGAACACAAATGGCAAAGTGGCGCTACTGGCCAATCCTACCTGGTCTTTCCGATTGGAAGATTCATCGTCTAGGTATGTAAGCTCTGCAGTTCCACATGACATTGCACAAGGTAACTGACATGAGTATTAGTCGCATCCATGGACAAGACTCAATCCATGTGCCCAACAACGGCGCAAAGTCAATGGAACATCTCCAACATCACCAATCACGGAGGTTGCAGGTTGCCATCAACCTTGGTGTTTTGTTGGATGATACTCTTCGGCATCATCATCATTGCCACTCTCTACACACAAAGCTTTCTGTCGAACAACAATCCCATCGCTGCATCCTACCTCGAACAACTTATGGTGCAATGCGCATGAAGTGTGATACCCATACACCTCACGGGACTCTCTTCTCTTCCAATCTATACTCTGATGATTGGAATGGCATCCCAGTTTGACGACTTGATACTGTCCTCCAGCTCCACGACTCTTATCTCCCACCGTCAAAAATCTTCGCTGCCTCCAACAGAACGGGCCCTTGACCATCAAGACTACGGCAGGGTCATCTGCATATTCAATGAATGTTTCTGTTTATACGTTCTTGATGAAACTACGGAACATGCAGAATGCAGCTGGGAAAAGAAGAGCGCTTGTGCTTCTCGGGGAGAGAGAGAGGGAGAGAGGGAGAGGGAGAGAGAGAGAGAGGGAGAGAGGGAGAGGGCGAGCTCAGGATTGGGCTGCCAGGTCCATGCCCGACGGGGGTTGTGTATGAAATAAGCACAACCTGCCTACTTATTTCATACACAACGACCGTCGGGCGGGGCCCTGGCAGCCCAATCCTGAGCTCGTTCTTTATGACCAGCGGGGGCTGGACGCGCGCGTCCTTTATCCAGCCCCCGCTGGTCATGAAGATAAAAAGGAGGAGAGCGAGTGGGGATGCGGGCCCGGCGGGGGATGAGGGTGAGGATGGCCCCCCGCCGGGCCTGCTGAAAAAGAAGGAGAGAGAGTGGGGAGGATAGGGGATGGGGATGGGGGCCCGGCGGGGGATCCTCCTCCGTTCCCAGTCATTGTCCCCCGCCGGGCCTGCAATTCGTGACGAGGAGAAAAATGGTGGAGTGGGAGCGTCCGTGGATGGAGAGCTGGCTGGCCAAGAAATTGTTCACAATCATGTTGTCATGTATTCATGGGATTGAGAAATTGGCCTCCAGAGCTTGAGGTCGCGGTTTTACGGAGGACTGGGCATGTTCTCGAGTGTTTCACCTTTCAATGGCAAGTTGATCAAAAATCGTTTTCAATGACCAACCTTGAAGCTCATTGCATGTGTTTGCAGTCCAGTGTGATTGAAATATATCAATTGATCTTTGACAGTCCTGGAGTGCAACACGTAGTGACCATATTTTTCAGGCATTAATTCCGCTTTTGTACAGTCCCCTCAACCTCAGAACACGACTTCCAAGGTTTGGTGTCAGCATCTGCCCAGGTGGTATATTAGAAACCGCATACTATTTGTTCAGGTGTACTTGAGCGCAGTATGGAGTGCAGATGACAAGGGAGGAAAACTGGTAACCATTTGGTAACTATTCCAAGGTTGTAAATCAGTCCTGTCCTTCAGCTTCACTAGTATCTAGTAGAGTACAGTCCACATCCAAGGTTACTCCATCTGATACTGGTAATAACTTGAAGCATTTTAAGACTTTGTACTCCGTAGCACTCAGACGTGAGAGTTGAAACTCTCTGATAAGGGCCGAATGTCAGATTTCGATTTGAAGCTATAAATATCCAGCATACGCGTCCTGCAGGAACGCCTCTATGGCGAGATTGGTATGAGTTCCCCTAGGTGCAATTATCCCACTCAGACCCTGAGACTCCATATTGACATATTATCAAGTTCCACATAGGCAGTACTCCATACTTCATGTATAAGTCCAGTACGATAGGTAATAGGCGACGGAGTAGTGGCAGGTTTCATTGCCAAGCCTCTGCCAATTGCGTCGGAAAAAAAAAAAAAAAAAAAAGAGACAAAAAGTGGAAATAAGTGGATAGAAGAGATCGAAGTGAAGAGACTACTTTATCTTAGACATTTGATTTAAACATCGCCTGGTCCACAAAAAAGAAAAGCAGGGGCAAGTCAGGGTCAGGGACAGGGACCTCTTTTCCCGCCAAGCAAACCTCCTTCTCCAACTTCCATTCTCGATCTTCCGCATTCTCAACACCCCTTCCTCCCCTCGTTCCTTACTCGTTGTTCTTCTTGCGAGGCTGAACCCCTGCGCCAAGAACCTCGGTCTCGTCGTGTGCTGGATGAAGTCCCGGCTCCGCCTTCTCCAATGCACAGACGCTCGTCGGGCTCCCCTGTCGAGGACGAAGATTCCTCGGTCCCCCGACCAGACGATGGCCCGAACCCCATCGACGAGAAATCGCGCTCCCAGATAGCCCAACGCGGCACCAGCTTTGACCTTCGCCGCGACGGCAGCGCAACGCCGCGCTCCCGGAACTCGAGCATGTGGCGCACCCCGTCCTCACAGCCTTCCAACGACACCAAACCGATGCCATTGGGCTCGCCACGCCTCCCCATGGAGGCTCCCTCGCCCGATGGTCGCCGAGCGCGACAATCTCGCCTGCGCAGTCCCTGGTCTTGTTCCATCCTGACTGCATTGACGACATGCGTCGCCGTCGTGGTCTTGATCTCCATCGTCCAGTCCTTCGTCGGTCGGCAGGTGGGTGGAGATGGGTGCGGCGTGCCGATGATGAGTCCCACGTTCATTCGCATGCTCGAATTCGATACCGAACACACCCGCTTCGCGAGCAAATATAATCTCTTCGTCTACCGAGAGGAGGGCGTGGACCCCTACACCCAGGATAACATCGGGGTATGGTGGCCTCGAATTGGCTGGTGTGCGCTCATCTTTGCTGACTTGTGGCTCTAGTTGAATGGCGTCCCTGTTTTATTCCTCCCCGGTAACGCCGGCAGTTATCGGCAAGTGCGGTCTCTGGCGGCTGAGGCCTCGCGACATTACTACGATGTGGTGCGACATGACGAGAGTCGCCATGCAGCTGGGACACGGAGCTTGGATTTTTTCATGGTCGATTTCAACGAAGATATGGCGGCGTTCCATGGGCAGACGTTGTTGGATCAGGCTGAATATGTCAACGAGGCGATCTCGTACATTCTATCACTCTACCATGACCCTCGGCGGACACGCCGAGACCCGGGCCTCCCAGATCCCAGTGCCGTCGTTCTTATCGGCCACTCTATGGGTGGAATAGTGGCTCGAACTGCTCTCACCATGGCTAACTACCAGGCCAACTCGGTCAACAGCATTATCACGATGTCTGCGCCCCACGCGAAGCCGCCCGTCTCCTTTGACTCGGATATAGTCCACACCTACAAACAGATCAACGACTACTGGCGCGACGCCTACGCCCAGACTTGGGCGAACAACAACCCGTTATGGCATGTGACTCTCATCTCCATTGCGGGTGGTGCACGAGACACTGTGGTGCCCTCCGACTACGCCAGCATCTCCTCCCTCGTACCCGAAACGCATGGATTCACCGTCTTCACATCCTCGATTCCCGATGTGTGGATCGGCATGGACCACTTGTCGATCACCTGGTGCGACCAGTTCCGCAAGGCAATCATCAAATCCTTATTCGAGATCGTTGATGCCAGACGCCCTACCCAAACGAAGCCCCGAGCCGAGCGGATGCGATTGCTGAAACGGTGGTACCTGACTGGTTTGGAGTCGGTGGCCGAGCGGACGCTGCCTCAGAAGGAAGCGAATACTCTTTTGACTTTGGAGGACAATGCGAACACGATTCTCGCACAGGGCCAACGGCTGATTTTGCGCGAACTGGGCTTACAGCATGGCCCAGACGTGCGTCTCCTGCCGATTCCTCCTCCGGGCGTATCGGGCAAGAAGTTCACACTGCTCACAGACCAGTCCTTGGATAAAATCGGGAACGTCGAGGTCTTGTTTTGCAGCGTTTTCCCATTGTCCAATGGTCGCTCCACCAACTTCCCATTGAACTTGGACTTCTCCGGAGGTACCGTTGGGTCCACTCGCTTAGCTTGCAAGAGTGCGGCTGAAGACAGTATTCATTTGCCTGCGTCTACCCGCTCATCGAAGCATGCTTATGATCGCAGCACGCCGTTCTCGTACCTTCAGTATGACTTGGAGGCCCTTGCGGAGCACCAGTTTGTTGCTGTTGTGGACAAGGCCAATGTCCCGACTTCTGGATTCCTTGTTGCCGAGTTCTCAGACAGCTCCGATTCCCTCATCCGGGCCAAGGTTGGCTTGGGCGGGCTCTTGAGTGCTGGTCTGAAGGTGCGACTGCCAGCCAACCGACCTATGTTGACCGAGGTGAAGATCCCGGCTCTGCACTCAAGTCTCCTTGACTACCGGCTCAAGATCACACGAGATTCTCCAAAGCAGGAACTCTTCGCTCCATTGCTTCGGCAATCTGTCTCTGATCCTCATGAGTCCAAGTTCTTCGTTAATGTGAACGAAGTGAATGTCAACCTCCATGGGATGGCCCCCTTCATGCCACCAGCGATTAGCGAGCAGGCTGCCCTCGGTGGCGTGTCCTTCCAGCTGTGGACAGACCCAACCTCCGGCTCGACAGTCGACATTTCGCTCCAAGTGGATCTCACAAGCAGTCTTGGCGAGCTGGTGATGCGCTATCGAACCATCTTTGCTGCATTCCCTTTGCTTGTCGTTGCTCTTGTCCTCCGCAAGCAGTTCCAGATTTACGATGAGTCTGGCTACTTCATTCCGTTCACCGATGGCCTGGACCGTGCTTTGCGATCGTCTTTCCCGCTCCTTTTGGTAGCCATGTCGCTACTGGCATCCTCCTTGGCAACCTCCAAGGCCTTACCTCAGACAGACGAGACGCTTCATTGGAGAACGAACTCAACTGAGACTCCCATCGACTTTACCAAGAACGATCTATTACTTGGATCTCAAGACGCATTCTTCTGGTTCCTTGTGCCAGTATTTGGGCTCATCAGCGTAGGCGTCTGTGTTCTTGTCAACTATCTCGCTTTGGTGCTCGTGAACATCTGCTCCTGGGTATACGGGGCTTTACACAGCAAGTCAGGCTACATTCGGCGCGAGGACCGGGGGAACCTTCCTATCTTCAACACCCCGACACCTCGTCGGCGCATCATTCACACTGCGATCCTCCTGATTCTTGTATCTACCGTCATCCCCTACCAGTTCGCCTACATGGTCGCTTGTATTGTTCAACTGGCCACCTGCGTGAGGGCACAGTGGCATGCCAAGGAGACAAGATCCACCTCGCATATGAACTTTGGTAACTACGCACACTCCATCCTCATCCTCATGCTGTGGATATTACCTATCAATGTGCTTGTTCTACTTGTGTGGGCCCACAACCTTGTTGTGCACTGGTTTATGCCTTTCTCATCCCACCACAACGTTCTATCCATCATGCCCTTCCTCATCCTCGTCGAGACCATGACAAGTGGTGCTATGATCCCGCGCATAACCTCCAGGTATGAACAATTCTTCCAATGTGCTCGCGTCTCAACCTAACATCTTCACAGGCTCAAACACATCACCTCAATGCTGTTCTTCGTCATCGCAATCTACTCGGCGATCTATGGAGTTTCGTACGCGTACCTCCTCCACCACCTCGCCAACCTCCTCGCTGCCTGGTTCGTCGGTATCTACCTGTTCGGCACCAACTTTTCCCCGCGCCGTTTATGGCGCATCATCGATGGCGACGAACCCCCTTCTGAATCAGGGAATAGTCACGTTAAGAAGAAGCCATGAACAACTTGTTCTATTGTTTATTTGATTCGTCCTTTTGCCACGGAGTTGACTCGCGCATATCGGCCTGGAGTTTTAAGCGTTTTCATTTTTTTTTTTTTTTTTTGTACAGGCATCGCAATTCTATGCTTTTCTTCCTGTTAATCATATAGATGTGGAGTTGTCATGACCCATCTGTGCTTGTCCCTTTCCCTCAATCCGAATCGGACTTGGTCCTGGAGACTCGTTTCCTTTCCTCCTACCGATGCACCTCTGTTCCAATTTCTCACTTTCAAAGCTGGGATACACTATCCATGTCACTTCCAAGGGGAACCTTGGGAGGATAGGAAAACGTACTAAACACCAGGATTTTCCAGTGCTTGGTGTTTTTCGATGCTTTCCAAGGTTGCTAGGTCCTGTACATATTGTATTATTTCCATTTCTGCGTCGTTTACTTGCAGTTGCGAAGCTGGACATAGGTTAATGGGGGTATGGGACGGGCCAGGTGTTTCATGTGGTTTGGTGTTGGGTGATGGATTTGTGCATCCACACAATAATTACCTCGTTTTATATTGCAATACTCACTTCGAGTCTTTTATTCGAGTCAGATCTGGAGTTTAGAACGCAACACTATCCGTACAGGTATTTTCTATAGACCTAACGAAGAATTTATCCTCATATAACCAAGGCAATGATTTCAACTCTCTGCAATTTAGAACAGACATCTAGTGTTTGGAAACATCTCCAACCTTCCCAACAATAGCAGGAATCAGGAAGTGAGAAAGAAGAAAAGATTAAATAAAACGAAATGGGGTATTTACACAGAACATCAAAAAACGGGATGGAAGCGAAAAAGAGAAACCAATCCATCAGACAGGTCCAAAGCCTGAAACTAAACCTCCACCTCCTCTCTCCTCCCAATCCTCAACCCAGCCAACTTCTTAAACAGCATCGAAGCCTTCTGTCTTCGGCCCCGAGGCGGCGACGAACTCGACACAACACACGAATACACATTCTCCTGGTGCTTGAACTCATCAGCCAAACAACTGGACGAATAGGACATTCCGCGCGCCGCCCACGTTCCATACGGGTAATTATGGCTGTGGATGTGGTTGTAATTGCCGTCTTCGGTGGAAACACTGCCCCAGCGCGGTGTGCCGGAATCAGCTCTCGATCTGGAAGTAGTTCTTGATCTAGAGGATGGTCTGGATGGGTCTGGGACGGCGAATGAGGATGGGAGAGGTGTGTGTTGGGGGTTTGGATCTTCCCAGAATGTGCGGGTGAGCCATTCTCTGGAGTCGAAGGCCATGGTTGTTGCGTTGCTGGTGCTGTAGAAGCGGGTGGATCTTTTGTTGGTTTTTGGGTCTTTGGGAGGGTCTTGAGGGGCTTTGGTTGGTTCGGGTGGTGTGAGTGGTTTGTTTTGGATGGGGAAGTGGGGGATTGATGGCTTTGTCGCTGTTGCTGCTTTGTCGGTTTCGTTGAGAGGGCTGACGGGGCTGCGGTGGGTTTCGTCGGATGGGCAGTCGTTGGATTGGGGAGGGCTGTGTGAGATTGGACTGGGGGCATGCTGGAATGATGGCTCTTGTGGGAGTGGTGGGAAGCTTTCTTCTGGTTTTGGGCTCCTGCTCCTTGGTGGACTTCCGGGTGGTGATGTGGATGTCTTGTTATAGAATCGGATCGGTGATACGGTGCCGGAGTGACAGGTGGCTGTTGGCTTGTCTGGTTGGTTCTGGGTATCATAGCTCATACCAACGCCGGAGTCATGCTTATTATCGTTCCCTGCCTCGGGGTTGACTGGTATAGGCGGGACGGGGATGGACTCTTGTTCTGATCCTGAAGGAACCGGAACCTTTCGCCGGGTACCGGGCTTCCGCTTCCCTGTCAATCGTGTCCTCGGTTTTCCTAGCCAGTTGGATGTGGTACTCTCGTTTGGAGTGTTCACCCAGTCTGGCACGTTTATCGATTTTGATGTCTGAGCTTGTGTATAGTTGGGCACGACACTCTGTCGTGGGGTTTGGGTATAGCTTGGGACGCTCTGTCTGGGAGTCTGGGTATAATTGGGCACGAAGCTCTGTCTTGGGGTCTGGGTATAATTGGGCATGACGCTTTTTCGTGGAGTCTGTGCGGGTTCTGGCACGACACTCTGTCTCGGGGTTTGGGTATAGTTTGGCACGACGCTCTGTCTTGGTTTCTCTGTCCAGTTTGGCACGGTACTCTGGTATGACAGTCCAGCTGGGATACCTCGGTCGATGCTGTGTGAAAGCAGGGCACATGCATGTTTAACATCCGCCAGGAGGTCTTCGTGGATCTCTTGACGGCCAAGTAATGGTGTTTCGGGGCGGAAGAAGCCCTCTTCGTCTGTGAAATCGTAGCCCCTGCTGGGCTCGATGTCCTGGTTCTCCATCAGGCTGGGTGTGAGGGACTCGGGGGTGGTAGCAGATCGAGGCCGACTGCTAGATGAGGTCTCGGTCACAGGTGACACTTTGGGTGTTCGGTCTCGCACTGAGGAACTTCGAGAGAAGCTGAACCGGTTGCGAATCTTTGTTGCTGTGGACAGCTTGCGCTCCATCTCCAATGTCGGTGCCGACGTTTTTCTCCGCCAGGGTGTTGTCTTTGTCGACAACTCCAAGTCGACTTTCACAAGACAGAGAGAGGGTAAACACCAAGGTCTGGGCAAGGGAACGGGCCAACCCTAATTATGCGACGCTCAGTGGCGGCTGTCCAAAATACCCCAGGAGTTCCCGGCAGGCTAAATGATTGGCTCAGAATAACAAAGAATCATTTACTTTGTGTCAGGAGCTAATCTCCTAAGTATGGATGATGTCAAAGTTGGCAGCCGGTTGGCGGTACAACTGTTAGGAATGTGTGGGGGAATGTGAACGCTGGGGGCTGTTTACTCTACTAAATACAGTACGTTTATCTCAATTATTGTCCGGGATTTTGAATGATTCACGCTCATTCGCGACGATCTAACCGCCGGAACGATAGCTAAGTCTGAGATAAGTGGATATGAAGAACAGGATAAGGCAAAGCGGACTCGACCAGATGCAATAGATTAAGGGTGATCTGGGCCCCGGCGCAACGGCCAAAAAGACAATTTCAGGGCTAGATCGGCGCCCGCTCATGAACTACTGCACGGCTCTGGAAAACCAGATAAATGACCCCTCCCAATGCGGCTCGGATCAACAGACAGGAACTGCTGCCCGGTTTGTGGCCTGGGTTTCGGGCTCCAATTTGAAATTTCCGTTGATTTTAGCGTGAGACATACGCAAATTCTGGAGGGCGACACGTTCTAGACGGAGTGCTAAGGTTCCATGTCTTTCATGTCTTCAGGGTCGAAGCATTTAGTGCATGGCGGTCGCTTAGCGCCTCACGCCACCGAAGCAATTATAACTATCTGGCAATCTAGATGAGTCTCCGCTTATCATGGTGAGACAAGACTCGTCAAACCCTTGAAACTAGGTATACCCTATCGCAATGAATAGAACTTGGATCCAAAACCCGATCCAAGGATGTAGTACAAGTAAAATCAATGTAACCACCTTGCATACCAATTCTCATGAAAACAAGAATATATTGTTTACTTCCAAGGTTGAGGCTCTCGGCTCACGTGGCCCAGTTGGAATTAAGTTAAGGTCCGGTGTCAACCTTGGGTTTGTGACAGAATAATCCGGCTTCATTCCAAGATTCGAGCTGCAAGTCTTCCAAGGTTGGAAGCATTTCTCACCTTGGAAGACCCGTGGTCTGTTGTGGCCCGATCGTCACTGCGGTACTCCCGAGGTCGTTAGCCAGGCACACTTGGAAGTTCCAAGGTTGTGCTCATGTGGATCTCCCCAGGGTTGAACGCGCCGACAATAAATACCTAGTAGGCGGCCAACCATAATTGAGCAGAGATATACCACTACTAGGTATATGAACTAGGAGTGATCTATTACACTGGATCCATGGACGTGATGCTTTCCCCAGCTTATTTCCAAGCCTTAGTAATTAGAAACCTTGAAGATGTTACCTAGTACTGCCCAGGTGCCCAGTGTTGGGGAAGGAACTTTGGACTTGCAGATATATATCGCCCGGCGGGGCCGCCCGGTCCGTCGGTCCAACTACATACGTCCACACCTGGGCACCTCAGGGCTGGCAGGTAAAATTGTTCATCATGGATACCTATGTAGGTATACTTAGCAAACCCAGAAACCTTGGAACCTGGAATCTTCCATTCGATTCAGAGAAAAGAAACATCCTCGGGGGAAAAACAATAAAAATTGGAGTGCTGCTTGAAGAGTCTACTACAACCATTTCCGGATACCCTACAGGGCGGACGCGTATTACTAGGTACATCGCTACGTTGATCAGAGAATTGGTGCTAACCGAAATACCTCGGCGTTTGATTTTTATTTTTAATGCGCGACATGATCGTCGCACGATAGCGGACGGCTATCAATACCTTGAACGGACCCATCATTCCCGGAGGGGGTTCCCCCCGGTGAAAAATTGACCCAACGGGCGGGTCTGATGGAGAGCAGTTGGATGCTTCTTTGACAGTCTTCTCAGACAAGGGTTATACCAAGTGAGAGACGGGAGAGACAGTTGGATGCTCATCTCCCTGACTGGCGGAACGGAAAAAAAGAACAGCAACCTACTTCCCCTAGTGCGCCATGACATCCATCTGGACACGAACCCAGGGCCGGGTGTCTTTCAGCATCAGCGAAAGAATGACCGGGTGGGGATCGGAGCTCAGATCGGAGCATGGGATGGCTGCAGACAATACTGCGCCTGGATATACTGTATTGACATCAACGCTTTACCAAGCGGTGATGTCGTCCACCTCGGCTTCACCGAAGGTGCTGCTCTTTGTTAGCTTGGTCACACTGGCCAATGCCTCCGCGCCATCAGAGTCTGGCTTCGCCATGATGTCAGGCAACACCTCCCGGAAGAACTCCAGGATGTGGCGGTTGACTTGCTCGAACTGCAGCAGGAAGGCATCGTGGCCCTCGGGGCTGTCAATGCGCTTCAGGCGAGAGTCGGGGATACCATCGGCAATCTCTTGCTGTTCGGCGAAAGTGAAGAGGCCGTCGGACTCAATTCCCAACACGAGAGCGGGCTGCTCCACGCGACCGAGGGCTTCTAGAACGGTATCTTGCTCAGAAGCGGCAGGGTTGGTGCGGTGACGGGACACATCGTGGGTATCGAGCTTGCGAGTCATCGCAATGTAGCAATTGGCATCGAACCGCTTGACGAACTTGTCACCCTGGTAACGGAGATAAGACTGGGCAGAGAAGTAGGTTGGGGGACGAGGACGACCGGAGGGAGTCAGCTTAGGCTTGTCCTCAGGCTCTGGCGCAAAGGTCTTAGTGCCCGAGAACTGGGGGTCCATGAATTGGACTTCAGTCTGGGGGGCGGGTGAGCCTTGACGGCTCTCGGATCGGGATCCACCGCGATGTCCGTCGTTGTGAATGGCCCAGTGCTCGTTGGGGGGACTTGGCTGTCGCTCGGTGCCGTTGATGTTCAATCGCTTGGTTGGGTCGGGGACATTGCGACCGAAGCGGGACTCGAATGAGTTGCGGCTGCGGTAGGTAAGGAGTGCGGACATACGAGCCGCACCGAGACCGGTAGAAGGTGGGTCATCAAACGCATAGTATCCGTCGTCATATTTGGGGTCACTGTAGATGCTCTGTCTCTGAGCCTCGCCCCAGCTGATGCACCAAGCTGAATGGCGCGCTGAGGTTGCAATTGGCACGATAGCCCGCACGTAGTCCTTGCCGAAGAAGGCGTACTCCAGGGTAAGAGCTCCACCCATGGAGCCTCCGACAACTGCGGCAATCTGCTTGACGCCGAGATCATCCAACACCAGTTTGTGAATGCTAATGTCAAGGTCAGCTCACCAGGTCTTGTGACAGCACGTAAGCAAAAATAAACTTACTTGACGTCATCGCGGACAGTGGTCAAAGGGAATTCAGGCCCATAGTAGCCATTTTCAGGCTTGTTGTCCTTGTATGTAACAGCGCTGGCACTTCCGTATGGACTACCAAGACTATTCAGGCAAACCACGAAGAAGCGAGAGACATCGAATGCTTGTCCTGGACCACCAAGGAGGGGGCCCCACCAGTCAGCGACATCGGCGCTACCACTCAGAGCGTGGCAGATGACCAGAACATTGTCTCCGTTGGGAGCGAGGGTGCCTCGTGTGGTGTATGCAACCGGGACATTGGACAGAGTGACACCAGATTCGAGTTTGAAGGAAGGAATAATCGCAATTGATTGGTCTTCGATCAGCTGGGCGTATGGGTTCTCAGGCTGTGACGCGACTCTCTCTACGGGATTTAGTATCGTTTCTGAGCAGGATTGAGGGACAATGACTGACGCAATGGCGCAGCAGATGCGCTGGTAGTTTCAGTCATGACAAAAGACTGTAACTGGGAAGGAAATGCAATGCTGAATGCAAGATAAAAAGGAAAGTAGACAGCGGGAGAAGGGGTAGAAGATAGAAGAAATAACCTTGGAAATCTAGTGACTCAACACCCCGCAGCCAATGACTGCGATGTTCGGAGCGACAGAGGCAGAATCAGGCGGTGTATCTGCGGGCCCTGGATCACGTGCAAGTAGGGCTTTACGACAGAGTCACGTGCCTTGATTCCCGCACGATCCAAAAAAAGTTTGTCGGACCGTAAGTCCTTTTCTCTTCCATCCCCATCCCTCGAAACTTCTTACGAGCCAACCCCTCAAATCATTCAAAATGGTCAAGACTAAGAAGTCCGGTGACACTCTCTCCTCGCGCCTTGCGCTTGTGATGAAGTCTGGCAAGGGTAAGCAAATTTAATCCGATCGCACAAAAGCGCAATTCATTGACAATTCGCAGTTACCATGGGTACCAAGTCCACCATGAAGACTCTCCGCTCCGGCAAGGCCAAGCTGGTCCTCATCTCCGGCAACTGCCCTCCCCTGCGCAAGTCCGAGCTTGAGTACTACGCCATGCTCGCCAAGACTCCCGTCCACCACTTCAACGGCAACAACGTAAGTGCAACTTCCCATTCCCCCGGGTAGGCTGCCTGGAATATTGGCAGCCACACCTCGGAGCCAGCTCCACTACTCTGCGATGAAGTGGTCAAAACTACCACTTCGGAGAGTGAAGTTGCTCAGCGAAGGGAACACCTGAAGGCGTGTCCCGGAGAGCGAATTGGACTAACTCGCCATATAGATTGAGCTCGGTACCGCTTGCGGTAAGCTCTTCCGCTGCTCCGCCATGGCCATCCTCGATGCCGGTGACTCCGACATCCTGAGCCGTGACGCTTAAGCGTATCGCCTTGTTGCGAGTCTTAAAAATAGAATATTGAACCATTCTTGAACAAACCTTTCCACGAATAATGACGAATCACGACATGCCAAAAGCTACCGTTCTAGACGTCTACCGAATCTCCAGTAATGATAGCGACCCAACGTAGTAGTGTGCCGCATATATCCCGGGGATCAGCCAATTTATCCAAATAGCCAAAATGTAACAATACGCCTTGCCGTCTCCCGAGATTTATCCGAGCCAAGCATTTGTGATTAACCTTGATCTGTTGCCCAACCTCGGGAAAGGTGAACTCCAGTGCTGAAGCTCCCTCCACGGCTGCCTGAAAAGCTTGCTTTTGACCGGGCACGCGCTAGTGAGAATGAAGTTTCCCGGATAAAGCATCGCCCAGTGAGAAAAACGAAACAGACGACCTCTTCAGGTTGGGCTCCTTGCAATGGCCAAGAAGCGGTTATTGAACTTGCCAAGTTTGCCCGCCCACCTCCGCATTTGCGGGGAAAATACTCTCAAGGAGGATCGTCATGGCACTTGTATGGACTAGTACCGCAGGCTATTGTGTTTTGCATCACAGAACACCATTTAGCCTGAAGAGAGATGCCTGCGTTGCCGAGAAGTCTCTGGGTGGTGTGATATTGCTTGACAAGACTGATATAAAGGGCTCTTGTGGGCCTGCAGGTGGAGATGAAGCCCAGGAATTTACCCCACGATGCAGTTGCTTGGGTTCCTTGTTTTCTTAGGCGTCGCGGCTGCCGAGGATGGCCTTAAGGGCTGGCTGCGGTACGCACCATTGACATGTTCAGACCGATGCCATTCCAACCTGCCCTCGGGTATTGTCACCTTCAACACGACAACAACAAGCCCTGTGTATGTTGCGGGAACCGAGTTGCAGAATGGCCTCCAGGGCATCTACAAGAAGAACGTCCAGGTCACTCACAAAAAGTGCAACACTGCTTCTTCCGTCGTTGTTGGTACTCTTGACCAGTATCGCCAGGCATGCGGCGCTGTGAGCGGTATTCCCGACCTAGAAGAAGATGGCTTCTGGCTGAGCACCAAGGGAAGCAATGTCCAAATCCTTGGACAGAATGAGCGAGGCGCACTATATGGCACCTTTGAGTACCTGTCGATGCTAGCACAAGGCAATTTCTCTAAAGTTGCATACGCATCGAACCCCTCGGCCCCAATTCGATGGGTAAACCAGTGGGATAATATGGATGGAAGCATTGAGCGTGGTTATGGTGGTCCATCTATCTTCTTCAAGAACGGCCAAATTGTCCAAGACCTCACCCGCGTCACTGAATATGCCCGCCTGCTGGCCTCCATCAAGATCAATGCCGTGGTGATCAATAACGTCAACGCCAATGCCACACTTTTGAGCCCGACCAATCTGGAGGGAGTCGCTCGGGTCGCTGATGTTTTCCGGCCGTACGGTATCCAAGTCGGACTGTCCCTGAATTTCGCATCTCCTCAAACCTTTGGTGGACTCGGCACTTTCGATCCACTTGATGCATCTGTCATTGAATGGTGGTCGAACATCACGGCCCAAGTCTACGAGCGGGTTCCCGACATGGCTGGCTATCTTGTGAAAGCTGATTCTGAAGGACAGCCGGGCCCTCAGACATACAACAGAACCCTTGCAGATGCAGCCAATCTGTTTGCCAAGGGGGTGCAACCATATGGTGGCATTGTCATGTACCGCGCTTTTGTCTACGATCATCATCTCAACGAGACCAACTGGAGAGATGATCGTGCGAACGCGGCAGTTGAGTTCTTCAAGCATCTTGACGGCGAATTTGAAGGCAACGTGGTAATTCAGATCAAATATGGGCCTATCGACTTCCAGGTCCGTGAGCCGGTTTCGCCTTTATTCGCCAACCTGGTCAATACCAGCATGGCCATCGAACTACAAGTCACACAAGAGTACCTTGGCCAGCAATCCCATTTGGTATATGTTGCTCCCCTTTGGAAAGAAATTCTGAACTTCGACCTTCGGATCGACCAGAAACCATCGCTCGTCAGTGATGTTGTGACTGGCAAACGATTCAAACGAAAGCTGGGTGGCTCAGCAGCTGTCGTCAACGTGGGTACGAACAGTACTTGGCTCGGCAGCCACATGTCAATGTCGAATCTATATGCATACGGTCGTTTGGCTTGGAATCCTTCGGACGACGCTGAAGAGATCCTGCAAGACTGGACCAGACTGACTTTCGGACTCAACCAAAAGGTTCTCGATACCATCACCCGCATCTCGATGGATTCTTGGCCCGTATACGAACAATATAGCGGTAACCTAGGTATCCAAACCCTGACCGACATTATTTACACTCATTACGGCCCTAGCCCTGCATCTCAAGACAACAATGGATGGGGTCAATGGACACGAGCGGATCAAACAAGCATTGGAATGGACCGTACCGTGTCAAACGGGACCCGATTCTCAGGCCAATACCCAAAGGAGATTGCTGCCATGTATGAAGATGTCGAGACCACACCCGAAGAGCTTCTGCTGTGGTTCCACCATGTCAATTATACCCACCGTCTGTCTTCAGGAAAAACAGTGATACAGCACTTCTACGACTCGCATTACACTGGCGCTGAACGAGCACAAGGATTCCTCGACCAGTGGGAGGCACTTCAGGGCAAGGTCGACCCTGAACGATACGAGCACGTCCGCCGTTTCCTCGACTACCAAACCGGCCATTCAATCATTTGGAGAGATGCAATCAACAATTTCTACTACAACCTTTCCGGGATTCCCGATGAAGGCCAACCTGTCGATCATCACCCGTGGCGCATTGAAGCCGAAAGCATGAAACTTGAGGGCTACAAGACCTACGACGTCACCCCCTTCGAAACAGCCTCTGGCGCCGTTGCGATCGTCACAACGTCAAATAGCACTGCTGGCACAGCGTCTACCAAGATACAGTTCCCCTCCGGGACTTACGATCTTGCAGTGAATTATTATGATCTCTATGGTGGCAAGTCTCAATGGAAGGTCTATCTCAACGATCGTCCCATCGGCCAGTGGGTTGGAAATTCCGAGGAAACTCTCAGCCATACACCTTCGATCTATCTGGACGGACACTCTGCTACTCGTGTCAAGTTCCGGAAAATCAAGGTCAAGCGGGGTGATACTTTGAAGATTATTGGCATGCCTGATGGCACTGAGCCAGCACCTTTGGACTATGTGGCCTTGCTACCAGCAGGCACTTTAGACTAGAGCATTCTTGTCATCCGGATACGGTTAGAGAATGAACAACCCAGACTGAGCTATTTTCCAGATCATTTAGCATCTGGATAGAGGCATGAGTAGGTAGAAGTGGTTTCTTCCAACAGTTCGGGTCCCTGGGAAAACCTCGGATGAATCGTGCGGATTGGCAACATAGAGGCTTCCAAGGTTTGCAGCACAGACAAATTTACGAACACGAAAACGGTAAGCCTACAGGATCCAGATCAGATAGTACTAGTACCTCCATGGACCCCCCGGGGCCCCGGGGATTGGATATTATGTGAGACCCTCAGCTCCTACTCCGCACTACACTGGCAGTGCCAGGCAATTGGAGTATCCCCCACATACCGATTCGGGTTAAATCCAAGCGAGAGAGTCTGCATATTCAGGGCCACAGACTGTACTCCACTTGGTTGCAGAAGGACGTCAGGCTCGGGAATTCCGGGGTTCTGTTTACCGAGTCTTCATCTTCGGAAAATGTGGGGTTGAGGTGTTAAATGGATTCAAGTTCCCAACTCTCCGTCTTTTTCTAACTAGTGGTGATCTCGGGAGAAGTCTGGACATACGCGGAGATGCTGTTCTCTCAAAATGCCTATGCTCAGGCAGCAATCCTTTGTTCAATTGGATTTGCATCAATCACAGAGGCTAGGTAAGTACCGTACAGAATGATCGTTCCGACCAAAGCCAACTCCAAATAACACGTCCTCAGAAGCAGTATCAATGTGCACCCCGAGAAATACACGTTGGGGTCTCAAACCTCGAAATACAATGGCTCAAGTTCATGTTTCACTCTGTCGGACTCCAATCCTGTTGTCACACTGGATTACGAGAATGAGATAGGGGGATTCCCCATGTTTCAAGCTCGATCTTTGTCAGGCCCAGTCCAGATCGAGTCCAAGTACTCTGAGGCCAAGAATGGTCTAGACAGTCCCTTCGGTGATGGCCCATGGACCTTTTCCAATGGGCTGTCAAATACCTTCACCGTTGAGACTTTTAACGTCACCACCCCAGGGAAACTGCAGTCCTACTTCATCCAAGGAGGACTGCGCTGGCAAAGACTGAGCTTGCTTACCCCAAAGAGCAACGTTCAGCTATGTGGGGTAGGAATACATTCACTGAATGATCGCACCCCTATTGATCAGCTCCCTGGGTCTTTTGAAAGTTCAAATTCCATGTACAATCAGATTTGGGCCCTTGGTCCTCGGACCGTGCAGCAGGCCTGCATCGAGAAGGACGCAGCACCAACCACCTGGCAGGTAACCCGTGAGGGTGTCTTTCTACGAGGCCAGCAATCGGCTCAATCAGTAGTTGGGCCAAACTATGCCAACTACACGATGTCATTCAGCACGAAGATCGTCCGCGGGGGCACTGGGTGGAGAGTTGCCAGCGGCATGCTCGGGTTCGGTCCCTCTTTCGTTCTCACCAGTGGTGAATCGAAATCGAGCTTCCTCAACACCAACCGGACTCTGGTCCCGGCAAACAAGCTTGCAGTTGCCTATGGATATAACTTGGTGAACCAGACAAGCTTGGAAGGTGGCCCTGCTTCATACTACCCTCTTCCGTTCGAGATCGAGGAGAATAAGTGGCTTCGGATTTCCACGACGATCAAACCAACAGGCTATGATGTTTCTGTCAACAATATCTCGGTAGCTCATGTTCCATTTTCTGCTCTTCGGCCTACCTACAATTTCCTTGCTGGCTCGGCAGACAGGTTCACCGGGACCTGGGGATTTGGACCATGGCAGGATCAGGCCGCGCTCGTCAAGGATGTCAAAGTTGAAGCCAAGAATGGCACTACCATCTATGAAAACCCTATGACTGATACATCGATTCTTGAGGAGTATGGCGTGATGCCGAACAAGCACTCAGTCTGCTTAGATGGAGCCAAGCGTGATCGACTTGTTTGGTCTGGCGATGCCGGCCATACATTGCGCGTTGTTTCCGCGAGCACACACAGAGAGGACTTTATCAATGGTACTCTGGCCTATCTTCTAGAGAGACAAATATCCTCTGGTGAATTTGCTGGGTACTTTTCGATGTCGCCTGCACTGGGGCAATCGACCAAGTACACCTCAATCTATAACTCTGCCGGTCTTCAGGACTATCAAATGATATTCCTCAACGCATTTGCCAGATACTACCGCGACTTTGGAAACAAGTCGTTCCTGAAGAAATACTGGTCCCAGGTCAAGGTGGGAGTTGAGGCAATTCTCCCGCTCGTTGATAGCTCCTCGGGTCTGGTATCAGGATCCTTCTTCCTGGGCGACAGCAATGGAACTGCCGCATCTTCTCTCTTCGTTTATAGTCTCAGTCAGATGGCCCAAATTGCCGATGAGGTGGAAGAAACCGACACAGCTTCCTCATGGAGATCCATCGCTTCAGGTGTCCGCAAGTCCATCAACGAGAAGCTTTGGAGCGAAAAGCTCGGAACATACATCGACAGTACATCGACTCGTAACCAGAGCTCGCTCGCCAGCACTGCATGGGCCATTCTTTCCAACGTGGCTAATACCACACAAGCCGAATCAGCTTTTGCAGCTCTTTCCAGACTTCGAAATGGGATTGGCTACAAGACCAAATCGAACGCCGAGTCTGATGCTGAGCTTTCTCCATTTATCTCCGGATTCTTACTCGAAGCAGCTCTTCAACATTCTCGAGCAAGCGTCAGTCGCTCTCCCTCATCCAGCGCTGTCATCTCTACACTGCTATCTCACCTCTGGCCTGCGATGATTACTAACCAAGAATATTCCACTGGTACTGCCTGGGAGTACATATTCCCAGACGGGCGACCTGGACTGGATCTCTACACCTCGCATGCTCATCCTTGGGGAGCTGCTCCTACTTTTGCCATGACAGAATACGTCCTTGGTATCCAAGCCTCATCACCTGGCTTCTCGGAATGGACATTCCAACCAGCAGTCCTCACTCCTGATGTCTCATGGGTAAAGGGCAAAGTGCCTACTCCCCGAGGATCGATTGGCGCGAGCTGGAAAGTGAACAGCCAGAAGAAGGAAATTGAAATGAACGTATGCTCGCCATTGGGTAGCAGTGGAACAATCAAACTTCCATTTGCAGTGAGCTCATACAAGCTTAATGGCAAACAGCACGCTGTTGATTCCAATGAATTCAGGCTGAAAGTTGAGGCTGGGAAGTGCTCGAGTGTCACTGTGGTACTTGCAAAGGCTCTTTAGACCTATATCAGGAATCTATATGCATGTGAATCTTTCAACTCTGACAGGTATCTTTTGATGAACTATAGTACCTAGACGTTATAAACAACATTTCAGTAAAAGACCCAAGGGTCGACGGGGTTAAAAGTGAGCTAGTCCAAATGCGGTTAGACCCTACATCATCGACCTGCATCGCGTCCCCAGTTTTAAAGTCCCTTTGGTTCAATGCGATTATTTACCGGCACAAGTTCCAATTGCCTCCACTAACTTCATTCCTTGCAATTGATGCGCAGAGATCCCCAATATGGTTGACTACTCCTCATGGAAGGTGGCTGATTTGAAGGCCGAGCTCAAAAAGCGCGAGGTCCCTCAAACCGGTCTTCGTGTCAAGCAGCAATTCATTGATAAATTGATTGAGCTTGACTCACAAACAGATCAGACTGAACCCCCAGCTGCAGCTACAGATGAAAGTGCCGTTCCACAACAGCCCAGCGAAGATGCCGTTTCACAAGCACCAGACGCCCAACCCGAGCAATCGCAATCCGAGAAACCGAACGATGAATCAGCTTCACCAAAGGAAGAGCCCCTGGCTTCGGACTCAGCTCCTACCAAAGCAGAGGACGAGAAGGACGAGAGAGATGAATCAGCTCAGAAACACACCGAGACAGTATCCAGCGTGAAGGTCGAGCACGACACCAAGCCTGTCGAGGAACCCTCCACGGTGGATCAAACAGCCCAAGAACACCCCCAAACTGCCGAGGAAGCACCTGCGACTGCAACGGACCAAACCTTGAAGACAGAGGATCCCGCAAAGCCCCAAGAAAACCCAGCATCTTCATCTCTTCAGACCTCCGAAGCGAACACCGCAGGTTCAACACCCCTTCCCACCGCAGAAGCATTGGAAGATACACGCAAACGGAAACGTCGAAGTCAAAGTCCCGCTCCTACGCTTGAAGAGATTGCCAACCGCAAGGCTCGTGCGGAGGAGGCAGTGCCGCGAGTGCTGCTGAAAGACGACAAGGGGTATAACGACCAGAAGTCCACAGAGACTACAGCGGAGAGTCAAAATGACAGTGTGCCTGTTGAAAAGCGAGCTTTGTCGCCCAAGCCCGCTGGCAAGCAAGATGCTCGTTTCCGTGGCTTGTTTGCGCCTAGCGATACCCCTGCTCGACCTCCATCTCCTCAAGACAGTGCGATGCCAGACGTGGATGCAGGCCCAGCCATGCATGCTGCCACATCATCCCTCTACATTGATGGCCTCATGCGCCCTCTCCAGCCAGCTGCCCTTCGTCAGCACCTATCCAGCCTCGCAGCCACCCCTGGAAACACGTCGGACTCCGAAGCGATCGTGGAGTTCTATCTCGACTCTATCAAAACCCACTGTTTCGTCAGCTTTACCAGCACGGTAGCAGCCTCTCGCGTTCGCTCCTCCATCCACGGAACCGTGTGGCCCAACGAACGCAACCGCAAGAACCTCCGCGCGGACTTCATTCCAGATGACGCGCTCAAGGAATGGATCCAGACAGAAGAGCAATCGCGAGATCGTGCCGGTCCTACTCCCCGGTGGGAAGTGAGATATGAGACGTCCGACGATGGAACTACTGCCGTACACGCCGAGGTGGGCTCTGGCTCTACCTCTACCGGACGGCGGGAGTCAGGGTTCAACCGCACTCCTCCCCTTGGCCCACGCAGCGACCTTGAGCGAGTCCATCGCCGCCCTTCCAGTCCAGCTCCAGTGCCTGCTCCGCGACCCGGGCAGGGCTTTAAGCCTCTGGATGAGCTATTTGAATCTACTACCACCAAACCCAAATTGTACTACCTTCCTGTTCCCCGCCCGGTCGCGGATAAGCGCCTGGACCAATTCGATGACCTGATCCAGAAGGGCGTGTTTCCCCGTCGTGGTGGCGATGAGATGCGACGAATCACCTTTGAAGACGAAGATCAATTTGTGGACGCTGGGCCTGAAAGGATGGGTCCTGGCCCTCGAGCTGGAGGCGGACGTGGACGGGGTCGTGGCCGTCGTGGAGACTCATGGCGCTAAATGGTGAAATGGTGAAGCACCAGGCCCCGGCCAATGTAACATAGTATTGAGGATAGTTTAGATCCCACGTTCAATGCAAAACACACACAGCCCCCTCTGTTGCGTCTGTAAGCCAAGCGCCGATACCCGTTGGCTCCACAGCCAAGGCTGTGAACCAAGCAGTAAAAATAGACCAAGCCTTGAAGATCGTCAAAAATGATTCTTGGGCTTTTCTCACTCTTCGGGGCTGAACCAGCCAAAACACACTCGTTTCGTCCTTTTGTTTCGCATTTCTCTCTGGTGGCGTCCTTCCCCTGTCGATCCGGATAAGATAAACGGACGGAAAAAAGGGCAACTCACCGACACCTCCCCTAACATACCAGCCAACATGGGTTGGCCAGTGTGCAATTCAACAACTGAGACCCTCAACAGTATGGTTAATCCATGATCTCTATGCCGTTCGGCGACTAACCTGAGAATAGTCGAGGAGGTCGACCTCTGGGATGGCGGCATCACATTTCACCTCCTGGCGCTCCTGGTGGGCGGCGTCTGCGGCATCGTCGCATGCGTGGTGTCTCTGTACCTAATCCTTCAACATGCAACACATTACAGCAAGCCGATTGAGCAGCGACAGTGAGTTCCAATCCAGTTCGATCCGCGCGCAAGGCGCAAGCAGCCTGCTGACATGTGAGCTTTAGTATTATTCGCATCCTGTTCATGGTCCCCGTTTACTCCCTCGTCGCATGGCTCAGCATCCTCTTCTACCATGATTCGGTTTATTTCGAGGTCCTCGGTGACTGCTACGAAGCATTCTGTATCTCCGCCTTCTTCTCCCTCATGTGCCATTACATTGCCCCGGACCTACACAGCCAGAAGGACTATTTCCGCGGGATCCAGCCGAAACAATGGCTTTGGCCGCTGAATTGGTTGCAGAAATGTTGCGGTGGCGAGCGCATCTGGCGTACCCCGCGCAGCGGTCTCACATGGTTCAATGTAAGGACGCCAGCGCGAGTCGCAGAGGTTTCAATGCTGACTGGTTCATCTACAGATCGTCTGGGTGGGAGTCTTTCAATATTGCGTTATGCGTGTGCTCATGACTATCGTCGCCGTCGTTACTCAGGCCTTTGGTGTATATTGCGAGGAGTCTCTCAGTCCTGCATTCTCGCATATCTGGGTATGTCTTTACTCCATGCCTCGGCTTATTTCGTCTCAGGTTGCTAATCGTCCGCAATAGGTTGTCGTCATTGAATCGGTTTCCGTCACCATAGCGATGTACTGCCTGATTCAATTCTACCACCAGACCAGTCAAGACATCAAGCAACATTCGCCATTCTTGAAGATTTTGTCCATCAAGCTCGTCATTTTCCTTTCTTTCTGGCAATCGGTAAGCCGACAATATGTATTGCGCAAACCGAGTTTCTTCTAACCTGCTATACTAGATTTTGATCAACCTGCTGGTCTCGGAGGGCGCAATCGAAGCTACAGACAAAATCGCACTCAACGACCTCAAAACCGGTCTTCCTGAGCTGATGATCAACGTTGAAATGGCCATCTTCGGCATTCTGCACCTCTGGGCCTTTGCCTGGAAGCCATATGCTCTCAACCAATCATCCGAAGTGACCGACTTCTACGGCAATGGCAAGACCTCGTACGAGGGCGGACGCTACGGCGTCAGGGCATTGATTGACGCCATGAACCCACTCGATCTCTTCAAGGCCATTGGCCGAAGTGCACGCTGGCTCTTCGTAGGCCGCAAGCAGCGCATGCTGGACCCCAGCTACCGGCCACAAGATGAGACAATTGGCCTCCAGCCATCCCAAGAAGGGAACAATCTCACTGAGCATGGAACTGCCTATGTTGGCGCTGGACCCGTCGTTTCCGGAGGCCGCGATGGCCGCTATGCATCTGACGAGGAGGGCGCGGTCCTTCTCGCCCACGCGCAACCAAACCCCGAAATTGCACTCATGGGCACTTCGCCGTACGCGTCCGACTTCGATGAAAATGTCCATGACCGCAATAGCCGCTTCTATGGCCAAAGCTCCTCGCCCTATAATGACTCGCCGCTCCAGTCTCATCAGAACCTGCACGCTGAACCGCTGGTCCATCCGTACCCGTCTGATGGCCCTCTCCGAGAGCAGGTGCCCATGCCCATTCCAGATCCATATCGGCCTCCACCCCCGTATCCAGAGAGCAATCACCCATGATCTATCTCAATGATCCAATTATGACTTGGTCTGTATGACACATCTTCGTCAAGCTAAGGTTGTATGCTCTGCCTGGTCTCTTTGGAGCCAATCTGCGAGCATCGTTATCATTTAGCCTTTTTCTTTTACCTCACGCTACCCACGAGCACTTTTGAGACTTCTGAGTCTTTATTTTCTGTTGATGTCTTCTTGCGTGGATCCGGATACCCGCCAGTTCACTTATCGGCAAGTTTCTTTCTTAGTGTTATTTTACCATCCTTGCATACTTGCTTAGCATCCGCAGGACTACTCTTCTTGTATAGTAGCATTACCATTTGTCTGACCTAGCATTTAAACTCGACTGAAACCTTGAATTCCGTCTTCGCTGTATTTCTCCTCGGGCTCTACGCATGAACCAAACGCCAAAATAACTGCATAGCCTCTAAAGCCAGGCTGCAGCAACCTACGGAAGCGCGCCCCACGGTTGGTCAAAGCTCTTGTAGAGAGATTTACTCAATGCAATCACACCCGAGCTAAGCGTGGAACTAGGAGATACTCGTGGACTCGGATTTTTCAGGGATCATTTCATTTCGGATATCGTAACCTCGTAAAAGCATATGCCGGGCATCAAAGCTACCCCGGAGCAATCATCGGCCTCAAATTTGGGCTGGCAAGATCAACGACTGATGCAAAGCATTGATGGGCTTCATGGCCCCATTAAAAACATTCTTAGATGGATACAGTCTCACTGCCGCATTCCAGCATCGGGTCCCCCTTGTTCACCCTGGCCAAAGAAATCTGGGTTGCCCCTCTGCATGTTAGAGCGAGGATCCTGACGTGAAGCAGCCGTCTGCTGGCCAGCTTGGATGGTAGCAGTCTTACGACCAAGCTCCCGCATGGCCTGGGTACCCTCACCGAGCTTGCCGAGCAAAGAGACCAGCTGGACGTCGTTGCTTTGGGAAACAATCTCTTCTTGGAGGGTGCTGTCCTCGGATGGGGTTAGGAGGGATGCCTGGGAGAGGATGGCGTTGATTTCACGGCGTGAATGGTCGGAAGGGGTTCGCTTTCCGGATTCCTTATCCTGAGGACTGGTCTTTTGCTCGTCGCTTTCCAATTTCTCAGTCATGGAATCAACGCGAGACTGAAGGACCCTGGTGGCATTGATACGGGTTTGGAGGCTTGCGACGACTGGTTCGACTAGTCAGTGTTGTTTGTAGATGGGAAATCCAGCCGGCAAATGACTCACTCTCTACTTCCTCCTGTGAAAGCTCACCCTCGACGCTCTGGTTCTCCATCTTTGCGCTGGCCTGCTCCTGGGTCTCAGCCAAGGAGGCAGTTCCGGAATGCTGGGCAATGGTATCAATTCCGATCATTTCGGCTTCGCCTGTCTCTACGGTGAATGGGATCTCTCGGAACTTGAGTGGGATTCCTTCGCCATCAAGCTGCAGGTTCTTGTCTGCATCGGCAGAGTTCTCGCCTTCGTAGACAGTCTCGTAGATGGTCACGGGGAGCTTGGGATCCCGCCCCCTAGCCGGAAAAGAGCCTGGAGTGGTGTTGTGGTACGCAAGGAACACCGCGGATGGATTGTAGTCTTGGAGAACCTGTCTGTGGAGGTTCAGGTGGGCCTCGGTTGGGCCAGTTGATGGAGTGACTGCCCACCAGCCGACTAGCTCAAGAGCGGGGGATTTGTGAACATCCTTAACTGTGATGTGGTTAGCTTGAATGTTGTTGACACCGACAGGAGAAATAATTACATTGTTGCAGACGTTCTTCAAACCATGCAGCAGGTAGCTTGATCCGGCCTCCTGCGTCAATGGTAACGGGGCATTCGAACACGTTCTCCAACGTGATCTCTTGGCCATTTTGCTGGCCCATAAGAGCACCGACCAAAGGGCTTCTTTGGTTGCGCGCGAAATGGCGACCGATCTGATCGGACACAGTGATCACAACCAGCGGGTGAAGCTGGGCATGAAGGCCAGAATCAGTTGCCTTCTCGGAGACGATTGGCTTTTCTGGCTCCATTGGGAACACACCAAAGATACTAATCCTCTTGGGGATTGGGAGGAACCTGTGGTAGATGTCGGACCAGTACAGTCCCGTGGGTGTCGCAATGTTATCCATGACTGGATTGGCAAATAAAAGGCGGTGTCGATTGGGCGGTGACGATTGGGCGGTGACGATTGGGCGGTGACGATTGGGCGGTGACGATTGGGCGGTGATGTGAGGAACCTGGGAGAAGCCAAGAGTGGTAGGCGGTGTCAATTGGGCGGTGACGAAGAAGTGAGAGAGAAGCCAGGAGAGGTAGGCGGTATAGTGAGAGAGAAGAGAGAAGCCAGGAGAGGTAGGCGGTAAAGTGAGAGAGAAGAGAGAAGCCAGGAGAGGTAGGCGGTATAGTGAAAGAGAAGCGAAAAGGGGTAGGCGGTGTAGAGCTTTCCCCCGCGGTACGGCAGTACTTTGGGACCCTTTAGTTTTCTGCCACATTGAGATTCGGCAGTATCTTGGGACGATGGGGCCCTTTAGTTTTCTGCCATATTGAGATTATGTCATCATAGTAATTTTTACCAAATTGTACAGTATACCCGCCTGGGTAAGGCCCCGGGGCAATATTGGACTTGCTTACAGGAGTTTCACGATAAAAGCTATAGAAACACCTAGTCAGCTACAATAATCGTTAGCATTGTCGGAATCTAGACTAGTATAATACCTAGGTGAGTATCAGGGGTCTGATGTAGAGAACCAGACCCAAGTGTAGTACTTGGTGCCCGGCACTAAGTGGTAGAGCGGAATCTTGAAGTAGCTCCGGAGTATATGGACACTCTCTATAACTATAAACTATTATAATACTAGATAAGTGCTTAGTCTAGTAGGATTAACATTACAGCTGTCGTCTATTCTATCATATAACTAGTATCTACCTAGACCCAAGCTAGTATTAGGCTCTAGAGTCAGAGTCGAAGCCCTAGACTTTAAGCCTAGAGTCTAGACTGGGTTAGGCCCCTAGCCGGAATCTCAGGCCTAACTCAGCCTAATGCCGAAGTCTACGTAGTTTGGGGGTGGGCGAGCAGGCTACCGTAACCTAGTATTGTATTACTTCAAGGTTGGTAATTTGAATCCATGGATAACAGCAACAGTCGGTGTGCCAGGCGGTGTTCCAGGCGGTGTAGCCTTTGCTACTATGTTGACATGATCTCAATGTGGCAGAAACTAAAGGGCCCATTCGTCCCAAGATACTGCCGTACCCCGCGGTTCACGGGGACTACATAGCGTCTGTCCCTCTTACCTCTTTTAAATTGATCTCTCGACGCTCCTTGAGTAGCTGAGTTCCCTCCAGCTCAAATCGCTACAATGAGCATTCCGTCTACCTTTGATGGTGTGAAGTCACATCTGGACCAGGTCCTCGAGAATCCCTCCACAGCATTGGATATTCCCCTCATCGACAAGCTGAAGCTGCAACTCGTCGAGTCGACTGATCCAGTGGTCCCTATCACTCTTCTGTCGCAAATTTCAACTCTGCTACCTGTTCTACAAGAAGATCCTACACCTGTTACCACCCTGGCTACCAGAGCCACAGCATATTTCACCTTCACTAATCTTCAATCTATCGAGCCCCCAATCAACCTTATCGCCGGCTTCAAGGCACCTTCGCCCCCCATCAATCTTCTTGCATTGTCACTGCTGGCTAAAGCCGGCGATACCTCTAGTGAAGCAGCTATAGTTGCTGGAGACTCCACGTTGGTGGCTTCACTTGTGCAATTATGGCTTTGTACTGCTTCGACAGAAGTCGCACAAGCTGCGCTTGACACATTATGGATGCTGTTGGAAGTAGATGTCTCAAGTCGTCTCGAAAATGGGGAGCATGATCACCCCGGTGATAAAAGCCATGCAGGCCACGGTCTGTTCTGGAGAAGGGTATTCACCGACAGGGACATCTATGGACAACTTTTTGGATTATGCAGTCTCCAAAAGGATGCCCCAGGTGACCTTTCGAAACGCGAGCGTACCATTGCCCAGGGAAGATTGATGGCACTCCTGGCCAAGGCTGGAAAGTTGCGCTGGGACATCATATCAACATCCCAAGTTCCAGAAATTGAAGTCAAATACCAGAGCACCAGTCTACTACACTTTGCAACAACTCAGATGGTCCAGACCAGTGATATATTGATGCACATGACCCTTCTTACCTTTTTCCGCGACTTGCTGGAGATAGATGGCCCCGGTCTTGTTGCTCGAGGCCATGTGCAATCTACTTCGACAGTCACCTCACCTGCCCTCGAGTTCCTAATTGCGCACGAGGTACACTTGCGAATGTTGACTTACTATCTTGATGAGTCTAAACTGGATTCCGTGGACCTGATCTACCTGTCCGGTCCAATCATGGCATATGTGGCTCGGTACGCCGAGCTCTATCCAATTCACCTCCTGCAAAACCCATCATCCTTGCTTGATGGAATCATCTCTCGCATCAACAGATCTCTCGCCATCTCTGCCACACAATGGGCGCATGGAGAAGTTCCCACGGGCCATCTGGCTATCTTAGCTTCGCTCCCCCGAACTCTTCTCGTAGAAGCCGGCAAACACGGCGCCAACCCTGTTCTGGCAATCCCCACCAACCCCGCAAACGCTGAAGCCTTGGATGTTCTGGCCAAGATCTTCCATGGACCACTACGAGCCCAGAAATCCGAATCGATGGACTTGAATACCTCGGGTCAAACACCAACTGACTGGGACCATGAAGCAGCCGCGGCACGCATTCTGTACTTCCAATATCTCAACAAGCATCCCAATTTCTGGGACCACATCGTGAGCACTGCTGATGTTCTAGTGATGAAAGACGTCGCTCTGTCAGCTATCACGTTCATGCGCGCCATTGCGACTGCGGACTGGAAGTCTTTGAGTCCGGCGCCGCCTCATCCTAATGTATCACGATTCCAGCTCCCCTCTGAAGAGGAACTGGGCCAATTGTCTCCTGCTGCTGGAGGCTTCCTACCCACGACTGGGGCGTGGGCAATCCTCACGCCACCCGCACTCACCACTCTTCTCCCTTATCTGTTCAAACCCCCCAAAACCTACGCCGATTTCGTTGGTGGTGGAGCGGGCGATGCCCAGAATGTTGTATGGAAGGTTGCGACTGCCAAACACGATGTTCTCGTCGCATTGCGGAATCGATTGCAAGACACAGGCGGTCATGCAGAAGGATTCGAAGATATTATGCAGACTCTGCAGCAACGAGTGAACGACGGTCCATGGGGTCCTGTTCAGAGCTCCGGTACTCAAGTTTTGACCACCGGGCTGTAACTTCATACCGAAATCATCAGAAGCATTCAATTTAGCCCATTAATGAACAGTACTATGTCCAATCTAGCATCAAGGGATCTGCAGAGAGCTGTTATCCGTTATCTCTTTATCGCTGTTATCTTGGCGCGGGGTGGATTCTGTCAGATCTAGTGCGCTTTGGGTGGGCGGTGAAGAAATGTAATTTTCCGGAGCCATCGTCACTTTCCATGACACCCATTGCACCGGGACACAATATATAACTATGTCGCGTCGTGGGGCACCAAAGGGAAAGAAACCCCCTGGCTCGGAAATCACTTGGGATGCCGACCCCGGTGGTGAGCCAGACACAGCTCCAACCCCTCTGTACCCTGTATGTTTGCTTCTTGGCCTGGGTCACCAGACGCATTCCCCTCTCCCTCTCATCTATCCACTCCAATGTCGAAATCCAGCAAGGCTAATTACCCTTGCAATCAGAAATATACCGTCCCGTTTGCGCGGAAGTTGAGCCCCGCCGAGCAAACCCAGGTCGATTACTACCGATCATTGCGCGAGAAGTTCCACGATGGTCCCTTTTACTCTGTTCTCGATGCCTCGTCCTCGAATGCGAAGAAGGGAAGCGCTGCTCGCGCCAACTTTGATCCCTTCCACGGCATGCCCACATATTCTGGCCGTTATCAAAGGAAGCGCCGCACGCTCCCCAAGATTGCTGGACAGTCATACTGTAAGTTTCATCCTTTAGCCCAGGCTTCTCAAGTATATATGGCAGCAGGCAGCTAATGTGATCTATCTGGAATGTACAGACTTGAAATTCTTCCCCCGCGACCTATGGCAGACCCTGCAGCCCAATTTCCGACCCGACGCTTCACTAGACGGCTACCAGACGCAAATGTCTGCAGCCGGTGTCAAGCGTGGCTTCGAAGATGAAGAAGACGACGGGCCTTCTAAGCGCAAGGCTGGCGATGACGATGAGGAGAATGAAGGCGAAGGAGAAGAGGGTGAGGCGCTGGATGATGACGAGGAACAGGCCGAGGATTCGATGGACGATGACTTCTCCGAGGACGACGACGATATGGGCGGCGACTACAATGCCGAGCAGTACTTCGACGGTGGAGATGATGATATGGGCGATGAAGATGGCGGCGGCGGCGACGATGACATGTAAAATGCGGATTCACGATACCCAGTTTTCCTTTCTATTCAGCCTTTCAGCCGTGCTCGCATTGGGAATCAACTATTCAATACAATTCCTATCAGGCCTGTACTTTTTCTCAATACCGCGTGGGGTTGAATCGCGACTTGGATGCAATCTTTGTGATCATTGGTTGCTTGTAATCTCTCTATACCAACCTTGGAAGTCAAATGTGTTTCATATCCCATATCCTCCTGTATGCCATCTGTCTGACTGTATGCACGCCGTTGATAGCCGATCTCGGGGATGACGTCAGCAACATTTTCGGCGCGGAGGGGCACAGTGCGGATCCGATATATCAAACATTCAACATCGCGCAGAATGGGAGACCCCAGCTCGCGCTTAAGGCGATCGGCCCTCATTCTGTATGGGTCTGAGACGGGCAATGCGCAGGAAGTAGCCGAGGAATTGGGCGCCTTGGCCGAGCGGCTTCGTTTTACCACACATGTATCTGAGTTGAGTCAATGCAAGCCGGTATGTGTATAAATCCCATAGAGACAACCCAGAAGTGCCTTTCTGATGGAAAACAGGAGATACTATCATCCTACACGCTTACCTTGTTTGTGTCATCCACTACGGGCCAGGGCGATCTGCCTGCAAACGCACGCTCGTTCTGGAAATCGTTGCTGCTGAAGAAGCTGCCTCCAACCTTTTTGGAGGGAGTCAACTTCGCCTGTTTTGGACTCGGAGATAGTTCATACCCGAAGTAAGCTGTTCTTTCTGAGGCTGTATGGACTGAATGGCTGATTGTAAAAGGTTCAATTGGGCAATCCGCAAACTCTATAAGCGCCTGCTACAGCTGGGTGCGAACGAAATTTACCCCACGGGTGAAGCTGATCAACAACATCCGGAAGGGTGAGTCTTTTATCAGGAAGTGGATGATCGTAACTGACTGGAATCGCTATACAGACTGGAAGGCTCGTTCCTCCCATGGATGACGGATTTTCGAAAGCATTTGCTCGATAGACATCCTCTCCCGGACGGACAACATCCAATTCCAGATGATGAACAGCTTCCTCCAAAGTGGATGCTGAAGCCACAGGAAGAAAAGCCAGCAACCTCAAGACTTCAGCCTTCCACCAAGGTAGACCCTCAGCCTGCTGCAGATGATCACCCTGGGCTGCACCACCTGGATTATGACACTCGTCCAATTCCTCATACTCTGTCTGCAACACTGACTGGAAATGAACGGGTGACCCCTCAAAAGCATTGGCAGGATGTGCGCCATGTTACCTTGACGGTGCCAGAGGCGGTCTCCTACGTTCCCGGAGACATGATTGCCATCACACCGAAGAGCTCGCCAAAGGATGCACAACTTCTTATCGATCTAATGGGCTGGCATGACCAGGCAGATCAACCAATCTCCCTCGTACCAACCGGGGACACAGCCTCTCCTCCCCCCATCCCGAATCTCGAGTCATATCCCAACCTCACACTGCGTGCGCTCCTCATAGACTATCTTGACATCAGAGGAATTCCGCGCAGGTCCTTCTTTTCAGCCATTGCTCACTATACATCCGACGAGATGCACAAAGAACGTTTATTAGAATTCACAAACCCCGAATACATCGACGAACTATGGGACTATACAACTCGCCCCCGTCGCAGTATACTCGAGATCCTGCACGAGTTTGACACAGTCAAGATCCCCTGGCAGCATGCGATTTCCGTCCTCCCCGTCATGCGCGCTCGCCAATTCAGCATTGCAAGCGGTGGCCAGCGCAAGCAGACGGCAGACGGTAGAACCCAATTCGAACTACTGATTGCCATCGTGAAATATCAGACGGTGATCAAAAGAATCCGCGAAGGTGTCTGTACCAAGTACCTCTCCGTGCTCCGACCAGGCAGCACGCTTCAAGTCCAACTCCAGCCCGGCGGTCTCAACTCGTCCGTACAGCAACTCACCGCCGCAACCGTGCTCATCGGACCAGGAACCGGGATCGCACCTCTCCGATCCATGCTCTGGGAAAAGGCGGCTCTGGTTCAAGCCTACCGCGACCAAAACCCAGGCGTCAATCCACCCGTCGGCCCAACGGTTCTTCTTTACGGTGGCAGAAATCGCGAATCAGACTTCTTCTTCGAGGAAGAGTGGGCGCACCTCAGCAAGCTTATCCCGCTGCAAGTTCTCACTGCTTTCTCGCGGGATCAGCAGCGTAAGGTCTACGTGCAGGACACTATCCGGGAGAACTTTGCACTGTTCTTCCGCCTACTCCATGATATGCAGGGCTCAGTTTACATCTGCGGCTCGTCTGGTCGTATGCCCCAAGCTGTCCGCGAAGCTCTCATTGAGGCGTTCCAGAATGGAGGGGCACCTGTCGCAGGGCAGCCGTTTACTCGTGCCCAGGCTGAAGAGTACCTTGTTAAAATGGAGAAGATAGGTCGGTACAAACAGGAGACTTGGTGAGATTGTTTTCGTAGACAGCTTTGAGACGAAATGAAGAATCCTAAGCATGTGAGAAGCATGTGCTTTGAGTGTCACCAAACATCCGACTACTAGATGGAACAGAACTTCGACACTTTTGAGATTGTAACTCCGAATTTGGAGTATTTTTCAAGGTTTCAATGTCGGATTATCAAAAGTTGTCACTGCGACGGCTCAGCTCGGTCTATGAGCACTACAAAGTTCCCTGGCTCGATGTAGGCTGTATGGTTAACCTCGGCAGCGTCGGTGATAATCATGCCGAGCCGATTTGCGGCCACCGTGACACTTGTACACTTTCCGGGGTATTCAGGCTCGGGGCTCTCCCTCTGAACTTCCTGATTGCTGATTGTGATTGATACTTCCCATTTAGCTTGTTGGTCGTCTGGGTATGGCTGTTTTGATCCGTAAAATAATGATAATTTCGCTTTGATAGTTGTGATTTTCCAATATTAAACCCTGTGCTTTTGCCATTTAATCTTCATATTTGTACTCCGCAAAGAATGAACCTCGGATGCTCCGACTGAAAGCGTCTTTTGTCCTTCTGGCCGCAAACACGAACGGTCGGGGGAGGCGGCCAGTGGTGCGATGAGGGTTAAACTCGGGCCGCGTCGGCGTTTTTGGATTTCTTGGCACTCCGTCACCGCACGCTTTCTCCAGGACTCTCTCTCTTGACATCCAACCTTCCTCCAACCCAGGAATTGGCTCAACTTCTACACACAATGAGCGGCCTACGGATCTTAGTGCCCGTCAAGCGGGTCATTGACTACGCAGTAGGTTCACCCTGGCATCTCACTCTCCCAGCCGCCGAGCGTCAGTGACTCGGAGCTACCCTTCCAATGCTCTGATCTCCACCCTGAACGCGGAATTGACACATTCGCCCAACAGATCAAGCCCCGCATCAACAAGGCTCAAACCGGCGTCGAAACCGCCGGCGTCAAGCACTCCCTGAACCCATTCGATGAGCTCTCGATCGAAGAGGCCGTCCGTCTGCGTGAGCGCAAGGGCCCGATCAAGGTCGAGGACATTCTCGCGCTCTCCGCCGGTGGACCCAAGTGCCCCGATGTTCTGCGCACCGCCATGGCCATGGGCGCCGACCGAGCCTTCCACATCGATGTCCCTGAGAAGGGCGACGGCGGCCCCGAGCCGCTGACCATCGCCAAGATGCTGCAGGCCGTAGTGAAGGAGCAGAACGTCAACCTCGTGCTGCTGGGTAAGCAGGCGATTGATGGCGACCAGGGCCAGACAGGTCAGATGCTCGCTGGTCTGCTGGGGTGGCCTCAGACGACCCAGGCCAGCAAGGTTGAGATCAAGGACGAGGCCGGTACCGTTGAGGTCACTCACGAGGTTGATGGTGGTGTCGAGACTCTCCGCGCCAAGCTGCCTATGGTCATCACTACGGATCTGCGGTTGAACGAGCCGCGGTACGCTAGCTTGCCTAACATCATGAAGGCGAAGAAGAAGCCTCTGGAGAAGAAGACCCTCGCCGATCTCGGAGTCGAGGATACACGGCGCTTGAAGACCCTCAAGGTTACCGGTATGTTGTTCCCTGTGCTTGATTTTATTTCTTTTTTGGTGCTGGCGCTAATCAGATTCCGTGATGCAGAGCCCCCACCACGCAAGGGTGGTGGCAAGGTCGAGGATGTCGACGGCCTTGTCGGTAAGCTTAAGGAGCTTGGTGCGCTTTAAGTCAAGCCTTGTGAATTCTTGTTTCTATACCATCGCCCTGAAATGTCTTGGATCTGGAGTGCATGTTTTCCCCGCATTCTCGACTGGCCATGCTGTGTGGCGAGGCATGCGCCATGTGTTCTAGGTCTCCATATAAATGAAAAAGAAAAAACAATAGCCTCCAGCTCTTCTGACCTATTCGGTAGATAGTGTGGATACGTCTGCTCCATAGTAAAGTACATATATAATTTGCCCCTGCCAATGTGGTCATAGATATGCCACAACATGATCATGTTCCCGCCACGGCGGCGCTAGTCGAGATTTCGCCTATATTCGCCCGAGATTCAGAAGTTCAGCAGATCCTGAAGGCGTCCGCAGTGCGGAGTAATAAATGACCTACCCGATCCAGGGTCTGTCGGCCCAATCGGAACCGTGCAGATCGTAGCTTGCGAGGCAATGCGTCCAGTCAGCTCGTCCGTTCCGGCCGAGTATCGAATGATCTGGGCACGGCTATGGGTCATGGAGTCCAGAGATCAATCACAAGCTGCCCTGTTCAGTGCCGTACATTAGTGGATGCGCTATGAGATCAGCCCCGAGTCAGAACATGTAGTAGATACTGAACTTTGCCATTATTCTACTAGTGCTCCGTACTCGGCATTGTAGTAAGATTGAAAAATCTCACGTTGGGCGTTTCAAATGCCAGGATTAATTTGCAACCCGAGCCGAGCCATTCGTACGGAGGATATTACCCAGAAAGGGACGAGTACGGGAGTGGACTCGTTGGGCTGAGCTGTCAAGGGACCCACTGAGGCTTGGGCAAAGCACCCCAGATCGGCTGGAAGCAATTCTTTATATAAGTAAGTAGACTGCAGAGAATACCATGAGAAATGAGAGACAAGAGAGAATATATCAAGGAAGAATAGAACAAGATCTCAATATCGAGTTATAGAGAGAACCGTGGAACATGGCCCACGCGTTGCGAGGCTCTAGACCTGTGTTCTGGTACAGTGACGTAGGGTGAAGAAGCAAATCTCGACAAACTAGTGACTAGCTAAACTTCTTATAGAGAAAGGACTTGAGACAGAGCAATTAAACAAGAAACAATTAAGACTACGGATTAACAATAAAACAAATAAAACGGGAGAAAAAAGACGAAAAAAAACCGAAAAAAAGAGAAAAAAAAACGATGACATCGCCCCTCTGCGAACCATGGAACCAGTCTCTAACGTCCATTTCCGCCCGACCCGGCCTTGTTTTATAAGCAGTGCATTTTCGCTTCTGGCTTTTACTGCTGACGGCTGACTGTTCTGTTCTGCTTCTCCCTGCATTCCTCGGCTTATTTACATTCCTGATCGTTTTCAACTCCCGTTTGCAGTGCCGCGCCCTGTATAGATCGGTGCCCAGCGCATCGAACTTGAACAACTACAATATACAACAACACAGCAACAAGACTGGCCAAACAACCATGCCTCCAACCAGGTGGGAGAAGACGAAAAGCATATCCAAAAAAGGCTTCGACAAAGCATGGGACACCGTCGACAAGCTAGGCGGGCCCGTCAACCGCCTATCCAACAAACTAGGCGCCGAAGCCTTCTGGCCCATGACCATCGACAAGGAAGCAGACAAGGCAGCCCGGATTCTGCGCAGCTTCTGTAAAGATGGCTTTTACGCCCCCGAGTCCACGAAGGACACCGACGAGAACGGCAAGATCAATCGCCCCAAGGGCAAGCAGCGCGTGATCCAGAAAATCCCCTCCAAGGTCCTTCGCAATGCGAAGGGAATCGCCATCTTCACGACTATGCGCACGGGATTATGGATGAGTGGCTCGGGCGGAAGTGGCGTGCTACTCGGTCGCCTCCCCGAGACCGGGGAATGGAGTCCCCCGTCCGGGATCATGTTACACACGGCGGGGATAGGCTTCCTGGCCGGGGTGGATATCTACGACTGTGTCGTGGTGATCAACACATTCGAGGCGCTGGAGGCCTTCAAAAAATTCCGCTGCACGCTGGGTGGCGAGGTCAGCGCTGCAGCGGGCCCGGTGGGCATCGGCGGTGTGCTGGAATCAGAGGTACATAAGCGCCAGGCGCCGATCTGGACATATATGAAGAGCAAGGGGCTGTATGCGGGGGTGGCTGTTGACGGCACGATCATCATCGAGCGAACGGACGAGAACGAACGCTTCTACGGCGAGCGCTTGTCGGTAGACCAGATCCTGTCGGGCAAAGTCCGACATCCCCCGTACGAGCTCCAAACCCTCATGCAGACTCTCAAAGCCGCCCAGGGAGACTCGGACGTCGACGAAAGCCTTGTGCCACCGCCGGGCGAAACACCAGGGGACATGGAGTTGGTGGAGGAACATCCCTTTGGTGTGCCAGCGGCGGACGATCCGGACCCCTATGGAGTGAAGGCGCTAGAGGCGGAGGGGCTGTTCATCCGCGAGGCCGGCACGAAGGTGAGGCCGACTCATGAAACCTTTGAATTCCGCCCCAATCCGGGCAGCCCGATCTACAGCACGTTTGCGCGGCGGAGCATGGATAGCTCGCCGCGGAACAGCTGGCGCGCGAGTGTGCAGAGCTCGAAGAGCTATGCTAGTGTCAACCGGGGTACCCAGACTGATGATTCCTCGCTAACCGAGCCCACGTCAGTGAGCCGTGCGTCGTCGCGTAGCGCCAAGGAGTCGCCGCCGATGAGCACCTGGAACGAAGAAGGGGACACCGCTCGCTGGGACACGGTTGTGATTCACGGTGGCGAGGAAGAGCAGGTCAAGGTCCGCCAGTTGGAGGGCGAGGAGGCGGAGATCAGAAGGGCGACTGAGGATGCGTGCGAGGATAAGAAGGAGGACTTTGAAGCAGATGACGATGAGGATGACTATGAAATTCACGAAGTCAGCAACGCCATGGTCACACCACGAGAGAGCATGCCCGCATCGCCAGCCAAGCCGGACGACCAAGCAGCAGACAGCGAAGCCAAGCGCATGTCGCCCAGCTTCATCAAGGCCCGTCTCGTTACGATCCCGGCCCGTGGCCCACCGGCTCTGCCACCACGCCACCCACAACATGTCTGGGGCTCGGGCTCGAGCCGCGAGTCCACCTCGCCCACGGCACACTCTCACTCCAGCCACAACACTTCGCCCACCACCGATGCGACGGAAACCGACCGCGGCGAGAGTTTCGATACGACAAAGACGTCCCCATTGGCGCAGAAGGTCAAGACCGCTACTGCGATCACTCCTGCCGTCGAAGAAGATGACCGGGAAGAGTTCATGTCCGCCAACGGCGATCACTCAGATGGCGAGAACCAAACCATCACCCTCGAAGACCACGTTGAGCAGGCTGAGAAGGATACAGGTCTCCAAGCAGAGCGATCACCTCAACCCGAGAAGACCCCCAATCTTCCTCAGCTCGTGCCCAACGTCAGGGATACACCAGAGGTTGAAGAAACCCTCGACAAGATCGAAGCCAAGCTCGAGGCTGAGGTCGATCACCCCGAAGGCCAAAAGTCGAACAAGACATATGCCCACGTCCTCGCTGATCGCGAAGAGCACGAGGAGTCTCCTGGCGGCACCAAGATCGACACCACCCTGCCTCATGCTAGGGCTGATTAGGTTTGCCTCTTGACCTCTGCTTCGTCTTTTGCTCAATTTCTCCATCTCTGTCTCTATATACCCATTGTCACGATACCTCGTTCTGTTTTACGCGCACCCGACTTCAAGGACTCGTATCCTCCACGTCTACTGTTTGATCTCTAATTGTCTCTCTCTCAACCGGGTTGAGATTATCTTGTTTTTTTCCACTTTGAATTTTAGCGAGTCTGCATTTCAGCGAATGGGTGGTTTGGTTTGTTTTGGCTATAGGGGAGTCTCCAGGTTGTCTCTTGGGGCATCATATATCTTGTTAATCATATATACCATCTTTTGGACATTTCTACTCTCAATTCACTCTGTTTTATATCTCAAACAATCAGCAGCCCTGGAGTGTACGGTGCGACGTACAAAGTGAGAATGCAAGACATGACGGTGCTTTGGGGCTCATGACGATTCTCGCCGTCACAACCCAACCCAAGCTGAGATCAAGTGCTTGAGTGCTTTCACGAAAGTGAATTTCTGCATGTCCTGAATGTCATAGTCACACTGCGATGTCGCGCTCACGCCGTGCATTCTGGCCGTTCCTCATCCTCACCTTCGTGCTATTCCTCCTGCTGTACGGAATCCACCCAACACAAGATGTCGAGCCTCCACTGGAAGTTATTCCCGAGCTGGTTGATTCCAATACCCTGCGCCCAGGGGACTTTCTGGACCCTGTTGGGTATCCTCATCCTTACATCGCGCCAGTCCAAGACTATGCCCTGAGTGAGCCTGATGGCGAAGGGACCCTGAATGACGTATCGTAAGTGCTTTCCACCTCCCAGGTTCTTTTCTAACAAAGTCCCAGTGAAGATAGGTTTTACCGCGGAGGAACGCTTTCCTTGAGCACGCAGGGCGATCACACAGAGCACCCCCAGCCGGTGATTTATGACCCGTACCCTTCCTACAACACTTTCAAATGGCATAAGATATGGACTGGAAACCACCAGCCTTGTCGGGGCCCGCGAGGCAGGGACATTGATCGCAGCAACACCGAAGATATGATGATGGTATATCGAGGGACTCAAAATGGTCTGGTTTCCCCCATTCCCGGACGCCTTCCTCGTCCGTACTGACAGGCCCACAGAATTCCCCTTCCCCATGTTCGGATCTCACAAAGCAATCGGCCTTGATCACAACGTATGCGTGGACAGGTACTCGCGGTATGGGCCATACGGACTCGATGAATTCAACGGTGAAGAGGTTCCAGGATTCCCAAGACCTCCCCGAATCTTCTGGGGAAATATCAACTGGGGCTATCTTCAATCGGCGTGCTATGAACGGAACGCCGATAGATTTGATCCTACTCGACCGGACCAGCATTACACCCAGCACACTCTCTCCCTCTATCCACCGGAAGCTCTATCGCGTGTTCAAAGGCCCAAGAAGCTAGGGACGCTATCGTACAAGTCTCGCTCGGCGGTGATCCTCCGTGCCTCGGATAGTATGAGATGGACACCCAGCCATGCCCAGTATCTCCGCTCGCTGATCATGGAACTCTCGCTGCATTCGGGGTCCGAGTATCAATTATTCTTCTTGATCGATGTACACAATCCATCGATTGATCTCGAGAACGACGAAGAGGCCATTCAATCTCTTAAGCAGAAGATTGTACCAGCCGAATTCCGCAACATGACCATCCTTTTCAGCGAACGTCTTTTAGAAAGGTGGTATCCCAAATTAGACGAGCATCGCGCCATCTACCAACACCTGCAAGCGACCCAGGTGTTCTCTTTAATGTATCCCGAGTTCGACTACTACTGGCAGCTCGAGTTCGAGAACCGGATCATTGCCCACGCCTACCATTTCTTCGAACAAGCCATCGCCTTCGCCAAACGACAACCCAGGAAGTATCTATGGGAACGCAACGCCTATTTCTACACCCCCGGCGCCCACGGCGACTGGAGCGACTTCTCCGCCATGGTAACTCTAGCCATGGAAGGCAAGCCCAGCATCTGGGGACCCGTCCAGCATCCAGGTATATCACCAGCAGGGCCGACGCCACCCATCTCCCGACCCCAAGGCGACCACTTCGAATGGGGAGTCGGCGAAGAAGCCGACCTAATCACATTCCTACCCATATTCGATCCCAGAAACACATCCTGGACCTTTCCCTGGATGCTTTGGAACCTAGACGAAGACACCCCCCGCCGCGCCTCGGTAATCACCCAATGGCGAATTTCCAATCGACTCCTCCGAGAAATGCACAACGCCCAACTCGACGGACAGGCCTTTGCTTCGGAAATGTCGGCCCCATCCTGGGCGCTTCTCCACGGCTTCAAAGCCGTGCATGTCCCCCAACCTATCTACGTAGATGGGAAATGGACCTCGGCCGAAATGTCCCGCATCTTCAATCGTGGCTCGGCGGAAAACATGAATGGAGGTCAACATAGCATTTGGAACTGGGATCATAAATTCGATTATCTCTGGTATCGCCTTTCGTTCATGTTCGCAACACAGACGGCAGAAGATCTCTTCAGGCGTTGGTTAGGTTTCCCGCCTAACCCTAGTCGTCATCTTAGTGGAGAGCGGGTATGTTCTCCCCGGTATATTCTTGCAATTCGCTAACTTTTGTATAGCCCGAATACCGTCCTGGGAGATATTGGGATGAAGGCGGTAGTCTGGTAGGAGAAATTAGTTGGTTTTTGAAGGGCTTTGGCTAACGCGCTTAGGATGAACCTGCCAATGGGCGAATGTGCTTGCCGTTTATGTTACTGCATACGATTAAGAATACGGAGCCTGAGATGTCGTCGAATTTGCCGGTTACTGATTCGGCGCTTCAGGATGATGCTATTTGAATGGCTTTTCAAGGTTGACGGGTTGTTCGTTGTTTGATCTACGGGTATCTTTTTCATAGTTCATTGCAAATTAATGTCTCGTGTTAGACTCATTTCCATCAATTGGGTTCAGTCCTTTCGTGAACCCTGAGCCTCATGTTTCCGCCTAGACGGCGACACAATATTGAGGTTTGGGCTCCACTGGGCATTGCCCAAGATGGGCGTTTCATGTCCCCGTTTATGATCATCCTGGCCTATCAAAGCCGGTAGATTACAGGACTAGACCTATATTCACTAGCGTGATCTACGATGTGGGGTTTTTTTCCCGCGTCAACATATCCTTCGACTGCCATGTCTCTCGGGTAAGGCCAAGCAACAAAGCTGACCTGGGAAGATCACCTTGAAATACACAGCCGAGAGCCTTGGGATGTCTCAGAGTCCACAGCGACAGAGCTCCACCCCGTTGGGTGGTATCTTCAAGTACTAGTATTTCACTCGAGTAAGCACAACCTAGACTCATAGTGGGGCATCTGAGCCGTTTCTGCAGCTCGGCATTGCTAAAAGCGTTCTGGGCAAATGCCCATTCGTATTGACATGTGGATCAGCGCTGTCATTCTGAAGTAACCGAAGGCTATACCCTAACTAGGCCGTCCCCCCCGGCGCTAAATGCAAGAGCAGCACGCTAAAAGGCCTGCCGTGAGAACAGTCTAACTCGATGCGACGCAGAACAGACTGGCTTATTCAAGCGAGCCGAATCTAGCCAATCCCCATTCCGTTGTTTCATGTAGTTTGAATCAGCGAATTTGTCTATGGCCATGGCGGGGAGACTTGGGTTGGTGGTCAATGTACCGCCCTTCTCGCCATAATTTAAAGACAACCCTCGATCTCTTTGGTTTCGCTCACCTTCCGAGGTTTGGAGATTCAAGCATGGCCGGAATTTTGTTACTGGCCCTGTGTGGCCTGCCGGTATACATTGCCATCAAGAGCATTTACAGGCTATACTTCCACCCGCTCAGCAAAATCCCTGGGCCCAAGCTTGCAGCGATCACCGGTGCTTATGAATTCTATTTCAATGTCATCAAGCGAGGAATGTTCATTTGGGAAATGGAGCGTCTCCATGAAGTATACGGTCAGCAATTCTAAGCGAATATGAAAGACTGCCAGCTCAGACATTGAGTAGGACCCATTATACGCGTTACCCCGAATGAAGTCCACATCAAAGACTCGGACTACTACGATGAGATCTACGCTTCGAATAAGCGCCGGCGCGAAAAGGTGTACGACCGAGTCGCCAAGTTCGACCTCGAGGGCTCGGGATTCTCGAGCATCTCCCCAGAAGACCACCGGATGCGTCGCGCACAGATAGAAAAGTACTTTTCCAGACAGTCAGTCACTAACATCGAGCACGTCATTTACGAAAGTATCGACAAGCTCGATGAGCACTTCCAGCGTGCTTTCAAGACGAACCAAGTCGTCGGCGTTGACGCCGGCTTTGCAGGCCTGACTTCCGATATCATCCACAACTACGCCTACGGCTTCAACAGTGGAAATTTGGATCATGAAAACTTCAACGAGAACGTTAGAGATGGAGTCAATGGGCTGCTTAAGCTCGCTCATCTCCTCTTTCACGTTCCCATCCTGCAAACTATCATGAAGATGCTTCCATTGTGGGTTCTGGAGAAATGCAACCCGTACGCCTATGCCCTGCAAAGCCAGAAGGCCGATCTTCTCGACCGAACAACAAAGTTCATACAAGGCCATTCCGCAGAGTTGAAGAATCGCCCCATCATGGAGATTCTCTGCACATCGGACATGCCCGAGGAACTGCGAGAAGCTGTACGCCTCAACAACGAGGGTTTCGCCATGGTCATCGGTGGTATTGAGACTACTGCGCGATCTTTGGCTATTGCTTCTTTCTGGCTGATGACGAACGACACGATCAAGAATAAATTGCGGGAGGAGCTGCGTACTGTCATGCCGACGCCGGACTCTCGTCCGACATGGAGCCAACTTGAGCAATTGCCTTATATGGTATGTTCCGTGTCTGCTTGTTCTGAAAATCAAGTTTCAAGCCTGGCTTATCGTTCTAATGTGTGCGCAGTCTGCGGTCGTTTCGGAGACACTTCGCCTCTCAACTGGAATCGCCAATCGATCACCTCGTGCTGCGCCTTCTGAAGCATTGGTATACAAGGGATATGTCATTCCTCCCGGAGTAAGAAGCCCATCTACCATTGTATCAGATCGGATATGCTGATATCTTTCACTTATAGACACCTGTCAGCGAGACAAACTACTTCGTCCTGACAGACCCGGAGATCTTCCCTGATCCACACACCTTCGACCCAGACCGGTGGTTGCGTGCTGCCGCCAGGGGACAGCGCTTGGATAAGTACATGGTCAACTTCTCGAAGGGAACTCGGATATGTGTTGGCATGAAGTAAGATATTGGCATTCCATTCGAGTTGGGCTTTGCTAACCTCGTTCGACAGCCTGGCATATGCCGAGTTGTACCTCGTGCTGGCGGCGTTTGTCCGTCGCTATGATATGGAGTTATTTGAAACGACGGAGAAGGACATTGCCTTTGCCCGTGACTTTGGTACTCCTTACCCTGACGATGGCAATATTCGCGTGCGGGCTATGGTCACGAAGGTCATTGAGGAATGATGGTCCGGATTCCATGCATGATGCATACCGCGAGATGGGCGAGGAACTTGAGATAGCGATGAATTCAGAGATCTCAGCAAAATAGCAGAATGAATAAATCTGAATCTCGGCGATAGTCCGCAAGAAAGTAAAGGAAAGAAGAAAACCACCGGCTAAGTCCGTTAAATCCGCAGTTGAAACTCTATGTGATGACACCCTCTTTCCTTCTTCGCTTCACAGCACCTCAAGCAAAATGGCTGACAACCAAATCACCAGAGCCTTCTCGCTCATCGAGAATGACGAATCCAAGATCCTACAAATGGCCATCGGTCAACACGAGAACATCAAGCCCGGAACCCGTCTAGGTCGCAAAGGTACGAGATACCCCAAAGCAACAGCCAAGCAAGCCAAGCATCAGCCACAAAATCAAGCACTACCCATGAAGAAACCAATCTGACAATAAACACAGAAGCTCAAGACCCACCCAAGCTCTCCTTCGACGGCGCCAGCCCCGATACCAAATACGTGATCGTCAGCCTGGACATCGATGCCCCATTCCCATCTCTTGGAATCCTGGGCCCAATCCTGCACTGGATCCAGTCTGACGTGACAGTCGGTGACTCTTCGGTCCTCGAGTTCGATGCTCCCTTCGTGGCAAACTGGATTGGTCCTGCTCCTCCTCCTGGCAGTGCGCCTCATCGGTACATCTTTTTCTTGTATGAGCAGCCTGATTCTTTCGATTTGAAGGATCATGCTCCGCCTCAGGGAAAAAATCTTGCGAATTGGAATCGGATGCGCTATGATCTGGATTCGTGGGTTGAGGTAGCTGGTCTGGGTCCTTTGGTTGCGTTCAATTATTACGTTTGCAACTAGGTGGTGCTTGTTTTACCTCCGCTTACCGATGGCCTGCAGTTAATTCCAAGTTGTTTGCTGGCATTTTATGATGTTTTTCTTTTCGAGTATGGTGATTACTAGGAGGTACTATCTTTGTCTTTAAAATTCGACTCCATTTGATATTGCTCAAGTGCCATGTTCTTGTAGATCAGTAGAGCTTTTCAAATGTGCATATGTCAAGTTTTCTACCTATTAGCCCTCTTTATATGACTGCGTCCTGTAATGCCAATTGCCAAACTGGGTATCAAACGACATTGTGATGACTAGATGTTTGTCTAACGATGCCGTTCATTTGCGTTACCATCGCTCGCCGGGGTTTAAAAGGGCAGGCAGCTGTTTCTCAGCCACATTCTACATCAACTTTTCTATCATCAACTCCTCGATGTCTGGGCTTCGACTTAGACCAGTTGCTCGAGAAAGATACCCTCGCGGTAGAGATATGAACTCCGATAAGAGTGTTGACAAGCTGGCAGACGGCCTGAAAGACCTGGTGATCGGTGCTAGTGGGAGAATCCCCAAGTCCTTGCACGGTATACCACCCTCCATACCCGAGCTCACAGCTTTGTGATGTGTATCTGACATATGGCCGTTGTTTCTACAGAAGACATCAAGCGCCTAGTCGAAGACTGCGGTGCCAAGTTCGTGGAGAAGGGCTTTCAAGATTGCACTCATCTTGTGACTACGCTGAAGGACGGTAGAGTGAGAAGCAGGAAGGGTGAGTCCACTGATGATTTTATAGGGCAATGTTCAACGCAAACCATCTCTTAGTTACCCCAGCAGACGAGCAAGGCTGCCATACTGTCAGCATGGATTGGCTTCTCGGAACCATCAAAAAAAAAGCTCCTGAAAAGATAAAGGAGTTTTTGCTGAAGCACAAAACACTGCGGCGGGCTTTTAGAGGGGCTCTGGTGGTGGCGAATAATGATCGAGGCCATACTGGACCAAAGCGTGATCGTGAAGATGACAGTGATGGAGACGACGGAGTTTCCAAGAAGGCGGTGGTATCTTCGGCGAAGGCCGACATGGAGGCCAGTATGAAGATCAAGAGGGAACGCAATTCAGAAGGTCTTGCAAAGCTTGTAGAAGACAAGTTCAAGGAAAAAGGTCTGATTGTCCTGCAACGTTTGGTTTTCTCGTGTATTGACATTTTGCAAGGCAAAAAGCTTACGGTCTGGCTGGACGACTCCGGTTTCATATGGGATGTCACATTGGTGAAATTGGACGAAGAACTATCTCACCAATTGATGCGAATGCAAATTATACACGCCGCGGGGCCAAATGAGGCTTGGGCATGGCGTTGCAAATATCACTCTTCCATTGACAGCACACCCGCTATCAAAAGCAGTGGGCATTCAGAGAGTCGTTTTGAAGACTTTGCTTCGGCCAGGACCAAGTTCGAGTATCTTTTCAAGACTTTCACAGGAGTACAATGGAACTACCGCGGTTCCAAATCTCTTCCCGCTCATTGGGTCTTTGTTGATCTGAACCCTTCTGCTGACCTCATCGACTGTGACATTGAGGGGGTGACTGCCGAAGTTCTTGCTATTTTGGAGATGATCTTCAGCAAGAAGTATGCGGAAGCTTATGCCAAAGCGCTCGAAACATCGGGGGGCACATACAACTTTACAACGAAAGAGGGAAGACGCAGACTGAGGCTTGCAGTGGCCTGTATGCAGATGCATATGAAGCTTGGAGCATCGAGCATCGATGGAAATACGCCCAGTGACCTGGATTTTGTCTTCCGGAACTTGGTTCACCCCAACATTCCGGAACCGCGCAGCACCGCACAGGACCAGAAGGACCAGACAATGTTTGAGGCTTTGGACTTGTTGTTGAAGCTTCAAAATGCTCACAATCTCATGGCGAAGGCGGACTGTTCGGCAACGAGCCTCAGTCAGATATACCAAAGCCTTGGTGTAGCGAAGATGGATCTCGGTGCGAGCTTCTGCGATCACCGATTTGGAAGTTATTACTGACCAATACCGACAGTGGATGATAATTCAGCGGAACATACCCAGCTCTGCGAGTACCTCATGAAGACATCCAGTCCGCATCACCCGCATCAATTCAAGGTTGGTCACGCTTAAGCGGAGTTGAGTGGTCGTTCCACTGACCTCTTCTAGGAAGTAATCAACATATTCCGTCTGGAGCGACCAGGAGAAGAGGATCGATTCGCCCAGTGGCAGCGCGCACGCAGGAGTCGCACCGGAGATCGGCGACTTCTCTGGCACGGCTCTGGGTGTGCCAATTTCGCCGGGATTTTGATTCAAGGGCTACGCGGCGCTGGAATTGTCTCTGTCAATGGCAAGTCGTTTGTTCCAGGTGTCTATTTTGCTGATATCTCGACCAAGTCGGCTGGGTACTCGGGGCAAACTGCAAACCAAGAATGCCTGATTTTGTTATGTGAAGTCGAGCTGGGCGCCGACGACTCGGTAGCAACACGGCTTGTAGGCAGAACCACTCACAAAAAGTGGCGGTCTGCTGAACACATTCACCCAAGATTCGCGAATGTGAAGGTGCCAGATATCAGCGCTGGTACAGTCAATGGGGCTGCTTCATTGTATCACAGCGAATACGTTGCCTACAACCCGGCTCAGGTCATCCAGCGATATTTGTTTCACATCAAGATGCAGGGATAGCAGGTTGAATCGAGCTAGGTAGAATAGGAAGAATCAAATGGGCATTCGAAACTGAAAAGCCCGTCGGAGGCCCGGAGGCGTAATGTAGGATTCGGAAGAGGAGGAGCGGTCTTGGCGTTGATCGACACTACTTAACCGGGCTCAAGGTCCTCTTCCTTGGCCTCCCCTCATGGCTTCGATTTGGATTGCCGCCCTCCTGGCAGGGACGTCTGTCGCGCAGTATTTTCCACCTACACCCGAGGGAGTGAAGATTGTTGAGTCCAAGCACCACAAGGGGGTGAAGATCTCATACAAAGAGGTGCGATTGGATCGATCGCCCGACCAACCCCCAACTAATGTTAGCAGCCGGGAATCTGTGAGACAACCCCAGGAGTCAGATCGTATTCGGGGTATGTGCACTTGCCTCCAGGCTCCTTGGACGACGTCAATGTCGAACAAGACTACCCGATCAATACCTTCTTCTGGTTCTTCGAGGCTCGCCACAACCCGAAGAATGCCCCTCTCTCCATCTGGATGAACGGTGGTCCAGGCAGTTCTTCTATGATTGGTCTCATGCAGGAAAATGGGCCTTGCATCGTGAACGAGGATTCTAACTCCACCGAGCTAAACCCTTGGTCGTGGAACAACTATGTCAACATGCTGTACATCGATCAGCCAAATCAGGTCGGTTTCAGCTATGATGTCCCTACCAACGGCACCTTCGATCAAGTCGCAGGTGCCTGGAATCTGTCCGAATGGGCCGAAGTGCCCACCCAGAACAATACGTTCTATGTCGGCACGACGGCCAGCCAGAAGGCGTCCGCCTCGGCGAACAGTACGCAGAACTCCGCCCGATCACTCTGGCACTTTGCCCAGACTTGGTTCACCGAGTTCCCGCATTACAAACCGCATGATGAGCGCGTGAGCATCTGGACTGAATCTTACGGCGGTCGCTATGGTCCATCCTTCACTGCCTTCTTCCAGGAACAGAATGAGAAGATCCAGAATGGCACCATCAATACCCCTGACGCATCGCATTATATTCACCTCGACACCTTGGGCATCATCAATGGCTGTATTGATCTGCTGGTCCAGGAGCCGACTTACCCAGTGATGGCATACAACAACACGTACGGTATTGAGACCATCAATAAAACAGTCTACGATAATGCCATGGATGCATGGAGTCGTCCTGGAGGATGCAAAGACCTCATCATCAAATGCCGCGCCCTGGCCGCAGAAGGCGATCCCCAGATGTACGGGCACAACACCACCGTCAACAAGGCATGCCAAAAGGCGGATCAGCTTTGCTCCAACAACGTCGAGGGCGCATACGTGGAGTTCTCCGACCGCGGCTACTATGACATCACACATAAGAACCCCGATCCATTCCCGCCCTCCTACTTCCTCGGCTGGTTGAACCGAAACTGGGTCCAAGGCGCTCTCGGCGTTCCCATCAACTTCACCGAGTCCAGCGACGGCGTCTACAACGGCTTCTCGTCTGTCGGTGACTACCCACGCTCCGACGTACACGGCTATCTGGAAGACCTCGCATACGTCCTCGATGCCGGTATCAAGGTTGCTCTCGTCTATGGCGACAGCGACTATGCCTGTAACTGGATTGGCGGAGAAGACGCCAGTCTCCTGGTGAACCATTCCAGCGCGGATGCATTCCGCTCCGCCGGGTATGCGCCCCTCCACACGAACTCGTCCTATGTTGGTGGTCAGGTCCGCCAGCATGGCAATTTCTCCTTCACGCGCGTTTATAACGCAGGTCATGAAGTCCCGGCTTATCAGCCCCAGACCGCTTATGAGATCTTCTACCGGGCGCTGTTTAATCGTGATCTGGCGACTGGTAAGATTGATACTGCTCGAAATGCGTCTTATGAGACGCAGGGGCCTGCGTCTACCTGGCATATCAAGAATAAGGCGTCGGAGAGTCCTGATCCGCTTTGTTATATCCTTGCGCTTGGTGCAACCTGCACTGACGATCAGATTGCCAGTGTGCTGAATGGAACTGCTGTCATTCAGGATTATATTGTCGTGGATGGCAAATCAGACTAACCTGTCGTGGATGGTGCTAGAGCTTATACGGTTCATAGCGTGGGGTGTAAGTGAGGACAAATCCATAGATGACAATGCTATGAGCTTTCACGTCTGTCTCAGTTTTACTAGTTTTATTCCATATGAATGTGAAGTGAAGCAGGGTTGCCATCGCCAAGGGCCATGGCTCGGCCCGAGCCGTAGTGGTGGAGCAGTGGAAAGTACGAATCCACCACGTCTAGGCCAGCACTTCAGGGCGGCTTTCACTTCTCACTTGGATCTCGAGTCGGTTCCAAAGCCTTCGATTTATGTGCTCAAATTGCAGTCAGTCCCCCCAGGAAATACTCATTCCCGTGGTCATCATCATTCTCGATCTCCCAGGCAAGAGCACAAAGAACGACAACACCACCACGCTCATCGATCTCACACCACATCATGTTCCTCCGCCTTTTCCTCCTGAGGATCCCGCCGCTGCGTATCCTCCGGTCATCTCTCCGGCAGCCGGAAGACTACGTGACCCGAGAGCGCTCCAAGACTCACCAACTGCTATCGGACACGCAGTGCCTCATCCTAGACCCTCAGGTGCTGGCTCTGATCGATCCAGAGCTCCACGGATGCAAGTCAACGTGGGGACTCAAGGAGCCGCGTGCACAATATACCGAGTCTCGACACGAGTAAATCCGGTCAGTGCTGTCGCTTCTAGGTAGTTTCGTGCTTTTCAAATGTTGCGTTTGCAACGCCAACTCATCATCCTCACATTACACTTCTATAGCTAAACTACGGATCCTCGATAAACTACTGGTCAACATCTCTTTGGGACTCATTCGGCATGCAGTGACGGTTTTATCTTCGTCATTTATGCCCCTCGCTGCCTCCGATCACTATTCATTTTCGGCCCATACCAGTAGGACTGGGGGTGCCTCTTTGTCCTACGTCATGGCCTTTGTTAAACCGACATTTCTGTCTCGGAGAAGTAACCATAGGAATATCGTTACCGCACCCTTTTCATAAATTCGCGCCACGGCATCAATGAAACTATCGTCTTGATTCTGCATCGGGTGCCAAGGTATATCCTAAAACCCTAACAATACTCTGGTTTAGGCTCCGTTCCCAACTTAGCCGCGCCTTGCGCGTGAAGCTTTAACTTCTATGAATGCAGACATCCTCCGCGCATTGTTTAAGACGACCAGCCCTCGCCCTCGTCCGTCATTGGCTACTTCATGATAAAACCATATCTCTCGGCTCCGAAAGGCTTCGAACCGGCATTTCACGCCTGCCTTGTATGGTGGATCTATATAAAGCTCAAATCTCCACGTAAAGGGAGCGACAGACTCCGCTGCTTCTTCGGGAACAACAAAATTCCTGATAACCCAAGCCCCCATCATTGGCCGGTATCACGATGTCTCTGGAACTCAAGTCTCAAGGAATTCTGGTCCAAGCCCCGGGTCCTCTTTCGAAGAAAGCAAGAGGCGAAGTAAAACCAGGGCTCTACCTAGCGTCCTGATTAGTGCGCGGAGAGATGGACATATAAGGGCGCCTTCGCCTTTGTTTTTTCCTCTTTCCTCTTCCCTTCTTCAACTATCTTGCATTGCATCTTATCCTTATAGCATCATCGCATTAGCATCATCGCATTAGCATCATTGCATTGGCATCATCGCATTGGCATCATCGCATTGGCATTCTTGCATCTTATTCTTATAGCATCATCGCATTGGCATCCTTGCATCTTATTCTTATTGCATCATCGCATTAGCATAGTTCACATCTTCTACTAACCTCATCAAGTACAGCATTCTCTCACTAACACCTAGGTCAAGCCCATCCACCTGGCAGCAAGCCCATGCTCGTCCAGCAAGTTCATCCGGTAAGTTCATCCAGCAACATCATCCAGCAACATCCTTCACTCAGCGGCTCTCATCCTCATCCTTCACTCTCCAAACTCCTCTCCAAAAACCATACCTCTGACTATGTCATGTACCAATTTTTGGAACCACAATACCGGAGATAGCCCTCTGGTCATGCTATGAAGAGAACTCTGAGCATACACCCACCGCGCATTGCACATCGCGAATGGGGGTGCGTTCTACGGAACTAAAACTTTCTATGAATCATCATTGGAGATAGCTCTCCGGTTGAGCGGAGTGGAGTGTGAGGTTCGAGGTGTGAGGTGTGTGCAATAGAGAGTGGCTGAAGGGTGAAGGAGTATGTCTTACAGCTTTGTGTCTTGGGGCATGGCTCAGATGGTTTGTTCTCTTCCCAATGAGGCGGCGGGGTGACGTCTGTTTTGCGCCGTACCTTGTTTGGGATGTTCGAAGATCTCCATGGGTATGTTCGCACTTGATGTCGGGCCATTGGTCTACTAGAGAGCTTCATGTGGATGTCATGATGCTCACCCGCGAACTCCAGGGCTGTCCACCACCTCGTGCTGGACATAGGGCTTGGTCATGTGCTTCTTTCCTTCTTCCAAGGTTTCCCTCCGTCGTTCCTTCCTCTCTTGTCTGCTCTTTCCTGTTCTGCTCGTCCCAAAGCGCTTAGCGCCCTTCCAATGCCCAAGTATAAAACCCCCCCAGGCCCCATCTTCTTCTCCTTCTCTTCTTCTCTTCTTCATCTCTCTTGTCGACACACCTGCGCCCACAGCCCGTACTGCATCCTCCTTTCTCTTCTTTCCACCAACCGCACTTTTTGCCCCCTTCATCCACGCTCAGCCCGTACTGCCTCTTCCTTTCTCATCTTTCCATCACCACTTTTGCCCCACCCTCACTGCCTGCGGGCTTCGTAGACTGCCCTGAGGTCATGCGCGCTGATACTCTGACCGTGCGAGGAATCTTTCCGAGCCGACAATTACCAATTTTTGGACCGTGTAGACTGGAGATAGCCCTCTGGTCGCCTTTGCTATGAAGAGAACTCTGAGCATATTCCAACAACTCGCTTTGCACTGCGTTGTTGTTGGTCTTCAGCACAATCTTTTCTCTTTTGATTGTTGCTGTTGTTTACATCTGCGGATGTGTCTTGTTGCATGGTCTTTCTCTTCCATAGCTGTCATGAATGCTTAGCTAGTCCTTCTGCTCCAAGGTTGTATGTAGTAGATATTGTTTTGTCCTCTATGCTGCGACTGTGTGATGATGTCTGTCACTCGTGTATCCGAGTCTCAATCGAGACACTTGTGTTGGTGGCTCCCATCCGCTCCCGATTTGGCGCATGTCTGCATATGAGCACTTGATGATAGTTGTGATCTACCTGTCCATGCGTGTCCAAGTCTCTATCGCTGCCGATCGTGAGGCCGTTGGAAGTCTTCATCCACGATGGGGGTCTAGATGCTTTCTACTCCGTACCCATAATCCTTGAGATAGTCGCACCTGCGGGCGCCAGGGCTCTCTCCGTTGAGTACAGGACGCGCCAAGATCTAGCCTCCGTACTTGAAGCACCGCCATCCTTGTGCCATAACTCTCATAAGTTGATATCGATTCATGCAACTGCTAAGCATATACGCTATGCTACGAATGTACACATCGCCAAAACGTACCTGCACTCAATCCTTCTTATCATGGGCTCCAACCCGCCCAGACTTCTCATTCGCCCCAGTCCCAGACGACCAAGCAACCCTTACAAGCTTCAAAAGCACCCACAAGAATCCAAGCGAGATAACCACACAGGTCCCCAACTCAATGAACTTCCCCTGGAACATACCTTCCCCACTAAGCCGCAGAACCGGCACATCCACATCCTCAACCAGCCGTTCACCCGCAGGACTCAGCTGATAGAACGTCGTCCGCGGACCGAACAACCCATCCCACCCGAGATGTGTGCGCTCGAACGGATTAGGACCCATACCCTCTTCATCGTCGGTGGTACAGGCCCAGAAAACGATAGGCCAGGGAACATGCGCGGTGCGGTATCCCGATTCCGAAGGCGGGAGGTACCGCAGATGTAATGGGATAGTTGCTGTCCAGTTTGAGGGGACTGCGGTTTGGTCTTGTTCTTGAGTGGGAGGGGTAGCTAGTTCCAGGAGCCAGGATGAGCCCCAATTCTTGACGACCCAGTCTGGGGCTTCGAGGTCCATTTCGCCTGCGTGGGCGTTGAGGGCTGCGAGGTTGTGAGATTCGAGGAAGAGGGGGTCTGTTGTTCCGAGCTGGTATTGGTCGCCGAATATGGTGGATGGGAGTGTGAGATATGTGTGAAGTGCGCAGGTTGCGTCGTTGGGGGCTGGTGGTTGTTTGAGTGTCGATCTTGGTATGGTTATGGACATTTCTGGGTGTAGGCCTGTTGGGGGTGTGAATGAGACGGTGTAGCTGGATGATTCGATGAGATGCTGGTGGCGGGATGGGAATGAGAACATGGTTGGCTCTGTTGATGTTAGATCGTCCAATGTATGCGAGCTTGCTACGTACTGAGTTTCTGGTCCTGGCCGACAACGGCCAGCAGTCCGCCCATCTTGATCTCCTCTGGTTCAAGTCCGGGCTCGGCGCCGAGGAGACCGAATTCGATTTGATCGGCGCTGGAAGACGGTTTCACGATCTGGTCTGTCCAGCCGCCTTTGGGAGGGTTGGCCCAGAACCCTGAGACTGTCAGAGCACGAGAGCTGCTATCATAGTCGATATCGATGGAGTCCGCGGTGAGTAATGCATTGGCGGAAGTGTGGCACTCAGTGCTTTCTTTTGCGCAGACATCATTCTGGATATATTTGACGAGATTCTTCACGCTAGGCAGGTGCGTGTGGTATTGTAGTGAGGCCGAAGAAGCGGAATTCGTCGATAGCGGGGGTTCGATGAATGATTCCTACGATAAAATCAGAGTCAGACCCGATATGGCGCACGATTTCTGTCGGCGAATGCATCCCCGCGGATGAATCAGTCCTGACATACCTCCGGTTTGGTGCAATCTTTAAATTGAGCATCCTTGTCTGGTCCGACCACCGCGCGAAGCAGTGTGCACAGTGCCTCCCTGTCAAACGCATCAACCAACTGTCCTCAGCATGGGGTGTAAAAGGCTCACGGTGACTCGTCTGTCTTCAGAGGTGTATATTGCACATGCAAGCCTGGTGAGACTCGGCTGGCGAAGGGCGCGAGTGCGTCATAAGGTCGTTCGGAGGCCCAGCGGAGGTGAAGCCCGCTGGAGTGTTCAAGGGCGCCGCGCAACTAAATTGAGGTACCATAGTCAAGTTAGCAATCTGCCATTTCTATTTGGAGCTCGTGCGTTCGTCTCCCTACCTGTTCCGGGAGCTGGTCAAGCTCCACGGTGAAGCGGTCTTCCCGCGCGGCGTCTAGGTCGCGCACGGAGAGGGACGACGAGGTCAGAACGACCTGCTGCAGATCGAATCCGGCATCGATGCGCTGGATAAAAGTGATTCTGCGTTTCATTGTGTATACGGGCGTGGAGGTATGATATTGACACTGTCAACAGAGGAGGTCCCGGTCTTTCTCCGCACCCGCCTAATCGGGTTAGACTGCATTACGTCGTGATATGCGCCGAGGTCGAGTCACTTCATACGGACAGAGGATTTCAAGATTGATCGTGAAAATGTTCGATTTTGACTATGTACATTACATTTTCGGGTCAACGACCACAACAGAATAGCAAATTTCAAATAGAATGGTCGTGTCATTGTCATCGGGAACCGCCCGTAAGAAACGCTCACCCCAACGCCTGGTATATGCAACAAAATGAAAAGGTGTTCAAGGTAAAACATCCTTCAGAAGGTCTTTCTGGGATTGGGTCAAGCTGGTGGGGAACTTGACGTTGACGTGAATGACGAGATCACCGCGCTCGCTGGGGTTGCGTGAGATCACCATGCCCAGGCCGGGATATCGCTCTTCGTGGCCGGGTTGGGTTGGGCCAGGTTTCGCGACACGGATTGACTTGCCATCGATGGTTCGGATAATTCGGTCCCACCCTGTAAGTGCTTCCTTTAGAGTGAGTTCCACCGTCGCGACCAGGCTATCGCCGGAACGTTTGAATGTAGGGTGCGGGAGCTGCAGATGATCAGTTAGCCATGATTCCGTATGATTTGGTGCTTGGGGTAGTCACGTACCTCTTTCACGATCAGATGCACATCTTGTCGGCCCCCTTCTTCCTGGTCTCCAATGTTTCTGTACTTGATCTTCGATCCAGCCCGGAGACCAGGCTTGATGTTGGCTTCGAGCGTGACTTCCTGTGTAGTCCGCTTGCCCGAGGGGTCGAAAGCCTTGCTCTTCGTCTTGACCTTCTTCGAGGTTCCGTTGTAAATTTCCTCCAGGGTGAGCGGCAGGTCCTTCTCAACAATAGTCGGTTCCGGCGTGGGTGCCCGCTTAGGCTTCGACGAGTATCCAGCACCAGGTCGACTGCTGCGGAAACCACTTCCGCCCATGCCGCCGCCCCTGCCGCTGCTGCCGAACATCGTAGAAAGAAGGTCGTCGTCGTCCATGCCGCCCATTCCACCCATTCCCCCACTGCCCTTAGCGAAGTTCCGGAAGATGTCGTCGGCATCACTGAAATTGAAGCCTGCGCCGCCACCGGGACCAGTGGAGAAGTGGAACTTGTGACTTCCGCCTCGAGGCATGCCACCGAAGTTGAATCCTCCGGGCATGCCACCGTCGAAGCCGGTTCCTCCGCCACCGCCGCCGCTTCCCGGGGGCGGAGGTGCCGGGCCACCGCGCATCAGGTACTCGAGTCCGTACTGGTCGTAGACCTTGCGTTTCTCGGGGTCGGAGAGGACTTCGTAGGCTTGGGAGACGTCTGCCCATGTGTCAGTCAGGCCACGATGGAAATGTGCGGGGTAACGTACCTTTGAATTTTTCGGCGGAGGAAGGATTGTCTTTGTTCTTGTCTGGGTGGTGCTTCAGAGCAGCCTTGCGGTATGCTTTCTTAATCTCATCTTGTGTGGCCTCGGGTTTCACACTCAAGGAGTCGTAGAGTTTTGTTTCTGCTACCATGGTGGATGTGATGGTGTGGTATGGCTGCGTGCGCGTGTAGGGGTTGTGAACGCTTTATATGTGAACGCAGTGTGCACGTTCTGGAAGAGAGTAGAAGGGAAATCGCTGCAATTAAAGGGGAGGCAAAGGTGCAAAAATAGGACAAAGACTAGAAATAGAGGGTCAAGGGCGTCCAGCCAAACCTGCATCGAGACCTCCAGATGAGTGACGTGTGACGTCGCATCGAATGTTCTCGAAGTTTCGACTCTCCACGATCGACTCGATTTCAATGTCGGGGCACAGTCTGCAGGTACACGTCTCTAGCCTCGAGTATATGCTCTCGACAGCAGTCCATCCCTCCTCGTCGTCGAAGTGAAAGCTCGAGGGTCCCGCGATCCATAACATCATCGGCCCCACTTTTATGTCACTTCACTTGGCACTATACACACAAGTATACAAGTTTACTAGTTAGACAACTAAAACACTCACATTCGGAATTATTCGACATTTCAAGATTGGGTATGAATACCCTGGCATACGTGGTATTGAAACCACACTAAGGTACCTATGTAGTTCTTCAAATTGTGCATGACAACCTCGTCAAATATACTACCTAAGATCACTAATATGTGGCCGGGGTAGTCTCTATCGAGAGCCCATTGTCATCGACTGTGATCGCGTGCACTTCGGGCGATAGATGATCGGCCAATTGCACCACAGTTGGGAGCTCAGGACTGACGGTAGTGGGTGCGATTACCCCTGGCAAAGGCGATCTGAATGTACAAAGAAGTCTAGACATATGACACAGGGTTTTTTTAGTATGGCCTGAAACCACGTGATGGATTGTAGAGGCAAAAATACCTAAACATCGAGCTCAATTGATATAGATTTGTACTGCAGCTGTATTAAAGACGGAGGCTTATTTCTGCATATTGGGCTCGGGCTATTGGGCATTAGGCTCTGACTACTGCAGGTGGCACTACAGTAGACTCAGCCCGATCCAACCTAGATCCCCATCTCAGGCAACGGCCATGGAACATCAGTCAACAAAAACTGATCTAGATCAAAGTTTTGTAAGCTGGGCATATCAATCATCAGATCGCCCAACCACGAGAACTCTGTCTCAGACGGCGCCGACTCACCCGGCATCTGGACATGTGCCCTACCACGGCCCGATTCATCCACAGCAGGCTCCGTGCCCAGAGTCGAATTGTCCAGATCAGCCACCGGCGCCGCCGCCGCAGCATTAGCCCGCAGAACCTCTGCAAGCGCACGCGTATCGTCCTCTTTTCTTCGCTGATGCAAGGCGATCAGCAAATAAGCAGTGGAGTACGCTTCGCGCATGGAAGACGTCTCGTAGGCGGCGAGAACCTCGCGCAGAGTCCGCATTGCGTCGGTAAGGAGGATCAGCGCTGCTTTGTTGTCGATGGCTAGGAGGCTGCAGACGACTTGGAAGGGGACGTTGGCTACTTGGTGCCAGGGACAGGTGGAGGCTACCATTCCCCGTGCGGCGCGGAGACCGCGGCCTGCGAGTGCGAGGACGCGGTCGAGGAGGGATGAAGAGAGGGGGCCATGGGGGTTGAGGGCGCGGAGTCTGCGGTAGATGCAGAGCATCAGATTACATTGGACGAGGATGAGGGATGGTTCGGAGTAGATGAGGTCGAGGACGGAGGTGAGGGCTTGCTCGAGTTCTGGGAGGTCTTGGGGAGATGGCCCTGTTGGGTCTAGGCTTTCGGAAAGTGGGAGGAGATGGAAAAGGTCTGCGCGGGCTCGGGCCGGCCCTTGGCTTGGTGGATTGCGGGTGATGGGTGTGGTTGAGAGTGCGGTGGCACCGTGTAGAACAACCCGAGAGCGGCCCAGGTCAAAAGAGATCCAGGTGTTGAGATGGCGGGCCATGCCGAAAAGCCTCCGTCGAGTTTCGGGGTCATTAGTGCCCTGGTCGCTGGTGTGTGCTTCGGTGCTATCTTGTGTATCGGCTGGTGAGGCAGGTAGGAGAACCGCTGTCTCTGGATCTGGGGTCTCGAGGTGCAAGCCTGCCGCTTCAATCAGGTGCATCAGTGTGCAGCTGGCCATCCATGCTGCATGCGGTGAAGCCGTCATGCGCAAGTATGCAGCGCGCAACACCCAGCCCGTCACTATATCAATGGATGGCGTTTCAGCGGTGAGGGTGCTCCGGTCTAGAATATGTCGCGCAGTGTCGATGAGTTGGGTCTCTGTCGGTATGATCTCGAGCCGTGAGAACAGATATCCAAAGGCGGCGATACCACATAGCACGGCGTCGTAGTTGTCTATCGAATCAGTGGGCAGCTGCGAACGCTCCCAGCGTTTCGTCACCCGCTGGAAAACCACCTTGCGGTCCAGAAATGCATAACATGGATCGACTTTTTCAAAATAGATCGCCGCCAGCCGCCGCATCTCCTCGCCGGAGATGACTCTGGTTATGCTCGCCGGCGCTGACGCCGTGGCGGGTATCGAAGACAGCGACGACGGCAGCGATGGCGACAGCCGTCTCTCGCCCACGTTCCACGCGAACAGATGCAGTCTCGGCGCATGCGCTGGGTCAATTCGCAACCCCAACTTGCGAACGAAGGCCGCCCCCGAGTTCGCTTGTATCGATGTCACCTCCGCCGCATTGCCTGGCTGTCGGGGGGAGGCTTGCGGCGCACTTCCCGCAGCGAGAGGGGTTTGAATTGAATTGGAGAAGCCATCGGGAAGACGTTCCTCGAGGGTGAGGCTCTGGTACACGCTATGTGACCTGGCGCGTTTCTTGCGCGCGCTGTATTGACACTCAGCCCCCGTTTGGGCGCATGTACTGCACGGCTGGCCACCGGAGCATTTTCGCTTTCGCGACTGGCATAATGAGCACGCGAGCCGGGAGCGCTTCCGTGTCGACTCGGACATCGCTGGGGAAATACGGGGAACATGGCGGGGGTGAAGGGGTGCCAAGCTAACTCGACGATCTTCCCGCTACGGCGAAAGTACGTGCATTGCTACTACGCTAGGTATTTACTTCCATCGGGATACCCCATTTTCTTCTCGACTCCCTTCAGGTCGGGCATGCCCGCTGGACCGGGCATATAATGCATATTGTCCCTCAGCGTCGTGCCATTCCACCAAATCTCATTCTTGTGCAGGGCATCCATGATCTTGGGGGCATCAATATAGGTGCGCACTTCCACCATCTGGCCGCGATGCCAGCGAGTGAACCACACGTTGGTGATATCGAACTTATCCCCTGCGCTGGGTCAACAAGGATCGGGGCCGGAGGATATCCTGCTCACCGGAATTCATCACGCCTTTGAATTGGATCTCTTCCACCGACCACTCGGCATTGCATCCACCGTAGATTCCCTGCGGGTGGATCTCAAACAGGTCGGCATGGTCGGAAAACAACATGCTGACTCGCCGCAGTGCATTGACATAGAAATGGAGCAGGTCGTGGTAGCGGCCGGCGATTGGATGGTGTCCGACCACGGTGAATTGAACGTCTTTGTTGATCAGCGTGAATAGCTTCGCCATGTCTTTCTCCAGGACTTTGAAGGAATCCCAGATATACATCTGCGATACATATTTGCAGTTCGTCGATGGGTTTTCGAACTGGAAGCCTTCACGGTCATGCGGGATTGGATCGTCCACAACACCTGTGCCATTGCAGTGACCGCCATCCACAATGCCAGTGCCATCACATCCTGACTGCAACACATCCTGGAGGCGTCCAGCGACCAGGCCCACTAGGACATAAAGTACATATCGGGTTAGGATCATCGTTCCAATAGCGTAATAGAATTAGAAGCTAATCTGTCAACCGTTGGCACTTGAACTCTGCAGATTCCAAGGTTGTCCTTTATATATCTCTAGTAAATATTCATCCCGTGTCCTTACTTGTACTATAGTACCCGTGGACTGTAAGCACAACGTTACTTTGAACATGATACCTTGTACACGGTTACTCGCAAATTCGTGACACCTCAACCTTGAAAATATTAGTACAAGCAAGCGAGGAAAACGCACATAATGGGGGCGTTCCTAGTGGCCAATGGCTTCTTGGTGCAGGGGGCTACTGCACCATCCATAAATGTGGCTATAAGAGTGAAGTGGAGACGATAGTGCGGTGTAACTCGATATCTTTATAAGAAGAGATGACCCCATTGAATTGCCCATCGTCGGTGATAAAAGGAAAGTGATAATCGTCGTGATCTCATTGCGGGTTGGTCCATCCAATATTACATAAGGGCGCCGATAGCGGAATTTCACGACCTCCGATTGGCTGAGCTCGGCAAAGTCGGTGAATGGGCACGTGCCACTGAGTCAAACGTAAAAACCTCTTTTCCTTTCTCCTTTCTTCCCAGTACACTCACCCGCACAATCTCCCCCATGTTCTGCTAAATCACGAACCCCTCCCATCACCTCCATATCTTGACTGTAAATCCTCAGTCGCGCATATGTGTTTGGCACCCTCAATCTTTACCTCCCAGGACTACATCTCGGACCATCTCTGGAAAGCCAACATCAACTGAATAGCCCACCGCTTTCTCCACAGTTCACACTTCTTATACAAACATGATCTCCAATCTCTTCAAGGCTATGCCCCCTAGGGCGGCTGCCTTCGCCTCCATGAAGCGTCCTGCCCAGGTCCGCTTCATGGCCACTGTGCGCCAGCGTGCGGCTATGGAACCAGCCACCTTCACCATCCGTGATGGTCCGATGTTTTCCGGAAAGTCCTTCGGTGCCCGCTCCAACATCTCCGGCGAGGCTGTCTTCACCACCTCCTTGGTCGGGTACCCCGAGTCCCTGACCGACCCCTCCTACCGTGGTCAGATCCTGGTCTTCACCCAGCCTCTGATCGGCAACTACGGTGTTCCCTCCGCTGAGAAGGACTCCAATGGACTCCTGAAGTACTTCGAGTCCCCCAACCTGCAGGCTGCCGGTGTCGTGGTCGCCGATGTCGCCGAGCAGTACAGCCACTGGACTGCCGTCCAGAGTCTGGGCGAGTGGTGCGCCCGCGAAGGTGTTCCCGCCATCTCTGGTGTTGACACCCGTGCCATTGTCACCTATCTGCGTGAGCAGGGTTCTTCTCTGGCCCGTATCACCGTCGGCGAAGAGTATGATGCCAACGAGGATGAGGCTTTCACTGACCCTGAGCAAATCCACTTGGTGCGCCAGGTCAGCACCAAGCAGCCCTTCCACGTTGCCGCTGCCGATTCCCACTCCCACGTCGCTGTCATTGACTGTGGTGTTAAGGAGAACATTCTCCGCAGCTTGGTCGGCCGTGGCTCCAGCGTCACTGTCTTCCCCTTCGACTACCCCATCCACAAGGTCGCCCACCACTTCGATGGTGTCTTCATCTCCAACGGCCCTGGTGACCCCACCCACTGCCAGGACACTGTCTACCACCTCAAGCGTCTCATGGAGACCTCTCAGATCCCCATCTTCGGTATCTGTCTGGGCCACCAGCTCCTTGCCCTGGCCAGCGGTGCCAGCACCGTCAAGCTCAAGTACGGAAACCGTGCTCACAACATCCCCGCCCTGGACCTGAGCACCGGTCGCTGCCACATCACCAGTCAGAACCACGGTTACGCTGTCGACGTCAACACCCTTCCCCCCGACTGGAAGCCCTACTTCGTCAACCTGAACGACCAGAGCAACGAGGGTATGATCCACAAGTCTCGTCCCATTTTCAGCACCCAGTTCCACCCCGAGGCTAAGGGTGGTCCCCTTGACTCCTCCTACCTGTTCGATATCTACTTGGACAGTGTCCTCAAGTACAAGAACAACCAGGCTGGTCTCTACCCCACCCGTGACAGCCGTCCCAGCCCTCTCTTGGTTGACCTGCTCGCCAAGGAGCGTGTCGGCGTTCAGCCCACCATTGGCCAGCAGAACGTGATGGCCGCTGCCGCTGCCGCTGGCTCCGCTTAAATGTCTTAGTCTGTGGGGAGTACTGGTTTCTGGGGTTGGGTTATTTCTACGGTTTTTCATGTAACTTTTTTCATACTTTCGTACAACAATTGAATATTTGCATTACCTCATGCACATAAGTCTTCCAAGCTTTTTGTAGTCATATCAACGTGTTCATCATGCTCTCAACTTAAGCCTTGTCCTTAGTAACTATAGACACCACATCTTCGTCTGCAACCATATGTGCCAGACCCACCCGCTGGGGGATATGTCTCGCACTTGCTCCCCACACCATGGCATATTTGAAGGTGTCCTTGATCGTGCGGTGAATCTGATCACAGACGTCTTCGATACTCGAGTCCCGGCGCACAATCAGCGCCTCGTCGAAATTCGGCTCTTCTCCCTTTCTATATGTGAAAAATAAATTAGTCGTCGTCCGGTTAGATGCAGATACAGAGCTCTTACCGTTTCGTGTAGAGTCGCATCAGTCTCAATTCCTTCCAAATCCGCTCCACGACATCTTGCACACCAAGATCAAGTTCACAACTCATGACAGCTGTGTAAGGTTCACGGGCAAGGGCATCGAGGAACTCGAGGCCAATGCTATCGACCTTGTTGTAGACGTATAGACTGAAAAAAAGGTTAGTATGTACCCATCAAATGATGGATATCATTGGCGTGACTTACCAGCGAATGTACTTGCGGTGATCCTTCATGATCACATCGATAAAGTCGTCAATCGTAGCTAGAAACCAGTCAGCATTGCGTTTCAGGGTTCGGACCGCAACAACAAACCATTTTCGTCTCGCACCAGCACTTCGCAGTTGAGAATCTTGTAATCGCGGAGCACGTTGTAAACGAGCTTTTCATCTAAGTTCTTCGGAGGTGTCGCGAAAGAGATCTTCATGCCACCCGCCTTCTTAATCTTGAGGTAGATATTGCTGGAATGTCATTAGTTTCTGGTTCCAGGCCATCTCTCAGGCAGTTCACATACGGAGGTTCCTTGTTCAGACGAATGCCCACGGAGTCCAATTCAGCCTCGAGCAAAGCTCGCTGTTCAGCACGCTTTGTGGCATCCAGAACCATCAGAATCAGGTCACTTGTCTGGAATCATATGTTGGTAAGTTGCTTCCGGTTCCATTGGCGATTCCTAGCTTACCTTTGCCGCGGAAATGACTTGACGACCACGACCCTTGCCCTCGGACGCACCCTCAATGATACCGGGCAAATCGAGGATCTGGATCTCGGCACCGCCATACTCCAGGACACCGGGGATGGCAGTCAGGGTGGTGAAAGAGTAGGCAGCAGCCTCACTCTTGGTCTTGGTGATCTTGGACAAGAACGTAGACTTTCCGACTGAAGGGAAGCCGACTAGAGCCACTCGGGCATCTCCACTCTTGCTGACATCGAATCCCATGCCACCTCCGGAGCCAGCCCCGCCGACTGGCTCCAGGAGCTGAGCTCGCAGACGGGCAAGTTTTCTAGCAACTCTGTTAGTTTCAATATGTTATTTGAAGCAATGAGCATGACAGTACCCTTTCAGAAGACCCAGATGGTATTCTATCTCACATGTTAGATCAAAGTCATGTCTGTGATTTGATATTCATGGCATTCAACATACCTGTGGCCTTGTTCTCTGTCGAAAATTGTTAGAACCAAAAATTTCAGATCTTCCGGTGCTAGACTTACTCTGCGTCCGACGCATCTCATCCTCAATCCTGTGGGAGCCAAAGTTAAGCAAATTGGGGCTTCAAAGTGGGCAGCCGCGGGGCCGTTCGAGTAACGTACTCCTTGATCTTTTCTGTGATGTTAACCATTTTGCCGGTTTCTGAGGCTTGTCAGCCGTAAATGAGTGAATAACGGTCTTGCAATGACGGACACGAGCAAGAGCCAAAATGAGGCCGCGATATCAAAATCCCGCAGTGCCCGCCAAGCCGCTGCTTATGTAATGTGAATTCGACTGCACGGCTTTTTGAAGCTCCAAGCTCTCCCCGTCTACGACAATCGCGCGCTCACCATAACGGACTCCTAGAACGCAGATCCAAGACATCGACTGCCAGCGCAGGCCCGCAGGATCTTTGACGCGACACATCGGCCCTACGGAACCAACCGACTACGAAAAATTCCCCCGTTGCCAATCTTTATACCCACAGTCATGGCAGACACATCAGTTGCAGAGCCTTCGGCGCCTGTCTTTGCGACGGAAGAGACGATTGCGACACAGAATGAAGCCTCAGAGACCACACAAGGAGACCAGCAGGTTCAACCAGCCCGGAAGACAAAGTTGATCAGACGGAAGAAGAAGCCCGCGCGTATCCAAGTTGACGCATCCACACTCCAAACCGAATCTCCAGCCCAGCCTGGTGCAGACTGTGAGTTTGATTAAAGATCTCGACACCCCGAATCAAGTGGCTAACTCCGTCGCCTAGACAACATCTGGTACAATAAAGCATCTGGAAACGATGACGACAAATACGGTCTCAACCAGCCGGCTCCTTACCGTGTGAACATTGCCCGCGACTCGGGTTACACTCTCGCGGATCGCATAGTCGGATCATACTTCTGCGTTCACTTCGCTCGCGGTTCATGCACACAGGGCCCTCAGTGCCAGTACCTCCACCGCCTACCTTCAATCCATGATATGTTTAACCCCAATGTCGATGTATTCGGCCGTGAAAAGCATTCAGACTACAAGGAGGACATGAGCGGTGTTGGCAGCTTCATGAGAGTCAACAGGACCTTGTATGTGGGACGGTGCCATGTGACTGGTAAGTTGCAATCCCTGCACGCCACTTGCAAAGTGGACTGTCTTGTTACAATATCTTCCCCCCTTGCCTGTATTTCTCTTGCTAACCCAGCTGCGCAGATGATATCGAGGAGGTTATCTCCAGACACTTCCAAGAGTTCGGACAGATCGACCGTATCCGAGTGCTTACCGGTCGTGGTGTTGGGTTCGTCACATACTCAACAGAGGGCAACGCCCAATTCGCAATGGAAGCAATGGCACGACAAAGTCTAGACCATGAAGTCAGTCCAATTCCCTACCTGAGCCAAACACGCATTCCACTAACGCGCAGCAGGAAATTATCAACGTACGCTGGGCAACGGTAGACCCGAATCCAATGGCACAGAAGCGCGAGGCCCGACGTCTGGAGGAGCAAGCCGCCGAGGCAGTTCGCCGAGCCCTTCCCGCCGCCTTCGTGGCTGAGATCGAGGGCCGAGACCCCGAGGCCAAAAAGCGAAAGAAGATTGAGGGATCCTTCGGTCTCCAGGGCTACGATGTCCCTGATGATGTGTGGCATGCTCGGACTCGTCAATTGGAAGATGCAAACCAAGCTCAATTGGATGCGCCGCAGCAACCGCTCATGATCGAGTCAGCGTCTGAGTCGGCTTCTGTCCCTGCGCCGGTGGAGCAGCCACAGAGCAATTCGATCTTCTCTAGCTCTGCTATTTCGGCACTACGGGGCTTGAATGGATCGGTGAAGACTCAGGCTGCTCCTAAGGCTGCTGGTGGGCCACTGGTTGCTTATGGAAGTGACGACGAGAGCGACTGAGTAGCTCGGCAATTCAATCCATGTTTGTGAATCTTTTGATGTAACTTGTACACTAGCAGCGATACCTGACATGACAATCCGGACATGACACTTGTTTATTTATCTGTTTCTTCGCCTATTTTTATTCGGAAGTAGGTCGCTTTCTTGGTACACCTCCAGTGCTGGTTAGCCCCTTCGTTCTATCGACCATTCCTCTACACATCCATACAAGTGGGACTTCATAGACTATCAAGAGACCACGCTTCCAAAGGCTTTCGACGTTACTCATCACTATGGTATCAATCATCCCAAGCACTCGCTAATCTACACATGTATGGGATTGAGATGTGTCAGATAAAAACAAAACAGAAAAAACCATCCACCCATGAAGATATGTAAAAACCCCCCTAGTCCACTTCCGTGAGGCTCCCCCTGCTCAACTCCATTTCGTTCACTCTCATGAAGACAATCAGTCATAATTCATTCCTTCCTAGGGACCAAGGTCATAGTAGACACAGGATCCCGTTCTATAATTGTAAATAAAAGCATTCGTGTGGATTTCCGAGCTGTCACTTGCGCGGTTCTCGATTGCCAGGTCGGCGAGTAGCTCATGCACTTGACTGAGGTATTTCCGTTCCGTCAAGGGGGCGTTCTGGATAACGGTGCGCCAACTCTCCGGGTCAGAGAGACGTGTGTTTCGAATGGCGTCGAGAACTTCGTCGCGGGTATCGATTGCGGCAACGGGGCCGTTGCGCGCATTCTCTGCTACTTCGCGAGATGAAACAAGTGCTGTGCATGCGTGTTAGTATGTGTCATATTGTGACAGATAAATATAGCTGAAACATACCTGACTCAACGATGTTTCTTCTGTTCGTTTTCTTGCTGCGATGTTGGGGAACGAGGATTCGGACGTCATTCGCGCGTTCCTGGAACGCCAGGGCTTCTTGTTGGCTTGGTTGGCGGGATGGGCGAGGCTCGGCGGTTCCCTCACGGTGGTGGCGTGCTTGTACTTCTGATCGAAGCCATGATACAAGTTCCGCGGTGCGGATGTCGAATTCTTCCTTTCGCATTAGGTTGCGAACTTTGAAGCCACGCTCCTTGCTGTCTTGTTTCGCGATCACGATCCATCGATGATTGGAGTCTTTATACTTGGCCATGAGCTCCTCGAGGGACGAGGCATCAACTGCAAGTTCCGCACTGATGTTGTTAGACCAGAGTTCCTCGATGAGCTTGACTCCGGTTGTGCGAAGGACAGTTGCGTCGAAGCTGGAGACAAGTACGTCACACTATTATAATTAGCAATATGTTGAGTGGCAGATTAAGAAGAAGCTGCTTACACGACGAGCGGCCCAGTAGAGCTCTGGCCCTGTTTCAGACTCTTTTGAGGGAGCTTTAGCCTTGAGATAGTCAATCATTGAGGAGCGCAGTCGATCCGAGCCCAGGTTAAAGCCCACTGCATGTGCTTGGGGGCGGTTTGACAGGACGTTGGGCGAGTGTTCTTGAATCAGCCGGTCATATCTGCCACCGGCAGCGAACACATCCCGTCGTTTGCTGTCGAAAACACATTGGAACAGAACGCTACCACGGTAGAATTTGTCGTGGACACTGCTTAATGGGTTGATGTAAACTTTTCGTTTCACACCAAAGCTCTGCAGGTAGGTCATGAGCACATTCAAGCGAGCGAAGATCGGCGAGACTCGCTCGGCATATTCGGTTCCTTCCATGATGCTTTGGAGTCGGCGCTGCGTCTCCTTTGATGAGTCTGTTTTTCATAGTTAGCATAGTTATCGCTGTTTAGCAAGTGATGCATGTTTACCTCTGAAGTCGAATCGTGCAAGATCATCCAACGAGGTTGAAGCAACACCAATTGACGGAGCCCGGAGCTCACTCCTGATTTTTTGCATGGTATATTTCCCAACGTTCAACTTGCTGAGGACCTCCTTTGCTTTGGGGATCTGGGAAGGCGTGATGCGACAGAATTCCATGATCAGCTGTAGCAGATCTGAATGATTGACAAGGAAACACATAGGAGTAGACCGCAAAGGTGGGAACTCCTCAATGATTTCATCGAGCACTTTAATGACCTCTGCTTCCTTGAGAGCCAAATCCAAAGTGTTATGCGACACAATATCAAAGTCAACTTCCCGGTGCGTCCGTGGCTCGCTGCCATGCGTAGATTCTCGGTAGACTGTGCCAAATGCAAATGTCTTCTCCAGTGACCGATCTTGTCGGGGGATTGCCCGAGCATTTGGAAGGGTGAGGTCGTAGGGCAGCTGTAGGAGATTGCCAGATGCATCCAAAACGCGCACCGCACCATTGTTGTAATGCTGAGATCGCGGGAAGAGCATCTGCCGAGTAGACTCAACGGCACCATGTCTCCGGAAGATTGAAGTCAGTTTCTTCTTGACAAGACCCTGCACAAGTAATTCATTGGCGGCTGGCACTGCATGCGAGTCTATATCCCAGGCAATATCTTCGAATTTCTTGGGCGACTGGGAAAAAATTGCCGATAGAATCTTCTTATAATCGGGGGAGTTTGGATCCGAGAGCAAATGAACGATGGCGCGTCTGAAAGTCTCTTCTTCGACCTGTAAGGGTATTTTGCCGCTGGAGAGAAGCTCGGATGCTGTTGGTCGTTCACTCGGGGTATGGCTCAGCAAAGTCTCAATGATCCGGCCTTGAAGCACTTTGTCGGATTGTTGGAAAGTGACTGGAAGAGTATGAGACTTTTCTCTGATTTCGCGGAGGGTTTGATCTCTTTCCATGCCGGTTGGCAGAGGGTGGCACATTTCAAAAAAGATAACACCCAGCGAGAACATATCGACCTTCTCGTTGTAATGCCCTGAGACAACTGACTTCATTTCGGGTGCAACATAATATGTTGTACCAAGACTGCGCGTAAAGTCCCCTTCAAAGTCAGCAGCAGCAGATGAACGTACTGCAGTGGTGAACTGGCCGCTCGTGGCAAGACCAAAATCACCAATTTGAGGGTTGTTGGCAACATCGATGAAGATATTATCCGGCTTCAAGTCACGATGAATGATGCCATGGCTGTGAATATGACTCAGGCCATCGAGTACTTGTCTGAAAAGACGCCACGAACTCTCAATGTCATCGCACAAGCCATTTCTGATCAAATCACGTAACGTGTGCTTCTCGCAATACTCCATCTGGATGTAGAGTGTGGAGACAAGAGGCCTGGAATAAGAGCCAGATCGAGCATGGCTGAACTCAGCATCTTCCATGCTGCCGGTGCTAGTCCCAGTTCCGGTGTCGGTTCTGGTGCCAGTGCCATTGACTCGGTGCGTATCTGGTGTACCGGGATGGGCGGGGTCGGACAAAGTTCCTTCATTTTCATCGTCGCTTTCTGACCCAGCGAACTCGATCTTTGGGTACCCGCTGGAGCTAATGAAATCAAGTCCCCCTGTGCTGAAGCCAGGGTGGTCTTGACTGGAGTACGAACCTTCAATGGAAGATACCGCTTCTTCTTCAATATGAGTGAAGTCCTCTTCCAGCCAAGCGGTATAGTATCGGACCACATAGGGATGATTCAGTCGAGATAATAGCATAGTTTCAGATAGCGTGTCCTTCAACGCTGCCGCAGATGTTTGAGAGATCTTCTTGACTGCATATAATCGGCCATCAAGCTTGTTCCGAGCTTTGACTACCTGTCCGTAGCCACCGCGGCCCAGTTGACCTGCTTCGTCGAAGTCTTGGTGGTATCGGGAGAAAATTGGCAGCGCTCCGAAGGAGTCCAGCCGCGGTCGTCTGTGCGAGGAAATCGAGGCAGATTCCCTCTCGCGCATCTTAAGAGGCGCATCAACACGGAAGAATTCAGAGGGTTGGAGCTGGAACGCAGTCGGACGCTTCCTAGGATCTGGGCGGAAGAACTCTCGGAGTAGATCCTGTAGCGGAGGCGAGAGTGCCATAGACACCATCAATTGATTGGCAGATGTGTATCGAAGCAGAACATCTTTTCCAAAGCCCATTTGTAAGAGGACGATTCCAAGGTCCCAGACATCTGTCTTCATAGAAGGAGAGGCATGTTCTTGCGTCAGCTCTGGGGGTAGCCAAAGTGGTGATTTCGATGCGGTCCAAGAGGGCTTCACGCAGGGAGAATCAGGCAAGGCCTCTTCAATGCTAGATTGAAGTTTAACGATAGTTCCCCCGGAGGGAGTTCTGAACAGAAAGACTCGACCACAGTGAATGTTCCCATGTACAAATCCACTTCGGTGGTAGAATTCCAAAGCTTCCAGTAACTGAATCATCCATCCGCGCAGCATGTCAACCGCGACGGTCCCGACTATATCGAGCAGCTCGGAGAGAGACCCCTTGTTCGCATGCTCCAAGAGCGCAAAAACGGTCCAGGCATTATCAGACGAATTGAAGTCGCCAAGTGGGCGATTGATCTTGAATCCAAGAAATTCCACCAAATTAGAGTGTCGCAATCGCTTGATGGCCTCCAGCTTGTCCTCGCTGGTCCTCATTTGCTCCCGAAAAACTAACGCTTCAGATCCCTTCTCCGTCAGACAAAGTTCCTTCAAAATTAGCAGCGGCACATGGCATCTGCTTTCCGAAACTACCGGCCTGACGGTGAAGGTCTTCTTCCCGGGTTTGCTTTGTACTAGGGTCTTGCCGTGCACGGCCCGAAAAACTAGTGGTTGTTCATCCGTGTCGTTAACCACCAATGGAGGATCGAAGCAGATGGCTCCAGGGGTATTTCCCACCAGATCATCCGTATCGCTCGTGTCCGCGCCGCCGGTCCGACTCTTTCGTCTCAAGATCCGGGCCTTGTTCCGCTGTCGCATCTTGTCTTTCAGCATTTCCTGCAAGGCGCGCTCTTCTTCCGCGGCTGCTGCCTTTTGCTTCCGGAGTTCCTCCTGCTGCTCAAGATCTGCGCGCTGGAGGGCTGCTGCTTCTTGCTCCATGCGTTCTTCTTCGAGGCTCGGCAAGTCCTTGTCCTGGGCCTGGGCCTGGGCAACATCTTCCAGCACATCTTGTATAGATACAGCCAGTTCGTAAATCATTTCGCTTCCCAGGAGGGTATTAGGCTTGGTGCGAAGAATGTCCTGGATCCTGGAACGCGCTCCATCGCGAAATCCGTCGAGGTTCCCTGGTGACAGGTTGGGTATTGTTTTAGGATAAGTGGCCGGCAGTTCCACCTGTAGGATTAGTATGACATCTGGATTTGACGAGGATCGCAGGTGGAGTTTGAATGTGACATTGGAGGTTTGCTGCAGGGTCCGAGTCAGCGAGCACGAGCCCAGCTCCGGGGAGTAACCCTACCTGCCAGGCCGAACGCTTATTCTCTACTTCTTCAAAGTCATCGCCATAGATCGAGCGCAATGCCTCGACCTCGTTCTGGTGGATTTCTCGGTAATTGGTCGGGTGGATGGGGCTGTCGGCGGAGGAATCGGAGGAGGTTTGCTTTTTCTGGCGGGATGGCTTCCTCTGTTTGGGAGACATCGCGGGGCGTGGCGAGACGCCCTACATGCGACCCTGAGCGTACATGAGGGCTAATTATCAGGAGTGTCGGGGTTTGGGGGAATGGTGAGAGAAGTGACCTGGCCAAGTCTTTTTTTTCCTACAGAACAGGCGGTCAGATCACCACACGCCCTTCGACTTCTCGGTGGAGACTGGAGACACTGCTATAAATGACGTTTTGATTGGAATTCACGCTGGATTTTCTACGACAACTCGTGAATATTCTCTTTATGATTGGCAAGGTCGTCAGGGACCGAAGCCCAACAGTGGACCCGGGTCTCATGGGGCACATCCCCGAGAGTCTTGTCACCGCAATGCGAAGGTGGATTGCCTACGTGTAACCACGCTGATCACATTGGCCCATTGGCCCATTGCTCTAGACCACAGAGCGCGGAATCACAAAGTCAGATCGCAGCAAGATATCTCGCAGGCCATGGGCTCTTCTCCCTTCATATGGAAACAGAGAAAGGCGGCATGATCCCAGCACAAGTTGTTGTTGATACCGAAGCCAATACAAGCTGCAATAGTGCTTGCCAAGCGGACAGGTGACCAAGGACCATCATACCACTTGTGCAATGGGCGTTCGAGAAGGTTCGGCGCGAAAGCTGCAAGGGACGTCCCACGGTGTACAGCTGGTTGAAAGGACGTACAAAGCACCCTGTACAAAGTACAGAATACGGATTCGGTTGTTTGTTGTTCGAGCTCGTGCAAAATGAAACTTGCCAATCATGCAATGGGCTATTCTGGCATGTCTCTGCCGGGCTGCTGCGTGTGGAGTATACAAGACCAAAGGCCTGGCTCCAAGCAAACGTCCACGATCATACGGAGTGCCACGTATGCCAAGGACCTGAGACCTACGATCACCAAGACTCTATTGAATTCTACATATGATATAAGTTGCAATATGTTTCTGTACTATAGTCAAACACTAGAGACAGTGGGTTGGCGTAGTATGTCGATGGCAGGTTGCATATGCACCTAATGTATGCAAGTAGCGAGGGGTGTGCTCAACATCTGGCATCATCTCAACATCTCATCCATCCAAGCTCTCTTCAAATTGATCTTTGAAGTACTAGTACGGAGTCGAAGTACAAAGAGAAAAAGGAGTACATCGGAGCTGAACACGAGTATAGCGTTATCGATAAGGTGATCGGCACCTGTGCTTTTTCCGCGTAAACAATCGTCTCTTTGAACTCACCACTCCCCCACCCCCCAACATGTTGGACTGGATGAAGGGAAACGAAGGTGCCCAAGCTCCAGGTATGCATCTCGTCGTGATGGTACCCCTGAACCTGCTAATACAGTACAGATGATTCCAAAGTACTAGAACCTCCTGAAACCCCCGGTCATGTCTTCGCGATCCGTGCCTTCAAAAGCGCGATATTTGGAACCCCCGGGGCCGAAGAGGATTCTGAGAGCAACGCGTCCCAGCCAAAACAATCCGAGCATCAACGAAGCAAAAGCGAGTCAATCAAGCCCGCCCCGCCCGAGCTTAAGCCCGACGCGAAGCCTGATGACGCGACTGCCAACCCCTCGGGATCTCCGACCAAAAGCATACTCGTCACCCCGGGAACAGCCCTACGTCGCAAAACGGTGTCATTTGGAGAAAGTGTGGTTGATAACGAGGGAAAACGCCCCGGTTCGGCCAGTAAGCCTGCCAAGACTCCACCCAATCCCTCCGGCTCCCTCAGTGCCCAGTGGATGTCTGGGTCGTCAGATGGCAGCGGTAAACCGCGGAGCAAGCTTACTCAAACGCTCATGAATGCGCGCGACAACGCCTCGAAGAACTTAGAAACGTCCAAGGGCGACGAAAGTACAGAGAAACCCGACAGTCCTGAATTGGAGGCCCTTGACAATGAGGATATCACCATGAATCTAGAAGACCCACACTCAGAGTCCGGCAAGTACTGGAAGACAGAATTCGACAACTACCGGGTAAAGACCAATCGGGAGATCAAAAAGCTGATCCATTACCGGTCGATTGCCAAGTCCTACGCTCGGAAGAAGGACTCGGAAGCTATGCGGTTAGCTGACAAACTAAAAGAAGAGGAAGAGAAGGTCGCCGAGATGGAAAGACAGGTATCGCGACTTGCTTCTTCTATGGTCGGCCAGGAGTCAACCGGCGACAAAGAGCGTTTGGTCCAAGATCTGACCAAACAGACGGCACTTGCCTTACAATACAAGCAGCAGGTTACATCGCTGCGCAACACTCTGGAAAAGCACGACGTGGTAAGCGATGCAGCAACCATCGCAGAGAAGAAGAAGGAAGAGAAAAAGGAAGAGCCTTCGTCCACCGGACCCTCGAATGAACTTCAGAAAGCACAACAAGAGCTCAAACAGGCTAATGCTAAGATTGAGGAAATGCAACGACAGAACTCTGAACTCAGCACCCTGCAGAATCTAGCTCAAAGCTCGGAGAAGAAAGCGCAGGCGTTGGAGCAAGAGAACCACACCCTCAAGCAAACTTTGGCTCGGGTCAAGCAGGAGATGTCACGATATGAAGGGCGACGCAAGGACAAGGAAAACAGACTGAAGCAAAGAGAAGCGCGACTGGAGCAGCGCATCCAGGAATACAGAGAGAAACTCAAGACGGTCTCGCACGACCACCGCGAATCAGAGGAGAACTTAAGGATTGCCCACGATACAGAACGCCGCCATATGCAGAAGCAAATCGACCTTCTGAAATTGAGACTCGGCCCTGGCGAACGCTTCCCGGCCCTGCCTTCTGCCGAGCGGCAATTCCTCAGTCCGCGCAAAGACCACACTGGGGTTCAGACATTTGATTTTGCTGGTCAGGATCATGAAGCACCCGAAGAGGAGCCTACGGACGACATCGAGCCACCTCCCAGCCCAAGTCCACGTTCCAAGGTCCGCGAGTCAGGACCGATCCCGCGTAGCACCACCTTTGGAACCCTACGGTCTCGGCGTAACGCTCAAGAAATCGCCGCGGACGAGGACGAAGTCACACACTATCTCAACAAGATCTTGCCAAAGCCCCGTCACGAATCACATAAGGAGGGACTGAACGAGCTCCCTCCCTCGTCGCCTCCTGACGTCTCGGCCCTCAAGTCCTTGAACCGTACATTCTCACGGCGACGACTTGGCGACGGCCAGCGCTCGTATCGCAACCTGCACATGCCGGGGGAGGATGACACCAAGCTCAGCAATAAACCTGCCCAGCGTGAACGGCCCCACATCAAGACCACTCTGGATTCACTCTCAGACCTGCCATATCGCAGCCGTTATCCAGGGTATACCATCTCAGCTGGCGAGCGGGTAGGTAAGCGATACTCGGCGCCCCCTGCTGTACAGCGCGAAGCTCTTACCCCTGAACGATATGCTGCCGCTAAATCGCGGATCCGGCAGCGAACAGCCCTTGGGAAGGAGAATGTATGAAGGCTTTCACGGAATATGTGAGATTAATTGGTCCCTGTTGAATAATATGATACTATGGAAATAAGGTGTTTCTTTTTACTTTCCCATCGAGATTCTGCAACGACACCAATAGCATAGTTCGGACCCTGCCGATCTGGTGATCTCAGTGGCGCTGCTAAGCCCCCGGATCCCCGCAAGGAGTCAACTGCCGGGGCCCGGGGGTAGGCATTTACCTAATGGATGTGTCAAGTATTGCAAGGGATTTGATGTGCTGTTTTCGTGGATTCAAATACCCCAGTTTCCCCTCTCGATTTTACCAAGAGTTCTGTATCTCTGATCTTCCATCATGCATTACACTTATCCAGCCCTCCTGTTCGTCGTCTCCCTCACTGCCGCAGGCGATATCGACGCCAACGACCTCCCAACAGAATGCAAAGCCGTCTGTGCCCCCGTCGTCAGCCTCACGGCAGCCTGCGACTCCAAGACCTCTGACGACGACACCGCTGAGCTAAACTGCGTCTGCAAGGGAAAGAATGCTTCCTCCATTCTTCCCGTGTGTGACGCTTGTATCACAAAGTATAGCAAGGACGGAAGTGACAATGGTTCGTCCAATTGATGCCCTGATCCGACCTCACTCACTGGCAATGATAATTCCAATGCTGATATTTGCTTCTCGGCACTCCGTAGATGCCAATGATCTGGTTCGCTCTTGTTCCTTCACAACCACCTCGTTTAACCCTAGTGCCACTACTGCCACTGCGTCGGAGTCCTCAAGTGCGACTACTACGGGGGTCTCTGCTACCACGACTGGGACTGTGACTAGCTCAGGAACTTCGACCAGCTCGGGAACTTCGACTGGCTCGTCGTCTACTTCGGCGTCGTCTTCGGCTTCAGCTACGCCGACTGATAACGCCGCTGTGGTGGGTGCGTCCAAGTCGGAGATTGGGATGATTGGATCTCTCGTTGCAGGCTTCCTCATTTGCCTCGCTGCTTAGGGGCTGTCTTGCAAATAATCCATGGATGGGAATATGCCCGGTTGTTATCTTGGTCAATCATGTCATATGTCATGCTCATGTTCATAGTCATATTCTAGATTCGGTCTTGACATATCTACTTTCAGCTGTCATTATTCTATCCCTTGTATCCATCTGCATGGTGCCTCTTTCGGCGGTCGAATCTAATAAGTAACAGATCTCAAGTCGTACGTTAATCCTACTGCATCGCTCAAGCCTTTCCATCAGAAAGTGAGACAACAGCCCACTTTCCACTCCAAGCCCACTTCCGAGACTCGGAGCCACCGCCACCAGGTAGCGCGCGAAGCTTTTCGTCTTCGCCAGCTGGAAGGCCAACAACAACATCGGCCTTGCAGGTGCGGAAAGCCAGCACGCGGATACCAGACTTGGGTCCGAGTGGGCCAATGGCCTCTGTGAATGGGGTGGTGGGATCCCATTCCGCCTGATTTTGTCAGTACAGTATCCCAGGGCTTTTGACAGTCGGAAAGAGCTCAAACTTACATCGCTAGTCAACTTCCGGTAGTTCAGATCACCCTTGAACAAGACAAGTTCACTCTCCTTCAGATCCTCGAATAGCTCTGGTGCGTCGTGAGGCATACGCCAGAAGCCACCTTGCTCAGTCCAGAAGGCATGTGGACGCAGAATGAGCTTACCGTCTTGGTGGAACTCACTCCACTGGTTGAAGAGGAATTGAACATCGGAGACCTCCTTCTCAGAAAGGGGAGGGAAAGTCTTGCCTGACTCGTCGGCGGCTGTGTAAAATGCTTGCGGGTCGACCATGCTGTTAAGAAGATCCGAGAAATCCTTGGGTGTCACGTCGGACACGAACCACGGCAAACGCTTGGGGTGAAGCACAACGCTAGTCGCCAGGCCTGAAGAGAGCAAGTATCCGCCCAGAATCAGATCGACGAATAGCTCGAATCCGGAGTTATCGAGGACGATGTCCACACGACGCTCGCCATTGCCTTTCTCCCGGCGGGCCTTCTGCATGGCATCAAAGGCGGCATCGAGGTCGTTGACAATGATGTTCTTCTGTGACTCTTTGCGTGCTTGGGAGCCCTGCAACTTCTGGATATCTTCATAGGTGAGTGAGGTCAAGAGAGATAGATCGGTGGCATTGCCCCAGAGACAGATCTCGCACATCTCCGAAAAGAGAAGTCTCTCGGCAGCCTCGACCTCCTCGGCAGACTTTGTTTCCTTTGCTTTGCTTGATTCTGCCTCTGTCACGATATCACGGTATCTCGCTGCAAGTTCCAGTACCGCTGGGCGCGATGATTTGAATGTGTTCATCTTCTGGCGGGCGAAAACGTCATATCCTTTCCAGTGCTTGGACAGCGCGAAGAGGGACTCCATCCGACGGTCTGTATTCATATCAGTACTGGACATTTCAATCCATTTGGTGGAGTCTACCATGACATACAGAGATAGCACTCGGAGAAGAGCCAAGGCACATCGTGCCATTGGGGGTTTCCCCGCTGCTCCAGCTCCTTATTATACGAGGCGATATCCGGGTGTCCGTCGTCCTCAATCGGGCTGGCAGATGTTATCAGCGTTGAGCAATTTCCTTATGGCTCGTGCGCGAGTTTGGGGCACTCACGTAAGTTGTCGGTTGTGTTGAAGCTCATACTTCAACTTAGCCAGATTGGCAATGATGCCCTTGCCCTCATTGGCTTTCTCATCCTCATTGACGCCTACGACTGTGCGGTGCAGGTCGTCAATAGCGCCGGTCTAGTCTCGTCATACTGATCAGCAATTGGTCGTATCGTCCGGTGTCCAGTGTTAGCTCACAAGGATGACTGGCCAGCGCTCGTTGGCCGAAATCGAGGCAAAGCTCGACTTGTCGGATGTGAGGTATTGGGCTGCGTGTGTCAGTCCGATAGTCACCCCTGCTGGACTGCGTACTTACGTGTCTGGGGGTCGAATTCCATTATTACTGTACTCTTTGAATGAAGTATTTCTAGGCCGAGGACAAAAAGACGTCCAGATGGCAGAATCGAGGGGAGACCGCGGGGCAAAAGCGGTGTGAAGTATACAAGTTGCGTCACAGCTAGCATCATTCATGCACGTAAATACATTAACATCAATTCTAGATTTCTTTCGCAACGCCACGCTCTCAAAATTCAAAATTCCTTTACATTCCGGAAAGGGGCGAGTTTTGCGCGTATGCCTGACAGAGTTAGTGAACCTGGTTATAAAGAATATAGCATAAGCTGGAATCATGAGCTTACCATGGGCTTGATATCGGGGTGCGGCACAGCCTCGAACACTTCATAAGCCAGCTTGAGTTCGGGGCCAATGTTAATGTATGCACCCTTGTTTTCTGTGGCGTCACAGTATCTGGGGGCGGAGAAGACAGTGATGCAGCGGCCATCGTGCTCAACCTCGTAACCTCCCATGCGAACTTCGTGGGAGCGGATGATAGCTTCGAGGCCGTTGTTCTCACAGAAACGCTTGGTCACATCCGGACCGAACTGAAGACCCACACCACGCTTGCTAGGGCCACGGCCAGGGTCAACCTGGGGATCAGTCCAAAGCATCTCCATCATGAGACCTGCTTGGCCGGGTTGCCTTTGGTTGTGGCGGTTGAGCTTGCGGATATCATCCAACTTAATCTTGTCATCGGAGAAAAGACCGCCGTGAAGAACAAGGTACTTATCACCGATCAGGGTGGCCAGCGGCAGGGCCGAGAAAGACTCGGAGAACACCTTGAAAACGCGCTCGTTATACTTAGCCTTGCATTCACCTTCGAATCCGTAGACCTTATTCATATCATCTGTCTCGTGGTTTCCGCGGTTCAGGAACAAACCGTTAGGTCGGAGCCACTTGTAGGCATAGAGCAGCAATGCGATTTCGCAAGACCAGGATCCACGGTCGACGAAATCACCATTGAAGAGATAAGCATGGGTATCAGAGGGAGCACCGTTCCGGCGGAAGATTTCAAGCAGGTCGAAGTATTGGCCTGGCTTGTTAGCGACATGGCTACCCATGAAGAGAATTGATACATACCGTGGGTATCACCACAGACAGTCAACTTCTTTCCAGATTCGACACCAATTTCCACCATCGTGGGCTCGTTGTAGACAAGTTCCTTAACGGCCTTGATGATCTGGAAAACGTACTTGCGGTGAATCTTCTTTCCATCCTTGAATCGCTGGATCATATCATCGATGAATTCCTGTGTCATCTCATCTCCAATGCGCACACCATCGTAATTATCCTCAACCTTGATGGCGTCGATATCCAAATCCGCGAACGCGGAGGGTGGGTCTGAGACCTCGATGGCCCGCTCGAATTCTATACGGCGCACAAGCTTCTCGCACTCTGCTGCCCTCAGCTTCGCACTTTGGTTGCCTGGCTCACGTCTGAGCACTGCCTTGAAATCCTTCAGTGCTTCCTTGTAGCTCAAAATTGCGACATTGGCCAGGGCGCGTCTCCAGTAGGCCTGCATAACCCCTAAATTAGCATATCGCGATGCTAACTCCATCTGCCGATCTTTGGGTCGGGTTGTCCAAGGTTCAATTTACCTTCACGTAGTCGGCATCTAGTTCCAGGGCCTTGGTAGCATCGGCGATGGCGAATCCGAAAGCTTCGAGCTTGATTTGGGCCTGCATTCCAACCGCAAGGAACTCTGTTAGCCTATCTGGTCCTGTGCCGCATGCACGCGACTGGAAATGCGCTGTCGTGGTCGTCACGGCGTACCTGTGCCCGGTTGCAGAAGAAGGAGGGATCCTTGTCATATTTTTCGATAGCCTGGTTATAGAAGTCGATGGCATTAGGCCAGTCGTGTTGGCCAAAAGCCTTGTTTCCCTGCAACTTGAGCGCATTGCCCGCTTCTTGATCGGTGGCCATCTGGGGCGGAGAGAAAATGCGAGGGGCACGAGACAGCGATGATCGGTGCGAGAGGGCGAGTCAATATCTGACCAAAGGTATAACTATTCCAATGAAGAAGCAGAAGACCTCCAACTTCAGAGAACAAAGAGGATAGAGACAAAAAAAGAAAAGGAAGCGTGAGAGAGAAAGAGAAAAAAAAAAGTTCCTGTTCCTGGTTCTGTCATGTTCTCCGATCGCAGAGGGTCTTGGCATCGATCCCGACTCGACGGCCAACTCCCATAGCTTTCTTTCTTCACCTCCTCCCAGCTTCCTCTCCACATGTCTTTCTACGTCCCTCCAAACCAGCAGCGCAATTTGCGCGCCTGCATGGTCTGCTCCGTTGTCCAAATCCATAATGTACCTGACTCCCGTCCCATCTTCGTTCCGTGATCCGGTCTAACAACTACAGAAATTCATGCGTGAAGGTTGCCCGAACTGCGAAAGCACCCTCCAACTCCGCGGAAACAACGATGCCATCCAAGAATGTACCTCCCAAGTCTTCGAGGGCCTAATTGCCGTTCGAGATCCGGCCGCAAGCTGGGTCGCTCGCTGGCAGCGACTGGATAACTACGTGGCGGGCACATATGCGACCAAAGTGACAGGGACGGTGAGTGACCATCCTGTGAGAGCGAATTGGGATCCATTGGGAGATCGACGCACTCTATATCCTCCCGTCCAATACAGACTCGCTAATTCCGTCTTTCGCATCACCAGCTTCCGGAATACATCATCAACAGTCTAGAGGACTCCGGTATCAAATATGTTCCGTGCGTGTCACCAATTCCTACTCTCTGTCAAATAATATACCATATTCACCATACTGACAATCGACTACAGACGAGACGGAAGCACTGGCGAGGAAGATGCATGAAGCATCTCTACTTAGTTTTTAGCAACGCGCGAACCCACCCTTGCTCAATCCACCTTAGTCCGGATACCCACACGGCGCAAACTTCATTGATTCAGTTAAGACTTGCGGGACGAGGGGGGTTCACCTTTCGCTGGTCGTTCGGAGTTTCGGGTGCAAGGCATCACATTTTGTTTTTACATATTATTGGATCAGAAGGCATACATTGCAGGATGAGACTGCATTTAACAAACTCAATTGTACACTTTGTTATTTTGGTAGATTCATCCAAGTGCTTCGAGGTTCAGTGCTACTACACGCATCTGCCGGGTTTATCTATAATTCGCTGACCGCTTTGCCTACCGCCTGGCTACAGTATGCAGCGTATGAATCTCCAGGATTTGGAAATCGTCAAGACCAGTGAGCATAAACTTGGATTTTGACAGTCTGGAGTAGTATACTAGTTAGCTCGGTTCGATACAGGTCCCCTTTAGATGGGCTGTCAGACCTCGGGACTAACCTGTTCGACATGTACTGGTCCATGTCTCTTCCAATGTTGGTTAATGTTTAGTCCGAAATACATTGAACAGGAAGTAGTTTTTAAACGAACTGAGTTTTTGATTCTTGCGATTCAGCTAAGATCCCAGAGGGCTCACCCTCATGTATATGGTCTGGCAGCAGTACCCAATGGGGTTACCCTAGAGACAGCAATCACCAAGATATCTATCAATATACATAGCCTTTTTTTAAAGGACATAAACTCGTGGCAGGAGTGAAAAAAGAAAACAGAAAACGCTCGATAAGACCAGCAAAAACTCCCGGGTAACTTCGACAATCATAAAACCAGACTCAATGGTATCAAACCACAATCTAGATAGCCTGGAGGATCTGCTCGAGCTTCTCGAGCAGGATGTCGGCGTGGTGCTTCTGGAAGACCAGCATGGGACGGAGACGGACAGCAGAGGCACCGCTGCCACCGATGTTGATACCGAAGGACTTGGCCTTGGCGACGAGCTGGTCACGCTTGGGGGTGTCCCAGGCAATGAAGGTACCCTGGTTCTTACCACGCAGGTTCTGGAAGTGCTCGGGGTACTTCTCAGAAAGACGAGCGAGACCACTGTAGAGGTAGTCACCGGTGATGCGAGTGTTCTCGACGAGGCCGAGACGCTCAACCTCCTCGATGATACCGCGGAAGATCAGGGCACGGGCAGGGTCACCCATCCAGGTGTTGAACTGGCGGTAAGGCTTGTTAGGGCGCAGAGCAGGGTTGCCGAAGTAGTAGCCGGCGGTCTGGGCCTTCTTGGAGAAGGTGACCATGTCAGGGGGGGAGGAGAGGTTCCAGTGGTCGTGGGCCCAGAACTTTCCGGTGGCACCGACACCAGTCTGGACTTCGTCGACGATGAAGAGGACGTTGGTGCGCTTGGTGATGTCGCGCAGGCCCTGGAAGAAGGCGGGGGAGGCGTGATTGTCACCACCCTCGGACTGGATGGGCTCGACCATGACGGCAGCGACGGGGTTGTGGAACTCCTTGATGAGACGCTCAACCTCGGCAAGGCAGCGCTTCTCCTCGGCGGCGTTCTCCTGGACGTGGTCCTCAAGAGGGTACTTCAGCTGAGGGAAGCTGGCCTGGGGCCAGTCGAAGGCGGGGATGTCGAGCTTGTGGATGGCCTTGCTGCGGGTGGTGGACAGAGAGCCGAAGAGACGACCGTGGAAGGCGGACTTGAAAGAAAGGATGGAGAGCTGGGGGGATCCAGGGCCGGCGTTGTTCATAGTGGAGAGCAGCTCCTCCTCAGTGAACTCAACCTCGGGGCCGCCACGCTGCATCTGGCGGTAGTACATGAAGGCAGCCTTGTAGGCGGTCTCGTTGGCATCAGAGCCAGCCATAGCAGTGAAGACCTGGTTCAATCCCTTGGGGGCAGCGCGGAGAACACCGCTCTTGAGGGTGTGGGCCCAGTCGGCGGAGGGGAAGTTGCCCAGAGCGGGACGGTTGATCAAGGCACTGGCCATCTCGGGGGAGGCAGCAGCCTTCAGAAGGTGGGGGTTGTTGTAGCCAACGGGGATGGAAGCAATCTGAGCATACCTGTGAAAGTTAGCTTGGTTTGCAGCCATTGGGTCAAGTATAGGCACTTACACATCCAGGAGCTTGTTGCCATCGAGATCAGCGATGCTATGGCTGGGTTAGTGTCAATTCCCTTGGCCGGGGTCAAGCCATCTTACTAGTTTCCGACGGATTGGCTGTAGTCAGTCAGCATGTTCAAGCTGCGAACATCGAAGACCTCATCGAGCTCAGCAGCCGCGGCCTGGTTCTTGGGTCCGGGGATGGATCCCGAGACGGAGGGGGCTGTGGGCTCATTGGGGAAGTAAGGCTTCTCCGCTGCGCGTAGGCCAGCTGTGGTAGAGAGAGCACGCGCCGCCGGAAGACGAGCTGCGGAGCGCAGCCGTGTGCTGGCACGGAAGACCGAGGACATTGTGAAGTATAGGAACTGTGTGGGGGGAGGGTGAGGTGCGGTGAAGTGCTGTCTAGTCTGCTATTCAATGAGAATTGGAAGACTCAGCAATTGACAACGCAGAAGAGATGAAAGTGAAAGGACAAAAAAAAGGCGCGGGGTGACTTTATAGCAGAGGCAATGGGAGTCTGTTATCGCCCTTATCCTGGAGCTCTGGAGCTGCCCCCCGCGTAGATTGCTTTGGGCTCGGTGTTCTGGACCAATCAGCGGGCGCCGTGTGACGACGAAACGCCGAGGAACCGATGCGGTCTCTGGACGAATTGAGAAGGTCTACGCCGGTGGGTTGGGCGGTCAATTCGATGTGGTAAGAGTTTCCATGGGGTCTTTATTCTATTCAATTGAGTCACGGGGTCTGGTTGTCGTACTCGTCGATCCTGGATTTTGGTCTTGGCACTCAGGTCTATAGGTATGCGAGTGGTCATGCCCATGTATCTGGTCTTTTAGTTCTAGTATCAAAGCAAAGTTGATTTAATATATTCTTGTGGTGCTGGTCTAAACTTCACGCAATAAGGACTTCTGGTTTCTCCCGAGGTCAACTATCATGGAAGTACCTAGGTACCAAGTGACATTCGTGTCACGGTACTGGGATTGAGGTGGATGAATGCCGAGTACGACGTGCAACGTCCACTGCAGGTAGATATCCGGGTAAAATTAGAGCATCTATCCAGTCTATATCCTTTTCCAAGTTGGCCTGTGGTCAATGATGTATGTTTTGTCGGTCGTGGGTAATGGTGCAATTTGAATATTGATTGAGCCGCTCAGTGACCTCGGGAATGAGGAAATATATATCCATGGTTGTCGAGGATGATCCCATAGAGGATTGTTCTCACGCGAACCGTGAAATGACCCCCCAAAGTACCTAGTACCCGTGGACCCAAGTCTTTCAAGGTTGTAGGCAAACGTTTAACTACGTACTGACACCTGAGCATCTGCTACCGAGAGCCCATGGTCTTAATATCTTTCCCAACCACGCATGCCCACGGGTACCTGCAGATGATCTTCGGACAACACTCATTAGGTTGATGTAGCCAAAGAAGCAGCCTCCCACCAATCAACTGGGCTTGTGGTTTAGTGGTATAATACTCCCTTAGCATGGGAGTGGTCCGGGGTTCGATTCCCCGCGAGTCCATTTTTTTGTTTTGTCTTTTTGCCCTTGTCCATCACGCGCTAAACGCATCCCATGTGGGTCCGGGTCAGGGCCTTATCAACATTGGCTGATGGCATTTGTGTCGTTTCAAACTGAGGAAGACCGGGGTGGGACTGCCCTGCTTCACAAGCTCTAGAGCAACCGACAGAGTGCGTGCTGGATAAGCGGCTAGCTTTGTAAGTTGGCGGGTTGTCATTGCTGCCAAGGTAACATGTGTTCTCGCTCTGGTCAAAGACGACACTACTGCTTGAAGCGGAGGCATAGCAGAGATCTATGCAGTTTTCGAGGGTTGAAACCGACTCGATTTTGAGATAAGGCGTGTAGTGACGCATTCTATAGCATATGTAGAAAGTCTGGTTATCTTGTAAGCGGCTGACTCGATAGAAAGATACTAGAGATACCGTATAGGCTGACATAGGTTTGACCATTGGCCTCGGGACAGGTGATGCCGCAGCGGCTAGTTGTTATACTGGGCTGCTTGGTGGCCGGAGGGATAGTCGAGAAGGCATAAAACTGGCTTCCGTATGAGGTTGGCTGGAAACATCCGTAGTCGAGGAGATTACAGTAGAGGGTGGAGGGCTCGAATGAGACACTATAAACTGTCAAACAAATATAACTAGGTAGCTGAAACAACAAAGGTTGATATAGGCGAGAAAATCAGCCGCAGAACCGGAGAAATTAAACTTTCTTGGTCAACATGCGGTCACCATCAAGCCCTAGAGTTACTCTTCTACCCACATTTCTTTTACCCTTTGTCCTCATCTCCAAGCTACCTGCCATGGATTCAGCAATAGAATATCTTACCGATCTTGAAGGAACACAGGTCACGTTTGATGCCGTTGCGGACCACCGTTCAACTTCCCCGCCCAGAAATGGATAATACTTGAGAAGCTCGGGGAAGAGTCGAATCGCCTGACAAAGGAAGACATCACTGCGGAGCTCGGACCCTCAGACACCACCGGGAAGTTCCTATGCCGACCTGCCAGTGAGGTAGACGACAACAGGCGCGCATTTTTACGCATTTACCAACAAGTTCCTATAGCTGGAACTGAAACGAAGAATGCCGCCGTACGGGCTACCCAGGCCGTCGACACCCCTCCTGACCATCCAGAACTGATCGCTTTCAGGACATTCATAAAGCTAGACTGTGACGTTGTTCCTCGACTACTAGGCTATCAACAGCGCCAGCAAGACCACGAGGAGGGTGTTCCCGGGGGATATATCACATACATTCTATGGGA